GCGAAAGTTAAAAGCTTTATCTCTTTATTGTCAAACAAATAAACTAAATGTTAATGTTGAAAAAACAAAAATAATGATATTTTCAAAGCAAAAAAATCCTAATAATATTAAATCATTTAAGTATGAGGAAGGGTCGATCGAGGTGGTAAAAAGATTTAATTATCTCGGTCTTGTCTTTTCGGACTCTATGACGTTTTCGGATACGTTTGAAAAGGTGAATAGTTCGGCAAATTTGGCTATCTCGTCTTGTCTAAAAATTATTTATAAACTGAAGGCGGACGCATGGGAGACGTACAAGAAACTTTTTCAAAGCTTTGTGTCTAATGTTCTATCGTATGCAATCCAAATTTGGGGTTTGGAATTTATGGAGGAATTAGAACGGATTCAAATTCAATTTATAAAAAAATTGCTATGCCTTCCATATAACAGTCCAAACAAAGCAGTAAGACTTGAAACTAATACACCCCCAATAGAATGTAAGGTTTTAAAGGTGGTGCTCAATTGGTTTAAAAAATTGAATATGATGGATCAGACGAGATACCCAAAAAATTGCGTAGTAGAATTAATGAGGTTTGCAGAGATGTTTCCGGAGAAGTCATCAATCAACTGGTATTTGCAGGTGTCGAACGCATTTAACTGCTTTAACTTGGAAAAAATTTGGAAAATGTATTCATTGAAAGTTATTGCGGAGAATGTAGATTCCATGCTTGTTGCTGTTGAGAGTGACTTGAGAAGGCGAGACAGAGATTATTTACAGTCATCGAGGAGCCTTCAAATATGGCCACAGTTAACATTTTACTCTGAGGGCGATTCATACATTTGTAAACGTATGGCAATTTTTTATAGACGAATTTGGTCGCAGGTGAGACTGTTAAATATATACAATTCAAGAATTAAAATAAAAAATGTTAAATACGTTGTACCATTTAACAGTCTCTGTCCATTTTGCAAGCTAGAGCCGGAAAATTTGATTCACATGCTAACTCTCTGCCCACTTTATAATTCAATAAGATATAAATACCCAGAAATGTTTTCTTTCTCTTATTCATTAGATCCAATAAAAATATGGCTCTCAAGACTAAGTACAAACAATCCCTCCTTGATTGAAACATATGTTCATATTATAATAGAATGCTTAAAAATCAGAGCGGATGAGTTTGGGGCTGAGATATGTTTATAAATTTTTGTATTATTGTTTAGCGATTTTATTGTCACCTCAAGAAGATGTACTCCTTCGTATGTTCTTGTATGAACTATAACGAATAAATACTACTACTACTACTATTTTTCAATAAATTAGTTAATAAATAAATAGTAAATAAATTAGTTAATAAATAAATAGTAAATAAATTGGTTAATAAATAAATAATAGTAAATAAATTAGTTAATAAATAAATAGTAAATAAATTGGTTAATAAATAAATAATAGTAAATAAATTAGTTAATAAATAAATAGTAATCCATATCCATATTTTTTATTTTTCTGCCTTTTTCCTAATTTTCATCAAAAATATTTACTTCCTTCTTCTCCTGATAATAAATTTAATTCCTGCAACGAATTTTATTATTCATCAAAGAATTTAAATATTTATAAAAATAATTTAATTCTTGAGAAGAATTTTATAAAATTTTTTAAATAATTCATTGCTTTCGACTAATTTTATGCAAATTCTAATTTTAATAATTGAATTCCTGAAAATTTTTCATCATTCATGAAAAGAATTGAATTCTTACAAAGATTTTTACAAAAAAAAATTTTAAATAAAAGAATTCTGTTTGCAAATTTTATACAACAGCGTTTCGAAATCTAAATGATTTTCTAAAAATTCTAATAAAATTACATTGAAGAATTTTTTTAATTTTTTTAAATAATTTTTTTTTTTTTTTTAAACATAATTTCAATTGAAAATTTTGAAAGTAATTGAATTTTATGAACAATTTCAATTCAAGTTTTTAAAATAATCATGTTTCCTAATAATTGAAATTAAATATTTATTTATAGAATTTTATTAAAATTTTTCAGAAAATACAAAAGTTTTTCTCGGAATTATTATTACAATTTTCTAAAATAATTTAATTCATTCAAGGAATTTTATTCAAATATTTATAGAAAATAATTAAATTCTTTCGAAAAATTTCTTTAATTTATTGAATATAATCAATAATCAATTTTGTTATTAATTGCAATTAATAATTTTACTATTAAAATTTTTTTTTTAAATTATTGATAGAGAATTAAAATCTTTGAAACAATTCTAATATTGAGTTTTTGTATAATCAATTAAATTCTACTGATTAATTTCTTTAGCGTTTTTTTTTTTTTTTTTTTGATTAATTTAAATTAAAAGTTTTTTAAAATAATTGAATAATTGATTTTTGAATTGTTTATTGAAAAATTTATTAAAATTGTATTTAAAATAATTGAATTCCTTAGAAGAATTTTATTGTTTATAAGAATAATTTAATTCTTAAGATGAATTTTACTAATTATAAAAATAATTGAATTGTTTCGAATGATTTATTAAAATTTTAGGAAATTCTTTCGTCAAATTTGAATAATATTGTTTTAAAGAATTTACTAAAATTTTAGAAAATAATTGAATTGTCTTAAAGGATTTACTAAAATTTGAGAAAATAATTGAATTATTTTGAAGAAATAATTAAAATTTTTGAATATATTTGAATTCTTTCATGAAATTTTTTAAAAATTGTATTAAAAATAATTGAATTTTTAGAAAGAATTTTACAATTTATAATAATTGAATTTTTTTGAAAAATTATATAACGAATCAATTCTTTCGTCAAATTTTAATAAATATAACTGAATTTTTGCAAAGATTTTACTATTTAAAATAATAATTGAATTGTTTTAAAAAATGTATTAAAATTTCAAAAAATAATTAAATTGTTTTAAAGAATTTACTAAAATTTTAGAAAATAATTGAATTGTTTTAAAGGATTTACTACAATTTTAGAAAATAATTTAATTGTTTCGAAGAATTTCTTAAAATTTTTGAAAATAACTGAATTCTTTCATGAAATTTTATTAAAATTATATTAAAAATAATTGAATTTTTGCAAAGAATATTACTATTTAAAAAATAATTGAATTGTTTAAAAGAATTTATTAAAATTTTTAAAAATAATTGAATTGTTTTTCTAAGAATTTATTAAAATTTTTAAAAATAATTGAGTTCTTTTCATAAAATTTATAATGAATTAAGAAAAAAATTGAATTCTTTCCTGATAATTTATTGTGAAAATAATTAAATTTTGCAAAGAATTTTATTAAAATGCCTGAAAAATAATTGAAATTTAGGGAATAATTTTGCTATTTATCTTTAATAATTGAATTCTTTCGAAAAATTATTCATGTAAATAATTGAATTCTTAAGAAGAATTTTATTAAAGTCTATAAAGAATAATTCAATTATTTTAAAAAAAATTGAATTAAAATTCTATTTAAAATAATTGATTTCTGTCGAACAATTTTATTAAAATATTTGAAAATAATTGAATTCCTGAGAAAAATTCTAATATTTTTGTAAATAATTGAATTCTTCCAAAGAATTTTTAAAAACATATTTTTTTACATAATTGATTTTTTCGGGGAATAGAAATTAAATTTTTAAAGAATAATTAACATTTTTCGAACAATTCCTGTAAAATTGTATTAAAAATAATTGAATTATTGCGAAAAATTTTATTATTTATGAAAATAATTGAATTATTGCGAAAAATTTTATTATTTATGAAAATAATTGAATTATTGCGAAAAATTTTATTTAAATATTTGAAAAAGAATTGAATTTCTGTGAAAATTTTTGTTATTTTTGAAAATAATTGAATTCTTCATAAGAATTTTATGAACATTGTTTTAAATATGTAATTAATTTTTTCGAATTTATAATAATTATGAAAATTTTATTTTAAATAATTGAATTCTTCTGTGGAAAATTTTATTTGTGAAAATAATTTGAATTTTTCGAGTAATTAATTTAAAATAGTATTAAAAATAATTGAAATTCTTCGATGAGTTTATTATTTATGAAAATAATTGAATTCTTGCTTGGAATTTTATCAAAAATTTTTTTTAAAAATTTGAATTTTCATAAAAATTGTTATTATTAGTGAAAAAGTAATTGAATTATTGTGAAGAATTTTGTAGGTATAAAAATTTCTAACGTATATTTTTCAGACATAACCTTAAAATTTTTTGTCCATTTTTTTTCTAAACGTTCAAAAGTAAATTTCGCTAAATATTGAAGAATTTTTAGAATTATTAATGTATAAAAAGAATCCCACTTACCTTAAATTGAGAAACTGGATTAAGTTTCTTGCTGAAAATAAGAGCTTTCTCCTTGATTATTGGTCCCGAAATGGGATCACCTCTGTCGCGTGTTTGTTGATACCACGTTATAACGGCAGTGTCCAATTCTTTGTCGGAACTACTTTTAGTTGTTTTTCTCGATAATTTTTCCGAATTGTTGCTATAAGCTTCGTCGAAAATTTTCGACCTTTGGTTAAGTAAACGATGATACGTTGTACGACTGATATTATGATCGCGTATTATATTTTCCTTTGTATCACCGGATAGAATTTTTTTCACCACTTCACACTTTTGACCGTATGTTAAATAATTATTTTTCTTTCGTGTTTCAGTCATTTTTCTAATAGATTATTACTTCCTTTTTCTTATAAATATTAAAAATAAAATAAAAGTCACATTCTATTCTTAACTTTTCAACACGAATTATAGAAAGTAAACAGACATAATCTCACCGACCGAGCGCCGGTGCTGCCAAAGAGCTCATCGATTGAATGTAAACAATTTGAACAAAATAAAAATATGTAAATTACAAAAATAAAGAAAAGAAAAATAAAAAAAATAAATATAATTTAAATTAATGGAAAAATAAAATAAATTATACATTTTCTTCTTCCTTCTCTGTTTAAATTATAAACAAACAAAAATATAAATAAATATTAAAATCACAAACCTTGAATGAAAGATTACGAATAACGATTCTTCCTTTTTTATTCTGCACTTGAATATTTTCACTTTCCGTTTCAGTCGGCTTTCCCAGTCTTTTTTTCTTGTTTCTATACGACCAAGATAATTTTTTACCTTTTGGATCTTTGCCTGAAAAAATTATTCAAAATAATAAATAACATAATAAAAAATAATTAAAGTTATTTGCTTTTTTAATCCCAAACTTTTTTTTTTTTAATAATTTTTCTTTTCAAATACTTTTAATTTGAAAATGAAAGAATTGAAAATCTTTGAATTCTTTGCAAAAGAATTTTATCAAAAAATTTACGAATAATTGAATTTCTTCGAAGAATTTTATTATTTATGAAAATAATTGAATTCTCGCGAAGAATTTTATTCAAATTAAAAAAAAATGTAATTCTTGACATGAATAATAATAATTGAATTATTCTTTCAAACGATTTATTAAAATTTTAGGAAATAATTGAATTCTTTCGAAAAATTTTTTAACGAATTTATTAAAAAAATTGAATTCTTTCGTGAAATTTTATTGAAAATAATTGAATTTTTGCAAAGATTTTACTATTTAAAAAAATAATTGAATTGTTTCAAAGAATTTATTAAAATATAAAAAAATAATTGAATTCTTTGTTTTGAAAATTTTTTAATGAATTAAGAAAAAAATTGAATTTTTTCGTGAAAATAATTGAATTTTTGCAAAAAAAACCTTACTATTTAATAAAATAATTGAATTCTTGCGAAGAATTATATTAAAATTTTCAAAAATCATAATTGAGAATAAATATTTTTATTTAGGTTATGAAAGATAAAACTATTTTTCTATTATATTAAGTAAATTATTAACCAAATTTTGAAATGTAAACAATTATTTAAAAAATATTAAACTGGTAAATGATTACATATTTATTTTTTCCTTTTTTTAAACTGTCAAATATGTAAAAAAAAATATGCAAATAATAAAGACGACAAACAAAAAGCAACTTGAGATAATTACAATACATTTAGAACTATTATTTTAAATGATATTTATTGTTATTTACACATAAATACCTTGGCGTGGTTTTCCCATTGTTGATTAGTAAATAATAATATTTACAAAAACACGATATTTTTCTATAATTTTAATATAAAAATGTCAATTTACTGTATATTATCACAAAACACCACGTGCGAATCTTCCGTCAATTTTTTGAGGTTATGTCGCACGTCACGTCAATATTTTCTTTCTCTTTCAGAAGAAAAAGAATCGCAATTAAAAAAAAACGAATTATTTACAAATATAACACGAGAAATTGCAAATTTTAGTTAAATTGTCAAGAAAGAATACTTTTTAACTACAAATCTATAAATTACGTTCAATTACGTTTTTCGTTCAAAAATAAACAAGAAAATAAAAATAATTTATTTAAAATTCAATTTGCTTCAAGTTCAGAAATTCAGAATCCACATGTTTTTAACCCCCACTACTTTTTGTTACCTTTCCTTCCCTTTCCCCTCGTCAGGGTTGTACAGTTCCAGGTAAGTTCGAAATAAAGTTACCTCTACAATAAAAATAACACCGATGCTTTGTTCCCAACCCTGACAGATGGCAGCACAAACAAAAGGATTTTTTTTAATCACATTTCCTCGTATTTGTTCATTGTATTCATTGTATTTACTTTGTATATGTGTAGTGTCAGTGTATAAGAAATTATATATATTTTTAAAAAGTGATTCCTATTGTTACGGTGTATGTGTATAGTGTGCTTAGTGCCCAATAGTGCCTGTTATATATTTTTTTTCGTGTATATTCGAGAAAATTGAAGATATTTACTAATAAAAATATATTTATATTATAATAATTAAAAGAAGTAGAAAGGTGAAAATATTTCTCTAAAATAAGATTTGAAATGGCGATATAAGTATAGTCGAGTTGGATATTTTTAACGGTAAAAAAAATGTTGTGTAGTGTATATTTATAACCTGACAGTTTACAAAGAGAAATATGTCAGAGTTAGAAATGGATTCTGGAGCATTGGAAGCTGAGGAGAATTGTGAATCTCTCGATGAAAATGATATTATTGATGTTGATTCAATGGATCTTGAGGACAATGATCGTTGGTGTGTATATATATGTATATTTACAATCTATCAGTATTAAATATCTGTCATCATAATTTTACCGATTTCACGTTATTAGATTTAATTTTTTATTAAATTTTAGTTATATTTTTCATTTAATGTTCCTTTCTGTTTGGAATTTGACAATTTTTTTTACTCTTATTTCGTTATTTTTGGATTTGCGAGAATTTTCTTGCTAACATAACCTCAATTACTTGTCACTTTTTAATTTTTAAAGAAAATGTATATATATATATATATATATATATATATATATATGAGGAGATTTTTTTTACAATCTCTTAATTTTTTTTCATCATTATCTATTTTTAGATGTTGTAATTCTAAATATCTATAATTATAACTCAGAAAATATGTTATAAGTAAATAAATTTGCTTTTTCGTGTTATTTTATTTTATCAATTTATTAATTTTTAAAAATTATTTTTGTTACTTAGTATTATATTTTATATTATTATTTATATTATTATTCACTAAATACTACTATAAGAAAAAAATTTTTTTTTCCTTATTTTATAATTTATTAAAATGAGAAAAATACTTTTTAAGATAATTTAGAAAAAGAGTAAAAAATTAATTAAAATGACATAAATTATTGTTATTATTATTATTGTTAATATTAACTTAATATTTCAATTCATTCCTTATAATTATGCAAATTTCAAAATTTTTTTATATTCAGATGCGAATTTCAATTTTTGGAGTAATTTTAGATAAAGAATTTTTAAAAATTCAATTATTAACTTATTTTGTTATTTAATTATTGTTTTCAAAAACTTTAATAAAATTCTTCGCGCAGAAATTCAAATATTTTCGATACAATTTTTTAAAAAATTCATGAAAGAATTCAAATATATTCAAAAATTTTAATAAATTCTTCAAAATAATTTAATTATTTTGTCAAATTTTAGTAAATCCTTTAAAACAATTCAATTATTTTCTTAAATAGTAAAATTTTTTTTTCAAAAATTCAATTATTTTCACGAAAGAATTCAATTTTTTTTCTTAATTCGTTATAAAATTTTTCAAAACAAAGAATTCAATTATTTTTTAAACAGTTTTAATAAAATTTTACGAAAGAATTCAATTATTATTAAAAATTTTAATAGTTTTCTTTCTTCAAAAGAATTTATTTATTTTTTATATTTCAATAAAATTCCTTGAATGATTTAAATTATTTTCGAAAGTTTTAATAAAAATTCTTCGTCGAAACTCAATTACTTTGAGAAATTTTTTACAAATTATTTTTTATAAGAAAAAAAATTTAATTAAATACTTGGAAAAAATTTATTTCTTTTCCTAAATATTACAATTATTCGCAGAAATTCAATTATTTTTTAACACTTTCAGATGATAAAATTTTTTATAAGAATTGAAATATTTTCAATTTTAATTAAATTCCTCGAAAAAATTCAATTATTATCGAAAATTTAATAATAAAATTTTTAGCAAGATTTCAATTATTTTCATAATTTATAAAAAGATTTCCCACATGAATTTTATTATTTTAAAGAATTTTAATAAAATTCTTCGCAGAGATTTAATTTGTACTTTGAAAAATTTTGTTAAAATTATTTACGAGAATTGCAATTATTTTCATAATTAATCAAATTCGTCGTAGGAATTTTCATTATTTTGTTGAATTTTAATAAAATACTTCGCAAAAATTTTATTATTTTGAAAAATTTCAATGAAATTCTTTATAAGAAAAATATTTAATTAAATTTTTAATTATATTATTAATTGCAATTATTTATTTTTATTATTTTCAAACAGAAACGGAATTTTCATTTTTTCTTTTATATTTGAAAATTTATTTTGAAAATTAGAAGTTAAGAATAAAAAAATTGTTGAGTTTAAAATTATAATTAAATAAAAAGAATGAATAAAAATTGAATATTTATTTATTTTCTAATATAATATTTTAACTTGTAAATTGAATTTTAAAAAATTTCGGGAATAAAAATTTTTAAAAATGAATAATTTTTTTTCTGGGCGCAAAAAATTAAACAATTATTTTTTCACAGGTTGTGTGATTATAATCAATGTTCATCGGAGTCAAGAGTTCACGATTTGTACGCATGGCTTAAATCGGATCCATCAGAATCTCAATCACACACGAATGGTAATCAAATTTATTAAAATTAAATTTAAAAAGAAAAAAAATATTATTTAATTTCTAGTCTTTAAATTTAAATGTTCTTGGAAAAATTTCTTTTTTAAAATATCAAATTTTATGTTAATACTTATGATTGCATTTATTGTACTAATGATGATTTTTCTTTCTCTAGATTAAAAAAAAAAAATTATATAAATAGTTCATTTTTATAAAATATCTTTTATAAATCTTTTATAAATCTTTTATAATTCTTTCTGGAAAAAAAAAAATTTTGAAAAAAGTGTTTTTAATTAATATTCATTTTTTTTGTTTGCGAAAAGTTCTGAAGAAATCCATAGACACAAGGACATTTACTAGAGTTAAACGACGAACCAATAGAATGAGTTTCGACGCAATAATGGAATCGTTAGCAACTCCGGCGCGAGTTTCAACTGAATCACCTAAAGTTCCGGGTCAAGTAAGTTTTATTTTAATTAAAACTTATTTTTGGAAATTTCTCTTTTTATTAATGTTTTCAAAATATAATTTTCCCTTTTATATTAACTTTTTAAAAATTACTTTCCCCCTTTTTATTAATTTTTCAAAAATTACTTTTCCCTTTCTAATTTAATTCTTTTATTAATCATTTTCTGCTTTTAATGAATTTTTTTATTAATTATTTTTATTTTTTTTGAAATCTTATATTTATTGTTTTAAAGTATTTAGTAAAATTTTAGAAAATAATTGAATTGTTTTAAAGGATTTACTAAAATTTGAGAAAATAATTGAATTATTTTGAAGAAGTTAAAAAAAATTTTGAATATATTTGAATTCTTTCATGAAATTTTTTAAAAATTGTATTAAAAATAATTGAATTTTTGGAAAGAATTTTACTATTTATAATAATTGAATTTTTTTGAAAAATTTTCTAACGAATCAATTCTTTCGTCAAATTTTAATAAATATAACTGAATTTTTGCAAAGATTTTGCTATTTAAAAAAATAATTGAATTGTTTCAAAAAATTTATTAAAATTTCAAAAAATAATTGAATTTTTTTAAAGAATTTACTAAAATTTTAGAAAATAATTGAATTGTTTTAAAAGATTTATTAAAATTTTAGAAAATAATTGAATTATCTTGAAGAATTTTTTTTAAATTCTCAAAATTAATTGAATTCTTTGAAAGGTTTTGATAAAATTTAAGAAAATAATTCATTTTTTTTTTTAAAGAATTATTAAAAATTTAAAAAAAAAGAATTTTATCATGAAATTTTATTAAAAATTTATTAAAAATAATTGAATTTTTTCGAAAAATATTTTTAACAATTTATGAAGAAATTGAATTTTTTTTATGAAAGTTTATTAAACTTTTGTTAAAAATAATTGAATTTTTGAAAAGAATTTTATTATTTATAAAAATAATTGAATTGTTTATAAGAATTTATTAAAATATAAAAAAATAATTAAATTCTTTGTTTTGAAATTTTTTTTAACGAATTAAGAAAAAAATTGAATTTTTGCAAAGATTTTACTATTTAAAAAAATAATTGAATTGTTTCGAAGGATTTCTTAAAATTTTTGAAAATAATTTAATTCTTTTGTGAAATTTTATTAAAATTGTATTAAAAATAATTGAATTTTTGCAAAGAATTCTACTATTTATAAAAATAACTGAATTGTTTCAAAAAGAATTTATTAAAATATAAAAAAATAATTGAATTCTTTGTTATGAAAATTTTTATAACGAATTAAGAAAAAGAATTGAATTCTTTCATGAAATTTTATTGAAAATAATTGAATTTTTGCAAAAATTTTACTTTTGAAAAAAATAATTGAATTGTTTCAAAAAGTTTATTAAAATTCTAGAAAATAATTGAATTGTTTCGTGAAATTTTATTAAAATTTTTTGAAAATATGAACAGTAATAAAAAATGAATTAATTAAATAATTGTGGAAAGATTTATTAAACATTTAATTAATTTACAATTTTTTCTGTTAAAGTTTCGAATGGACGAAGTGACACCACAGAAATTAATGGAAGTTCCAGCAATGTTAAGACCAAAAAATTCCCTAATTGCTCATTCACAAGCGGGTTCAATGAATCAGGAGAGTCTCGAAATATTTTTAAATCTCTCACAATCGAATTCAGAATTTTCCGAAATAATGAACGAATCACAGCCATCGCTATTGTATTCGTCGATAATATCGAATAATGCCGATGAAACGACATTCAAACGAAACGAATCACTCTGCGATATGGATTCGGGAATTCTCTCCGAATCAATGATGCAAGCGAGTATATTTCAAGAGTCATTGAATATTAACAGTTTCACGGAACACAATTACGATAATAATGATGATGATGATATTGATGTTGATGTGTGTGCTGATAATTTGAAACGTACTTTAAATTTACTTTGCGCCAATCCTTTGGATGAGACGAAAATTTACACCAGCCCACAAGGCGTGAATAAAAATTGTCCGAGTCCAAATTTTGATGAAACGAAAATTTGCACGAGTCCACATAATCGGACATTAACTGCTGGCAATTCTTTGGATATGACAAAAGTTCACGTCAGTCCTTTGAATGAGACGAAAATTTGTGAGAATACTTTCGACGCGACGAGGGAAAATATTGGTCATTTTGATTCGAGAAAACTTGAATGCAGTCCTATGGAGAGGACGTTCATTAATGAGAGGCATTCACCGGCATTGAGTTTCACGGAAAAGGTGAGAAATTTTCCAGGATAATTTCTACCAATTTAATAATAAAATTTCAAAATTTATAACTTTTACTAATTTAATACTAAAATTTCAAAAATTTTCTAATAAATAATAATTTTTTATTATTTATTATTTTCATAAATAATAAAACTCATCGCAGACTTTCAATTATTTTTAATACAATTTTAATGAAATTCCTCGAAAAATGAAATTATTCTTAAAAATTTTATTAAAATTCATCAAAGAAATTCAATAATTTTAAAAATCTTTGCTACAATTTATTTATTAGAATTTAAGTATTATTTTCTATAAAGTTATGAATTAAATTTCTTGAAAAAATTAAATTATTTTCAAAAATTTCAATGAAATTCTTTGTAACAATTCAAATTTTTTTTTTCAAAATAATTTTAATAAAATTCTTCGTAGAAATTTAAATAATTTCAAAAAATTTGTCAAAATTCAATTATTTTCAATGTCTACTATTTCAATAAAATTTCATAAAAGAATTCAATTATTTAAAAAAGACATTTTAACAAAAATTCGTCTCAAGAATTCAATTATTTTCAAAAATTAATATAATTCCTCGCAGAAATTTAATTGTGTTCAGTAAATTACAAAAATTCTCGTCAAAATTTTTTAATAATCTTTATAAATTTTTCTCTGGAATTGAACTTATTTTCAAAAATTTTAATAAAATTCTTGGCAAAATTTCAATTATATTTTTAAAAAACTCTTAAAAAGAATTCTTTGGAGAAATTCAATTAATTTTAATTAAAATTTTAATTATATTTCCGAAGATTTTTAAGGAAATTTATAGAATTAATTTTTAAAAAAGTTTAATGGATTTTTTTTTTAATTATTTAAAGTTTTTAATTTCTAATTTATTTAATTAAAGAATTTTAGAATAATCGAAAGTTTAGGTAAAATTGAATTGTAAACAAATGAATTTAAAAATTTTCAAAGAAGAACTTTTTCAAAAATTATTTTTAAAAAATTGTTTTAAAAAAGAATTTTAGTTTAAAATTCTAGAAATGAATATTCAACACTATTAGAATTTTTAAATTTATTGTAAATAAATTGTAAATAAATTGCAGGCAAGTTCCACTCTACACGAAGAAAAAGCGTTCTCGCCACTATTTATGTCAAAGCACGAATTCGACACATCAACACCAGAGGAGGGAAAATTGGCCCTTTTTGAAAAATTCGACAATTTGAATGCAACAAAAATCAACGAAAATTCAATGGAGAATGCATTGATTGACGCCGATATGACATTCAACGTGAAACGTCTATCATGTCAAACATTCATCGATAATTCAAATTCAATTTTAAATCGCAATATAAATAATAATAATAGTTCAACGAAAATAAATCCAACTAGTCTTCGACAGGAATTACTCGAGGAAGTTGAAAGAAGTTGTTCGAAAAATTCCCATGAATTAGAATCAAAGATGATGACGAAGAAGAAGGAATTGAATACAACTTATGAAAATTCCTCGGAAGTATTGTCGGCGCCAATTGATTATTACAAAACATATAAAAAGGATAGTTTGAAGAAAATCAAGGAAAATATTTCAATTGGTAGGTTTCAAACTTTTCGTAAAACAACAAATAGAGATGAGACATTTATGAAGAAAGATGATGATGAGGAAGTTAATGCGACATTTTCCAAAAATGATGAAAGGCAAAATTTCGATGCCACTTATTCTTCGAATGAAATTTTAACCGACGATACGACTTTTTCGAAAAATCAACAAGTGCCGGAGAAAATTGTTAATTCGACATTTTGCAAACCGATGAAAAAGGCGGAAATTCCTGCCGAGGTAAAATTCTAGTTTTTTTAATTACTTTATTTATTTATTCATTTATTTTTTCATTCATTTATTTATTTATTTATTTACTTATTTGATTGTCTGACAACTTAAAATTTTAAAAAATGGAGATTAATTTCAATTTTTTAATACCGAAAAAATCGAAAATATAATAAAAGCTTCTTTATTCACAGCCAGAGCAGCAGAATTCGACGTTCGTGAAACCAAAACTGCGGAAATTGCCATCGCCGAAGAGTTTCTCGCGACTTCCGCAATTTTTGCAAAAATCAAATCCGAACATTCCAACTTCGAATGCATTGCGAACGTTGAAGCCGCCGGGGAGTTTTGCCTACGCGAAAGGCTCGCAGCCGAATATACCGAGGAATTTGGGTTTATATGCACTTGGTAAATATAAGAGTGAAACGGATCAGAGAATAATTGGCGCGATGAGGAATTCAACGGAACAAATTGGCAATGCTGGTGGGTCAACGGAAAGTATTGAGAGTACACAAAGTGCGCCCGATTTGGACGATCGATTGAGCGTCTGCTCGGACAGTAGTCGGAGTTCTTATACAATTTCCACCACTGCGAGGACAATCGTCAGACAATCGAATGTCACCAATTCAAGGCTCATGCAGAAATTTATTCCACATGGTAAATTTTTTTATAATTATTACATTTCAACACTTCTATTACGTATTTATAATTAAAATTCTTCAAAAATTTGATTATTCATTATATATTTTTCAAAAAATTTAATTATTTTTTAAAAAGATTTTGTCAAATTTCAATTGTTTTTAAATGATTTTACCAAAATTCATGGAATTTTTTAAAAATTGTATTAAAAATAATTGAATTTTTGGAAAGAATTTTACTATTTATAATAATTGAATTTTTTTGAAAAATTTTATAACGAATCAATTCTTTCGTCAAATTTTAATAAATATTTAACTGAATTTTTGCAAAGATTTTACTATTTAAAATAATAATTGAATTGTTTTAAAGAATAAACTAAAATTTTAGAAAATAATTGAATTGTTTTAAAAAATATACTAAAATTTTAGAAAATAATTGAATTGTTTCAAAGGATTTAATAAAATTTTTTAAAAATAATTGAATTATCTTGAAGAATTTTTTTAAAATTCTCAAATATTTTTATGAGAAATAAAAAAATTCTTCACAGGAGTTCAATTATTTTTAAATATAGAATTTGAATAAAATTTCTTTAAAGAATTGAATTAATTAAACAATTTTTTTTGATAAAATTATAAATAAGAATTTATTTACTTTGAAATTTGACACCTTATTTATTAAAGAAAAAAAAACTCTTTATTTTTTCCAGGTCTAAATCCAGAATCGACGCCAAAACCAAATAGACAAATTCTTGAAAACACCTGGATGCAGTCGGAGAAGGATTTACCGTCGCCAATTTTAAAGAATAATATCGAGAGTCTGCAAAGCAATATTTTGTCGGATAATAATATAAAGTCAAGTTCACCTCTTCTCAGTCCTTGTGGTTCCAGTGAAAATATTAATTCTCTAGGTAAGAATTCTAAAATTACATAATATCAAAATATGTTTACTTTTCTTCTAAGAATATAAGAAAAAGAAAAGCTAAACAAGTTTTTAAGTTTACTTTCGAAACGAGGGATTAAAATATTTATTTATTTGTTTATTCAATTTTTAATATTAACTTTTTTTAAAAGGAAAATAAGAAAACTTATGATTTTTTTTACAGATATTGTTAAAAACAATGTTCAAGAGATGAAAACGGCAACAGTAGAAGAGAAATTAACAATAAAGGCGCCTAATGTAAGTTTTCAATTACTTTTCGTCTTAAATTTTAAATGGCAGAAATCTTTTTTTTTTATTTGTCAATTAGAAATTGAAACTTTGAAGATTTTTGACTTCGACTCGGAGCAATCGATTTCTTTATGTTTTATAATAATTAAATGATGACCGAGTGATAAAATCATTTTTTATGAAAATAATTGAATTATTGAGAAGAAATTTATAAAACTAGTAATTGAATATTGCAGAAGAATTTTAATATTTACAAAGATAATTGAAATTTTGAGAATTGAAAAAAAATTTTTTTGAAAATAATTTAATTTCTTCTGCGAAGAATTTTCTTACTTTTAAAGATTTATTGAATTTTGTAAAGAATTTTATCAGAACTTTTGAAAATAATTAAATTACCATGATGAATTTTATTCTTTATAAAATTTTGACGAGAAATTTCAAAAAAAATTTTTTGAATATAATTGAATTTCTGCGAAGAATTTTATTACTTTTAAAAAAAATTGAATTTCACAGAAAAATTTTATTATTTATAAAGATAATTGAAATTTTAACAAGAATTTTATTAATATTTTTTTTTAAATTGAATTTCTGCGAAGAATTTTATTATTTTTATAAAAATAATTTACATTTTAAAGAGAATTTTCAAAAAAATGTTAAAATACATTAATTAATTAATTAAATTAAATAATTCAACATTTTTAATAATAATACTCAAATATTTATTTAAAACAATTTTAGTTAAAATTTTAGAAGATGTTTAATTTTTTGACGATTTACATTTGTAATTTTGAAAAAATAATTAAAATTCAGGAGAGGTTTAAAATTATTAAAAAAAAATATTCAATTTTTTAATAATTTTATTTAGAAATTATGAAAAATTCGGTTCTTGAAAAATATTAATTAAATTTTTTTTCAATGATAATTTAATTGAATTTCCAAAAAATAATTATTTTCACAGTTTTCAAATAATTGAAGTCTTGAACATTTTGAAAATTATAAAAAAAAATTAATTTATTAGAGAAAATTTTAGCTAGAAATTTTAAAATAGATTTTATTAAAATTCGTTGCAAAATTCAATTATTTTTTATGAATTTTAATAAAAATTTTGTGACAACATTGGATTAAATAAAACGACATTTTCGCCTTTTTTTGTATTTTTAATCAACTAAAGCGACTTTTTTTGCGCCTTAAAGTCGATCCGAGGCCTGTTATTTATTATTAATATTTTTAACTGTTAATACTACTTATAATTAAAATTATGTATAATTAATTTTAATTTATTAAAATATAAAAAAAAAAAATTTACAGGTTTCGTCGAATCGTCCGAAGAGTCCAGTCGAATCGAAATTAAAATTAAGGCCCCCGACGAACTACAATGCGACGAGACCTGCGAGTGTCGCCAGTGGAATTCCAAGACCAACATCACGGATTCCAGCGCCAAAATTCACACGACCACTTTCACGAATTCAGGACCCAAAGAAAGGCTGATGAAAAAAAATGCTCAATATTGGCTTTTTTTCCCTTCTTCTCCTAATTTAAGGGCATATTCCCAAAAAATGAAATTTATATATTTTTCTACGATTTTTCGTAAAATGTAATAATTCATTTTCTTTTTTGCGGTTCGTCCGATAGAAAGTTTTCTCACAAATATCTCGTTTCTTCGAAGGAACGTAAAAATCAATTTAAAGAATTTGTTTTTTTTTTTTTTGCAGAAAATTATTTTGTCGACTTTTCGAAAGTTGATATTGTGTTTATATTTTACGAATTGACTTTTTTTTATTATTTTTTTTTCTTAAAGAAAGATGGTTGTGATTTTTGATATGAAATTTGTATATTAAAATGGTATGAAAGTTTTTTTTTTTATTTCCAGTTTCATTTAATTTATTTGCTGGGGAAATTCGAAAAAAGTTTTACTTTTTTTTCTCTTTTTGTTATTAATTTGATACTGAATTGAATTTTTGAAAATAATTTTTTAAGCAAAATTAAATTTACTATGAATATTATTTTAACGAATGGGATTTTGAAATTTATTTGTTATTTTCAGGTTCAGGGTTAGAATTTTTCAATTTATTCTTTATTGTAAAGAGTAGAATTTTTAATTTTATTCGGAATTTAACAAATAGAATTTTAATTTTGTTCCTTATTTGAACAAATAGAATTTTAATTTTATTCGTTATCTTAACAAATAGAATTAATTTCCTTCTATTTATTGATTGAATTATTTATTTATTGAACAATATAAACGGACTAAAATCCTTTTAAATTTTTCCAGAAAACTTTTTTCTCCAAATTGTCAGTTTTCTTTTGTCCTTTCGCAAATAAATTAAATGAATTTCCCTGGATTTTTAAATAAAGTTTACGAAGTTTATCGATGTAAAAAAGAAAAGAACAAAAATGATGATTGCCAAAAGAAAAATCAGTTTTCGGAATCTGTACATTGGCTTCATGTATAAAATTGTCTAAATATTTTTTTTTTAATAGATATTTTAAATAATTTAGATAAAATTATTATTATTTTTTTATATACAAAAAAAAGATGGGAAAGACTGCGAAGAAAAACAAAGCACGCTTTCAATTTTTGAGCGTAGATTTTAATTTTTTTTTCTTCTTATAAATAATTTTGAAATATTTATCAGTAGATGGATTTAAAAAAAAAGTGGTGGGAACAATTTTAGTCATTTGGTTCCTACAAAAACGAAAGGATAATATTAAACAAAATTTAAATATCTCTTAGGTGTTATTATCATTTTTTTTTAATTTCATTAATTTTATTAATTTTATTTGTTTAATATTTATTAACTCCTTTAAAATATTTTTGACCAAATAATTAACAAAGAAAAAAAGAAAAATAAATAAACACAAAATGTTTGAAAATGAATTTAAGTCATTGAGTGTAGGACGATTGTTTATAATCGAAAATATTTATATGACACTCGCTGAAAAATAGTGGACAAAAAAAGCAACAAAAAAAAAGAAAATGAAAGAAATTAATGTCAGACTATCGCTGGCTGTGTTAATTCATATCATAATTTTTTGTAACTATTGTCTCGAATGTGAAAATTGATTATTGAATTGAAAAACAATTTTCATCATTTCAACAAATGTTCCAGTGTTTTAGCTCAAAATTTAACAAAAAAGTATATAAAAAAAACGTGAATTAACATATTTTAGATTTAGTGAAATTTTTTTTTTAATTCGAAACAATGTAATTTGTGGTATATATATTTTTTCCAAATGAATAGTTAATTGACAATTATAGAAGTAATTAATTTATGGTAAAATTAATCATTTTCTATTTAAACTAAATTTCGATAACAAATTAATTGATTAATTAATCAACTAATCAATTGGTTAATATTGAAAGTAATTGATTTTTAATGGAATTTTTTTTTTTTTTTAACTTGTTGAAAAGAATTTTAAATCACATTGATTTTCTTTATTATTGAGAAAAAAATTATTTTTATTATAAAGCATTCTTTTTTATTAGAAACAATTATTTTTATTAAAAAGCATTTGTTTTTTTTATTAAAAAAGCTCTTTTTTAGTAAAAAGTATTCTTTATATCAGAAAAAGCCCTTTTTTTAGTAAAAAGTATTCTTTATATTCGACAAAGCTCTGTTTAGTAAAAAGTATTCTTTTATAGGAAAAGTTCTTTTTATTAGAAAAATCTATTTTTAGTAAAAAGTATTCCATTTATTAAAAAAAGAAATATTTTTAGTAGAAAAATCTCTTTTTAGTAAAAAGTATTCCATTTAGTAAAAAAAAATATTCTTTTTAGTAAAAAATATTCTTTTCATAAGAAAAAGTTCTTCTTAGAAAAAATTATTCTTTTTATAAGCTCTTTTTTAATAAAAAGTATTCTTTTTATAAGAAAAAGCTCTGTTTAGTAAAAAGTATTATTTTATAGGAAAAGTTATTTTTAGTAAAAAGTATTCTTTATATCAGAAAAAGCCTTTTTTAGTAAAAAGTATTCTGTTTATAAGAAAAAATTCTTTTATGTAAAAAGTATTCTTTTTAGTAAAAGTAATTTTGTTTTTAAAAAAATTCTTTTCTGTGAAACATTTTTTTTACTAAAAGAAATTCTTTTTAGTGAAACATGTAAGTATTTTTTTTAGTGATAAATATTCTTTCTTTTAGTGAAAATAATTCTTTGTAGTGCAAAATATTCCTTTTTTTTTAGTGAAAATAATTGTTTTTATGTGAAAAAAATGCTTTTTAGTAAAAAAATAACTTGTATTAAAAAAATTTTTTTTATTAAGAAAGAATTATTTTTATGCAAAACAATTTTTTTTTAAAATCAATTTTTCTTATTAAGTAGAGTTTTTTTTAAATAAAAATTATTCTTTTTTATGAAAAAAGTGTTTAAAAACCAGTTCAAATTTCAATAACTGCCTTTTAATCGAACAGGAGAGATTGTAAAAAAAATTCACTTAATTGTTTTTTTAGAACTGTACAAAAAGAAAAACAATAATGTTCATATTTTTAGTCGTGACACTTTGTTACGTGAAAGTGCCTTGAATGTAAATACAAGAATTTTTTATTTGAAAAATGAAAACTGCTTCCAAATGAAAATATTATTAAGAAATTTGTGCATAATGTCCAAGTGTTTGCTATTGTAAAAATAAATAAACTGTCTTTTTTAATTTCTATTACTTCGTGTTATTTTTTTTACTCTATCCACTAGATTATATATATTGTAAAAAAAAATTTAATAAAAAAAAACTGTTTGCACTTTGAGCCGCAAAGTTTCTATTTTTATTACAAATTTTTATTTTAATTAAAAATTTTTATTTTTATTTTTTTTAATTTTAATTTTCTATTTTATTTTACCTATTTTTTTTTTAATTACGAAAAAATTGTTTAGAAAAACTTCTTTTTAATTATAATTTATTTATTTTTTATTTATTTTTGCATTATTATTTTATTATTAACTTTTATTATTTAACTTTCATTATTAAAATAATTAAAATAATTTAATTATTATTATATAATTTTGTTTTTTGTAGATTCACAAAAAAATGATTGCAGGGAAAAAAAGATTACCGAGAAGTTACGAAAAAAATTGTTGAGAACAAATTTTTGAAGAATTAAAAAAAAAAGATTGCAAAGCAAAAATATATTTGAAAAAAGTTTCGAAATAAAACAATTGATGAGAAAATTTTTTTAAGAATTAAAAACAATGATTGCAAAGAAAAAAGATATTTGAAAAGTTTATCAAAAAAATTATTTAGAAAATTTTTTGAAAAATTCCCCTCAGAAAAAAATTATTGCAAAGAAAAAAAGATGAATTTTCTGTTTGAAAAATTCGAAAATGAAGAAATAGTAAATAATGATGAATTTTTTTTTGTGATTTGTGAATGAAATGCATTTTTATTTTCATATATAGAAATTGACAACTTATGGCATAAATTATAATGAATGTATAAAATAATTATAAATTGTTAATAACATAGTAGACTAGATCATAAATAATCTTATAAAATTAAAACCCAAATTCCTCTTAAAATTTATCCATTTGCCTTTTGCCATTAAAAAAAAAGACCAAAAAAATAAACAAAAACAAATTACACAGCAAACTTCACACTTCAAACTATTTCAAATCTCAACAATAAAATCGACACCATGATTGTTTTTTTCTTTTTCTTTTTTGTATTCCAATTATACAAAAAAATTAGTTCTATATTAAACAATGCCAATTTTTTTTAAATTACTAAATTACAATTTTATTCTAATGTACAATTTATTTTTGAGCCGCAATTTTTTTTCAATTTAAACTTTTGAATTAAATTTTAATTCAAAATATATTTAAATTTATAGTTGAATTTTATTTTCAATTGTTATTAATTTCAATTTTTACAATGTAATTTTCAATTGCATTTTATTGGAAATATTTTCAATTTTGTGAAAAATATTTTCATATAATTTGAATTGAATTTTAATTGAAAATTTATTTACTTGAATTTCATTTTCAATTAATTTTAATTTCAATTCAATTTTACCGTTAATTACAATTTTTTCAAATTCAATTTCTTTTTTTAATATTTTCAATTATAATTTAGTTGGAAATATTTTCACTTTTAATTGAATTGCAAATTTAAAATATTCTCAATTATCAATTTCATTTTACATATTTTCAATTATAATTTTGTTAAAAATATCTTCAATTTCAATTTTCGTGTAAAATTATATTTAAAATATTTTCAATTTCAATTTGATTAAAAATAATTTCAATTTCAATTCAATTAAAAATATTTTCAATTTCAATTCAGTTAAAAATGTTTTCAATTTCAATTCAATTAAAAATATTTTCAATTTCAATTTGATTAAAAATATTTTCAATTATAATTTATTTGAAGATATTTTCAAATTCATTTAAAATATTTTCAGTTACAATTGAGTTTAAAAATATTTTCAATTTCAGTTTCTCTTTTTTTTAAATTTGAAAATATTCTCAATTATATTCTGAATTGAAAGTTAAATGTAATATAAAATATTTTTTAATTTCAAATTGAATATAAATTTTTTACTACACAAATTTAATTATAATTACAATTTTTCCCTAAATATTTTTGTTTTACATTCAATTTTTCCTTCCCTTGGGCAAATAAAAGTTAGTTTAAAATTTCCTATAAAAAAAAAAATAGGCGCCGATTTTTTTTTTAAATAAGTAATTATTTAAAAAAAAATAATAAATGCTTCTATGTAAAAATATGATAAAAATAGTGATGGAATGTCAATAAAAACTTGTCGATAATTTAAATACTCGATTAAAAAAAAGAAAAAAAAATACATGAAACTATTAAATGTATTAAATAAACCGAATTACCTAAAGTTAAAATTAATTTTTATTTTTATCTTAAAATCTTCCGGTTAGCAAAAATTGTCGACTTTGCCATCGATTTTGTAATGAATTTAAAAAAAAATTCTCAACATCGGCTCTTTTTTTCTTATTGGCATATAAAATTCTATATTACAATAAATATTTACATTCCGATGTCTATTTTTCTCTCTTTTTTCATTTATATCAAATTTATATCAATATATTCAGTACCATTTTTGAAATTTACTAAATATTCTAATTTTAAATATGAATTAATTTAAATATTAAATAAATAAATATTTAAATTGCCAATTTTTAAAAAAAACGAACTTGTGTTTCATTTTTCTTTTAACTAATAAAAATTGGATTTATCGTTCCAATTAATCGAAATTCCATCACTGCGATTTTTATTTTGTGTAAAATGTAATAAGTGAATAAAGCAGAAACAGCGTTCAGTGAAAATTTTAATTTTTCTATTAAAAAAAATCAGCAATAAAATTTCTATTTGCAAATTTTTAAATAGAAAAATGTTCTGTTCATGAAAAATTGTGATTTTTAGATCAAAGACAATTTTCAATTTTTCTTAAAAAATATTTTTTCGCCAATTTTTCTTTTTTACATAAATAGGCTTTATTTTTCTTCTTTTGATGAATTCATTTCTTTCTTTGTTAAATTTTTTTTTAATGTCGTACAATATTTTAATACTTTTATACTTTTATTTTTTTTATATATTATATTGTTTTTTATACTTTTTCAAAAAGAGAAAATTAAAAAAAAATAAGAATACTGAATTTTTTAAGTTTCTGATTTTAATTTTTTTTTCTCTTTTTGAGCTGAAAATATAAAAGAATCTCGAAAAAAATATTTTTTTACGAATAAATTAATAAAATATTAAGAATATTAGGAATAAATAAATTTTAAAAAAATTTTAATTTAAGATTAAAAATTAAAATTACATAATTATTTTAAATATATTAAAAATATATAAAAATATTGTTCATTTTGTTGGGAAAAAAAAAATTTGAACAAAGAAAGAAAATGAAGAGACGAAAAAAAATTCGAAATTGATCGATAATACTGAATTGTTCACGACAAATTGTTCATTTATTTGGTTTTCGCGCTTAAAAAACTGACTCTGAACACAAATTATCTCTTTAGTATATTTTTTAAATATAGAAATCTAGAGAATCTAAACGAAAGTCTTTTTGTTGTTGGTGTTACGCTTTCCAACTTTGCAAAAAAAAAGAGATTGCACGACTCCTTTTCTCAAGCAACGAAAATATCGCTCTTGGGTCGTTAAATATTTGATCGACTTCTTCTTTATCTCGATTACATTTCATTTCTTCTTCTTTACATTATAATAATAATTATTATAATAATAATAATTATAAATTATTATTTTAATATAATAATTATTATTATTTCGTTATTTAATAGATTAATTCTATTAATTCTATTATTTAGAATTAAGAAATTCCTTTTCAATCGTATAATTAATTAATTATACGAATATTTATGTAATTCGAGATTCTTTTGTAAAGAAAAAAAAAATGTTAAGGCAGATTTTTCTCTTCTCTTTCCTTCAATGTTTGTTCGATGTGTTTTCCGATTTTTCAAATCGGCAATGAAAAAAATTGATTGTCTTGTTTTCATTGGGGATAAAATTGTGAAACGAAAAATAATTCCTCGAGACAAGCACCACCTTCGATTGAATTTCTATTCACAGGCTAATTTACTGTCGAAACTACTGAGCGCAATGGCGAATGCCTGAAGAGCGCACAGGGGAAATCTATAGTCCATTGTGAAAACGTCCTCGGCCACTCGACCAAATTGCATCACTACATAGTCAACTGAAAAAAAAAGAAATTTATACTTTTTTCCAAGAAAAAAAAAAAAAATTGAAAAAAAAACAACTCACCGTCTGTGTCGTGAACAACTTGAAAATTCTTCACCGAAGCTTGCGTGACTCTTCCATGAAAATTGAGAACATACGATTGTGTGTCGTCATTCCAAACTGGAGTTTTATTGTGAAGTTCAATTAAATTGTCCATATTCTTCATTTTATAGCACTCTGGAAAAATTTAAAAATTATTATTATTATTATTATTATTTATATTATTATAGAAGTCAAAAAATAAAAGGAATAAAAAGGAAATACCAAGTAAAGTTTCCGAGTCCTCCTGGGGACAAATTTGAATTCTCCTTTGATCAGGAGTCATTCCGGGAATGATGACAGTCATTTTTCTTGGACCTTTGAAGCCAAGAACATTGGTGTCATAAACAACGGCCGCCAATTCTTGTCGTGGATTCGAGCAGCCCTCGTGTTTATCGTCCTTCATCAATGAATAACCATTATCGTAAACCGTAAATTGTGTTCCCAAAAGATTCGAGCGTAATTTTCCAATGTACGCCTCGCCACCACGCGAAAGATCCGTTGGATCGGTTGATATTAAATAATTACTCGTCTTACTTCTCTTTCGCTTACGTCCGGCTAGTAAAAATACCTGGAGCACAAAAAGAAATGTTTATCTTTAAAGCAAGTAGTTTTTCTTTTAAAAAAAGTAGTTTTCTTTTTTAAAAAAAGTGTTTTTCTTTTTTAAACTGCTTTTTTTTACAGGCCTTGGATCGACTTTAAGGCGCAAAAAAAGTCGCTTTAGTCGATTAAAAATACAAAAAAAAGTGGAAAAAGTCGTTTTATTTAATCCAATGTTGTCACAAAAATTTTATTTTGTCTTTCCCTGACCTTTCACTGATTTCTAAATTCAATCATTAAAAATTTGCATAATTTTCTTAAATAAATATTTAAATACCTACTTCATATTTGTTTTTCTACAAGAAATAAAATTTTTTAAATTTCAATTTAAAACCTTCTAAATAAATTAGAATGGAAGAATTCTAAGAATTTGTTTTTTTCTAAAATATTTTTATATAATTTTTAGAAGAAAATTTTCAATAATTTTCATTTTAAAATTTACAATTGAAGATTTTTCATTGAAATTTTTGAGAATTTAATTATTTTAAAAATTTACAATTAAAATTCATCAAAAGTTGATTTTCAAAAATTATAATAAAATACTTTTAAAAAAATAAACTGTTTTAAATTAAATTTTACAAAATTTCAATTATTACAGACCTCGGAACGACTTTAATTTTTTAAAAATTCCTGAAAATTGGATTTAGACAAAATTTTTATTAAAATTCATGAAAGTAATTGAAGTTTGCAACGAATTTTAATAAAATTCATGAAAATTGAATTTAGACAAAAATTTTATTATAATTTCTGAAAATAATTGAATTTTGCCAAGAGTTTTATTAAAATGATAGATGAATTAGAATTTTAATAAAATTCCAGAAAAAAATTGAATTTTGCAAAGTGTTTTATTACAATTCATGAAAATAATTGAATTTATCAATAAATCTTTTAAAAATTCCTGAAAATTGAATTTAGACAAAAATTTTTATTAAAATTCCTGAAAATAATATTGAATTTTGCAACGAATTTTATTAAATTCCTGAAAATTGAATTTAGACATAAATTTTATTAAATTTTATTAAAATTCATGAAAAAAAATTGAATTTTGCAATAAATTTTTTAAAAATTCCTAAAAAATGGAATTTAGACAAAAATTTTATTAAAATTCATGAAAATAATTGAATTTTGCAACGAATTTTAATACAATTCCTGAAAATTGAATTTAGACATAAATTTTATTCAAATTCATGAAAATAATTGAATTTTTCAATAAATTTTTTCAAAAAATTTTGAAAATTTAATTTAGACAAAAATTTTTATTAAAATTCATGAAATTAATTGAATTTTGCAATAAATTTTTTAAAAATTCCCAAAAATTGGATTTAGACAAAAATTTTATTAAAATTCATGAAAATAATTGAATTTTGCAAAGAGTTTAATTAAAATTCATGAAAATAATTGAATTTTTCAATAAATTAAAAAAAAATCCTGAAAATTGAATTTAGACAAAAATTTTTATTAAAATTCCTGAAAATAATTAAATTTTGCAACGAATTTTAATAAAATTCCTGAAAATTGAATTTAGACAAAAATTTTATTAAAATTTCTGTAAATAATTGAAGTTTGCAAAGAGTTTTATTAAAATTATAGATGAATTAGAATTTTAATAAAATTCCAGAAAAACATTAAATTTGGCGAAGTGTTTTATTAAAATTCATGAAAATAATTGAATTTTGCAATAAATTTTTTGAAAATTCCTAAAAAATGGAATTTAGACATAAATTTTATTAAAATTCATGAAAATAATTGAATTTTTGCAACGAATTTTAATAAAATGCCCTAAAATAATTAAATTTTGCAAATAAATTTATTAAACAAATAAATAATTGAGTTTTTCAAAAATATTTTAAAAATAATCAAATTTTTGATGAATTTTAATTATAAATAATTTCTCAAAAATTCTAAAATAGTAAATTTTAAAAAATTTTAAATTACTTTGTCAGAGAATTACTTTTTTTATAACTATTTTATTATTTTCATTTTTTTATCGAATTTACACTTGAAGATTATTCATTAAAATTTTTTAAAATTCAATTATTTCAAAAATTTTCAATAAAAATTCTATAATATTGTTAATTTTCAAAAATTATAATAATAAAATACTTGAAAAAAAGGATTTATTTTCAATTAATTTTACTAAATTTCAATTATTCAAAATCTTTTTAATTGTATATTTCAAAAATTCAATTAGAAATATTTTTCAAAAATAATTTTCGAAAGATTTATCTTCAGCTATTTTTTATACTGCACGTAAAAATCGAAAAAAGTTGCAGCTTTTTATACTAAAAATATGGTATTTTTTATTTTGTCGCAAAATTTGGAAGAAAAGTCGAAAAAGTCGCAATTTTTTAATATAAATCGATAAAAGTAGCATTATTTGAAAATAGTCGAAAAAAGTTGAAAAAGTCATAATATCCGAGGCCTGTTTTTATTTTAAAAAGTCCTTTTTTTGGAAAAAAGGAAGTAAATTTTTGAAAGGAGAAAATAGACAAAAGAAGGTAAATAAAGAAAGAAAGATAATAAAAACAAAAAAAAATATACAAAAAGAAAAGGACAAAAAACTATAAAGGAATTTTTTTTTTAAATTTAAAAAAACTTTTTTGTAAATTCTATTATGAAATTTTACCTTTTTTCCATAATCGCGCTCCAGGTGTAAAAAGTATGTTGGATAAAATCCACGATCCATTCCTTTGCGATCGCGAGTAATTCGACACTTGTAATGCATTTTTTTATTTGCCGGTTGAAGTACAAATTGCTCAATATTTCCTTCGACATTTCCTTCAGCTTCTGGACTCTGAAATTAGCACATTTTGAAAATTATATTATTCATTTTTATTTTATCATCTATTATTCATTCTTCCTGCACAACAATAATTAAAAAAAAAAAATTTTTGTAACCTTGATTTTGCGGACCAAAAATTAAAAATTACGAACCATTTTATTATTTTTATCAAATGTTTTGAATATTATATAAATTATAATGAAATTCTAATTTAATGTTCTGATGAAGATTAAATTATAACAAAAATTAATTCAACAAAATTATTTTCAATTAAAACTCGTAATTTAATTTCGAATCTGAAATAATTCAATTCTTATAAAGAATTTTATTTGAAAAAAGAAAGTGAAAAATCAAAAATAATAAAGTAATTTTACCCACCGAAGTGAGATTATCTCTGTTAATAACGACAGTTGGCGCATCAGAAGGCGCCACTCTTAAGGGCGATTGTGATGGAAATGATTCCGGATGAGGCTGTAAATCAACAGGTGACGATTCTTCGTCAGCTCCATCGTAAAATGTACCATCTGTGGTTATATCTAGAAAATAAAAACATTAATTTGAATATGAATTTAAAAAAAAGAAAAAAGGAAAGGAGAAAGCACTTTTTTTTTATTTAATTACCAGTTAAATCAGTCTCCATAGTTTTATTTTCAGGCAATAGACCAATGTCTGGATTTCCCGGTGACATTGTAAATTGTAAGGGTCCATCGTATCCTAAAATTAGAAGAAAGATTCTTTTTAAAAAAATTTTTTTTGCTTTTGTTTTTCGCAAATTTTAGTACATAAAAGAAAAAATAAAAAAAATATTAAATTTTAGTATATTTTACGTAAATTTTAAGAATTTGGTGGTAAATTCAAAAAAATAAAAAATGAGAAAAAGACAAATAAAAAACTAATTAATAAAAAATAGGAAAATAACAATTGTTTACCATGAAGTTCCTTATTTGGATTCAGCCACTTTGTCGAGTGACTTGTGAGTTGTGCAGCAGATAAATTAGAAGCTTGAACCATTCCACTGGCACCTGTTTGTCTTTTTTGCTTCATTTTCTGCGCTATCAATTGCCTCTGAAATAATTATTACGAAATAAATAAGGAAAATGGAAATAAATTAGGAAAGTTGGAAATAAATAAAAAAGAAAATGAAAATAAATAACAAAATAAAATTTAAAGAAAGAAAAAATTTTAATTAACAAAAAAAATGGAAATAAATAAAAAAAAATCGATTTAAAGAAAGAAAGAAAATGAAGAAAAAAAAATAAAATTTAAAGAATGAAAGAAAATGTAAATAAATAAAAATGACAATGGAAATAAATAACGAAAATGGAAATAAATAACAAAATAAAATTAAACCAATTAAAAATAAAAATAGAAATAAATAAGGAAAATGGAAGTAAATTAGGAAAATTGGAAATAAATAATAAAGAAAATGAAAATAAATAAGGAAAAAAGAAATAAATAAAGAAGAAAATGAAAATAAATAACAAAATAAAATTTAAAGAAAAAAAATTTTAAATTAACAAAAAAGAAAAAGGAAATAAATAAAAAAAATTCGATTTAAAGAAAGAAAGAAAATAAAGAAAAAAATAAAAATTAAAGAAAAAGGGAAATTTAAATAAATAAAAAAAGTAAATGGAAATAAATAAAAAAATTAAATTTACAGAAAGAAAGAAATTTAAATAAATAAAAAAAATCGAAATAAATAAGCAAAATGGAAATAAATAAAAAAGGAAATGAAAATAAATAGTGAAAATGGAAGTAAATAAAGAAGAAAATGAAAATATAGAAAAAAAATAAAATTAAAATAAATAAAAAAGAAAATGAAATTAAATCAAGAAAATGGAAATAAAGAAAATGTAAATGAATAAAAAAATAAAATTCAAAAGATAGAAAATTTAAATAAATGAAAAAGAAAATGTAAATAAAAGGAAAACGTAAATAAATAGAAAAAGAATTTAATTTAAATAAATAAATAAAGAAAGAAAGTGTAATAAATAAAAAATGTAAATATTTAGACAAAAAACAAACTTTACAATCGCTCGTAAAATATTATATCAGAATCAACATAAATTATCAATAGCAATAAAATTGACCTATTTTTCCAATTAATTGACTCTCGATTCATTTACTTTCTTTAGACTATCGAAATTTATTAAAATTCATATCAATTAAAACTGTTTTCCCCTCTTGGAAAAAAAGTATTTCTCAAAACAAAATTTTCCAAAAAAAAAAAAAAAATTGTCAAAACATTTAACAATTACAAAAAAGAAAATTCATTTCACACAAACAATTGGATTTCGAAACAAAAAAAGAACAATATTGTTCGCAATAAAAGGATATTTTTTTAGAGAAAATAATTTTCTAAGCCAAGGAAGAGAATATTAATTAAAAATTTAAAAGGGCATCGATATAATAATGCGCGAGTGTCTCTCTCTCTCTCTCTTTCTCTCGCGATAAAAATTGCGCCCACACTATAAATAAATAAATATTTTATCCAAATTTTTCACTCACCTGTTGCTCCAATTTTTGTTGTCTTAAATCTAAAGAAGTCATTGTTTTGTCGATTATTTCGTAAATTTTATCATTAAAATTCCACTAATGAAAAATGTTTAAAATGAGTTTGTTTACGTGAAAAGGCATTTGCCGTTGTTCCCGACACCAAGGCAACCGCCTTGAGCACTTTATTTATTAGGTCACATTTTCAAAAGAGAATTTTCCTCAAATCAGAGCGCTGGACTCGTTTCTCTCGGCCAATGAAAATTGAGCATTAAAGTTCAGGGTATATTTCACAATTATCCGAACGTGGACCAATAGGGAGTTGGCTGTCAATGGCATTATGGGAAAATGAAAAAAACGTGACTTTCTGCATAAATGTCAACATAAAAATTATAAATATTTAATTTCAGTGTTTTGTGAATTAATAAAAAAAACTATATAAAATGGGACTTTTTGAATTAAGTTCCTGGGGCGAGGGGGAAATTAAAAGGAAGAGTGAAAAGAAAAAGTCTAAGGTATGTACATTTTTGAACTTTTTTATCATTTTTACAATTGTTCTTATGCTTTCTTTTAAAAACAAATTCTTATATTTGTTATCAAAATTTTTATTTTTAAGTTTCGAAGATAAAAGTTATGAATTATATTATGATTAAATTTCGAGACTTTCGTTATTTTCATTCACAAAAAAAATTCACGAATGACAATTGTTAATTTTAGGTTAGGTTTTCCGGCTTTTTTGTAAAAGTTTTAAAAATCATTAATTAAATATACTTAGCTTACCAAGAAGGTTTCTTCAATTGCATTATGTGATAAAATTTATTTTGTTTTTAAAAAAATAATTATATAAAAAAGAAGAAAATCAATTATTTTCAAAAGTTAGTAGTAAAATTCTTCTCAGAAATTCAATTATATTTTTTTAAATTAGTAAAATTTTCCACAGAAATTCAATTATTTTCTAAAATTAGTAAAATTATTCGCAGGAAATCAATTAATTTCTAAAATTAATAAAATTCTTAATAGAAATTCAATTATTTTCTAAAATTAATAGATTTCTTCACAGAAATTCAATTCTTTTCAAAAACTGATAGATTTCTTTACAAGAATTCAATTCTTTTTCAAAATTAATCAAATTCTTCGCAGGATTCAATTATTTTCACAAATTTTAAATAAAATTCTACTCAAGAATTTAATTACTTTTTTAAAATTAGTAAAAATTTTCACAGGAATTCAATTATTTTTCAAAATTATTAAAATTATTAGCAGAAATTTTCAATTATTTTCAAAAAAATTAGTAAAATTCTTAACAGAAATTCAATTATTTTTAAAAATTAGTAAAATTCAATTATTTTCAAAATATTAATAGATTTTTTCACAAAAAATTCAATTATTTTCAAAAATGAATAAAATTTTTCTCAGGAATTGAAATATTTTTAAAAATTAATATAATTCTTACCAGAATTCAATTATTTTCAAAAATTAAAAAAAAAAATTCTCGTCAACTTTTCAATTATCTTTATAAATAGGAAAATTCTTTGCCGAAATTCAATTATTTTCAAAAATTTTTAATAAAAAATACATGGCAAAATTTTAATTATTTTCAAAAACTTTCCTCAATTCAATGATTTTTAATATTTACTATTTTAATAAAAATTCCTATAAGAATTCAATTGGTTAAAAAAATGTTTTATAAAATTCTACGCAAACAATTTATTTCTTTTCATAAACAATAAAAATTCCACAGGAATTCAATTATTTTAATAATCTTTGCTACAATTTATTTATTAAAATTTAAGTATTATAATTTCGATACATTTTTAATTAAATTTCTTTAAAGAATAAAATTATTTTCAAAAAATTTAATGAAATTTTTTACGTAACAATTAACAATTCAATTTTTTTCAAAATAATTTTAGTAAAATTCTTCGCGAAAATCCAATTATATTTAAAAATTTACAAATATTCTCGTCAAAATTTCAATTATCTTTATAAATAATAAAATTTTTCTCCAAACTTTTAATAAAATTCTTGGCAGAATTTCAATATTATTTTTTATAAAATTTTCATCAAATTTCTCGAAAAATGCAATTATTCTTAAAAATATTATGAAAATTTGTCAAGAGAATTCAATTATTGAAAAATTTGTTGATAAAATTCTTTATGAAAATTCAATTTTTAAAGAAACATTCGATATAATAAAATATTTATTTTTGTATTTAAATAATTGAATTCTCGTATAGAATTTCCTAATAAATAATGATTTAAAAATGAATTTCAAATTTAAAATCTTTGAATTTATTTGAACTTTTTATACATTTAATTACGAATTCTATCGAATTAATTTTTCTTAATAAGTTTAATGGATTTTTTTTTAATTATTTGAAGCTTTTATAATAATTTCTAATATATTTAATTGAAAAATTGCAGAATAATCGAAATTTCGTAAAATTAAATAAATTGTAAACAAAAAAATTTAAAAATTCACAAAGAAGTTTTTCAAAAATTATTGTAAAAAAAATTGAAGAATTTCAGTTGAAAATTTTAGAAATGAAGAATTGAATTGAAATGAAAATAATTTTGAAGAATTTACAGTAACAAGTTTTATAATAATATTCTTTTGTTATTGAATTTCAAATTTTTGATTATCTTAATTTCTATTAGAATCAATTAGAAAAGAAAATATTTATTAAATATTTATTTAAAAATGAAGTTATCGTTAAAAATTTTATTCGTTTCTGAAAATTCTGTATGTTGATGATTATATAAATTGTAAAGGATAAATGAAAAATCAAAATGAATTTGAAATTCTGGAATTTATTTTTTAATTTTTTATATTTAGATATACATTAACCGACACCATATTTCTAAAATTATTTGAATTAACCCATAATAACTACAGTAGTTTAATTAGAAGAAGTACTGCCTGCAAATAAAATTCCAGAAATTTTTATCAGGCACTTTCTTCTTTTGCTTCTTTTTTGGACAGCAAATAATTAATGTCTTCCAGGCAAGGATGCAATTCTATTGAAATTGGTAAACTTATATTCTGATTAGATGACTTGTCTTTGCTCTCAGCGTTATTAATAGCTTGAATAATATTATCATCGATAACAGCAGTAACCTTTTCAACATTTTCCGGTTTCCTGAAGATGCCTACACTTTTTTTATTACTCATAATCTGCCGTAAAAAGTCTCTTGAAACGTTTGACATAACTAAGGTAGAATCTTGTATAATATTCGAATCTAATTTTTTCTTTATAAATTCACGATCGACTAAAATATCTTCAATTTTTTCTGGTGCTCTTGAAATAATAACTGATATACTTGGCAAAAAATCTCTAAACTTGTCATTAAATAAAGTTTCAAGAGTACGTAAAAGCCTGAGAATCTGTCCAATATCATCAGAAATAATGTCATGACAATTGATAACTACAACAAACTTTAGTGATTCGAGACTTCTTATCAAATGATACAAATAAATGGAATTATTCAGATCCTGCAGTGGACCTCTATTGTCCATTAGTGGAGGAGTATCCCAAATCTCCAAATTCTGTAATTCTGTCCTTGTTGATTTCCATTTTGTAGGAATTTTAGTTTTTGATACTGTTCCAGTATAAATTTCTGGACCTGTGGTACTATTGTTAGCTTTTCTCAGTTTTAGGGCTTCATATTTATTTGGTCTGTAAGCTATTAATTCATTGCCTATTAAGTAATTAATTAGTGCTTCTTTTTCACTTCCAACGTCGCCCAAAAAAATTGCCGCATTTCCACTTTGACCTCGAGTTGCTTCCTCCACACTTTTATGCACATCATTAAACAATTGAGTTAGTCCATTTAAATCATCAGAAGTGAGCTTACAGAACTGACTTCTAACAATGGAAACTAGAAAGCAGATTATTGCTATTCTTATCATGATTGATCAACAAGGTATTACAACTTTTTTCCAGTTGATAATTGATATTTAAAAACCCTGAAAAGTAGAAAAACCTTTTTTTGACTATAGACCATTTGAAATTAAAATTCTAATTTCCTTGGGTGCACTATGGGGAATTTTTGATAACAAGTGTGATAAAATCTAAGTGGCATTTAAAATCATATAAAACCTTCTGGAGGTTGTTGTTCTAACTCTTCCGATTATAAGAAAAATAATAATAAATAATTAAAAGAAAACTGATTTTTAACCTGAAAAAGTAATGTCAAAGTTGACTATATGTTTGTAAAAATTTGCAATTGTTATTCAAAAATTCAAAATGACTGATTCAATATGGCGGAAGTATTTTAAAAACTATTTTTTTTTTCAGGCCTCGGATATTATGACTTTTTCGCCTTTTTTCGACTTATTTTCAAAAATTGCGACTTTTTCGACTTTTCTTCCAAATTTTGCGACAAAATAGAAAATACCATATTTTTAGTATAAAATGTTGCAACTTTTTTCGATTTTTAAGCGCAGTATAAAAAATAGCTGTAGATAAATCTTTCGAAAATTATTTTTGAAAAATTTTTTCTAATTTTTTAAACTATACAATTAAAATTTCGAATAATGGAAATTTAAAATTATTTAAAAATAAAAACTTTTTTTCAAGTATTTTATTATAATTTTTCAAAAATTAACTATTAAAGAATTTTTATTGAAAATTTTGGAAATAATTGAATTTTTAAAAATTTTAATGAATAATCTTCAAGTGTAAATTCGAGAAAAAATGAAAATATTAAAATAGTATTGAAAAAAGTAATTCTCCGACAAAGTAATTTAAAATTTTTTTAAAATTTACTATTTTAGAATTTTTTGAGAAATTATTTATAATTAAAATTCATGAAAAATTTGATTATTTTTTAAAAATATTTTTTAAAAACTCAATTATTTATTTGTTTAATACATTTTTTGGTAAAATTTAATTATTTTAAGGAATTTTATTGAAATTCATGGCAAAATTCAATTATTTTCATGAATTTTAATAAAAGTTTTGTCTAAATTCCATTTTTTAGGAATTTTTAAAAAATTTATTGCAAAATTTAATTATTTTCAGGAATTTTAATATAAATTTTTGTCTAAATTAAATTTTCAGGAATTGTATTAAAATTCGTTGCAAAATTCAATTATTTTCATGAATTTTAAAAAAAATTTTGTCTAAATCCAATTTTCAGAAATTTTTAAAAAATTTATTGCAAAATTCAATTATTTTCAAGAATTTTAATATAAATTTTTGTCTAAATTAAATTTTCAGGAGTTTTATTAAAATTCGTTGCAAAATTTAATTATTTTCATGAATTTTAATAAAAATTTTGTCTAAATCCAATTTTCAGAAATTTTTAAAAAATTTATTGCAAGGAATTTTAATAAAAATTTTGGTCTAAATTCAATTTTCAGGAATTGTATTAAAATTCGTTGCAAAATTCAATTATGTTCATGAATTTTAATAAAATTTTTGTGTAAATTCCATTTTTTAGGAATTTTCAAAAAATTTATTGCAAAATTCAATTATTTCCAGGAATTTTAATATAAATTTTTGTCTAAATTTAATTTTCAGGAATTTTATTAAAATTCATTACAAAATTCAATTATTTTCATGAATTTTAATAAAAATTTTGGTCTAAATCCAATTTTTAGAAATTTTTAAAAAATTTATTGCAAAATTCAATTATTTTCATGAATTTTAATAAAATTTTTGTCTAAATTCCATTTTTGAGGAATTTTTAAAAAATTTATTGCAAAATTCAATTATTTTCAGGAATTTTAATAAAAATTTTGGTCTAAATTCAATTTTCAGAAATTGTATTAAAATTCGTTACAAAATTCAATTATTTTCATGAATTTTAATAAAAATTTTGGACTAAATTCAATTTTCAGAAATTGTATTAAAATTCGTTACAAAATTCAATTATTTTCATGAATTTTAATAAAAATTTTGGTCTAAATTCAATTTTCAGGAATTGTATTAAAATTCGTTGCAAAATTCAATTATGTTCATGAATTTTAATAAAATTTTTGTGTGAATTCCATTTTTTAGGAATTTTAAAAAAATTTATTGCAAAATTCAATTATTTTCAGGAATTTTAATAAAAATGTTTGTCTAAATTCAATTTTCAGGAATTTTATTAAAATTCGTTACAAAATTCAATTATTTTCATGAATTTTAATAAAAATTTTGGTCTAAATCCAATTTTCAGAAATTTTTAAAAAATTTATTGCAAAATTCAATTATTTTCAGGAATTTTAATAAAAATGTTTGTCTAAATTCAATTTTCAGGAATTTTATTAAAATTCGTTACAAAATTCAATTATTTTCATGAATTTTAATAAAAATTTTGGTCTAAATCCAATTTTCAGAAATTTTTAAAAAATTTATTGCAAAATTCAATTATTTTCATGAATTTGGATAAAAATTTTGTGTAAATTCCATTTTTTAGGAATTTTCAAAAAATTTATTGCAAAATTCAATTATTTTCAGGAATTTTAATATAAATTTTTGTCTAAATTCAATTTTCAGGAATTTTATTAAAATTCGTTACAAAATTCAATTATTTTTATAAATTTTAATAAAAATTTTGGTCTAAATCCAATTTTCAGAAATTTTTAAAAAATTTATTGCAAAATTCAATTATTTTCATGAATTTTAATAAAATTTTTGTCTAAATTCCATTTTTTAGGAATTTTTAAAAAATTTATTGCAAAATTCAATTATTTTCAAGAATTTTAATAAAAATTTTTGTCTAAATTCAATTTTCAGGAATTTTTAAAAAGTTTATTGAAAAATTCAATTAATTTTGTAAATTTTTAATAAAACACTTTGCAAAATTCAATTTTGTTCTGGAATTTTATTAAATTTCTAATTTATCTATAATTTTAATAAAACTCTTTGCAAAATTCAATTATTTTCAGACTTTTTTTTAAAACTTTTGCCAAATTTAATTATTTTAAGGAATTTATTTAAAATTCATTTGCAAATTTTAATTATTTTTCAAAGATTTTACTAAATTTAAATTATTTTTTAAAAAGATTTTACCAAATTTCAATTTTTTTAATTTTTAATTGTTATGTAATTGTAAAACTATTGCGTCTTTCAAAAATTAATTAGAAATATTTTTAAAAAGTTAATTTTACAAATTTATTTATTAAAATTTTTGAATATATTCTACCTTAATATCTTTAAAAAGAAAAATGAACGGTTTCAATTATTATAAAAAAATGAATTTTTGTATTTAAATAATTAAATTTTATTTCCTGGTGAAAAAAGAAATAAGAAGTATTTAAATATTTTATTTAGCAAAATTATACAAGTTTTGATTAATTGAATTTAGAAATCAGTGAAGAATCAGGGAAATAGAAAATAAAATATTTGTGACAACACTAAATTAAATTAACGTCTTTTTTTCCTATTTTTAATCGACTAAAGTGACTTTTTTTGCGCCTTAAAGTCGATCCGAGGCCTGTTTTTAGCTTATTTTTTAAATCAATAAAATTCACTTGAAACTTGTTACTCGGGGATTTTTGGGGTCACTGATTACGAATATGTAGTCAGTTTTAAAAAATACAAAATGGCTGATCCAATATGGAGGACGATTCTTTTAAAAGTTAATCTGAATTATGTTTCTAATCTAAAAAAATTGAAAATCCTCCTTTTTTGTCAAATTTGTAAACTTTTTAAATGATTGCATATTTATGATTTTTGATTGTGATTTTATGTACAGAACGGAAATAATATTACAAATTGAATTGTTTGAAAATTTCTATAAAAAAAATGCAATTAAAAATTTAATAAACTTATCTTATTCATAAAAATAATATCAGATAACATTGCCTAGAATGTTAAAATTGTTATTTTTAAAAATTACGAGCTTATAAAAGTTTTTACTGAAGGACTGCTACAAATTTACAAAAATATTTCTTAAATTTAATTTTTATTAAAAGTACCAGAAAAAATTAAATTTTTAAATATAGTTTATCAGAAAATCCTCAATTTCTGTGTTACAAAATTGATTGCATAAATTATTCAATTATTTTCAGAAGAAATAAAATTCTTCGCAGAAATTCAATTCTTTTCAAAAATTTTAATAAAATAATTTTCCGAAACAATTCAATTATTTAAAAAACAAATTTTTTAATTAATAAAATAATCTTTAACGTCCGAGATATTCATAAATAAGTGAAAAAAATTTTTTAATAAAATTCATTTGGGTAATTATTTTCATAAATAGGAAAAATTTCACAGGAATTCAATTATTTTCACAAACAATAAAAATTTATCGCGGAATTTCAATTATTTTTAATACAATTTTAATCGAATTCCTCGAAAAATGTAATTATTCTTAAAAATTATATTACAATTAGTTGACAGAATTCAATTATTTAAAAATTTGTTGATAAAATTCTTTATGAGAATTCAATTTTAAGAAACATTCAATTATTCAATTAATTACTTATTATACTTATTTTTTTTACTTCTAATAGAAATAATTGAATAATTTTTAGAAATAATTAAATTTTGAACAGGTTTCAAATTAAAATCTATGAAAATCTGAATTTTTCAAACATAACTAACAATTCTGTGGAATTAATTTTTTTGAGAAAGTTTATAGTATAATTTGATTTTTAAAATGCGGTATTTTCTTACTGTTTTGGTGTCAAATTTTTCTTGTATTTGGTATTCAGGAACAATTAGACGAATGTCAATATTCTTTTGTTTTAAACTCAATGCCACGTAACAGAGATTGAACGTTTCGTATTTGTACCTTTGAAATATCTAAATTTGATTATTTGTTGACCAATAGAAAAAGTACAGATGCAACGAATTCGAATTTGAAGAGAAAAATATTATTTATCAGTGAACAGATATTCTGTTAACCAATAGAAAAATTACAGGTGCAAGTTGTTCAGTTTGGTAGGGAAAAATAATATTTATCAGTGAATGTTTAGAAAGAAGATAAATAAAATATTTTTAAATAAACTTAAATGAATAAATGAAATCAATATATGTTTTAAATTATTTTCAAATATTTTAATAAAATTGTTCAAAATAAATTAATTATTTTGAATAAAATTTGAATAAAATTTTTTTTTTTTAAATAATTCAATTATTTTTTTAGATTTTAATAAATATATATAATAAAATAAGTTATTTTAAAAATAAAATTTATTTTTACAGAAACGAAAAAATTTTCAAGGTTCTCCAAACAAAGGAAAAAAAGAAGAAAATATTTCGAAATCAAAGAAAAAAAAATTTGATCCATCCTTCAAAAATATTTCCATAAATAATCAAAAAACCACAGAATCTCCGAAAAAAGTAAAAAAAATAAAAAGAAAACAAAGAAAAAAACAATTACAGCAAATAAATTTAACAACAAATAATTCTCCGACAATTAATAATAAGAAAAAACAAAAAAAAATATTGTCATCGAAAATTTCACGTGAAACACCATTTCCAATTATTAAAAAAAAATCCACCTTCGTTGGTGTAAAGGGACCAGTTTTGGATAAATTAGAAAATTTAAATAATAAAACAGAAAAAATGTCAGTGAAAAAAAGAAAGTTCAAAAGAAATCGAAGACAAAATTTAGAGGAAAATGAATTAATGAATTCTTCTGTTTCAAAAGAGAAGAAAAAAAAGAAATTTTCGTCTCAAAAAGAAACGATGAATTTTAATAGTCCCAAGAAAATGGTTTTGGGAAAAATGAAAAATGAAAATAAGAAAAAAATTATGGAAAATAGAGGAAAAATGACAAATAAGAGAAATCGATCAGAAATTGAAGGGGAGAAGGAAGAAGTAATTGAGTCAAAAAAGCGAAGAAAGTCGAAGAAAAATAAATCTAATGCGCTCGTAAAAAATTCGGTAAAAGGCAAAAAAAAAAAATTCGAATTAAAAAAATTTTTAATGTTTTACTAATTAATTTAAAATCAGCTTTAACGAAAATATAAAAATATTTTTATTATATAAAAAATTTTCGAATTTTCCTTCTAAAAAGTATACAATAAAGAATAAATCTAATCTACTGTATATAAAAAAAAATCGAATTCTATTTTTATTTACATTAAAAATAATTTAAGAACGTTTTCTTTACAAAAAGATAAAAAAAAATTCGAATTTTATTTTCATTTACACTAAAAATAATTAAGGAAGGTTTTTTTTTTTTAACAAAAAGATAAATATTAAAATTAAGTAGATTTATGAAAAAAAGAATTAAAAAATCCTCTCATAAGATTTTTTAATTTTTTTTTCTCTCTCATTAAATTTAAAATTCTTTGTCTTAAAATTAAATGTATATAATTTTTTTCATTTCATTTCAGGGCAAAAAGAGTCAATTAAATAAAAAAATAGATGTGAACACACTGAAAGGAATGTTGATGGATAAAGAGGAAGAGAAGAACAAACCAAATTGGGAAAATTCATCGTCAACATTGAGAGAGAGAATGATTGCCCAACTTCGTTCGTCGAGATTTCGCTTTATCAATGAAACTTTGTACAATAATGCGAGTTTCGAATCAAAGAAATATTTCAAAGACGATCCTGAAGCCTTCGACGCTTATCATAAAGGTTTTCAGCAACAAGTCGATAATTGGCCTTTGAATCCTGTCGATATTATTATAGAATCAATCAAAAAATGGTAAGTAAATTTTTTTAAAAATATTTTATGACTTTTTCGACTTTTTTCGACTATTTTCCAAAAATGAGACTTTTTTCGACTTATTTTCAAAAATTGGGACTTTTTCGTCTTTTCTTCCAAATATTGCAACAAAACGCCACATTTTTAGTATAAATTTGCAAATTATTTCGATTTTTCTAGTGTGAAAAATAACTATAGAAAAATAATGAAAATTAGCTTTTCAAAACTAATATTAAAATTTTTTTCATTATAAATTTTTAAAATTCAATTATTTTCAAGATATTTTTAAAAATCAACGTTTTAGAATTTTTAAATTTACATTTTTGATAATAATTGAATTCACAAAAATTTTAATGAAATACTTTCAAGTGTAATTTTTAAAAATGAAATTTAATGAAAATTAGCTTTTAAAAATTATATATAAATAGTTTTTAAAAAAAACTAATTCGTAGAATTTTTTTATTCTAATTTTTTGAAATTTAATTATTTTTAATTACGTATTTCCGAAAATTCAAATACATAAAAAAAATAATAATAATATTAAAATTTTTAAGAATTATTCTTAACATTTTGGATGAGAAATCAATCATGATTAAAACTTTTATTTCTTTTTTTAAATTGAATTATTTTTTAAAGATTATAACAAATTTTTATCAAACAATTTCAAAATAATTAAAATCATTTCAAGGATTTGATCAAAAAATTTGAGAATTATTGAATTTTATCGAAGAATTCGAATAAAATTTTTGAAAATAATTAAATACTTCTCAGAATTTTAAAACATTTTTCTAAAATAATTAAATTCATGTCAGAAGTTTAATTATAATATAGAAAATAATTAAATTCTTCTCAGAATTTTATTACTTTTTTCTAAAATAATTAAAATTAAATTGATTCACAAGCCTCGGATATTATGACTTTTTCGACTTTTTTCGACTATTTTCCAAAAATGAGACTTTTTTCGACTTATTTTCAAAAATTGGGACTTTTTCGTCTTTTCTTCCAAATATTGCAACAAAACGCCACATTTTTAGTATAAATTTGCAAATTATTTCGATTTTTCCAGTGTGAAAAATAACTATAGAAAAATTATTCAAAAATTATTTTTGAATAATTTTTCAAATTAAATTTTCGAACTACATATACAATTAAAATGATTTGGAATAAAATTGAAATTTTGTAAAATTTAATTGAAAATAATTGATTTTTGTCAAATAATATTATTACAATTTTTGAAATTTAATTAAAAATATTCAAGTGTAAATCTATGAAAATGAAAATTAATGAAAACTTAGCTTTTAAAAACAAATATTAAAATTTTTTTTTAAAAAAGGTCATTCTTAGAATTTTTTTTCATTATAAATATTTAAAATTCAATTATTTTCAATATTTTTAAAAATATAATTCCGAAAATTCAAATAAGCTACAAAAAAATAAAACAAACGTTAAAATTTTTCAGAATTAATTTTAACATTTTGGAGAAAAGAATTTTTGTAAAAATTTTTAATCAAAATTCTTCAAAAAATTACTTATTTTTTTTTAAATTATACATAAATTCTTTTAAGAAATTCAATTATATTCGAAAAATTACATTAGAATATTTTTAAAAAAATAATTCTTAGAATTTTTTTTATTATAAATTATTATAAGATTTACTTATCTTCGAATAAAGGAAATTAAATTTTGTTTCAATTTACTTCTTTAGATTCTTATTAAAATTTCGTAAAAATCATGTTTTTTTATCTATAATTAAAATTCTTCATAAATTTGATTATTCATTTTATATTTTTCAAAAAAATTTAATTATTTTTAAAAGATTTTTACAAATTTCAATTATTTTTCAATCGATTTTACCAAAATTCCATTTTTTTAAAAACATTTTATCAAATTTCAATTAATTTTAAAAGATTTTACCAAAATTCAATTGTATGAAAATTTTTCAATTGTTTTTGTAATTGAAAGACTATCTATTATCTTTAAAAAATTTGTTTAGGAAATTGAAGTAAAAAAGTGTAATTATATTTTCAAAAACCTAATTATTTTCAGTAATGAAAATTCTTCATTTTTTAAAAAAAAAATATAATTTTTCTAACAGTTTTTCATTAAATTTAAAAAAAATTAAGAATTATTTAAACAACTCGTGTAGAAATCACATTTAAAATTTAATTATTTTCCAAATTTTCAATTAGAATTCTTCAAAAATACGATTATATTTCCGAATGATTTTTAAAAGTAAACAAATGAAATTTAATTAAAAAACAAAATTTATTTTAAATAAATTTGCAAAAAATTTCAATAATTGTTTAAATGTGTTAACATTATTTTCGGAAATAGAATTATTTTTAAAAAAATGTTAATTACATTTTTTCAAGATACAACTTTTTTCGTAATTTCTAAATTAAATTATTCAAAACTTCAACAATTTTTGTTAAGCAAAAATTTGAAAACTTATTATTTTTCCACAGGAATTAAAATTTAAAATGATTTCAGTAAAAAAACCTTTTGAAATTTAATTATTTCTGAAAATTGCAACTGTAATTCTTCCAAAATTCAATTATTTTTTATAATTTATAATTTTACTTGAAAAATGTGGGTTTCAATATTTTTATATATTTATTTTTATCTTTCAGTCCGAAAGATTACATTGTAGCCGATTTTGGCTGTGGGGAAGCAAAAATCGCGGAATCAGTTTCTCAAAAGGTGCATTCCTTCGATTTTGTGGCGATGAATGATAAAGTTACAGTTTGTGACATGGCGCACACGCCTCTTTTGAAAAGTGGAGTAAACATCGTTGTTTTTTGTTTATCACTCATGGGAACGAATCTCAACGATTATTTACTGGAAGCAAATCGTGTTCTCAAAAAAGGGTTTGTTTTTTTTAAATAATTAGTAATTATAATTAAAATAATTTGAATTTTCCCATTAAAACCTAATTTTTTAAAATAATTTCAAAAATTAGTAATTCTACAAGATTATTTTTTGTAGAAAAAAAAAATTTTGCATTTTGAATCACAATTACAAGCCTCACATATTTCTTTAATTTATTGTCCATTTTTAAGATTTTTGAGATTAAAATTTATAAAAATAATTATTTTAGGGGAATCATGAAAATTGCAGAAGTGGAAAGTAGATTTGAGAATATCGAGGACTTCATTAAATTAGTCACAAATTATGGATTCGTCAACACATGGTCGGATCTCTCGAATGATTTATTCTACTTTTTGGATTTTAAAAAAGAGAAAGATCTCGAAAAGGGAAAATCGAAACTCCCTGCAATTGAACTCAAACCCTGTTTATACAAAAGACGGTAATAATCGAAAAAAAATATTAATGACATGGATTTTTAATTCTTTTTCTCAAAGAAACCAAAATTCTTTTTGTTTGTACAAAAAAGTGATTTTAAAAATGATTTTCTAAAAATATTTTTTAGTTTCATAAACTAAAAACTAAAGGAATTTACATTGTACAATAGAGTAAGAAATATAGTTTTAAGTAAAAATGTAAATAGAATTACTTAGAAAATGTTAAACTGAATAAGTAGATAATAAATTGAATTTTAAGTAAAAAAAAAATTAATGTCTATTTTCTAATTTTATATATTATGTAATTGAAAAATTTCTGAAGAATAAAAAAAAGAAAAAAAAAATAAATTAAGAAAAAAGACAATTAACTGATAAATTAAGTGAATAGTAAATATAGTAATTAACTTTTAAAAAATTGTTGATTAAAATTTTCGTGCTTTGTACCACAAATCGTTCGATCTTAATATATTTTAAATTAACATCAAAAACGCAAAGTGGAATTTAATCTTCGTGACTGCTTAAACAATTTGCCAATCTCGATACAAATTGCTCTGAAAGACACGATATCGTGAAAAAAATAAATTTTATTTTCAAAAGGAAATTATTTTCTATCGCAAACAATTTTTTTTACTTTGATAATATTTCAAACTTAAAATATCTAAAGAATATTTTCTTAAATATTTTTTTAAAAATATTTTTAAAAATATTTTTAAAAATATTCTCTACTTATTTCAATTTTTTCTTTAGATTATTTTTACCCCTCACTTAATTTTTCCAGTCTTTGAAAATTATTTTGTTTCCTTTCAAAAATTAAACTTTAAAAAATAACAATAATAATAAAATAATAATAATAATAATATTATTAATATTTAATATTTTAAATAATAATACTTTTAAAAATAATGTCAACTTCACAGTAACGCACGTTTTTTTTTCATTTGATGTTTTTTTTTATTTATGTAACAAAAATACTTTTTAAAGAATCAAACAAATTCTCTGCAATTTTTAAATGTACAGAAAATGAAATTTTTTTCTTCGTAATTAACAGTAATTATTAATTAACAAGTAAGAATCACAAGTAAAAAATTATATGAGAGAAAAAATATTCTTAATTTTTTCTTCCCTTTTTTTAAACATATTTTAAATTTAAATACTTCAGTCTTTGGATTGATAATCTATTCCTGAGGGTTAGATTTCTTATCTTAATTATTATTCAAAACTGTCGTCGAACAAAAAACTGAGATCACCTCTATGAATTAAACCCTCTTGTGCCTCTGCAGCTTTGTCTCGACATGTTTCCACGATTTCAATAATCAAAAGCTGAAAAATAAAATAATTATTAAAAAATATTAATAAAGTATTGGAAGATTTGAGAAAAAAAAATTTGTTTTCAAATAGACTTGGAAAATTAATAACTTTCACTATTAACGACAATTACGTTGGCGGCAGCGATTATTTGAACGGCCGTTTGTCGAGGTAAATAGGAAATTTGTTTTACGAGCTCTTGGGGAGTTGCGTTTGCAATTGATGTCACTGTTTGAAAGCCCGCTTTATACAATTGTCGGGCTCTCACCTGAAAAAAGTGGAATAATTCCAAAAATTAGAATTTTAATTTTTGAAAATATTTTTAGATTAAAAAAAAAAAAAAAAAAAATGTAAAATATTAATATATAAGTGTATAAAACTAAAACTATGAAAATATAGAAATAAAACTATAAAAATTTAGAAAAATATAAAAATAAAAAAATATAAAAATAAAAAATATAAAAAATAAAAATATATAAAAATATAAAAATAAAAAATATTAAAAATATTAAAAATAAAAAAAAACGTATAAAAATAAAATATAAAAATAAAACTAAAAATAGGTATAAAAAGGAAAAAATAAAATATAAAAAATATGATCTCGAAAATGTAAAAAATAAAAATTAATAGAAAAATTAAAAAAAAAACAAAAAGCAAAAAATATAAAATATTTATAAATAAAAAAATAAACGGTAAATAAATTAGAATTGAAATAATAAAAGTAATTCATGAACAATTAATTACCAATTGAACGTAAGGCAATTGCATTAAAGGTTCTAATTCTTCAGGACAGCAATATTCAAGTCTTCTGCTAAACGTCGTCACTAAATCTTTAACTGTCCAAAACTCGGGTAAATTCTAAAAAGGAAAAACGTCGTTTAATTTAGAAATTAAAAACTCTAAATTTTACTAATAACAAATTCAAGAATAAATTTTACAAAAAAAATTAATTAAAAAATAATAAAATCAATGGTAAATAAATATGTAAAAGAAAATTTAAAAAATAAATAAAGATAGTAAAAACAATGGTAGTTAAAATTAAAAATGTTAGTTAAAATTAAAACAAGTTAAAAAATTATAAAATTTTAGTAAAAACAATGGTAAATAAATATGTAAAAAAGTAAAAGTAAATTTACAATAAAAAATTTTAAAATAGTAAATACGTAAAAAAGTTAAAGGAAATTTACAATAAGAAATTTAGAAATAGTAAATACGTAAAAAAGTTAAAAGAAATTTACAATAAAAAATTTTAAAATAGTAAAAACAATGGTAAATAAATACGTTAAAAATTAAATTATAAATAGTAAATACGTAAAAAAAAATAAAAATAAATAAATAGTAAATACGTAAAAAAAGTAAAAATAAATAAATAGTAAATACGTAGAAAAAGTAAAAATAAATAAATCGTAAATACGTAAAAAAAAGTAAAAATAAATAAATAGTAAATACGTAAAAAAGTAAAAAATAAAATTACAATAAAAATTTTTAAAAAATAATAAAAACAATGGTTAATAAATACGTAAAAAAAATTTAAGTAAAAATAAATTAATAGTAAAATCGATGGTAAATATGAAAAAAAATATATTAATAATTAATAAAGCAAAAGTTGAAAATAAATTTTCCAAGGCGATTGAAAAAAAAAATAAGCGAAATACGAAAGTGGAAAATAATTACATCACAAAATCGAACGACTGATGAAGCAAAAGTGGCGGCAGAAGTTAAGAGAAATTGAATTGTCCCTCGATTCACTTGATATTTGTCAGCAACGTCATGAACGGATTTTCGCTGCCACAATTCTTGTAGCATCAAAGTTATGTAAAATCTTTTAACAATTCTCTCAGGAACATCCTGAAATAAAAAAGAAAAAAAAAATTAGTAACTCACTTTTTGTTTCTATTTTCTTTAATAATTATATAGAAGGAAAAGCTAATAAATTTAATTAAAAAATTATAAAAGTAAACCTTGGGTAATAATCCGGACATTAATTTACAAATGCTGGCCTCCGTAATTCCGATTCGTCTCGCAATATTCATTTGATATTTATCTAATTTAATTACCTGAAAAATGAACAAACTGAGACATTTTGCGTTTTTATATAAAAGATAATTATTTTCAATAATTTAAATAATAAAAATTAAATATAAAAATAAATAAGTTTAGTTAAAATATTACTGCGATTTTAAAAATGAAGTTAATTCTTCACCACCTATTAAATACATAATAAAAAAAATAATATTTTGTTTTATACAAATTAGGAAGAATTTAATTATTTTCAACAAAAAATTATTTTTTATTGCAAAAAAATTTTACTATAATTAGTTTCAAATCCTTTAAAAGAATTCAATTATTTTTATAAATTTTTAAAAATAAATGTTTACAAAAATTTCATAACGAATTAAAAGAAAAAAAAATTGAATTCTTTCGTGAAATTTTATTGAAAGCAATTGAATTGTTTTGAAGGATTTTTAATCTTTTGTTGAAAATAATTGAATTTTTGCAAATAATAATAATAATAATAATAATAATAATAATAATAAAAATAAAAAATGTAATAAAAAATAAAAGAAATGTGTAATAATAATAGAGTATTTTTACCACTTCGGAATAAACAGATCCTGAAGGATTGACAACTTTTGTCAAATCGTAAGGAGTGACTAAATACAAAAGATGAAGAGTGTCGTCGAGAATAACAGAACGCTGAGCCTCCTTTAAATCATCGTATAAATCGTAAGCCACCGGTAAATCGATACAAGCTAAAATAAAATTATTAATTTCATTATTAATTTAAAAGTTTATCAAATACGGAAATTTAACAAAAAAGATTTTCAAAAAACACATTTTTAACACTTTTTAAAAAAAAAAAATTTGAGTTTACAAATTTTTTTTCAAGTATTTTTTTAAAAAAAGTTTCAATAAAGTTTTCGTCTTAAAGAAAGCGTTAAAAGAAATATAAAAATGTTTGTTTAAAAAATAAGAAAAAAGTTTTTTGAGAAAAAGTTTAAAAAATAAAGAAAGATTTTTTTAGGAAAAAAATATTAAGAAATAAGAAAAGAGGATTTTAAAAAAAATGTGTTAAAAATAAAAATAAGTTTCGTTTGAAACAAAAAGAATGAAGAAAGAACCTTTCATTGCGGCTTTTCCCAAAGGACTCAAATCCAATTCAGTGTCATCATTAATTTCCTGGCATTCTTTTAAATCTAATTTCGTTCCACTGTTATTTGTGGCAATTAAAATTTCTTTCTCTAAAAGACCATTTATTGTCCTCTCAAGAATCTCATCGATTTTGATGCACAATCGTTTCTCTTGTAATTTCATTAGACTCCTGTCAATAAGCATTTTCAATCTAGCTTTTGTCGTCGCTATTTTCAATAATACAGAACTAAGTATCAAATTATTGAGACCACGATCTTGTTCAGTGTGAAGTGAACTTAAAATGTCTTCTATTTTCGCTGTCACTAGAGTTCTTATCTAAAAATTAAGAAAGTTTTTTTAATTCAACAATTTATAAATAATTAATAATTGTAAAAAATAAATATTTTAAAAGTGTAAAAATAATTTTCAATACCTTCGGAATGTCTTCTGCTTTACAAATTACAATACTTTCTCCAATTTCGTTCATTCCTGCTCTTCCTGCTCTGCCAATCATTTGTTTATATCGACTCGTATTTAGAAATTCAGTTCCAATGTAAGGGGATCTCAGTAACACCTAAAAATTCCCGTTACACTTTAATCTCAAAATTAATAAATTTCATGCAAAAAATGTTTTTAATTTCAATATTTTTAATTTTGGAAAAATTCTCAATTATACTAATTTTAATTTTTAAATTTCTCAATTATAATATTTTTAATTTGAAAAAGAAATTTTTAATTTAAAAAATTTCAAGTTAAAATTTTTAGTTTAAAAACTTCTAAATTAGAAAATTTGTTAAATATACTAAAAAAAAGAGTAAAAATTGAAAAGAAATAAAAAATTCAAATTATGTTAAAGGAAGCAAAAATAATTTTGTCGTAACATTTGAAGAGAAATAAATAATAAAATTACAAAGAAAATTAATGAATATTCTAAATGGGAAAAAATACGAACTCTTCTTGCTGGTAAATTGACACCGGCGGCTAAAGTTGAAGTACAACAAATAACGCACAACGTTCCACTTCTAAATGCATCTTCAATTAATTTCCTCTCCTCAGCAGTGAGTCCCGAATGATGATAGGCAACTCCGAATCTTATCGTTTTTCTTAAAACTGGACAAATTCTTCCCTCCTGGCCTAAGGCTGACTCTAAATACTGTTTCGCCTCTTTATTATGTTCCAGTAAATTTCTGTAAACAGTAAACTATATTTTTTTAAAAATGTCGCATTATAACAGAAATTAATTTCTCTTTTAAAAATTTAAAAAGCAGTAGAATTTTTTAATTTTTTTTGCAAATGAATAATGAAATTCATATTATTTACTTTTGTTATTATAAAAAACAAAAACAAAAGAGAAGTTTTTATTTTTATATTTTAATTTGAAATTGAAAAACATGACATTTAGAATTAGAAATAATATGAAAACTCAAAAATATGCCATGGAAAATTAAAAATATGTAAAATTAAATTTTTCTGTTTCAATTTTCAATCTTTTTAATAAAAATTAATTTTGTATTTTAATTTCTTTTAATAAAGAAGTAAATTTATTTTTTTAAGTGAATATTTTACCTGAATAAAACTTTCGTCAGTAATTTTGCAACGTTCTCGCAACCTTTACGATTCGAGCAAAATATTAAACATGAATCATTTGGTACTATTTCATTAACTAAACCACCGATACAATCAGGATCGATTGTCAACGCTTCCTTCGAATAATACTACAGAAATAGAAATAAAACAATAATAATAATAAAAAGAATTATAATAATAATAATTATAAAATTATGAAAATATAAATAAAATAATTCTAATAAAATAATAATTATTATAAACATAATAAACAGAAAAAAGTTTTTCAAAAATTAATTAAAAAAATTTACCGGATACGCTTTGACTTCCTTGCTCGTGAAAATTTCCTCCGATTTCTTATCAATTTTACACATTTCTGAATTACACTTAACATACTCGTGAATTTGCACAGGTCGAAAATTATCTTCATATAGATCGGCATTTAAAAATTTTGCAATTTCTTTTGAATTTCCTATCGTTGCACTCATACCGATTATGTGAATTTTCGCTGAAAATAAAAGGCAAAAATTTACCGCCAAATCTACATTTACAAAATTTACATAATAAAGCAGAGTAATTGTTAAAATTAATGAAAAAAAAAGATAATACTAAAAATAAATATTTAAAATTAACTGCTACTTCGAAATTTAAAATATTTATTAAAAAAGAAAGTGAATAGAATTTTCAAAAACGAAAATGAAACTTAAATAATTATTTTAAAATATAATAAAAATATAATAAAAATATATAAAAAAGAAATATAAATAAAATGAGTTAATAATAAAATTATTTTAAAATATAAATAAATATATAAATAAAATAAAAATATACAAAAAATAAAAATAAAATGAGAGAAAAGGTCTCGGATTGACTTTAAGGCGCAAAAAAAGTCGCTTTAGTCGATTAAAAATACAAAAAAAGTCGATAAAGTCGCAATTTTTGAAAATAAGTCGAAAAAAGTCGCATTTTTTGCAAATAGTTGGAAAAAGTCGAAAAAGTCATAATATCCAAGGCCTGAGTGAATAATAAAATTATTTCAAAATATAATGAATCAAAAATAAAATTTAAAAAGGAAATTGTTGCTTAAAATAAATATTAAAGATAATAAGTAAATATAAAATTTCAAAAGGAAAATTAAGACTTAAACGTGGTAAATAATTATTTTTAAAAACAATAATTATTTTTAAAAAACAATAATTACCGTTAACAAACATAATTTTTGTTAATAAACCCTCTAAAGTTGCACCTCGGCCTCCATTATCTCCAAGTAAATGTAATTCATCAACAACGACAGTTCCAATCTTAAAAAAAAAGTTATCAAAAATAAGCAAAAATAGTTTAATTTCTATTTAAATTGTCAATTAAAGTGGATAATAAATTAAAATAATTAATAAGTACAGATAACAATAAATAACAAAATAATAAATAATAAATAAATAACAAAATAATAAATAATAATAAATAACAAAGTAATAAATAATAAATAAATAACAAAATAATAAATAATAATAAATAACAAAATAATAATTAAATAATAAATGATAATAAAATAATACTTGAAATAATAAATAACAAAATAAAAAAATAAAAATAATAAAAAAGAAATTTTTTAAAATCCAAGAAAAAAATTAAGAGTGAATAGAAAAAATGAGAAAAATAAAACATAGAAAAATCTATAAAAGCGAAGAATTTTTCTGGTCTTGGAAAATTAAAATTAAAATAATAAAGTGGAAGTTTTTATACCTCATCGAGACGATTTTCTTCTATTAAATAATTGACAACTCCCAATGCTTTTTCAATTGTACAAATATAAATACTATTCTTTTTTCTACGTTTCTTAATAGGATACGCTCCCTTTCCGGCTGCGTATTCTTCTATTAAAAATCCCATATCGAGTCCAAATGTTGACATTGACTGAACCTACAATTTTTTTACAAAACAGTCCCAAAAATTTTGAATTAATAAAAATGGATTTTAAAACTGCTTTCCTCATCAGTTCAATATTTTTAATTTCTTCCAAAAACCTATTTTTTTCTCTTTATAGAGATTTTACAAAAAAATCATAAAATAAATAAAAATCTGAAATTTTTTTAACGAAAACTGAAAAGAATTTTTATTTAAAATTTAGAAAGAATTGCAAACGAAAAAAAATTCCTTTTTTTAAAAAGGAAAAATTTTAACAAATTTAGCTACACATTAAAAATTTGGTAAAAGAAAATTTGGTAAAAAAAAAATTTGGTAAAAAAAAAATTTGGTAAAAAAAAAATTTGGTAACAAAATTTTTTTTTTAAAAAGGATTAAGTGAAAAAAAATTGTCTTTAATTTAAATTACTATTTTTTTAAAAGAGTTACCTTCTCCTGAACAATCGCGACATAAGGAAGAACAAATATAACATTTTTTTTATTGCGCACGAGTTCTCTCAGCATTAAAATTTCAGCAACTAAAGTTTTTCCACCGCTTGTCGGCAGTGAGTAAATCAAATTTTTCCTAGTTTTTATTGCCTCTAAATTAAGACACTCTTGTTGCCAAGCTACGAAAATTCAATAAATAAAATGAATAAAATGAATAAAATGCAAAATATAAATAATAAACAGTAAAATAAAATTTAAAAAAGAGTAAATAAAAAATTAATAAAATAAATAGAATAACATTAACAGGCTTCGCACTTTTGTTATATAATTGAAAACATATTAAGAAAAACTTTTTATATTATAAGATTTTTTTCAACTTCTTCAAAATTATTTTCATCATTTCAATTTAATTATTATTTTCTAAAAAATTCAACGAAAATTATTTTTTAAATTAATTATTTTTAATTATTTTTGAAAACGTACTTTGAGAATTTTCCAATTCATTTGTTTACAATTCAATTTTAGGAAATTTTAATTATTTGGAAATTCTTCAATTATTTATTGGAAAATAAAAACTTGAAATAAATTCAAAAAAAAATTCAATTAAACTATCAAAAAAAAAAAAAATTAATTCCCCAAAATTGTTAGTTAAAATTAAAAGGATTAAAAGTATGAAAAAATCAAATTTCAAATCAAAGATTTTAATTTTTGAAACATTTTCAAAATTCAATTATTTCTAAAAATTCAGACTATAATACTTTTCATATTCAATTATTATACAAAAATTTTCACCTAAAATTATTAAATCAATGTTTATTAAAAAAATTCTACGAGAATTCAATTATTTAAATAGAAAAATAAATAATTTATTCAATAATTTTGAATGTTTCTTAAAATTAAATTCTTTACACGAATTTTAATAAAATTTTTAAGAAAACATTTTTCGAAGAATTCGGTAAAAATTGTATTAAAAATAATTGAATTTCTGCGATGATTTTTTTTATTATTTACAAAAATGATTGAATTCCTATAAAAATTTTTATTATTTATGAAAATAATTAAATGTTTAAGTACAATTTTTCTAAAAAAAAAACTTTTTTAATTGAATTCTTTTTAAAATTTTATTAAAATTTATTGAAAATCATTGAATTGAGAAAAATTGTTTTTCAACTTAATTTTTTTTTATTTTTTGAAATTTGCAATTTGAAATTTAAAAATATAAAATTGAGGAAAATAATTGAAATTTTACCAAGAATTTTATTAATATTTTTGAAAATAATTGTATTTCTAAGGAAGAATTTTATTATTTGTAAAGATAATTGAAATTTTGATAAGAATTTTTTTTAAATTTTTGAACGTAATTGAATTTTCGTGAATTTTTTATTTTTTATGAAAATAATTAAATAATATAGAATTTTATCAAAATTTTTTTAAATAATTGAAATTTTAACGAGAATTTTATTAAACTTCTTGAAAATAATTGAATTTCTGCGAACAATTTTATCAAATTTTTTATTTAATAATTCAATTGTTTTGAAACATTTTATTAAAATTTTTCATATTTGAAAATCATTGAACTGAAGAAAAATTTTTCAAAATAATTGAAAAATTGACAAGAATTTTATTAAAATTTTTTAAAATAATTGAATTTTTGAGAAAAATGATAAATGTTTAATAGGCGAGTGCGAAGCCTGAATTAAAAAAAAATAACTAAAACAGATAAAAAAAAATTTAAGAACATAGAAGAAAAATAATTTCATAAAAAACGAAAAAATTATTAAATACCGTAAAGTTCATCGATTCCTTTATATTTTTTGAATAAATATTTAACTTTTTGCGGAAGACCATAAAACGAATCGTCCAGTTGACTGTTGATTGCATTGCGACCATAATTTGCCGACAATTCATGAATAAATGAACTATTAATCACTGAAAGTATTTCAAATTCAGTTGGTTCAACTCTTTGAACGTTATTATCATTTTTCTGTCGTTTCGACGATGGACTCTTGCAGATCTGAGAAATTGCCGTGATATTGTCCTCATCATCGTTATTTTTTTCATTCAATTCATCGAAATTATTAAAAAATGTATTATCTAAATGAAGAAGCGATTGTGCGGTAATTCCGGACAATTGAGACGAAACTGGCGATAAAGTGCTTGAAGTACTGCCATAACTTCCTCGATTATTTGGTTCTCTCCATGAACTAATTTCTTCATCTTTACTCGACATTTTCTCGAGATTTTTAAGATTTTTTATGTTTCAACTAGAGGAAAATTCATTTTTAATTAGAAATTAATCAAAGAAATTTAATTTATCAAAATTTCTTTTTATATTGAAAAAAATGATCATTTTATAGATATTTTTTATTATTGAACATTAAAATTAAATTATTCAAATTATTATAATTATTTATTATATTGAAATTATAATTTATATAATTTTATTTAATTTGTACAATTTATTAAAATTATATAAAATATAATTTAAAGAATTTTTAATAATTTATAAATAATTTTTTAAAATAAATACTTTACGGGGAAAAATGTAAATTTTAGAGTAATTTTCAATTTATTGAATTCTTTTCAAATTTTTTTGTAACGAATTAAGAAAAAAAATTGAATTTTGTCGAAGGATTTATTCAAATTTTAGAAAATAATTGAATTCTTTTGAAATATTTTCTAACGAATTAAGAAAAAAAAATTGAATTTTGTCGAAGGATTTATTCAAATTTTCGAAAGAAAAATTGTATTCGTTCGTGAAATTTTCTTTTAAAAAATAATTGTATTTTTGCAAAAAATGTTACTATTCATAAAAATAATTGAATTCCTAATTATTTATGAAAATAATTGAATTTTTGCGAAGAATTTTATTAAAATTTTTGAAATTAATAAACAGAAATAATTATAGTAAATTAGTTAATAATTGAATTTTTTAGTTTGAATCTGAAATTATTAAAAAATTCATATTTTGAAAATAAAAAATTTTTTAATTTGCAAAATAATAATAAATGGAATATCACGTTCCGCGCTCGTAACATTTGCTAGTTAATTAATAATTATTATTAAGTATAATAGAACTCGTAGAACTTTAGTGATGTATTTACAAATAGTATTATTTTAAACGTATACAAAAATAAAAATTCATAAATTCATAAGAAAGACTGTTAGCCTGATGAGAACGCAAAGTTATTAATAAAGTTTTCAGTCAGAAAATTAAAAAACAAACAATTATTTGTAATTTATCACGTGATGAAAATTTTGAGGTTAACTTACCGTCATCAACTGGAGAAAATCAAAAAATACGGAAAATACATTATCCTGTTATTATTTGTACAGTAATTGGGTAAATAATAAGTTGAAACGAAACTATAAACAGTAATTATTATTGTAAAAAAAAGAGCAAATGTCGCAAAAGTTGTCGGCTTTGTGAATTTTTTTGTAAATAAATTTTTGAAAGCTTTTTAAACTGTCAACCGCTCAATCGACAAATGTAAACATACAATAAGCAAGGTTGGGTAGTGCGAAAGGTAATTCGGCAACAAAACCTTAAGCTCGTTTCACAGGGTATTGTAGTTCACGTCCGAGAGTGAGAGGTGTAAATTCACCCTTACACTTATTCTGGACCGTGACTACACAACCTTGCTGTTCTCGTGATCAACAGCTGAACAGCAGAACAACTTTAGTTTGACAATTTCAGACAATTTGCTGGTCGTTAAATTGAGAAATATATTGGAATTCATTTGTATGGTAAGTAGTAAAAATTATTAAACCATAATTATAATATTCAAAAGAGAAAGAAAACCCTGCCTGCCAAAAGCGTAGACTGAAATTGTACTGTTGAGAGTTCAGTGCAATTTCAGTACAAATTTGCTGCATATTTGTACTGAATTTGTACTAGGAAAAATTACTTGCAAAATGGGCGCTACAGATGAATATTTCTTTGTTAATTAATGTTAAAAATAATTTTTGTCCAACGCCTGCAGTTGAGATTTCCAATTAGAATCATTGACTTACTTCCTAACTTATCTGCTTACTTACTATAATATGATTTGTTGACATAACCTACATTTGAAACTATATTATTAAAGGACTTTCAAAATGTTAATTCGAAATATGTTATTGGGGGTATTAATTTAATATACTTATGAAATTATCTCTTTCAGGTGTTAACTTTGGAAGCAGAGGACAAAAGATTCTTTAGAAATTAATAAAATTATGGAGAATAAGGCAATTAATGTTTTAAAATTAGAAAAAGAAATCTTCACGAATTCATTAATTTTCGACCCAAATGTTAAAGAAACTTTTTTATTCTTAATATCAATTCCTAAGAACAGTGTAATTGACAACAAACAATATACTACAACTGCAATTTTACAGGAAGATCCAAAGTTATCTTGTGATATAAAATTCTTTAAAGTATCTAATACTACTTTTGAAGGTGAAATAACATGTTCGGGACAAACATTAAATCAAGAATTTGCAGTAACTTTTTACCGCTTAAACTCTGAGTGTAGTATTGGTATCACAAAAACAATTGATTTGCCGCCTGTTTCTCACGAGTGTACACACTTTTTCACAAATTCACTTCAACCTTCTAAAAAAATGAAAGTAAGCGATACTCAGACTCATTTTTTGTATATTAGGAAGTCGAGTATTGCAGTATGCGACGATTCTAATGATAATGTGTACGTATATTGCAAAATAGTAGTTAAAGATGTTTTACCTGTAAAACTGGATGTTTTAAAAAGGACAATACCTTCAAAATTTGTCTCATTGTATAAAGATAATATGTACTCTGATTTTAAGATTATTTCCAAGAATGAAGAATTTTCAGTTCATAAAGCAATTCTCGCTCAATCATCTTCTGTTTTTCGAGCGATGTTTGAAAACCAAATGAAGGAGAGTCTGGAAAGTAAAGTTGAAATCAATAATTTTGAACCGACTGTTGTTAAACAAATGATTCATTTTATGTACTCCGATGAAATTGAGAACGATTCATCTCAAGAAAGTTTAAAACAACTTTATATGGCTGCACATATGTATCAATTAGAAGATTTAAAGAAACTTTGTTTAAACGAGATATGCAAATCTGTAAAAGATATCAGTGAAGTTGTGGATGTAATTTTTTTCCTGGGATCCGAATTTAGAGAAGAGATAGTGGAGTTTTTGAAAAGTATTCGCTACACTTTATTGTTAAAAGATTAATTTCTGTGATGTATGTAAATTCGCTGTTATAAACATTTTTTTCTATCTCATAGCCAACGTGTTAGTTGGTGTTAATTGTTCCTATTTGAAATAACTAAGTTGTAGTTGTGGTAGCTAAAGCTGCCTTATTTTGTTCTTACAAGTTACTCTAAGTTTTGTTCATTAAATTAAAAATTGTTAATTTAAAATCCAATATAAAAACATAGTTTTAATTAAACAAATTAAAATTCTACGAAAAAGTGTTTCTTATAAATTGATATTCGGTCAAATTAAATTTCTTGCAAATATAAAATCGATCGAATTGACATTCTGACAAATTATAATTCGGACAATTAAATATTCTACTAAATTAGAATTCAAATTAATAAAATGTAGGTAAAGTGGAAATTCCAAACATAAAAATTAGAATAATTTCAAATTTTTGAGAAAAAGAATTAATTTAAACTAATATTCTTCATTATGCAGATTATATCAAATGATTATTATTATAATAAAATTATGCGAGAATTCAAAAATTGTGCGATGAAAAAAAATTATGCGTTTTGATGCGACGTTAAATTTATTATATTTTATTCATAAACATGATAAAACGTAAAATTTTAAACTTTCTTTCAATTTTTGAAAATTATGCGATTATGCGCTTTGCACAAAGTGTAGGTCTCTAGAGTCATATCAAATTTTTTAAACAAGTTATAGATTACGTTTAAAATATTGAATAATTATTTTTCATTTTTAAAAAATTAAAAGACTCTCCTTTATTTATTCAAGGTAAGAAGATAACAAACATAACCTATAAGATTTTTGCGACGCATTGCAATTATTATCATTGTTATCTTTAAAATAATTTTTTTACTTTAACTTTTAATTTTGGCGGTTAAATTTTAGAGATTGTTGATTTCCGGCGATCACATGACTTATACTAGCTTCCGCTTCCGTCTTCGCTAATGTCAGTTATAAACAGGCAACGGTTAAAACTAAACGGACGAAATCGCATCTGAAAGAAAAACTTTTGAGACATTTCACAAATATATGTGTGAGAACACTTGGTTTGCAGGTAATTAAGTCTATTTATATTAATTTTCCATTTAAATAATAAGCTTAAATTGTATAAAGTAAGACGTTAGGCTTAGAAAATTTTGAAAAAAGTAATTCTAACCTCAAATTGTATAACTTTTTTGGCATGATTTATTTATTATTGGTAAATCTTCATAAAAATATTTACCATACTTTATTAGTTTTACGAATGTAATTATTTATTGCAGTGTTTATTGACATCGAGAGAATCAGAGGATACATTTTTTATAGATTATGGCTGCGACACTGATCAATTTTTCAAGAGTCGAAGAGGAAATTAAAACTCAGTCTTCAATGAAAGTTAATCACGTTAAAGATTATTTTCTACTTCCAATAGTAATTTCTCGAGAAACTTTGATTAATTACAGTGAATTTATTACCTCTGCAATTTTACAAGAAAGTCCACGAATAACTTGTACTATCAATTTTAAGAAAATTAATCAACTCAACTTGTGTGGAGAAATTAAGTTTTCAGGACAATCAGCGAATCAACATTATGAAGTAACTCTTTACTACATAAATTCTCAGCATAAAATTCACTTTTCAGAAACCATTGATGTGAACATTTCAACCAACGTCAGTACTCATTTCTTTAATACATCTTACGAAGTTTTGCAATTAGGATTTCGACGGGGAGATAGTAATATCTTTCACGGATTGCAACTTATTGATAATAATTTACTTATATACTGTAAAATAGCAGTAAGAAATGATAGTAATACAATTTTAAAACAGGAAACATCTCCTAAATTTCTATCAATTTATAAGGAACAATTATTCACTGATTTCAAGATTGTTTGCGAGGATAAGGAATTTTTAGTCCACAAAGCAGTTCTTGCACATTCGTCGCCTGTTTTTCGAAAAATGTTCGAAATTCCAATGAAGGAATCCGAGGAGAATTTAGTTATGATCGGTAATTTTGAACCAAATATCATTGAGCAACTGATTCATTTTATATACTCGGAGGAAATTCAAAATGATTTACCTGGAGAAACATTAAAAAAACTTTTCTTGGCTGCTGATATGTATGAATTAAAGGGTCTCGAAAATCTTTGTTTGAAAAGAATATGCGAACGTACAAAAAATATCAGTGAAATTGTGGATGTCATTTTATTTGCTGGGTCCGAGTTTAAAGAAGAAATGATTAAATGCCTAAAAGATGTTCATCCCAAATTATTGTGATAGAGATGAAGATCAGAGGCCTCGAGGATCACAATTCATAATCTTTCAATTTTTAATTAAATTTTTAAAAAAAATTTAATTATTTGTTTATTTAAATTATGCTTTAAATATGTATGTTTTATAAGGATTCTGTGATTTTAAATTTTTAACACTTACGTCCTGTATAATTGTAAATATAATTTACAAGCGCTACTTAATATTTTATAAAAATGTAAAAAGTGTAGATTTAAAACACTTTGTAAAATTCGGATTTTATTTCATTAAAAAAACTTTAAAAATTTTTTTTTTATTGTTCATCATTTTTTCTATTGTTTGTAAGATTTTGTTAACCCTCCTTCTCCCCCCTAAATTTTTATAATTTTTTTAACAATTGTTTAAAATAATTAAAAATAATTAATATTTTTATGTAGCATAAAGTTAGTTGTTTGCATTTTCGTTTCATAACTTTTTTAATAATTTTTCTTTTTAAATATTTTCAATTTTTAAATTAATGTATTGAAAAAATCATCGAATTGTTGTAAAGAATTTTAACAAAAAATTTGATAATAATAGAATTTCTTCGAAGAATTTTATTATTTAGGAAAATAATTGAATTCTAGCGAAGAATTTTGTTAGAATTTTTGAAAATTTTAATTAAATTTAATTTTCAAGAATTTCTTTGAATTTTTTTTTTTTGTAAGTAAGTATAATGATATTCTACGTACACGAACACTTTTTTCATGTTTTAAATTGTTAATTACTTTCTACCTACACATGTTAACGACATCGTGATTTTATTACTCAATTTTATTTTTAATTGGCTTCTACTGGTATTATTTTGAAGTGCGAACATTGAAAAGAAAATATTTATTCGATTTTTTATTTATTTACATGTTTTAACTGTGACTGGCAATTTCTGACTGAGCGACTGAGCCATGCGTTCGTTCACACGGTTCCGCACTCTGCTTTCAGTTTATTTACTTTTACATTTTTCACTTTCGTGACTGTCCACTGTCGCTCTAATTCTTGAGCATTCTAGAGATTTTTTCTGCCAGTAAAATAAAAATTTGCTGAATCTGAGGTAATAAGACATTTATATTACATCAATTTTTGCAATAAAATAATATTTTAATTTGTTTGATATAAAATAACAATTTGTGGCAATGATAGATTTCTTACAGTAGTAGATTTGGCCTTTTATTCTCGATATTTTACATATTAGGTAAACTAAATATATTTTTCAAATTTTAAATAAATAAATTTCAAATTTATTATACTTTTCTTCTATTTGTGAGTATGTTTGCTGTATTCGAGTCACATTCGAGTGTTCGAATGTCTGAAATTTTTAGGTTATGTCACTACGTGAAAAAGGCAACGCGGGTGACGCTGTAAAAAATTAACTTTTTTTTTCATAATTACAAGTATTAGTGATCTGTAAATTTTCCCAAAAAAACTTTTTCGAATATTCCATGAATTTTTAGTCTTGATTAAATTTCGAATTCGAAAAAAAAACCCCGACTCTCTCCAAACGTTTAAAAATTTCACTCAATTTCACTTATTCCTATATTAAACACATAGTATCAGTAAATAATTATTTTAATAATTTTTAGAAATTATTTATTTAAATTTCGAAAGCACATAATTATTAATTTTAAATCTTTTTCACTTTCAGGGCGAAAAAAGTAAATCAAGACCCAGATAAAAATGGCAACAATGATTAATTTCTCAGAACTGGAAAAGGAAGTCTTTCCCAATAATTCAATAATACTTGAGAACTATTTCAAAGGGAATTTATTATTTTTAATAACAATTCCTAAGCAAACATTGCTTAATTCCAGTGAATTTACAACAAGGGCAACTCTACAGGAATGTCCAAAGACAATCTGTATTATTAGTTTTAAGAAAATTAGTAATGTCAGTTTAACTGGAGGTGTAAAGATTTCAAGACAATCAGGAAATCAGGAATTTGCAGTAACCCTCTACTATTTAAATTCTGAACGTAAAATTGATTTATCCGAAACAATTAATGTACCATTCGATATCAGCAATACTGTACATTCATTTGTGAATTCATATAAAGTTTTACAAGCAAACCAATCATTGCCAATTGCCAATCAAGTTCCAGTGCAGTCAAATTATGCACATTCTGTATTTGGTCCAAAAATGAATATCCTTTATGCGCAAGCTACTCCAGTCACATATAGTCATCTTCCAAATAAATTTATTGGCGACAATTTGCACATTCTATGCAAAATAGAAATTAAAAATGCTCCAGAAATGCAGAATGCTGGAAAAACGAAAAGTTTCCAAAAATTCGTGTCAATGTTCCAGGAGAAAGTATTCACTGATTTTAAAATTATTTCCAATGGACAAGAATTTTCGGTTCATAAAGCAGTTCTTGCACATTCATCGCCTGTTTTTAGGAGAATGCTGGAAAATCCTTTAAAGGAATCTCAAACGAATCAAGTGGAAATCAATAGTTTTGAAGCGAATATTATCGAACAAATGATACATTTTATGTATTCTGATGAATTGAAAATAGATGAAGAATTATCTCAAGAGACGTTAAAAGAACTGTTTTTGGTCGCGAATGTGTATCAATTGGAAAATTTACGGAAACTTTGTTTAAAAAAGATTTGCGAATCGACAAAAGATCTCAGTGGGGTAATCGACGTTATTTTACTCGCCGGCTCCGAAAACAAAGAGGAAATGATAAACTTCTTGAAAGACATTCGTTTCACTCTTATGGTAAATAAATAATTTCCTTAAGTTTCTACAAAATGAAACTATTAATATTAATAATAATTTAAAAAAGACTATTAATATTAATAATAATTAAAATAAAACTATTAATATTAATAATAATTAAAATAAAACTATTAATATTAATAATTGTTAAAACAAACTATTAAGTTTTTTATAACGTTAGTTATAAAAGTTTCTTTATTTATAACGTTTGTATGATTCAAACTTTAAAATTATTAAAAATACTTAAAAATTAAAATTAAACATAATTTTCTAAAAGAAAAATATTTCTACGTTTTATTTACAAAGTTTATCGAAAAAAAGATGTGAATAAAAAAAATACTAAAAAAAATATTTTTTGCTAAGTTATCTTGAAACATTATTATAAAAATTAAAAATTAAATCTTTTCAATTGTCCAGTGATAGTAATTGTAACGTTAACGTACCTTTGTGCATTTATGAAACTCGACGCTTACACCTGTAATAATTCTAAGTTTTAATCGCAAATGACGATTACTTTTTTTTTTGTTTTTATAATATATGAAGACTTTTCTTGTCCACAGTAGTATAGGATTTAAAAAAATTGTTATATCCACTTTCAAAAATATTATATAATAATATAATAAATTTGAAATAAAAATCGCAGAATTTTGCAAAATGGGAATTTTATTTTCTAATTTCTCACTCTAAAGAATATTCTGATTCACTCGCAAAAAAAAAAATGTTCTATTGCATTTATTTTGCCACAGGAATAAGATTTTCAAAAATTTCAAATTCAATAACATATAAGAAATTCTTCATTAAAATTTTAATCAATTGTTTTTTTAATAATTTTTCAAAAAGTTTCAGAGTTTTCAAATTTTTTTTGTTTAGAATTTAATTTTACGAAATTTTGATTACACTGACAATCTGACATTCTTCAATTAAATAAATATTAGAAATTAAAAATTTGAAATAATTTAAAAAAATCCACTAAACTTTTTGAAAAAAATTAGTTCTACATAATTTTTAATTAAAAGTAGGAAAAGTTCAAAATTTCAAAGATTTTAATTTGAAACTTTTTTGAAAAATCAATTATTTCTAAAAATCCACGCATTCAATATTCAATTATAATATGAAATTTTAACTGAAATACATTTTTATAAATTAATATTTATTAGAAAATTCTACGAGAATTCAATTATTTAAATAGGAATAAAATGTAAATAAATAATTTATTGAATAATTGAATGTTTCTTAAAATTGAGGCCTTGGATCCAATAACTCGCCCGACGCTCGGAGGAACGCGCAACTGCCAGTCAGTGAGCAGTGAGCGCCTCTGGGCCACTCACTGCTACCCGACTGGTATTAGCGCGTGCCTTCGAGCGTCGGGCGAGTTATTGGATCCAAGGCCTCAATTGAATTTTCATGAAGAATTTTATCAATAAATTCCTAAATAATTGAATTCTCTTGATAAATTTTAATAAAACTTTTAAGAATAATTTCACTTTTCGAGAAATTTGATGAAAATTGTATTAAAAATAATATTGAAATTCTGACATAAATTTTATTAAAATTTTTTATAATAATTGAATTTCAAAGAAAAATTTTGTTATTTATAAAGATAATTGAAATTTTGACGGGAATTTTATTAAAATTTTTGAAAATAATTGAATTTCCGCGAAGAATTATATTATTTTTGAAAATAATTGAATTCTTGAGATGAATTTTATTAAAATTTCTTTTTAAATAATTGAATTCTTTTGTAAAATTTTTTTGAAATAGTAGACATTGAAAATAATTGAATTTTGACAAATTTTTAAAATGTTTTTAGAAAATAAAAAATTGAAATAATTTAAAAAAAAATCTGCAATTGAACTTTGTTAAAAAAATTAATTCCACAGAATTGTTAGTTAAAAATAAAAAATTCAGATTTTCAAAATTTGAAAGTTTTTCCAAATTTAATTATTTCCTAAAATTCACACTCTAAAGCTTTTAATATTCAATTATAATGTAAAATTTCAACTGAAATTCATTATTAAATCAATTTTTATTAAAAAATTCAACAACTAGAATTCAATTATGGAATAATTGAATTTTTCTTAAAATTCTATTATAAAGAATTTTATCAACAAATTTTTAAATAATTGAATTCTCTTGACAAATTTTCATAAAATTTTTAAGAATAATTTCATTTTTCGAGAAATATTGTGAAAATTGTATTTTAAAATAAATTAAAATTCTGACAAGAATTTTATTAAAATTTTTGAAAAATGAAAATAATTGAATTTTGGAGAAATTTTTTTTTCATTTATAAAGATAATTGAAATTTTGACGAGAATTTTATTAAAATTTTTGAAAATAATTGAATTTTTGCGTAGAATTATATTATTTTTAAAAATAATTGAATTCTTGAGAAGAATTTTATTAAAATTTATTTTTAAATAATTGAATTATTTTGTAAAATGTTTTTGAAATAGTAGACATTGAAAATAATTGAATTTTGACAAATTTTTGAAATTAATTAAATTTCTATGAAGAATTTTATTAAAATTATTTTTAAAAAAAAATTGTTACAAAGAATTTCATTAAAATTTTTGAAAATAATTGAATTTTTTGAAGAGATTTATAATTAAAACTGCGTATTGAAAACAATACTTAAATTCTATAATAAATAAATTTTAGCAAAGCTTTTTAAAATAATTGAATTTCTTTTATAAATTTTAATATAATTTTTAAGAATAATAACATTTTTTCAGGAATTACCATAAAATTGTATTAAAAATAATTGAAAGTCTGCGATGAGTTTTAATATTTTATGAAAATAATGCGAAATGTTTGCGTAGAATTTTATTAAAATTTTTTTTAACTAATTGAATTTTTTTTGGTTTTTTTTTTATTAAAGCAGAATTATTAAAAATCATTGAATTGAGAAAAATTTTTGAAAATTGAAATTTTGCCCAGAATTTTTTAAAAATTTTAGAAAATAATTGAATTTTCTGATAAGAATTTTAAAAGATTTTAAATTATGTCAGATTATGTAGTTATATTGATTTTTAAAAAAGTATTTATTATTCTAAAATAAGTTGATTTTTCCTTCTTTTTTTATGATATTTAATATTGATTACATTCATGACAGTTGTTTTGGTTGGAAATATTTTTGTTTTTCGTTTTGTGAACCGCGTGTATTATTAAATTTAATAATAACGAAATTTTATTTTCTTTCTAACGTGAATACTGAAGAATTCGAATTTTAAATAGTAAACGGAAAATAGAGTTCTATGCAGTGGGCAATTTTTAATTTAAGTTAAACTATCGGATTATTGTGAAATTTTCTGTGGGAAACAGAATAGAAAAAATTTGCTGATCTGAACCTGAGGTAAGCATGTCAATTATTATTGTTATTATTATTATTATTATTATTATTATTATTATTATTATTATTATTATTATTAAATACAAATTTAACAAACATTTTTTAAAATTTAATTTATAAATTTTAACAATTTGTAATTTTTTTATTTTTTTAAAATTTTTTTTTGTAATTTGTAATTTTTAATTCTTACCCTCGATTTTACAGAATCAAATTCGTTATGAATGGGAAAATTATTTCTAAAAAAGCCTAACATCACACAAAACTGGATTAATTTCAATATACATAAATATTTTATTTTAACGTGGAAACAAAATGGCAACAATGATTAATTTATCAAAATTGAAGAAGAAAATTTTCCCCAATGCATCACTAATGCTTCGTCATTATCTTAAAGAAGATTTGTTATTTTTAATAACAATTAATTTATAGAAGAATTTTAGTTAAAAACACTAAAAACAAATTGAATTTTGAAGCAATTAGAAATTATTGCAAAAATTCAATTATTTTCAAAAAATAGTCAAATTCTTATCACAAAATTCAATTATTTTCTAAAATTTTAATAAAATTCTGGTCAAAATTTCAATTTTCAAAAATTTTCCTCAATTCAATGATTTTTAATATCTACTTTAATAAAAAAAAACATCCAAAAGAATTCAATTAGTAAAAAAAAATTTTATTAAATTTCTACGCAGACATTTCATTATTTTCATAAATATTAAAACTTATTGCTGACTTTCAAATTATTTTTAATACAATTTTAATGAAATTCCTCGGAAAATGTAATTATTCTTAAAAATTATATTAAAATTTTATCAAAGAAATTCAATTATTTTCAAAAATGTTAATCAAATTCTATACAACAATTTTTTTTCAAAATAATTTTAAGAAAATTCTTTGTAGAAATTCAATTATTTTCAAAAATTTTAAAAAAAATTCTTTGTAAAAATTCAATTTTTTTCAAGATAATTTATTTTAATTTCTTTATAGAAATTTAATTAATTTCAAAAATTTGTCAAAATTCAATTATTTTCAAATTCGTCTCAAGAATTCAATTATTTTCAAAAGTAATGTAATTCTTCTCCAAAATCCAATTATATTAAAAAATTTACAAAAAATTCTCGTCAAAATTTCAATTATCTTTATAAATAATAAAATATTTCTGAAAAATTCAATTATTTTTAAAGATTTTAATAAAATTCTTCATAGAAATTTCAAATTTCAAAAATTTGTCAAAATTCAATTATTTTCAATGTCTGCGCTATTTTAATAAAATTTTACAAAACAATTCAATTATTTAAAAAGAAATTTTAATAAAATTCGTCTCAAGAATTCAATTATTTTCAAAAATAATATAATTCTGCGCAGAAATTTAATTATGTTTAAAAATTTACAAAAATTTCTCGTCAAAATTTCAATTATCTCTATAAATAATAAAATTTTTCTCCGAAATTCAATTATTTTCAAAAATTTTAACAAAATTCTTGGCGCAAAATTTCAATTATTTTTAAATACAATTTTTATTAAATTTCTCGAAAAATTAAATTATTCTTAAAAATTTTATTAAAATTTGTCAAGGGAATTCAATTATTTAAAAATTTATTGATATAATTCTCTATGAAAATTCAATTTTAAGAAACATTCGATATAATAAAATATTTATTTTTGTATATTTAATAATTGAATTCTCGTAGAATTTTCTAATAAATATTGCTTTAAAAATGTATTTCAGTTAAAATTTCATATTATTATTGAATGCGTGGATTTTTAGAAATAATTGAATTTTCAAAAAGTTTTGAAAAGTTTCAAATTAAAATCTTTGTAAATTTATAAACCTTTCATACTTTTAATTAAGAATTCTGTAGAACTAATTTTTTTAAAAAAATGTTAGTGGAATTTTTTTTAATTATTTCAATTTTTAAATTTCTAATACATTATATTTAATTGAAAAATGTCATATAATCGAAATTTCGTAAAATTAAATTGTAAACACAAGGATTTGAAAACTCTGAAACAAGTTTTTCAAAAATTATTAAAAAAAACAATTAAATTAAAGAAGAAAGTTAAAAATTTTAGTAATGAATAATCCAAATGATGAAAATAATTTTTGAAGAATGTTACAGTATAACAAATTAGATATTTTTAATTATTATATAAAACATGAAGAAAGCGATGACTACGAGTCGAAGACTCGGAGTCATCGCTTTCTTCATGTTTTTAAATAATATTCTTATGTTATTGAATTTGAAATTTTTGAAAATCTTAATTCCTCGTGGCAAAATAATTAATTTTTAAAAATATTTTTTAAATTACCACAAATAATTAGTTTAATAAATTTTTTAAGTTTCTTGTCAAAATTGAGAACAGGAGAACATTTGAAATATTAAATTTTTGAATAAATTATTACAAAAATATAATATTATTTAATTCTACTGAAAGTTCTTAATTATTAAATAATATTAAAATAGTTTATTTCTTAATTAATAATTATTTACTAACAATAGAGCAGAAAGTAAATATTAAAAAGAGGTTATGTTGCGATTGACTTTGCTACAATGTCGAAAACGTCGAAAACCTAGTTTTCTACAGTATTATACGTATAATACGTAATTTATGTATTATACGTAGAAAACCTCCAGAAAATCACTTTTACCCATCTCTGATTCTGCGTTGGCCTTAATGGAACTTTCAAATTGACAGTTGTGTATTCGACTTATATATTCATTGCTGTTTTCAATTTTCATTTTGAGCTCTAACCCCCACCACCTCCTCTTCACCGTGCAGCAACCTGACTCCAACTGCCCAACCTTGCACTAAAACGGAAAGTGAAAAGAAGATGAAAAAAAATTAGCGTCTATTCATAAAAGAACGACCTCGTTGAACGACACGACAGAATTTGAGAAAAGGAGATACATATTCGAGACTTTGCAGAAAATATAAGTTTTCAGGTAATAAAAATAATCTACATAAATTTTACAAACGAACAATCTATAATTTAATTAATATATCCTGTAAAAATAAAATTAAGCCGTGTCGCGAAAACAAATCTAATTTTTTTTAAGCGTTATGATTTTTCACGTGCTGTAGAGTATCCGCCATTTTCGAAAGAATTCACTTTTTTAACTGATTTAAAATTGTATATTTTAAATTATTTTAAATATATCAAATTTTACCCCTAAATTAAAAGGTTTCTTTTGAATTATCTGAAACTCTAAATATAATTACAAATTTATCAGAATATTTGGTGTGATTCTTCTCATAATTTTTCTTTTAAAAATGAATATAACCTATAATTGTTACCAAAGTATTTTTCTTTAGAGGAAAATTAAAAAAATTGTTCTGACAGGTGGCAGTGCCTAAAGTCATTTAAGATAAGAAGAAGAAAATTAAATAAAGTATTTTTTATTAAAATTTTAGGAAAATAGTAAAACAAATAAATATTTAGACAAGTGGTTTTAAATGAAAATTTAATGTAGCACAATTTTTTAAATTGAATTAATTAACATTAATTTAAGTAATTAATGTTATAATAATAATTAATTAGAAGACATACCTACGTAATTAATAAATTTTTTTCGAAATTTAAATGAGATTTTCTGAACAGAGAAATCAAACTAAAAATAAAACTGAATAAAACAAAAATAAGTAAGAATATAATAGGTATTTATATTGCATAAAAATATTAACAAATTAATAACAATATATTTAAAATAAAAATATCAAAAATTACAATAATTTAGTATGTAAAAAATAAATTTAAATTGAAAATACCAATAAGTTTGAAATATTTGGTTGTAATAAAATTCTGCGATAGGTCAATTGATGCGTTTTTTAATACTCTATACATTTTTTTACGATTATTTGAAAGTTACACAAAGAAAAACATATTTATAATTTATATAGATGTCCAGTCATAGATGTTTTTTTTAAAGTTATTGGCAAAAATAATTTTTTTTTTTCAAAATTATAGAAATGCCTAAAAAGTGTTGTTGAACTTTAATGAATCGGAATGAAAATACTCTCATTTTATATCCATCGAGGAAATCTATTATTTAATTTTAAAAAAATTGAAATATACAAATATTTTTGGCTATGAGACAGTAATTTTTTTTGTACTCCTGGGGTCGAATTATATCGAAATATATCAAGAAAGTACAATTAAAAAATATTCACCAAACACTTAAATATTTCAAAATTAATTGAATTTTAAAAGAGTTGCGTTCACAATTTTCACAAATAGATAAATTTCACAATGTTTTAATTTAAAATTTTAAAAAATTTCAATTTTGAATGGATTAATTAAATAATAAAAATTTCACAAGAATTATATTATTTACAAATTTTGTTTATAAATTTCTTCGCAATAATTCAATTATTTTCATGAAGAATAACATTTTTTTACCAGAAATTCAATTATTTTCATAAATAATAAAACTCATTGCAGAATTTCAATTATTTTTAATACAATTTTAATGAAATTTCTCGAAAAATGTAATTATTCTTTAAAAATTTTATTAAAATTCATCGAACAGAATTTAATTATTTAAAAATTTGTTGATACAATTCTTTACGAGAAATTAATTTTTTCTTGAAAATATTAAAAATTTGTCACAAAAAATTGAGAATTAAATTGTTTAAAAAAATTTTAATAAAATTCTTTGTAAAAATTCAATTAATTTTAGAAATGTTAATATATTTCTTCACAAGAATTCAATAATTTTCAAAAATAATAAAATTCTTCCAAAAAAATTCAGTTATTTTCACAAATAAAGATAAATCTTCACAAGAATTCAATTATTTAAACAAATTTTAATAAACTTCTTCTTAAAAATTCATAAATAATAAAATTCTTGTCAGGAATTCAATTATTTTCAGAAATTTTAATAAATTTCTTCCTAAGAATTCAATTATTTTCATAAATCATAAAATTCTTCTTAGAAATTAATTTATTTTTAAAAACTTAAATAAATTTGTTTCTAAAAATTCAATCATTTTCGTAAATAATAATATTCTTGTCAGAAATTCAATTATTTTAATAAATTTCTTTCCAAAAATTCAATTATTTTTAGAAATTTTAATAAATTTTCTCCCAAGAATTCAATTATTTTCATAAATCAATAAAATTCTTGTCAGGAAATCAATTAGTTTTAGAAATTTTATACAATTTCTTCCCAAGAATTTAATTATTTTCGCAAATAATAAAATTTTTGTCAGAAATTCAATTATTTTAATAAATTTCTTCCCAGGAATTCAATTATTTTCATAAATAATAAAATTCTTCCCAAGAATTCAATTATTTTTAGAAATTTTAATAAATTTCTTCCTAAGAATTCAAATATTTTCGTAAACAATAAAATTCTTGTTAATAAATTTCTTCCCAAAAATTCAATTATTTTTAGAAATTTTAATAAGTTTCTGCCCAAGAATTCAATTATTTTCATAAATAATAAAATTCTTGTCAGAAATTCAATAATTTTTAGAAATTTCAATAAATTTTTTCCCAAGAATTCAATTATTTTCATAAATTCTAAAATTCTTCTTGGGAATTCATTTATTTTTAAAAATAATTGAATTTGAATGTGTTGAAGAATTTTAATTCCTATGAAAAAATAATAATGGTTAAATATTTATTTAAAAAATAACTATATAATAAGCAATAGAACATTTTTCTGAATAATAATTTTTAAACTAAATGAGAATATTTTTCTAGTCAAGGAGAATATAAGTAAGAATTTTGTCTGGAGTTGAAGGGGAAGTCAGGAAAAACAAAAATTAAATTTTGGTTGTTAACAATAATGTAGTTTTAAAAACCTGCGGAAAAATTCCGTTTTTTAATCTGTAAAACCTGGAAATGTCGCAGGGAATTTTGAAATGAGAAAAAGCGTGGTAACCCTGTTATAGAATTTCTTAAAATTTTCCTGTTTTCTCAGTTTTCGAGTATAATATTAATTTTTATTTTGTGTTTACAATTATTTTAAATATTGAAAAAGTATGAGGATCCATAGAATTGTATGAATTATTTCTCATAATTTTATGAATATCCTCGTATATAAAATATTTATTTAAGTCTTTTATGAGTTTAAGGCATTTTTATAATTTTTTTTGCAGGAGTTGTTAATTGGCAAAAGATTATAAGATTCTTTTTGAAAATCATGGCATCACTGATTAATATTATAAAAGTGGAAAAAGAAATCACCACTAAATCTCCGTTTATTTTTGATCCACAAGTTGGAGAATATTTTCTATTTTTAATATCAATTCCAACGGCAACTGTGCAGAATTCCAGTGAATATAAAACCACCGCAGTTTTACAGGAAAATCCATTGATAACCTGTAATATCAATTTTAGGAAAACTAACTATTCTTTCCAGGGGGAAATATACTTTTTAAATAATTTAACAAATAAGCAATATGCAGTAACTCTGTACTACATGGATTCTCAATATAAAATTGAATCTTCAGAAACAATTGATGTGCCAACCCTTAAACATAAGTGTTCTCATTATTTTAATCCACTAACTGGTTATATAACATATATTCTGAAGGTGCATACGTTATTGCACCTTCCAAACGCATCGGTAATAATATGCATATATTCTGCAAAATAACTGAAAATCTAAAGATTTCAGAAAAGGAAACACCCACGAAATTAGATTCTATTTATAAAGAAAAAGAATTCACTGATTTCAAGATCATTTGCCAGGATCAAGAGTTCTTGATTCATAAAGCTGTTCTTTCGCAATCATCTCCTGTTTTTCGTGCCATGTTTGATATCCCAATGAGAGAGAGTAAAGAGAACAAAGCCGAAATTAAAGATTTCAGTCCACCCGTCGTTGAATTAATGCTACATTACATGTACTCCGAAGAAATTAAGAATGATTTATCTCTTGAAACATTGAAACAACTTATGGAAGCTGCAAATATGTATCAACTAGAGGATTTAAAAAAGCTATGCTTGAGGGAAATATGCAAATTTATCAAAGATATCAGTGACGTTGTAAATATCAGTATCTTCATTGGAGCTGAGTTTAAAGAAGATTTGATTGAACGTATAAAACATATCAACCTTCGTGAATTTTAAAGAAAAAACTTCTTTCATTTTCAAGAGGAAACTAGGTTTAAATTTATTTTAAAGACAAAATTACGTTCAAGTATTTATTTTAAAGGAGAAACCTTTATGTTTGTTTAAAGAATATGCTACGTTTAAGTTTATTTCAAAGTAAAAATTACGTTCAAGTTTATTTTTTAAAGAAAAAACAAAGATTGTTTTTTCAAAAAAAATGTTGTTTTAAAAATAAAGCTACATTTAAATTTATTTTAAAGAAAAAAAACTACGTTCAAGTGTATTTTAAACTAAAAGCAACGATTAAGTTTTGTTTTAAAGATGAACCTACATTTAAATTTATTTTAAAGAAAAAACTACGTTACATTAAATGTTATTTTAAAAAGTTTCATTTAAATTATTTTAAAAAATGTTTGTACTTTATAAATTTTATTTCACTTAAACTTTAAATTTTAAACAAACAAAATATTCTAGCGCATCATTTTTCAATCTGTATAATTTCTTCAATCTATTCTTGTAAAAAAAAATGTACGTTTAATAACTGTTATTAAAACTACGATATTTTGCAATATATTCAGACTATTTATTTCACATGACGATGGATGTTACGAAGAAAACACTCTTAAAATTACTACGCAAGAAAATTAACACTCTCGATTTTTAAAATTAAAAATGAAGTTTTAATTTTAAAAAACTAATTTGATTATATTAAATTTTTAAATAAATATTACAACACGAAAGAGAAAATTCGAAAAAACTCTTTTATTTTTGCAGAAAATTTCAAAAGAAAATTGTGAACTATGAAGAGCACTAGGGATGAATTTTTTTAATTTTAGGTCCCTTGTGAAGATAAAATGAGAGTATTTTGAGCCAGATTAAGAGAAATTAACTATTTTTTTTGTTTTTTAAAAGTATAAGAAAAAAATCCGTTTTTTTCAATAACTTTTAAAAAATGTTAGGAAATCTATGAATGTTTTTCTATAAGTTTGTAGAGCCTGAGGTATTAACTTTTTAAAAAACTAAAATTTTGAAAAATAAGACTTTTTTGAAACTGTGTTGTTACTAAATGTAGGAGTAACTTTAAAAGTCGCATAACCAATTTGTAGAGCATTGAAAAACGCTTCGATTGACCTATTTTTGAACCTAATTCAATCGGAAATTTAAAAAATTATTTGTATTTTAAAAACTAGAAATTATGGAAAATATCATATTTTCAAATTTTTTTTAAACTTTTCTTTAACCACCATTGACCACCATTTTTCAAATTCGATTTTTGGACATATTTACATGTTTTTTTTCTATAAGGAAACGAAGTCATTATTTTTTTTATTGTAAAAACATCTTGTAGTTGAAAATTTTTTGAAAAATTGATGATTGAATTTTATTAGAATATTGCATTTACAACTTTTAATAAATAATTGCATTTCAAAAGATTTCTTTCAAGTGGAAATTTTATAGAAAATTTGAATTTAAAATCATTTTAATTAAAAATTCTAAAGTTAGTTTTCTGAAAATCTTTTATTAGAATTTTTTTTTGAAATTATTTAAATTATAAAAAAATAGATTTAATTAAAAATTTTTCGAATAATCACAAGTTTTGTATATTAAATTGAAAACAAGTAAATTTTAGACTTACTTTTTAATATAATTAATAATAATTTAATTCGCAAACAACTTTCTTTGAATTATTTGAAAATAATTGATTTAGAGAAAAATTTTAGTTCAAAATTCTAGAAAATAAATTAATTGAAATGATAAATAAATAATAGGAAGCAATTTTGATAAATTAATGAATTTTTAATAGTTTGAAATTGGAAATTTTTAAAAATCTCAATTCTTCTTATATATAAAAATAATTATGTTTCGAATAATAATTTTACAATTAAGGTATTAGTCGCGTAAAATGGTTTTCGTCAGATTTTTTTCAAATTTTGCATACTTATTCCTGAAGTATTTATCTACAGAATGAGACCAATTTCATTAATTTTGACCGTTTCAAAGCTTCAAAAAATGAATTCAAAGTTCATACATTTTGCATGGAGGGAGCACCCAATGCATGTATTAATTTTGTTTAATAATTATTTATATGATAACTAATCGTCAGATTTTGAAATAAAACTACCAAAGTATTCGATTAGATGAAACAAATGAATAGAAAAAACATGACATTTTTTGACGGCACCAAACTATAAATATATTGACAGAAAGTTAAAAAAATAACTAAATTATACGAATTTTCATACGAACGAATAGAGTAGGGAGTTAAACTGTCTCTCTCACTCTCACTGCCCCACTCTAGTAAGCGACCCGGTAAATTTTTGGCCAGAGCCAGCAGCGCGACTACTACCTTAAAGATACTCAAAAATAAATGTGTGTTATAAACATTTTTTTATAAGTAATTTAGAGTGAATTAAAATATTCTTCAGAGTCAGGGAAATAGATGAAATAGAGAAAAATCTGGGATAAATAAAAATCTAATCTTTGTGGTAATTGGTGATTATCACATTCTCGACCAGTATTTTTGTTTGTAATGAAATTATTTCAGAACCCTTTAAAATTATTTTAAAGTGTAATATAATTTTAATGGGTACCAACTTTCTTATAGAGCTAAATTAATTTTAATATTATAGAATTTTTTCACATTTTTTATTCGGTGTACTAATTTAAAATATCTGTAATTTTTTTTATAGGTTTTATTCACTTGAGCAGAAACAGAAGATTCTTTCAAAATAATGACGACGATAATGAATGTTTTAAAACTGGAAGAGGAAATTTTTCCTAATTCTTTACGAATTTTTGATCAAAATGTTAAAAAACATATGTTATTTTTAATAACAATTCCTAGTCAAAATTTGACTTCTTCCAAGTTTTTTACATTTACTGCCACTGCAATATTGCAGGAAAATCCGAAGATAACCTGTGATATCAAATTTAATAAAATTGATTCATATAGTGTGTTTGGAGAATTATGTTTTTCAGGGCAACCATCGAAACAACAATATACAGTAACGATTTACTATATGAATTCTCAGTATAAAGTTGATTTGTCCGAAACAATTGAAATACCACCCACTTCTCATAAATGTCAGCACTTTCTTCAAAAAAAAAACATCAAGTTCTTAATACCTCGTCATCACAGTATAATGGAAATGGATATTCTGTTCTTCCAAACAAATTAATTAATAATAATTTACACATTTACTGCAAAATAGAAATTAAAAATGCTTCATCTGTTACACTTGATGTTACAAAATCAGAACCGCCAACAAAAATCGTTTCCATTTACAAAGAGAAATTATTCACGGATTTCAAAATTATTTGTCAAGATAAAGAGTATTTGGTCCACAGAGCAGTTCTTGCACATTCGTCACCTGTTTTTCAAAAAATGTTCGAAACTCCAATGAAGGAATCACAAACAAATCAAATCGAGATTAACAATTTTCAAGCAGATGTCGTCGATCTAATGATAAACTACATGTACTCCGATAATGAAATCCAGGAAGATGAATTATCTCAAGAAACTTTAAAAGAACTTTTTAAAGCAGCACACATGTATCAATTAGAAGGTTTAAGAAAAATTTGCTTAAAGAAACTGTTTAAAATAGCAAAGGATATCAGTGAAATTATGGATGTCATTTTATTTGCTGGATCCGAGTATAAAGAAGAAATGGTAGAATTTTTTAAAGATGTTCGTTACACTCTATTGTTAAGTGATTAATTCCAGTAATCTAAAAGTTATTTAAAAAATACTTTTCGCTTCATGTTTAAAATTAAAAATTTTACACCAGAAAAATACTTACATCATTTAAACTTGTTTTAAGTTTGTTAAAATAATCTAAAAGTTCTTTAAAAAATACTTTTCGCTTCAAGTTTAAAATTTTAAATTTTACACCAGAAAAATATACCTATCATTTACACGTGTTTAAGTTTAAAATATTTAAGTAAGTTAAACAAAAACAAAAAGTAAATATAATTGAAACATCATCAGATTGCTATGTTCTGCGAAGTGAAAAGTAATTATTTTTACATTAACGATTAAAGAAATTATTCATATTCTATTTCCTAGAAATGGAAATAAACTGTGACTTTGAAATTGGTTAAAAGTTAGAATAGTTAATGAAATTTAAACAAATACCATTTGCATAACAGTAGAGTCACAATGTTAACAACCTGAACAAAAGCATCTATTTTTATATTTATAATAATAATAATATTAAACTCGATTTCCATTACTTAAATCTATATTTAAGAAGCAGTTCTTAAAAATAGTGAAATTTTAATAATGAAAAGTATAAAGAATACTACATTTTCCAAAACTGAAGAACAATTAATTACTTATTATAGTTATCTTCTTCTTTACGTTTCATTTCATTATATGGGGCATTTTCAGTAACAGTTTCACTCAAAAATTTTTTCGTATTAAAACAATTTTTTTCGAATTCTATATGAAAAATAAGTAAATACGTGTTTTTTTATTTTTTTATTTGATCAAAATTATAAAAGTTATGATTTTTTTAAATTTAACATCTTCGGAAGCAAAGGATTTTTGAAACACTTTTAACTCCGTTATACCAAAAGATAAAAAATAATGTAATATATGAAAATGACTTGTTTTTTCTTGAATATTTCAAATATGTAATAAAAAATAACTTTAATAAAGCGAAAACATTAAATAAATTGAAATTTCGTCTAAAATGTGACTTTCCTCAAAAGCGAAGTGATTGATTTTCGATTTTTTTCTTCCATTACAACCACTGATAAATATAGAAATTTTTCTCACTTATACCAAAGTGGTGTTCTTTAGGGTTCAAATTATATTTAAAATTATATCAGTCGTTGCACAGAGTTTTATTCAATTTTTACACTTTCTCAAAATTTAACCTTCAAAAACAAAAGAAAACGAATGTTTTGTGGTTAATTTCTCAATTTCCTTCTGTAAAATCTGTGCAACGACTGATATAATTTTAAATATAATTTGAACCCTATAGAACACCACTTTGGTATAAGTGAGAAAAATTTCTATATTTATCAGTGGTTGTAATGGAAGAAAAAAATCGAAAATCAATTACTTCGCTTTTGAGAAAAATCACATTTTAGACGAAATTTCAATTTATTTAATGTTTTTGATTTATTAAAGTAATTTTTTATTTCATATTTGAAATATTCAAGAAAAAACAAGTCATTTTCATATATTACATTATTTTTTATCTTTTGGTATAACGGAGTTAAAAGTGTTTCAAAAATCCTTTGCTTCCGAAGATGTTAAATTTAAAAAAATCATAACTTTTATAATTTTGATCAAATAAAAAAATAAAAAAACACGTATTTACTTATTTTTCATATAGAATTCGAAAAAAATTGTTTTAATACAAAAAAATTTTTGAGTGAAACTTTTACTGAAAATGCCCCATATTCTTTCATCTATCGCTTAGCTTGTAAAATTTGAATTGTAAAATTTGACTCAAAGTTTAGTTATAAATATTATATATACCTATTGCACGATTATTCGTGAACAAATATCTGCTTTTACTTTAAAAATAAAAATAGCGATACAGTTAAAAATATGATACAAATATAAATTATTTTTCTTAGTTTATTAATAATGCGAAAAAATAAGTTTTACATTTCCAAACACGTGTAATTTTTTTGTCAAATCTATAAATGTACGCACTAAATATGTATATTGCCAAACGAGATTAGATTTCAAGAATTATGTCTATGTATGTACATGAAAACAAATAAAAATTTATCAAAACTCGTGTTAAAAAAAATGAATAGCCGTGTAGGAATGAATTATTTTCGATAATTATTTTAATAATTTTCAACTTTCGTAACGTAACAGTCTTTTTAAAACTTTCCTAACTTTTGATTGATAAATAGAAAAAATTTTATATTCCTATGCAATATTGTTTAAAATAAGGGGGGCAACCGCCCCCCTTGCCCCCCCGATTTCTACTCCACTGCTATTTGATTTGTTACACAAATAATAGGTACATATAAAATACCGGATGGAGGGGAAAAGTTCATAAATTTATCCCCACCCATCAAAATTTGTCTCTATAAATATTTGGACCTAGAATTAAGAATTTAAAATTTTGATATTAAAAGCATTCTCATTTGAAATTTTGAAAAATTTGTCTTCGAGTCTTCTTGAAAAACTTTTGCTTCGAGTATTAATGTTGTATACTAGTTTCAGTACACGCATTAAGTTTTTGTATTAAAAATGAATTTAATAGTTAATTTCATTTTTGTTCTGATTTACGTCTCTATTAGCACTAATGGTAATAATTTTTAAATTTATACAATATTATTTGTTAAAAATTTTTACATGGAATCCACATTGCGGGCAAAAATTTCAATTTTAGATCGCCTTGAAATTAATTCGACAGAATTATTATAGTTAAAAGAACGAAAAATTTTAATTTTCAAAGATTTAAAATTGAAACCTTCTCGAAACTCAATTATCTCTAAAAATTCACACTATAATGATTTTAATATTCAATTATTATCTAAAATTTATTTTTAAATCAATTTTTGTTAAGAAAATTCAACGAGAGAATTCAGTTATTTAAATACGAAAATAAATAATTTTATCAACAAATTTTCAAATAATTGAATACTTTTGACGAATTTTAATAAAATTTTTAAGAATAATTATTTTTCAAAGAATTGAATTAAAATTGTATTTAAAATAATTGATTTTCTATGATGAGTTTTATTATTAGTTAAAAAAAGTATGAAACATTAAAATTTTCAAAGTTTTAATTTCAAGTTTTTTCAAATTATTATGTAAAATTTTAACTGAAATTATTATTTTTAAACAAAATTTTTAATAGATAATTGAATTTTTTTTTGGAAAATTTTATTGAAATAGTAGATATTGAAAATCATTGAAATGAGGAAAATTTTTGAAAATGATTGAAATTTTGACAAGAAGATTATTAAAATTTTTAAAAATAATTGAATTTTGGAGAATTTTATCAAAATTTTCAAAAATAATTGAAATTTTATTATTTATGAAGATAATTGAATTCCTGTTAAAAAATTTATTATTTGTAAAAGTAATATTGAATTATTGCGAAGTTTGTAAAAAATTTGAAAATTAATTGATTTCCTTTAAAATTTTTATTAGGTATTTATAAGAAAATAATTAAATATTTGCGTACACTTTTATTAGATTTTTTTTTCTCCAAAATACATAATTTTTTAGTGTTTTCAACTAAGTTTCTTCTTATTCATCCATTATTTTTTATAATAATTTTTAATTTTCCCTGTCACATATATATTACAAAATTTAACTATAATTTCAGAAGAATTTATACATTATTAAAATTTTTAAAAATCTAAGTTCTTTAAAATTTTTGACTAAATTCATTAAAAATTGAAATTTTCTAAAATTGCATATTAAAACATTTTGAAGTTCACCTATTTGTAGAAATTATACGAATGCAACTTATAAAATTGAATTAATTTTCAAATATATAAATAAAGTCATTAAATAAATAATTTCTAAGTATAATAATTTTATATTTCTTTAAGAATTAATAAGTTATTGAAGAAGAAATTACTGTCAACATTGAAGATTTTTCATTAGGAATGGAGTGTGACGTAGTTTATGAACGACCCCCAATCAAAATAGATACAAAAATTCAGAATTTTCTTATGAATTTAAAAAATTTAATTTTTTCCAATACTATTAATAAAAATATCTGACATTTCCCTGATATCCCTGACCAGTTCTACTTTCCCTGACTTTTCCCTGAAAAACTTTTAATGTTGTTTTTTCTTCTCTAAAAGCTTATGACGCAACGGACGGACAATTCAACCTTGAGTCTGGAGCATCCCAGGTGGGCAACAATATCGACAACAATTCTACCAAACTTGGACAAAATTCCGCAGATTCTCCAGTCTACAATGAAGGCAGTTCTGGAAATTCATCAGGAATTAGTAAACTAAACGGTAGGAACAAACAGAAATTATTCCTAAAGATAACCAGAAATTACGAATTGAAAACAATTTAATTCTGTTTAATACCATAAAATTTGTAATCATTAGAATTCCATTTATGACTTAAATATTGCTGACACTTTAATTCATTTTAACGAAAAGGCAATAAAATGCATTAAAATGACTGCATAATGTCATTTTTGAAATTTTGTGTAAACATTTTAATTTGTTTTAATCAACCTCTTCTTACCGGGTTTCTTTCAACAAAAATATTCTAGTCACCGATTTATATTTAGTACGGGACACGTCTTGATAATTATACAGTCATTAAGAGAACGCTATTTGTACAACGTCGAATTTATTATAATCATCGAAATATTCCCCACTCACTCTTCACAGTTCTAGTGCAGAATATTTTGTATTGGTCATGACTCATAGTCTTACAACATGGTTATTATTTTTACAGAAAAAGGAGAAGTAACTGCAACAGAAGAAATGGGTCAATATCGACAATCCAGGGGTAATATCGTAGCTGGTGGTGGATATTCATCAGATATGCAACAGATAGTAGCTCAATTGTGCTACAACGCAACCATATCATCTACGACTGATCAACAAACATACATTCAATTGAATACAGCATTAACATATTCAGAATTAGAAAGCAAACTCGGAATATCTATAAGTGCGAGTGGAAAATACGCAATGTTCTCAGCAGAAGCAAAAGCAAATTACATGAGATCCATTCAAGACAAAGATTACTCAACATCGCTCAACTATTTCGAGTACAGTACGAATAATGTCGCAGTCCAACTCGCTGGTTACGGTACCAATGCACTGACCGAATCCGGTAAAGATATTTACAAAGACGGTAAAAATAAATTCTTTGGATTAGTGTGCGGCGATCATTACATCACTTCCTATCAACAGGGTGCACTTCTAACAATGGGACTAAACATCAGATTCACCAGTTCCAATGCAAAGCAGAAATTTGAAGCGAGAATTAGTGCTAAATTTGGAAACATTGCAAGCGCGGCGGGAAGTATAGAAGCCATTGCCAGCAAGCATAAAATTACCGGTTCGGTTATAATCCAAGCATTTCAAATGGGCGGCGAACCTAGTCAACTTTCAAAGATATTAAACAAAGACAATGAGGGTCAGTACTATGCGTTAACATGCAGTCTCTTGACAATGACTAATTGCATAAGTGCAGCAAGCGGTTTGTTAGATTACGCACGAGATGAATTCACGAAACAATTTTCATTTCAAACCAATACTGGTTTGACACCTTTGGGCATTGCTTTCACTCAGTACAATCCAATCGAGTACATAGGTTTGTCTTCTGATTCTCTAGTCACTCAAGAAGTGATAAACATTCGCAATGAACTCTCTAGTAAAGTCAAGGAGAATGAGTACTATCAGGAAAAACTCCATCCTTTCTTTAATAATGGTTATTTTCATAATGATGTTTTAGAAAATGATTTTCTCACTGCAGCTAATTTAATGTTATCCAAAACTAAAAATAATCTTGCTGTTCTAATGGATCCACATGGAGGTGCTGTTGATTGTTTCAACTATCCCAATAAGTGTAGAATCACAAAAAGTGACATTGATTCAAGACTAGAAACCATAGAATCTGGTGATTTTAAATTTTTAGATAGGGTTAAATATAAAATTACCATTTTTGGTGGTGCGTTGTATTTAAAAGGGGCTATTAGTTCAAATTTGTGGATTATTGTACCGAATGATAAGCTAGGAAAGAATAGCGTTATTGTAGTTAAGAGTTGCTTTATTTCGGATCATTCCTTCGACTATAATACACTAAATCCTATACCAGCTGCTTCACTTTTCTATGAGGTTAAATATTCTGGTAATTTAACTTCAAATGGTAGAGAATTTAAAGGTAGTTGGTGCTATCGATGTCATGGCTGTCATACTTGGGCTACTTGCATTGATGATTATATTGAAAGTATACTATTGTCCGAATTTTTTTTCGAATCTTACACTTCTGACAAAAAGACCGAAATAGAATAAAAGAATTAAAATTTTCCATATTTCCACTTTGAAATTCTTTGGAATTTTTCTATTCTGTTTAATCTCGAAAATTTCTTCTTATTTTCTATACCCTCAAAATTGGACTGCGCTCCAGCGCATTATCAAGGGATTTTAAATATTTTCTTGTGTCCCTTGTGTTATGTCATCGTAACCAATAATAATATGTAGAATAATAATAATATTAATAAATTTAGTAATAATTATTATTTTCACATTATTAACAAATAATAGATTTGTAATAACAAGTTAATAATAAATTGTAACAACTATAAATAATTAACAAATAACATAACAAATTATAGCAGGAACTGTCCCATTGTAAGCACCAATAATATCTAAGGAGATATTTACACAGAAGTAATAATTTTACACAATTTTGACTAAACATTGCAAGTATCAAGTAAATCTTTAATAAATTTTTATGAAAATTTCGATGCTGTAAAGAAAGAGAGAAAGAAATAAATACGCAGTACGAATGATTGCGTGTATCTCATTTGCCACTAATAAAAAAAGTAAAACAAAAAATAATAACTTTGAAAGCTAATAATTTGTTTTTAAGATTAAATTTGTGATTAGCTTATTAAACCCACCGGAATTGATGTTAATGTTTAACGTGTACTGAGAGAGAACTGTTACATTTGTACACGTGCAACAAAAGTGAATAAAGTTCTATAAAATATTTGTTAGTTTATTTATTTTTTTTACATAAGGTAAAGTAATTACTCTGGATTTGAAAAGAAGTTTCTATAGTTTTTTTATAATTTAGTTTTGATTAACTTAACGTAATCTATTGGACTTTACGTAACCTTAAGAGGCTGTCCATAAAAATTAAGGATGGCATTTTTGGAAAACTTGACTTCCCCCTCGTACAATATTTTAACATATATTAGCGCCATTTTTTCTAATCTTTTTTAAAGGATTTTAATGAAAATAGAAAATACAGCAGATTTTTATAATTTGTGTTTGATAAAATTTAAATTATTTTCGGAAATCTACCATCTTCAAAAACTTTTAATTACTATTTTTCAAAAACCTAATTTTTATCAGAATTTCCAAATTAAATTTTTTAAATTACTATCATTATTGTAAATTATGTTTGAATACTTATTGTTCTTTATTTGTTTAAAATATCGAAATATTTTCAATGTAAAACTATTTGGGAAATTTTTTAATTGAAAATTTCATGTGCAAGTCTTCCAAAATTCAATTAATTTTTAGAATTTTTGAATAATATTATTATTATTATTATTTTCTTTTTAAATATTTTCAATTTTAAAACAAAATGTATTGAAAATCATCGAATTGTTGCGAAGAATTTTATCAAAAAGCTTGATAATAATAGAATTCCTTCAAAGAATTTTATTATTTAGGAAAATAAGTTTTCCTTTTATTAAAATTTTATTTTTATTTTTTTTTATTAAAATTTTTCAAAATAGTAATTAAATTCTTTTGCAGAATTTCTTTGAAGTTTTTTTTAAACTAATGGAGAATTTTATAGAAATATTTGAAAATAATGAAATTTTTTCGAGAAATTCAATTAAAGTTGTTTCAAAAATAATTGAATTTCTTTAAAGAATTTTATTAAAATTAAGGATATTCAAAATAATTATTGAATTCATCACAAGAATTTTGTTATTTGTTGAAAATAATTGAATTTTTTCAATTTTTTTTTTCATCTGAGGAATTCAATTAAAATTGTTTTGAAAATAATTGAATTCCTGCAGCAGAATTTTACTGTTTATAAAATTAATTGAATTCTTGCCAAGAATTTTACAATTTATAAAAATAATTGAATTGTTTCGAAGGATTCAAGTATTACATTTTAGAAAATAATTGAATTTATTCGAAATGAATTAAAATTTTTTTGAAAAATTGAATTCTTCAGAGGAATTTAATTAAAATTGTTTTGAAAATAATTGAATTTGTGCAAAGATTTTACTATTTTTAAAAATAATTAAATTGTTTCGAAGGATTTATTAAAAATTTAGAAAATAATTGAATTCTTTTTTGAAATTTTATTAACATTTTGTTAGAAATAATTGAATTTTTGCAAAAAATTTTACTATTTTTAAAAATAATTGAATTTTTCCGAAGAATGTTATTATTTATGTAAAAATAAGTACATGCTTTTAGATTTTTCTGATATTAATGTTTAAAAATGAGCTTGTTGAGTGTTTCCACTTATTGGTAGTTCAGATTTTCAGAAAATCAGCCCCTCTACTATCAATGTGTGTGTATTAGTGAGCAGTGGGGACAAATTTTAATGAAACGTCTTGATCAATCAGAGTGGATAAGATCCTTTTCACCGTGGAACGTCACATATAAATTTACATATAATATTTTCTTTCTCTATTGTTATAAATTTGTTCTCTAAAGTGTAAAAAAGATTTTTGCACACTTGTAGTGTGTGTGTTATTTGAAGTTATAAGAGTTACTGATTTACATGTTGAACAAACAAATATTTATTTAATCATTCAAAATAGAAGATTATGGATGCTTCATATCTCTATACTTTTAAAGAATATACTTCAAATGAAATTTGAATTTTAAGTAATACCGAAATCGAGTGAGTATATTTTCAAATTTGATTATTTACAAACAAAGTTGTATAATATTATTAATGTAATTATGTAAACAATGATTTAATAAGAATAATATTTAGTGCATGCAAATTTTGTTATCGTTATTATTTTTGACTAATATTAATTAAATTCGACATAAAAGTTTATTATTTTCTTTTATCAATTATTAGAATATAGTTAATATTTCGCGTTAAATTGTGATTTATAATTAATTGTATTTAGAGGGTCGAATTTGAAATTTTTCATTTACTTATTTTGAGATTAAAATTATTTTAAATATTGAAAACGTGAGGATTCATAAAATTGTATGATAATTATTTCTCATAATTTTTATGAATATCCTCGTATATAAAATATTTATAAGTCTTCTATGAGTTTAAGGCATTTTTATATAATATTTTTGCAGGAGTTGTTAATTGTCAAACGATTGAAAGATTTGTTTGAAAATCATGGCATCACTGATTAATCTTACAATAGTGGAAAAGGAAATCACCACTAAATCTCCGTTTATTTTTGATCCACATGTTGGAGAATATTTTCTATTTTTAATAACAATTCCTGCAGAAACTGTGCTGAATTCCAGTGAATATAAAACCAGCGCAGTTTTACAGGAAAGTCCATTGATAACCTGTGATATCAAATTTAGTAAAATTGGCACTTGTTTGAGTGGGGAAATAAACTTTTCAGAGAATTCATCAAATAAGCAATATGCAGTAACTCTTTACTACATAAATTCTGAGCATAAATTTGAATTATCAGAAACAATTGATGTGCCACCTATTAAACATAAGTGTTCTCATTTCTTTAATCATGAATATAAATGTGTTAGACATAGTAATTTTAAAACGTACGTTCTATGTGAAAATTCCATCAACAACAGTTTTTATATATATTCTGCAAAGTAGCTGTGAAAAACCTTTCATCTGAAAATCTAAAGATTTCAGAAAAGGAAACACCCACGAAATTAGATTCTATTTATAAAGAAAAAGAATTCACTGATTTCAAGATCATTTGCCAGGATCAAGAGTTCTTGATTCATAAAGCTGTTCTTTCGCAATCATCTCCTGTTTTTCGTGCCATGTTTGATATCCCAATGAGAGAGAGTAAAGAGAACAAAGCCGAAATTAAAGATTTCAGTCCACCCGTCGTTGAATTAATGCTACATTACATGTACTCCGAAGAAATTAAGAATGATTTATCTCTTGAAACATTGAAACAACTTATGGAAGCTGCAAATATGTATCAACTAGAGGATTTAAAAAAGCTATGCTTGAGGGAAATATGCAAATTTATCAAAGATATCAGTGACGTTGTAAATATCAGTATCTTCATTGGAGCTGAGTTTAAAGAAGATTTGATTGAACGTATAAAACATATCAACCTTCGTGAATTTTAAAGAAAAAACTTCTTTCATTTTCAAGAGGAAACTAGGTTTAAATTTATTTTAAAGACAAAATTACGTTCAAGTTTAATTTAAAGGATAAACAAAGATTATGTTTGTTTTAAAGAATATGCTTTAAGTTTACTTTACGTAAAAAGCCACATTTCATGAAATGTTATTTTAAAAAGTTCCATTTAAATTATTTAGAAAATTGTCATAATGCTTTACAAATTTTATTTATCATCACTCAAACTGTAAATTTTAAACGAGCAAAATATTCCAACACATCGTTTACAAACTGTTTAGTTTCTTCAATTTATTTCTGTAAAAAAAATAATATGTATATTTAAAACTATCATTAAATGCACTATATTTTGCAAAATCCAAACTATTTATTTCATAGACTTACAATTAGTAAAATTATTTAATTATTACAATAATCTTACGAATTTCCTTTTTCAATAAACACTACTTTTATTGATTTTATTTTCATAATGCGGGCATTGAAGTGTTTTAAAATTTTCTCTAATTAGAATATTAATAATAAATCCAGTTAAAATTTGAAAAAAAGTATATTTTAACTTTTTGACTTTATAAATTAAATAAGTCATAAAGTCAGTAAGTATATTTTTCATTAAGGGGCCGTCCATATATTACGTAACGCTAATTTTTGAAAATTTTGACCCCCCCCTCCCCCCATGTAACACGCTGTTACATACATTAGCGCCATTTTTTTGGCTTATCGTAACAAACAGCTTGACCCCCCCTCCCCCCAAAAAGTGTTACGTAATATATGGACGATCCCTAATTCAGATAAAATATTATTTTTAAGTATTATCAACTATTATGAAGAAAAGTATAACTAGTCAGTGATAATTTGATAAGAATATATATATATTTTTATTTTATTTATTTATTTTATAAAATTTATTATTACATACTTTGAACAATCTTCTTCTCAAAAATTTTTTAATTTCAATAGAACCGAAATAATTATTAATAAAACTTTATTTTTACTAGTCTTAAATTAATTAATACAAAAGAATTATTTGAGCCTCAATTTTTAAATTATTCTAAATAATAATTTCTACTCATAATAATTGAAACCTACTTTTAAGGTGGTTTTATATTATTTTGATCCATTAATGTCTATTTATATAATTCATGTACTTGGGAATAATAATAATAACAACAATATAACGACTTAATGAAAACGCCTATTGTATTGAAATATTGTCAATGAGTTTGAAGTGTATAACTGAACCATGATAGTCATTGTAAAATATTATCTCCGCATATAATATAAATTACCAATAAGACTGGAGTAAAAATAAACGAACAAATTATATTATTACATACTGACTTATGTTTCACGTATATAATATTAATTTTTAATAATTAAATATTGTGTTATTTACAATTCTAAATAAAATATTGAAAAGGAAGTGTGATATTATAAAAGTAAGTAAATATGAATTTGAACTATTCTTGTAATTTTTATTGATTTTCATTGCCGAATTTTTATATACTTATTTCATATAATTTTGAACAATCAATCGTATGGATTTTCAAAAATTTTGATTTTTTCGAAGAATCAAATTTTTTGAAAAATAAAAAAAATTATAAATCAGTCAAAAATTACATTTATTAATTATCTATAGTGTAATATGATTTCAGATACTGAAAAATTGTAAAAAAAATATGTTGATACCCCTAAAAATGGTCATTTTTAATTGGCTCAAATTTTACTTTAGTAGATCTTAAAAAATTCAACTACATCCACATTTGTTATTATTTTTTGTAGGCTCTTCTTACGATTTTAAATAATCAATAAATCAATCGTATAGATTTTTAAAAATTTTAATTTTTTCAAAAAAATAAAATTTTTAAAATGGCCGAAAATTTTTTTTTTTTCAATTTTAACTGTCAATAAATTTAGTTTCTAAATAATGCCCAGAAAAAAAATTGTCCTGTTTTAACAACGTAATTATCAAAAGGGTTAAAACTTCACCGGTCCCTCACATTAAAATTTTTTTGAAAGTTAAACTTTAAACAAAAAATTTAATTAATTTTCTAGAAACATCAAAAGAATTTTTGAGTTTACCTTGTTTTATTAAAAGTAACATAATTTCTGAAATAATTGACATCTTTTCATATTTTATATTTATAAAATCATTATGATTTTAAAAGGTATAGACTATTTTTTTTTCTTGTAAAAACTTCAACATCTATTACCTATTCAGAAACTATTTAAATTTTTAACGAATTTAATTTCTCATTGCAAGTGATATCTTTTTTAAGTTTTAAGCCCAGGAACATTAAAATGATTCAATTATTTTAATTAATTTTAACAAAACAATGAAAATTATCATATTTATAATATTATATAGGTATATTAAGTGTTAAATAATAAATTATTATTAATAAGTACTTCTGATTTTTTTTATAGGTGTGTTATTCACTTGGGCGCAGAAACAATAAGGATCTTTGGAAACTATGGCGACGATTATTAATGTTTTAAAACTGGAAGAGAAAATGTTTCCTAATTCTTTACGAATTTTTGATCAAAATGTTAGCAAACATATGTTATTTTTAATAACAATTCCCGAAGAAAATTTGCTTCAAAATAGTGAACATGTTGCATCTGCAGTTTTACAGGAAAATCCATTGATAACAATTGATATTAATTTTATTAAAGTTGGTGGTATTAATTTAAGTGTGAGATTGAGTTTTTCGGAGCAACCATCAAAACAAATTCACAGAGTAACTCTTTACTACATGAATTCTCAGTATGAAGTTGATTTATCCGAAACAATTGAAGTACCACTCATTTCTCATAAATGTCAGCATTTTTTTAAAGAACATTATCAAATTTTGCGTTTGTTTCACAGTAGCAGAAGTCAATATTATGATGTTCTTGATAATAAATTAATTAATAATAATTTACACGTCCTCTGCAAAATAGAAATTAAAAATGTTCCATCTGTTAAACTTGATGTTTTAAAATCAGAACAACATACAAAACTCGTCTCCATTTGCAGAGAAAAATTACTCCCTGATTTTAAAATTATTTGTCAAGATACAGAGAATTTGGTCCATAAAGCAGTTCTTGCACATTCGTCACCTGTTTTTCAAAAAATGCTCGAAACTCCAATGAAGGAATCACAAACTAATGAAATCAAGATCAACAATTTTCAACCAGATGTCGTCGAACTAATGATAAACTCCATGTACTCCGATAATGAAATTCAGGAAGATGAATTATCTCAAGAAACTTTAAAAGCACTTTTTAAAGCAGCACACATGTATCAATTAGAAGGTTTAAGAAAAATTTGCTTAAAGAAAATGTTTAAAATAGCAAAGGATATCAGTGAAATTATGGATGTCATTTTATTTGCTGGATCCGAGTATAAAGAAGAAATGGTAGAATTTTTTAAAGATGTTCGTTACACTCTATTGTTAAGTGATTAATTCCAGTAATCTAAAAGTTATTTAAAAAATACTTTTCGCTTCATGTTTAAAATTAAAAATTTTACACCAGAAAAATATATCATTTAGTTAAGTTTGTTAAAATATAAATATTAGTAAGTAAAACAAAAAGTAAATATTAAATTGAAAACAATGCACTAAATAGAAATATCATCAAATGGCTATATTCTGTGAAGTGAAAATTAATTATTTTTATATTAACGATTAAAGAAATTATTCATATTCTATTTCCTAGAAATGGAAATAAACTGCGACTTTAAAATTTGTTAAAAGTTTGAATAGTTAATGAAATTCAAAAAAATACCATCTGCATAACAGTCGATTCACAATGTTAACAACCAAAATAAAAGCATCCATTTTTATATCTATAATAATAACATTAAACTCGATTTCCATTACTTAAATCTATATTTAAGAAGCAGTTCTTAAAAATAGTGAAATTTTTATAATAAAAAGTATGAAGGATACTACAGTTACCAAAAATTATAAACAATTAATTAGTTGTTAGTTATCTTCTTCTTTACATTATTCACTTCATTATATTCTTTCATCTATCGCTTAGCCTTGTAAAATTTAACTCAAAGTTTAGTTATAAATATTATACCTATTGCACGAATATTCATAAACAAAATATCTGCATTTACTTTGAAAATAAAAAGCGATGCAGTGAAAAATATACAAATATAAATAATTTTTCTTTCTTTATGCGAGAAAATAAGTTTTACATATTTCAAACACCTGTAATTTTCTGTTAAATCTATAAATGTACGCACTAAATATGTATTGCCAAACGAGATTAGATTTCGAGAATTATGTCTATGTATGTACAAGAAAACAAATAAAAATTTATCGAAATTCGTGTTAAAAATATAAAGTTCTATTTGATTCGTTACACAAATAATACATATAAAATACCGGAGGGAAGGGAAAAGTTCTTGAATTTACCCCCACTTATCAAAATTTGTTCCCATAAATATTTGGACCTAGAATTAAGAATTTAAAATTTTGACTAAAAGAATTCATTTGAAATTTTGAAAAAGTCTTCGAGTCTTCTTGAAAAACTTTTGCTTCGAGTATTTATGTTGTAATATACCAGTTTTTCAGTTTTTTTTACACATTATAAGTTTTTGTATTAAAAATGAATTTAATAGTTAATTTCGTTTTTGTTCTGATTTACGTCTCTATCAGCATTGATGGTAATAATTTTTAAATTTATACAATATTATTTGTTAAAAATTTTTATATTGGAAGTTTTATAATTTTCTAGAATTAGTGGTACGGTTCTTGACCCTCTTTGTAGAAATTAACCCATATTGCGCACAAAAATTTAATTTTGCTTTTTTCTGATTTCCAGACGAAATTTCGACTTTTTCTCTTAAGAATATTCTGATTTACTCTAAAAATGATTAGTTACTAAAAAAAATGTTCTATTATACCTATTTATTCACTGATTTCTATAATTGCAAAATTATTCAAAAACATCAGTAACCCGTCTACATATATATGCTAAATAAATAAATAAATTTCTTTTTTAAATAAATATTTAATCATTATTTTTCCATAGGAATGAAGATTTTCAAAAATTTCAATTTTAGACCGTCTTGAAATTAATTCGACAGAATTATTAGTTAAAAGTACTAAAAATTTAAGTTTTCAAAGATTTTAATTTGAAACCCTTTTCGAAACTCAATTATCTCTAAAAATTCACGCTATAAATGCTTTTCATATTCAATTATTGTTTAAAATTTTGAATAAAATTCATTTTTAAATCAATTTTTATGAAGAAAATTCTACGAGAATTCAATTATTTAAATATGAAAATAAATAATTTTATCAACAAATTTTTGAAATAATTGAATACTTTTGACGAATTTTAATAAAATTTTTAAGAATACTTAGTTTTTCACAGAATTGAATTAAAATTGTATTTAAAATAATTGATTTTCTACGATGAGTTTTATTATTAGTTAAAAAATTATGAAAAATTAAAATTTTTAAAGTTTTAATTTGAAATCTTTTCCAATTATTTAAAAAAAATTCATGCGCTATAATGCTTTTAATATTCAATTATTATGTAGTAGAATTTTAACTGAAAATTTTTATTAAAAAATTCTACGAGAATTGATAATTAAAATTTCTAAAAAAATTTTGACTATTATTATGAAAATAATTGAATTCTTGTAAAAATTTTTTTTAATATATATAATTGAATTTTTTTGGAAAATTTTATTAAAATTGTAGATAATTAGTAAATAAATAGTATAGTCATTGAATTGAAGAAAATTGTTGACAATGATTGAAATTTTGACAAGAATTTTATCAAAATTTTTAAAAATAATTGAAATTTTATTATTAAATGAAAATAATTGAATTCCTGTAAAAAAAATTTATTATTTGTTAAAAGTAATTGAATTATTGCAAAGTTTGTAGAAAATTTGAAAATAATTGAATTCCTTTAAAATTTTTATTATTTATAAGAAAATAATTAAATATTTGCGTATAGAATTTAAAAAAATTTTGTTTTTAACAATTTTTATAACTTCTCTAAAATGTAATTTTTTAATGTTTTTAACTATAAGTTATTTCTTCTATTCATCTATTATTTTCAATAATAAGTTTTAACTTTCCCTGTCACATATATTGATATATTACAAAATTTAACTAATTTCAGAAGAATTTATAAATTATTAAAATTTTTAAAAAATCTAAGTTCTTGTGATTAAATTCATTAAAAATTCAAATTTTCTAAAGTTTCATATTAAAACCTTTTGAAGTTCATCTATTTGTGGAAATTATATATATGAATACAACTTATAAAATTGAATTAATTTTCAAATATATAAATAAAATTATTAATTAAATAATTTCTAAGTATAATAATTTTATGATATTATAGTTCTTTAAGAATTAAGTTATTGAAGAAGAAATTACTGTCAGAAATAGAAAAAATTTATGGTTTTTTATTAGGATTCGTGGTAATATTTAATATAGCTTATGATATTGAAGCAAACAAAAAAGATACAAAAATTCAGAATTTTCTTATGAATTTAAAAAATTTAATTTTTTCCAACACTATTAATAAGAATCTCTGACTTTTCTCTGAATAACCAAACCTGTGGCAACCCTGATTAGGAGTGTATTAAATATAAAATATTTGGAGTTTAGTTACTGTTTTTCGTGGAGCATCACATGATATTTAATCGAATACTCTATAAATTGAAGAAAGAAAAATTTTTAATGTTGTTTTTTCTACTCTAAAAGCTTATTATGACGTAAAGGATGGACGATTCAACATTGAGTCAGAAGCACCCAAACTGGGTAACAAGAAGGAAGAATACGAAATTCATTTAATCGACAACAATTCTACCAAACTTGGCCAAAATTTCGCAGATTCTCTAGTCTACAATGAAGGCAGTTTTGGACATTCATCAGGAACTAGTAATCCTAACGGTAGGAACAAACAGAAATTATTTCTAAAAATATTCGGAATTTACGATATTCATGGAATGCCCTTTTGGGACTTTGATAATTGTGGACATTCTTAAGGAGATCGTAAATTCCGGATAAATAGCTCTAAACTACATTTATGGTTATTTTTACAGAAAAGGGAGAAGTTACTGCAGCAGAAGAAATGGGTCAATATCGACAATACAAAGGTAATATCGCAGCTGGTGGTGGATATTCATCAGATACACAACAAATAGTAGCTCAATTGTGCTACAACGCAACCATATCATCAACTTCTGATCAACAAACATACATTCAATTGAATACAGCATTAACATATTCAGAATTAGAAAACAAACTCGGAATATCTATAAGTGCGAGGGGAAAATACGGAATGTTCTCAGCAGAAGCAAAAGCAAGTTACATGAGATCCATTCAAGACAAAGATTACGCAACATCGCTCAACTATTTCGAGTACGCTACGAGTAATGTCGCAGTCCAACTCGCCGGTTACGGTACCAATGCACTGACCGAATCCGGTAAAGATATTTACCAAGAAGGTAAAAATAAATTCTTTGGATTAGTGTGCGGCGATCATTACATCACTTCCTATCAACAGGGTGCACTACTAACAATGGGACTAAACATTAGATTCGCCAGTTCCAATGCAAAGCAGAAATTTGAAGCGAGAATTAGTGCTAAATTTGGAAACATTGCAAGCGCGGCGGGAAGTATAGAAGCCATTGCCAGCAAGTATAATATTACCGGTTCGGTTATAATCCAAGCATTTCAAATGGGCGGCGAACCTAGTCAACTTTCAAAGATATTAAACAAAGACAATGAGGGTCAGTACTATGCGTTAACATGCAGTCTCTTGACAATGACTAATTGCATAAGTGCAGCAAGCGGTTTGTTAGATTACGCACGAGATGAATTCACGAAACAATTTTCATTTCAAACCAATACTGGTTTGACACCTTTGGGTATTGCTTTCACTCAGTACAATCCAATTGAGTACATAGGTTTGTCTTCTGATTCTCTAGTCACTCAAGAAGTGATAAACATTCGCAATGAGCTTTCTGATAAATTAAAGGAAAATGAATACTATCAGGAGAAACTCTATCCTTTCTTTAATAAAGGTTACCCTGTCGATTTAGATACTAATTTTCAAACTGGACTTAATCGAATTTTATCCAAAAGTAAAAATAATCTTGCTGTACTGATGGATCCACATGGAGGGGCTGTTGATTGTTTTAACTATCCCAATTTGTGTAGAATCAAAAAAAGTGACATTGATTCAAAACTAGAAACTATAACCGCTGGTGATTTAAAATTTGTAGAAAAGATAAAATATAAAATTACCATTTTTGGTGGTATGTTGTATAACAAAGGTAAGGATTTTAATACATATTCGTGGATTGTTGTACCTAATGATGGTACCGGAAAGGAAAGAGTTAGTAGTGTTATTATGTGGTACATTTCGAATTATACCTTCGGGTATGATACACTAAATCATGTACCAGTCACTACACGTTTATATGAAGTGAAATTTTTTGGTAATTTAACTTCAAGTGGTAATGCATTTGAAGGTAGTATGTGCTCTCGAGTTGAAGGATCAACCTGGAATCCTTGCCAATATGGTTATATTGAAAGAATACTATTGTCGGAATTTTTTTTCGAACCTTACACTTTTGACAAAAAGACCGAAATAGAAAAGAATTAAAATATTCCATATTCTCTAAACTTCGGAATTCTTTAGAATTTTTCTATTCTATTTAATCTCGAAAATTTCTTATTTTCTATATACTTTCAAAATTGAACTGCGCTCTAGCGCATATCAAGGGATTTTAAATATTTTCTTGTGTCCCTTGTGTTACGTCATCGTAACCAATAATAATATGTAGAATAATAATTAATAATGATAATGTAATAATAATGCATTATAATAATCGTAAGTTTCCCTTTCCGTTAGCAAATTCTCTGCATTCATTTGTTTGTTTGAAAATCAATTTTTGTGAGTTATTGTCATTTTTTTTTTAATGTTAAAAACAACCAAAAAAAAACTCATTTTATTTTCTTCACAAAATTGACAAAAAAAATCCATTTTTTTTTATTTTCCTGACTTATTCCTAATTTTCATCAAAAATATTTACTTTTTTCTTATCCTGATAATAAATTGAATATACCTGGCTACGAATTTTATTATTCATGCGAAATAATTCCAAATATATATATATGTAAAAAATAATTTAATTCTTGCGAAGAATTTTTATAAAAATATTTAAATAATTGAAAATTATTAAATTGCGAAAAGTTTTTAAAGATAATTAAATTTTACAAAGAATTCTATTGAAAAATTTATTTGAAAATAAAATTTAATTCATAAAAAAACATTTTATTATTTTTTATGAAAATAATTGAATCCTCGCGAACGATTTATTAGAATTTTTCAAAATAATGTAATTTCCAAGTTAAGAAATTTATTACTTTTAAAAATTATTAAATTATTGTGATATGAAGATTGTTATTTATGAAAATAATTGAATTTTGCAAAAAATTTTTATTAAAATACATGAAAATAATTGAATTTTTCAATAAATTTTTTTAATAATTCCTGAAAATTGAATTTAGACCAAAAATTTTATTAAAATGCATGAAAATAATTGAATTTTGCAATAAATTTTTTAAAAACGCCTAAAAAATGGAATTTTGACATAAATTTTATTAAAATTCATGAAAATAATTGAATTTTGCAATAAATTTTTTAAAAACGCCTAAAAAATGAAATTTTGACATAAATTTTATTAAAATTCATGAAAATAATTTAATTGTGTAACGAATTTTGATAAAATTCCTGAAAATTGAATTTTTGACAAAAATTTTATTACAAAATTTATGAAAATAATTGAATTTTGCAAAGAGTTTTATTAAAAATATAGATGAATTAGAATTTTAAGAAAATTCCAGAAAAAAATTGAATTTTGCAAATAAATTTTTTAATAATTCCTGAAAATTGGAATTAGACAAAAATTTTATTAAAATGCCTAAAAATATATTGAATTTTGCAATCAATTTTTTAAAAATTTCTAAAAAATGGAATTTAGACATAAATTTTATTCAAACTTCGGAAAATAATTGAATTTTGCAAAGAGTTTTATTGAAATTATAGATAAATTATAATTTCAACAAAATTCCAAAGAAATTGAATTTTGAAAAGAATTTTATTAAAGTTCATGAAAATAATTGAATTTTTCAAAAAATTTGAAAAAAAAATCTTGAAAATTGAATTCAGACAAAAAATGTTTTATTAAAATTCCTGAAAATAATTGAATTCTGCAATAAATTTTTTAAAAATTCCTGAAAATTGGAATTTAGACATAAATTTTATTTAAATTCATGAAAATAATTGAATTGTGTAATGAATTTTAATAAAATTCCTGAAAATTAAATTTAAAAAAAAATTTTATTAAAATTTCTGAAAATAATTTAATTTTGCAAAGAGTTTTATTAAAATTATAGATAAATTTGAATTTTAATAAAATTCCAGAAAAAAATTGAATTTTGCAAAGAGTTTAATTAAAATTCATGAAAATAATTGAATTTTGCAATTAGATTTTTTAAAAATTCCTGAAAATTGGATTTAGACAAAAATTTTAGTAAAATTCCTGAAAATAATTGAATTTTGCAACGACTTTAATAAAATTCCTGAAAATTGAATTTAAATAGAAATTTTATTAAAATTTCTGAAAATAATTGAATTTTGCAAAGAGTTTTTTTAAAATTATAAATGAACTACAATTTTGACAAAATTCCAGAAAAAAATTGAATTTTGAAAAGAGTTTTATTAAAGTTCATGAAAATAATTGAATTTTCCAATAAATTTTAATAATAAATCTTGAAAATTGAATTCAGACAAAATTTTTTATAAAAATTCTGAAAGTAATTGAATTTTGCAATAAATTTTTTAAAAATTCCTGAAAATTGGTTTTAAACCAAAAATTTTATTAAAATTCATGAAAATAATTGAATTTTGCAACGAATTTTAATAAAATTCCTGAAAATTGGATTTAGACCAAAAATTTTATTAAAATTCATGAAAATGAATGTGTATCTTATTTGCCACTAATAAAAAAAAAGTAAAACAAAAAATAATAACTTAAAAAGCTAATTTGTTTTTAAGATTAAATTTGTGATTAGCATAAACCACCGGAGTTGATGTTAATATTTAACGCGAACTGAGAGAGAACTCTCTTACATTTGTACACGTGCGACAAAAGTGAATAAAGTTCCATAAAATATTTCTTGGTGTTTCTTATTTTTTACAAGATAAAGTAATCCTACTCTGGATGTAAAAAAAAGTTTTTCTATAAAAAAAGAGTTCTAAAAAAAGAGTTCTAAAATAACTTTCTAATTTATTTTCTCTACGAATTTTATTTCACATTTCTTCATAATAATATACATAGAAATGTCTGCAAATAAATTCACTGTCACGTTGAGAACACCTGTAGGAGAAGAAAATCAGAAAACTATAAATTATAATGAATTTAATTCGAAGAAAAGAGAGAATACTTCATATTTTCAAACAGAATTAAAGTGGTTGAATATTGTAATTTTTTTCATTCTTCATTTCGTGGCAGTTTATGGCTTAATCACTTTCCCGTATTTACGGAAAAAGAGGACGTTTCTCTTTGGTAAAGTATTTCGATAAAAATTGATAAAAATATTAATTCAGTTTAATATTAACTTAACGTAATAATTAACATAACTTAATCTTAATTAACTTTCAGGTTAATTAAACTTTTTTTTTGAATATAAAAAATATTTATTCTACTTTTAGAGTACTTTGTGGCGCACTTGGTTGGTTTTGGAATAACAGCCGGTGCCCACCGTCTATGGACACATCAGGCCTACAAAACTAAATTACCACTGAAAATTTTACTTCTATATTGTTTCTACACATCGGGACAAGTAAATGTTAAAGTTTATTCTAAAATCAAGGTTTACGTTTTTATATAAATGTCTCAGCTCTGAAGAAAGGGACCTTTGAAGCAAGAATAAGTTTTAACTTATTTTCGTAAGTCCCTTTCTTTCACAGGGCGTCATATATAAAAATTACGAAATTTCTAAAGGACCACGGGAGATATGATGTAAATAATAAAATAATTTCTTTAGTTATCACTGTACAATTGGGTGAGAGATCATAGGGTTCATCACAAGTATTCCGAGACTAGAGCCGATCCACATGATAGTAGACGTGGTTTCTTCTTTTCTCATATCGGTTGGATTTTGATGAAGAAACATCCGGATGTATTGACAAGAGGACGTGAAATTGACATGAGCGATATTCTCTCAGATCGAATCGTTACATTTTGTGAAAAGTAAATCTGATTATTAATCTTTAAAATGCAGTCCTTTTGAAATCAATTTTCAAAAAAAAACAAAAATCAATTTTTGGGAAATTTAATTATTCTCTATTTCTCGCTTCTTACCGGTTGCTTAAAGGATAAACATAAATATAGTGTTAATTAAATAGTTTTTTCCCCATACAGGTACTGTGTAATTCTTAATTTTGTCTGCTGCTTTCTGATACCAATAATAGTGCCAGTGTACCTTTGGAATGAAAGTTGGTACTATTCGATATTGACAACAATGACGCGTTTCATCGTAACACTAAATTATACATGGAGTGTCAATAGCATTGCTCACATGTGGGGTTCGAAACCTTATAACAAGTAAGAATGCGCAATTCTTTCAAAAGAATTTTAGTTATTAAATTTTTTTGAAAATCTATGTTTTTTAAAATTTCTATAATTAAATTCATTTAAAATGGAAATTTTACAAAGTTTCAAATTAAAATCTATTGAAGTTCATCTATTTATGAAAATTGTAAACGCAACTCTTTTAAAATTTAATTTTAATATATCATTACAGAGGAATAGCTGCGGTGGAGAATAAATTTGTAGCCCATATAGCAATGGGAGAAGGCTTTCACAATTATCATCATGCATTTCCATACGATTATAAATGTGCCGAATTGGGAAACTATAGTCTCAACTGGACAACCTACGTAATTGATATGTTCGCAAAAATAGGTTGGGCATACGATTTGAAACAACCATCGAAAAAATTAATTAAGTCCGTCATGGAGAAGAGAGGAGAAGGAAATGAATTTCTTTGACATTATGGCAATAAGCCAAGCAATATTTTTTTTCAAAAAAGAAGATAAAAGAAAAACTAAAAATTCATGAAATTAATATCTAATAACGTTTATACGTTATTATTAACGTATAGCTATTGTTATACTCTTAAAAATTTTAATTTTTATAATTTTTTTTTTAAACCGTTAGGTACTGTAGTAAAATTCTAAGACAAAAAAGCGCACGTGGAATTTTGAAAAGAAGGAAAACGTACGTCTTTACGAATAAAGAAGATCTTGAATAAATTTTAGGAAAACTCAGTTACTTTTCAGGTTCTTATTCATATTGTCCGTAAAAGTAATTAACTTTTTAAAACGTCAGAAATTGTAAAAAATTGACCTTAGTGATATATTATTATTTATGTATTCACGAATGTAGTTAAGTTTTTTTTTTTTTTTTTTGAAGAATGCCTACATTTTTGGTTGTGAAAACTAGAAATTTCACTACAACGAACGCCTCTTGGAATTGCAAATTATTAATAATTAATTTAATTAATTTAATTATTATTATTAATTATTTAAATTTATAAAAATAATTAAAGTTGGTATTCATTCATTCATTTAACATGTCATTGAAAATTTGAAAGAATTATATAAAATTTCAAAAAAATTGTAACTTTCTATTAGGTAAATATTAAATAATAGAATTGTAATAATAAATAATAACAAATTTAAACAATTATAATTAACTAATAACAAAGTTAAACAATTATAATTATAAATAACAAATTGTAACAAATTATAAACAATTAATAACAAAATTATAAAATAACATGAGTAATAGGGAATGTACACGTGCGATCTAATAGTGAGTCACCACAAGAGTTCCTATAACAAAGGGTTTCTCAAATGCATGGAAAAATGAAACGATTCCTCAAATACATGGCAAAGTGAAACGATTCCTCAAATGCATGGCAAAGTGTAACGATTCTTCAAATACATGGCAAACTGTACAGTTTCTAAAAATACACAGGGAAATTTGGGTATAAGAAGGACACTAGGGATATAATAATTAGCATCGTAAGTCGTAACAAAATGTTAAAACTATAGGAACATTTTATTTTAAACTCTTTTCATGCTTTACAAGCGTGATTATAACAATCCTAATTTTTATGTGTTTAATATTTAAATTATAATTTTAAATCTTTACTTTTTAGTTTAAGAACATAAACTATCTTCGCTTTTTAAAAAAAACAATTTTAAACTTAAATCGTCAACTTACTGACTTATTAAAATTTTAGTATTAAAATATTTTAAAGATTACAATAAAATGAGAATGAAACCAACATTGCGGTTTTCAACTATTTTTTTTCAACTTTAAACATCGTTGGCCGATAATCCCTGCATGGATTAAGTAAAATAAAGCAGTAATAACAGCTCTGAGATTTAATTCCATGAGTCAAGTACGAATCCGAATATCTGCAGTATCTCGTCAATTGCTCGCTATTCAATTGATTTGGCAAATTAACAAACGCTCCAACATGATACTCTATTGAACATGTTTTCAAATGTTTAAAAGGCCAATGTTCATCGGGATGATAGTCCGGATCATCAGAAACATAACTGTAGACAAGCTCCGGACACTTTTGATTCGAATAAACTCTCTCGTACTTCAATTTCATGTCATCGCAAATTTTCTGCGTATTATTTCCCTCCGTCATTGGAATGACAATATTTTTTTCCACCACATTTTGCAATATTGTCTTCACACATTCCACATTGAACACAGTGAGACTCTTCAATTCAAGTTGAAAGCAATCTTCATAAATTTTATACACTATTAATGAGCGTAAACCTTCGGTGACTTGTGAGACGTGATATTGAGTGTTAATATCAAAAAGAACGAAACTCAATAATTTTTTGGTTTCGTGAATGAATTTTTTTCTCATCTCGGGAAAGTAGATTTTCCCACCCTTACAGTAAGTTGGACAGACGACGATTAATAATTTTTTCAAACCATTTTCTTTTATATTTTCACGAGGAAGACGAAAATCGTATTTCTCGTAAATGACGAATTTATATGGAATTACTTGAAAGTTTTCGCCCAATAATTTCGAGGTGATTGATTGTCCAAGGTGATTTAGAAAAGAATTATCGCCGTCCAATTGTCTGCTTCGTGATTTACGAAATTTTTTACGAATATTCTCAGTAGCGGATTCAACAGAAGGATAATTATCGAAATTTATCAGTGACATTTTTTCATCAGTGATATTTAGAAGATCAATTTTTTGCTCGTCCAGAAAGAAAGTGGCATTCTTGCAATTACTAATTCCTGTTTTGATTCCCCTGTTTTCCAATAAATGAATTTCTTTCGATAAATCGTCGAAGGAGTATTTAATCCGTTTTTCGGGTGGTTGAACCAAAACGCTGGCGCCTGCTGAAAATTTATTAAAAATTATTCTTCATAATAAATAATTATTCAAATACAGGGTTGCCACGCATTTACTCATTTCAAATTCCCAGGACATTTCAAGGTTAAAAAACGGAATTTTTCCAGGTTTTTAAATTTATATTTAACAAAATTTTTAATTCGAACCTTTTTGAAATTAAACAACTTATAAAAAAATTGTTATAAAACATAAAGAAATCGAGTCTTCGACTCGGAGCAATCGATTTCTTTATGTTTTATAATAATTAAAAATTACTTTAATCATTTCAATTCAATTACTGTTTTCCAGAATATCTAACTAAAATTCTTCTTTAAATTAATTATTCATTCATTTTTGTTTTAAACATTTCTTTCAAAATTTTCAAATCCTTTTGTTTACAATTCAATTTTAACGAAATTTCATCGATTATTCGAAAATTCTTCAATCAAATATTAGAAAATAAAAACTTCAAATTAAAAAAAATCAATTGAACTTTTACAAAAAAAAAATTAAATCTACACAATTTTTAGTTAAAAGTATGAAAAATTCAAACATTCAAAGATTATAATTTGAAACCTTTTCAAAATTCAATTATTATCCAAAGTTTTCGCTGAAATTCATATATTTGAATAAATTATTATTAGAAAATTCTACGATACTTTAATTATTTAAATACAAAAAAAAATTATTGAAGAATTGAATGTTTTTTTAAAATTGAACTCTCATTTAAAGAATTTTATCAACAAATTTTTAAATAGGTAATGAAAATTCTTCTGCAGAATTACAATAAAAATTTTAAGAATAATTTCATTTTTCGAGAAATTATATTAAAATTGTATTAAAAATAATTGAATCTCATCTGTAAAAAATTTGAATAAATTGAGAAAAGTTTTTGAAAATAATTGAAATTTTGACAAGAATTTTATTAAAATTTTTGAAAATAATTGAAATATTGTCAAGATTATTATTAAACTTTTTAAAAATAATTGAATTTTTAAGAGAAATTTTAATATTTATAAAAATAATTGAAATTTTGACAATAAATATTTTAAACTTTTGATCATATAATTGAATTTCTGCGAAGAATTTTATTACTTTTGAAAATAATTGAATTCATCAGACAAATTTTATTAAAATTTATTTTTAAACAATTGAATTCTTTTGTGAAAATTTATTGAAATAGTAGATATTGAAAATAATTGAATTTTGATAAAATATGGAAATTAATGAAATTTCTACGAAGAATTTTATTAAAATTAATTTCGAAAATAAATTGAATTGTTAAAAAGAATTTCATTAAAATTTTTAAAAATAATTTAATTCTTTCAAGGAATTTAATTAAAAATATATTGACAATAATACTTAAATTCTAATAAATAAATTATAGGAAGGCTTTTTAAAATAATTGAATTTCTTTGATTAAATTTAGTAAAATTTTTATACGAATACTTACATTTTTCGAGAAATTCCATTAAAATTGTATTAAAAATAAATAAAATAATTAAAATTCTGCGATGAGTTATATTATTTATGAAAATAATTGTAAATCTATAAAGTTTTTTATTATTTATGAAAATAATTGAATTTCTGGTAAAAAAATGTTATTCTTCATGAAAATAATTGAAAAACAGAAGCAGCAAAGCCAAAAAATTTTAGGTTATGTTTGAAGTGAAAAAGAATTAAAAGATTAAATTTCACTACAACTTTAGTTCGAATTTTGAAATAAACTTTTATTCAATAAAATTACTTTTGATTTGTGCAAATCAAATAAAATTTTATTTCAATTTCCAAGGTGTCGATTACGTAAATTGATTTGATTTTGATCACATTTTGATTTTCACCGTATTTCAATTTTTTCACTATAGACACGTATTTTTCTGTGACAGTTCGTATTGTGAATAAATAAAAATAAATACCCTCCAGTAAATAAATAAATAAAATACCCAAATTCACCTCCCCCCTCACCCTTGTATTTTACTAAATAATTTTTTTCTGAAAAAGAAAACTTTCCGCAGATGAAAAATGCAATGAAAGTTAAAGAAAAATTTAACATATCAATTTTTTTTGCAAAATGGATTCGTTTTTCGAGAGGGGAAATTTTCATAAAATTTCGTTTGATTTTAGGCCTTTTTCTTTCGCTTATTTTATTCATAATGCTTTTTGTATACATACCTTCACTAGTCACATCAAACATGATTAACAGTCGAGTTTTTCTATTTATTACATTTAATTAAAAAACCAAGGACAAATTGCAAATCACATTTACGAAATGAACGTTATTCGCACGTTATTCAAGTTTCTAGAAGTTTCTGTCGTTTCTGTCTTTCCCATGAAATGCGACTTATTATGATTGCGACACAGTTTCAATAGTTGATGAATATTAAAGGCGCACTCACCGCTAGTAGGCAGCAATACAAATTTGAATTTACTGTCTTTTTCACTCTAATTGACTTTCTCTCTTACTCCAATTACTGCCTGCGCAGGCAGGCAGAGCTGTGAGTGCTCCATAACACAAGAGCACGCTATGCGCAAATTGCGCATTTAGAATAAAAAATTAAGGACCTCTTTACAATATTCAATAATTAATTAACGCTTTCAATAATATAATCTTCAATTAATTTATTAAATTTGAGTAAAAAACTAAATTATTTTCTCTAAATTAACAATTTTTAGCATTCATTTAAATTGTATTTAAAAAACAAAACGGGGGGAATTCCAAACTTTACTTACATTCATTAAGGCCCTTCTTCAATATTCAACCAGAACCATGATGCGGTAGACGCATATCGCTTGTTATAATTCTTCACCTTCCCATCTCTTTTAAGCAGACGATAAATTTTAATAAAATTTTTCCACCATAGAGGCGCGCATATCTGCTAATTTTTGAAAGTTTTTTTTTCTGTGACAGTGTCATTTCTATATAATCAAATTTTTCCTTGTTTTTGCATTCCGGAAAAAACTGATCGATCGTTGCGTTGCGGCAACGTGATCGTGATAATCATAGTGTAATCAGTACAGAAATAGTTGCTATTAACATCAAATTTAATAGAATCTTTATAAAGTCATCTTTTAATATTGAATCGTGTCCTATTTTCGTTTTTTCAACTTCAATAAATACACGTCTTTCAAAGAAAATGAATTCAATTTACAAAAGAAGCACGTTTTTTGTAAGTATAGTAAAATTTTACTTTTACTCCTCATGTTCCTCCATTCGGTGAAAATAACCAAAATGTATAATAGCGAATGTTACTATTTTAGTTTTTTTTTTACAACATTCTATTAATTTAAGAAAAATTTTCTATTACGTCGCTCTTATGTAATATTCTTCTTTCGTTAAATCGCGATAATGTATTTGAATTTTGAGGTTATGTCCGTTTGTTTACAATCGTTTCATTTTCTTTAATAATAATAAATAATAATATAGAAATAATTTAAATGATAATAATAATAGAGAAGAAAAAAATATATTTATTATTATTACATAAAGGAATCGATTCTTTTTTACTATTTTAATTTTTATTACCTTGACTCGGGGTGATCGTTGACTTGTTTATTCTACTATTCTGACGATTCTGTCGACCGAGTGGTAACATAATTATTAATAATATTATTATTTATTTTTACAATTATTATTAGGTACCTATTATTTTTATTATACGAAAGTAAATTTTAAGTAGGTATTTAAATATTTTAAATAAACTATAAATTTTTAGAGATATTAAAATAAAGTGATAAAAATATAAGTAGTTAATTAAAATTCAGATAATATTTTTGTAGCCTTTGGTCTATTAAATATGAACGATGTTTTGTTCATAAAAGAATTTTCATATATTTAAAAATTCAAATTCGTCTATGCATTTCGTCGTGATATTACGACTCTTCAAGACTGTAAAAAATATATATATGACAGATGAGAAAATTTCGTCGAGAAAAAACAAAAAATAATAAAGTAGAAAAAACATACCAACATGAGAATTTCGAGATAAATAATAATAATGGGATTTTTGATCAAACCATTATACATACAAAAAAACATAAAAACAAAAATAAAAGATGACAAAAATTAAATTAAAATTATAATAAAATTAAATAAATTATAAATTAAAAATTAATTAATTATAAATTATAATAAAAATTATTTGTATTTTAATGAAAATAATGAATTTTAGGTGCGACCGTTAATAAGAAGAGCTTTATTCAGTACCAGTATTGCATTTAGAAATGAGAAAAAAGATTTCAATGATATTATCAATCCAGAAGGTCACGAACCCTCAATTCCTCCTTACATTGAACGGGAGGGTGAAAATGCAACTTTAAAAAAGTCTCGGTTCGTTACTTACAAATATTTTCTTCTAAAAAATAAATATCAAACAGTTTCTTCAAGTTGAAATTTTTTTTTTTTAATTTTTATTACTTTTACAGGTCCCGAATTTATGACTTTTTTTTGTCATTTTTCGACTATTTAAAAAAATGCGACTTTTTTCGACTTATTTTCAAAATTTGCGACTTTTTCCACTTTTTCCAAATATTGCAAAAAAAAAATACCACATCTTTTGTATAAAATGCGACTTATTTCGATTTTTTATTATTGTGAAAAATAACTATAGACAAATCTTTCAAAAAATTATTTTTGAATTATTTTTCTAATTAAATTTATGAAATGTACAATTAACGAGATTAATTGAAATTTTTTAAAAAGTAATCAAATAATTGATTTTTTCTCAAGTATTTTATTAAAATTTTTGAAAATCAACTTTTCAAGATTTTTAATTTTACATTTTTGATAATAATTAAATTCACAAAAATTTTAATGAAAAACTTTCAAGTGTAATTTTTAAAGATGAAATTTAATGAAAATTAGCTTCTAAAAATTATATTCAAATAGTTTTCAAAAAAAAACTAATTCGTAGAATTTTTTCATTCTAATTTTTTGAAAATTTAATTATTTTTAATTACGTATTTCAGAAAATTCAAATACATACAAAAAAAAATAATAATATTCAAATTTTTGAGAATTATTTTTAACATTCTGGATGAGAAAACAATCATGTTTAAAACTGTTATTTTTTTTTTTTAAATTGAATTAATTTTAAAAGATTATAACAAATTTTTTATCAAACAATTTTAAAATAATTGAAATCATTTGAAGGATTTTATCAAAAAATTTGAGAATTATTGAATTTTTTCGAAGAATTTTAATATCATTTTTGAAAATTCTAATTAAATTGTTTTGAAGAATTTGATTTAATTTTTTTAAAATAATAGAGTTTTTTTGAATAAAATTTTAATTGAAAATTTTGAAAGTAATTGAATTTTATGAAGAATTTATTTCAAGTTTTTATAAAATAATCGAATGTTTCTTAATTAAACATTTAATTATTGAATTTTATTAAAATTTTTAGAAAATAATTAAATTCTTCTTAGAATTTTTAATGCATTTTTCTAAAATAATTAAATTCATTCAAGAAATTTTATTAAAATATAGAAAATAATTAAATTCTTTCGAAGAACGCAGATTCTATAAAATGTTTTGACAGTAATTAAATTCTTTCAAAAAATTTCTTTAATTTATTGAAAATAATCGATTTTGTTAATAAAATTGTAATTTGATAATTTTACTATTAAAAATTTTTTTTAAATTATTGCTAGAAAATTAAACTTTTTTAAACAATTTTATTAGAATTTTTGTAAATAATTCAATTCTTTTAAAGAATTTCTTTAAGTTTCTTGAAAAAAACATAGTTTTTTGAATAATTTTAAGGGAAAATTTTGAAAATAATTGAATTAAACAGAATTTTTTTTTTGACTTATTAAAATAATTGTCTGTTAATAATTATAATTAAATATTTGATTATTGAAGTTTATTAAAATTGGATTTTGAAAATAATTTAATTCTTACGAGAAGAATTTTATTTTTCACAAAAAATAATTTACTTCTTGCCATGAATTTTACTATTTATAAAAATAATTAAAGTGTTTCGAATGATTTATTAAAATTTTAGAAAATAATTGGATTCATACAAAAAATTTTAGAACACAATTGAATTTTTTCGAAAAATATTATTAAAAATAAAAAAAATTTAATTCTTTCATGAAATTTTTATAAAATTGTATTAAAAATAATTGAATTTTTGCAAAGATTTTACTATTTAAAAAAATAATTGAATTGCTTCGTGAAATTTTACTAAAATAATATTAAAAATAATTGAATTTTTGCAAAGATTTTACTAATAAAAAAAATAATAAAATTGTTTCGTGAAATTTTACTAAAATTGTATTAAAATTAATTGAATTTTTGCAAAGATTTTAGTATTAAAAAAATAATTGAATTGTTTCGTGAAATTTTACTAAAAAAAAAAAATTACTACTATTGTTTATTAATTATATTTTTATGTTAATTGGATAAAATTAGTTTATTTATATTTTTTATATATTTTTTTTAATACATATTTTTCGATTTATTAAAAATTTTCTTTTAATAACTTGCAGATTGACTTATCAGTCGAGGAAACGGGGAATGTTGGAAAATGGCCTTCTACTGAGTACATTTGCAAAGAAATATTTAGATTCATTCGATGATAATCAATTGAAATTATATGATCGTTTGATTAATTTGCCCTCAAATGATTGGGACATTTTTTATTGGGCGACAAATGTTAAACCAACACCAGCCGAATTCGACAATGAAATAATGGATCTTCTCAAAAAACATATTAAAAACGATAATAGAGAGGCGAGAATAATGCAACCAGATTTATAAATTTTTTTAGAAAATAAGCAATTATTAGATTTCAGAATTTAACAGTAAATTTTATCACTTATTTACTGCTTTTTTTTTACTATGAAAATAATTCAGACAATAATGAAATTAACTTTTTTGCATTTTAAAATTAATTTTGAAGAATGCTTCCATTTAGCGCTAATTTTCTTTTTTTTAAGCAAAGCTTAGAAAAAATTATTAACAAATAAAAATTATCAATAAATACAAATTATTAATTAAATAAAAAAAAAATTTGTATAAAAATTGGCGCTAAATTTAGAAAAATTTGAAAAATACTTTTTAATCTAAAAATTATTTTTCGATGCACTTTTCAATTTTAAATACTAGTCACATTTTTCCACTCTTTCAAAAATTAATTTTCAAAATAAGTAATTTCAAATTTCTCTTCACAATTTTTTTTTGGGTGGAATATTTATAATTTCTTTTTTTATTGTAGGATTTAAATTCGATCAACAATCAAGAAATGGAGTCGAATATTGAAAAAGAAGAAATTCCCAAGGAAAATGAAGTAGAAAGTCAAACAGAGAATGAAAAAGAGGATGTAAAAATAACGCAAACCATTGTAAATAAATTTACCGAAATTAATACAAATGATACTAATGTTGCCAATAAAGTTGAAAGGCCATTAGGTTTGAATGAAGTTGGATTAGCGCATGAATTGAGAATGAGAAGTGATAGACGCAGAAATATTGTTTTTCGATCATTTGATACTGATAAAAATTATAGTCCCGATGAATTACTGGAATTATTTATGTCGACATTTAATTTAGATAGAACGGACTTTATCATTACATTTCAACGAGATAATAAACTTGCATTGACAATGAATAGTTTTGACACAAAATTAAAAGTTTTGAGAAATAAAGAATTATTGAGAGAGAAATTTATAAGCATTGATGACGATCATACAAGGCGGGAAGTACACATTCAAAAATGGTTGAGAAGTCTGTCGAATGAGGCAAAGGCAAATGGTCGACAATTGAAAGTGGGTTATCAAAAAGTATTTATTAACAATGAATGTTGGAAATTTAATGAGCGAACCGGTGAGTTAGAAATGATGCCTTTTAAAAGTCAAAAAAGTTACAGCTAAACGAAAATTACTGTAAATTTACTATAAAATTGTCAACAAAAATTGAATGAAATTAAAAACTAAAGAGAACTATGTTGATTATTCTTTTTAACTGGAAATGAATGTAGTGAATTTATAAGAACCGAATGCAGCATTTTATAGGAAATATTGTTTGCTTAACAAGAGATTTTTCTTAGAAATAAACACTTTAGAAAAATAATTATTAAAAAATTCTTACAGAGATGTTGTGATCAATTTCAAATTTTTTTTAAAGTCGCACTTAATTTACGCAATTTGTCAATGTAAAGTTCTATAGAAAATAAAAAACTTATTATTGAGAAATTATATTTTTTATAGAGATTCAATTATTTTAATAAATAATAAAAAAAACTTTATAGATTTACAATTATTTTCATAAATAATATAACTCATCGCAGAATTTCAATTATTTTATTTATTTTTAATACAATTTTAATGGAATTTCTCGAAAAATGTTATTATTCGTAAAAATTTTTACTAAAATTCATCAAAGAAATTCAATTATTTTAAACAGTCTTCCTATCATTTATTTATTAGAATTTAAGTATTATTGTCAATAATATTCTTAATTAAATTTCTTGAAAGAATTAAATTATTTTCAAAAATTTTAATGAAATTCTTTTTAACAATTCTGAATTCAATTTATTTTCAAAATAATTTAAATAAAATTCTTCGTAGAAATTTCATTAATTTCCATATAATTTATCAAAATTCAATTATTTTCAATATCTACTACTTTCAATAAAATTTCACAAAAGAATTCAATTATTTAAAAAGAAATTTTAAAAAAATTCTTCTGAAGAATTCAATTATTTTCAAAAGTAAGAAAATTCTTCGCAAAAATTTAATTATGGGTCGCAAAAGTTTGAAAAAATTATCGTCAAAATTTCAATTATCTTTAATAAATATTAAAATTTGGCTCCAAAATTCAATTATTTTCAAAAATTTTAATGATATTCTTGTTAAAAATTCAATTTTGTTTCAAAAATTCTCCTTCATTCAATGATTTTCAATATCTACTATTTTAATAAAATTTTCCAAAAGAAATGAATTATTTTAAAAAATTTTTTGATAAAATTCTAAGCAAACCTTTTATTATTTTTACAAATAACAAATATTTCACAGCAATTCAATTATTTACAAATTTTTTTATAAATTTCTTCGCAATAATTCCATTATTTTCAGAAAATATTCAATTTATTTTCACAGAGATTCAATTATTTTTATAAATATTAATAAACTTTTTCAAAAATTATTAAAAATAATAAATTTATGGAAGATTTTTAGTTAAAAACACCAAAAAAATTCAATTTTGTAAAAATTAGAAATTATTGCAAAAATTCAATTATTTTCAATAGTAATAATATTCAATTCTTTTCAAGAATTACATTAAATTTTTTTAAAATAATTCAAATGTTTCGTAAAGTTGCATTAAAAATTTTGAAAATAATTGAATTTCTGAGAAGAATTTTATTATTTATTAAAATAATTAAATTCTTGAACAAAAACTTAATCAAAACGTTAAAAATAATTGAATTTTCGCGAAAAATTATATAAAAAATTTTTGAAAATAATTGAATTATTTCAAGAAATTTTTAATGCTTGTATAGAATTTTATAAAATTTTTGGAAAATAATTGAATTGTTCGAAGAATTGTATTAAAAATTTTGCAAATAATTGAATTTCAAAGAAGAATATTATTATTTATGAAAATAATTAAATTCATGGCAAGAAATTGATTAAAATTTTTGAAAATAATTGAATTTTTGCGAAAAATTGTATTATTTATGAAAAATAATTGAATTCTTGTGACGAATTTTGTTAACATTTATTAAAACATTGAATTTTTTTTCGAATAACTTTATTGAAATTTAAAAGAATAATTCAATTATTTCGACTAATGTAATTAAAAGTGATTTGAAATTCTGTGAAAAATTTTGCTATTTATGAAAATAATTTAATTCTTGCAAACGAATTTTACGAAAGTTTTTTTTTTTAAAGAATTGTATTTTTCTTTTTATTCATTTTGATATTAAAAAAAAAATTCAATTATTTCTCATAATTTAATTATAAAAATAATTGAAATCCTTTGAAGAATTGTATTATTTATGAAAATAATTGAATTCTTATGACGAATTTTGTTAACTTTTTTTTAAATTGAATTTTTTTCATTTAATTTTGAAATTTGAAAGAATAATTCAATTATTTCGAATTTAATTAATATAATTGAAAACCTGTGAAGAATTTTATTAAATTTTTTCTAAAAAATTCAATTCTTTCAAGGAATTTTTTAAAAAATTTTTTTAAATAATTCAATTCTTTTGAGAAATTTTATTGAAAAATGATGGAATTTTTGGAGAATTTTAATAAATTTTTTTTTTTAAATTATTGAATTTCGCGAATAATTATATTAAAATTCTTGAAAATAATTAAATTCTTCAAAGAAAATTAATATTGGAATGAAAATAATTTAATTCTTGTGACGAATTTTAAAAATTATTTGAATTTTATCATTATTATTTTTTTTTGAATATTTGAATTCAGTTATTCAAAAAAAAGCAGATAGTTAAATAAATTTTCTAAAAAATTATTAGAAATAGTCAATTTAGAGAAGAATTTTAGTTGAAAATTCTAGAAAACAAATTTCAAAGGAATAATAAAAAATTTTTTATTTATCAAAAATTTATATCGATGAAAATCTTCTCCTCGATTTATAATTAAAATTAAAAATAACATTTCATATTGAAAAAAAATAACTTTATTTAATAATCACAATTTTTTTTTTTTTTACTTTTTTTTTGTTTTATAAGAAATGAAACATTTGGTTTTCTATTTTTAATTGAAAATACGACAGGTCACGAGAGTTAAAAGAAAAAAAATGAGAGAAAAACTTGTTTTTTGAGATTCGCTTAATGGAATCTTTATAAAAAGCATGATAATAATTCTCTCCTTAGAATTATAATTGAAAAATTGTCGTGTTTTCTTAGTTTAATAAATACTTAACTTTTAAGTTTTTTGTAAAAAAAAAATAACTATCTTATTTACACAGTCTCTTATAATACACGCAGTTAACGTCTTTTTAAAAAAAAAAAAATTGTTCTAGAAGTTCGTTTAGATTTAAAAAAAATACTTTAAGAGTTTCTAATTAAAAGACGTGAAGCGGGGATCGGTGAAATTTTTCTTCTGACCAAATTCAACTAAACCAAGGCCACGACTCGTTGAGGCGCCTCGAGACGACGTTGACCCACCTCGGGAACCTCGACTTTTACTGTCCGTCGTTTTGCCCCTTGTCGCTTTGCCTCGAGTTGCTGTTGATTTTCCACGTTGGGAACTGTAAATCAAATTTAAAATATTAAAATAATAATTTAATTACTTTAAAGTATTTAAAATATTAAAATTCGCAAACAATTCAATTATATTTTCAATATCTTCATAAAATTTCTCAAAAGAATTCAATTATTTGAAAAACGAATATCCAGAAAATTTTTTTAAAAAAAATCAATTATTCAAAATATTTAAAAACAATTTTTTTAAAAGCAATTAATTATTTTCATAAATAATAAAATTCATCTCAAAAATTCAATTATTTCTAACAATTCCTGAAGTGGGCCCCTAAAAATATTATATTTTCTAGAGTAATAGAAAATTCCTCTTTTTTATTGTTCAAATAAAATCTTAAAAGTATTCTCTATTTGATTATTAAAAAAAATAAAAAAAAAAAGATGGAGAACACATTTTTTTTAATCTCAAAAATTAAAAAGTAAATTTAAAAATTACCTAGAAGCTCTTTTGAATCTTTTCGCTCCCCCTCGTTGTCCACCTCTTCCTTTACGTTTTCGACCAAAACTCGAGGTACTTCCGCTGCTGTACGTGGAAGCTGCATCGACCTGCCACAAGTCACTATCATCCTCTTCCTCGCTTTCATTTTCCATTACAGTCTCCAGCACTGCAATTAACAATAAATATTTCAATTCATTTTACAAACAATTAGAATTTTATTAAAATTTTCGAAAATAATTGAATCCTCCAACGAATTTTATTATTAATGAAAATAACAAGAAGTTTATTAAAACTTTTAGAAAAATTGAATTGTTTCGAAGAATTTGATTTTAAAACCTTTGAAAATAATTAAATTCTTTCAAGGAATTTTATTAAAATTGTATAGAAAATAATTTTTAAAAAAAATGAAGTTTATAAAAATACAAATTTAATTTGACAAAAAAAAAAATTTTAAATTAAAAAAATTTTTAATTTAAAACACCTTTTGAAATTTAATTAATTCTTAAAATTGCTTCTTATTACTTTTTTCGAAATTCAATAACTGTCTAGAATTTTGAATTAAAAAATCAAATTTTTTTTTAAATCAATTGCTTTTAATGATTTTGGAAAAGTTTGACTGTTGTGAAAATAAAAAAAAAATAGATATTGAATATTAGAGAAAAAATCTTTAAAAATATAAAAATATCAATGACTGATTCTATTTATTACTAAATTATGAAATAAATAAAATAAAAGACGCACCAACTTTCTCGGTTGCATATTTTTGAGTGACATCGAGAAGCGCCCTTCCGTACTTATCGAAATTTGCTTTAGTGACGTGGGGAATTTTTAGCATTGACTCCTCGTCTATTGGCAATTGCATTGACATTGCACGAATTGCAATCATATTCATAATCGATGAGGAGGAAACGTCTAGAGCGCCGGCAATTCCTTTGATAATCGTCAATAATTCTTTGTAGCATTTTTCTTCTATTTCGGCTAATGCCGGATTTTTTTGTTTAGTAACAGTTGTTACAGTTGCGACTGCAGTCGACGTTGTGTTTGCCTCGCGAGTATGGAATGTTATCTGAAAGCAGCAAATATTTTTTTAATTTTTAACAAAAATTCTTATCCAAATCAATTATCAATTCTATTAATTTAACTTTTTAGAAAGTTTCTACAGAAATCAATTGAAGATACTATTTTGTAAAATTTCCGAAAATAATTGAATTTCTGGGAAGAATATTGATTCTTATGAAGATAATTGAATTCCTTCAAAGCTACTGTAACTTATTCAACATTTTTTCCATCGTTTCAATTCAATTATTATTTACTAGAATTTTTAACTAAAATTCTTCAGTATATAAATTTTTTTAAATAATTTTTTAAAAAGTTCTTTGAAAATTTTCAAATTTATTCAACTTCATATAATTTTAGAAAAAAAAAAAATCATTTTTCAACAGAATTGTAAAATTTGTAAAATTTTAACTGAAATTCATTTTTATGAAATGAAAATCAATTTTTATTAGAAAATTCTACTAGAATTCAATTATTTAAATATAAAAATAAATAATTTATTCAATAATTGAATGTTTCTTAAAATTGAATTCTCAAAAAGAAATTTTAACACCAATTTTTCAATTAATTAAATCCTTGCGAATTATTAAAAAATTAATTTTTTTTTGAATAATTTTATGGGAAATTAAAAGAATAATTCAATTATTTCGAAAAATTTAATTAAAAATAATTGAATTCTTGTAAAGATTTTAATATTCATTAATTCAATTTTTGTGTTGAATTTTTTTTTTAAATAATTGAATTGTTTTCGAAAATTTTACAAAAATAGTAGATATGGAAAATATTTTTTAATTTCAGCCAATAATTTAATTATTTATGAAAATAATTAAATTCTTCGTACGAATTTTATCAGATATTTTTAAATAATTGAAATTTTTGAATTGAATATATTTGAAATTGAAATTTTTGAATCGTTTTATGAAAATTCAAAAGAATAATTCAATTATTTCGAATAATTTAATTTAAAATTGTATTAAAAATAATTGAATTCTAGCGATGAATTTTATTATTTGTGAAAATAATTTAATTTTTATTAACAAATGTTATCAACATTTTAGATATAATAATTCATTTCTTTTAAAAGAATTTAATTAAATAATTAAAATATCAATAGTTGTTTTGTTTGGAAAAAATTTTCAGATATTTGTAATTCAAATAATTGAATTCCTGTGAAAATTTTAATATTCATAATAGTAATTAAATTATTGCGTTAAATTTAATTAATTTTTTTTTTAAATAATTGAAATTTTTGAAGAAATTTTATGAAAATATTTAAATTTCATTATTTTGCGAAAAAAAATTGAATTCTTGCGAAGAATTTTCCAAAATTTTTTCGAAAATAATTGAATTGTTTCAAAGAATAATTTTATTACTATTTTTTTGAATTTTTTCTATGAATTTGTAAATAATAATTGAACTCTTTTGAAAAATTTTATTAAAATAGTATAGATATTGAGAATAATTGAAATTGAGGAAATTTTTCGAAAATAATTGAAAGTTTGCCAATATATTATTAATGTTTTTAAAAATAATTGAATTTTGGAGAAGAATTTTATTATTTTTAAAAACAATTAAATATTTTAGAATTTTTTAAAAAAATTTTTTATTAAAATTCAACTTTTTTTTAGTGTTTTTAACTAAAATTCTTCTAGAAATCCATTATTTTTAATTAAAAAATTCAACTGATTTCAATTCTACTAAAACTTTTTTACTCTTCAACTATTTTCTATAATTTTTACTAAAATTCTTCTTCAAGTCAATTATTATTATTTTTAATAATTTTTAAAATCTTTTACAAGAATTTATTTCTTTAAATACAAAAATAAATGAATGGAAAAAATAATTGACATCTTTTAAAAATTGCAACTCTCGATGATGTTTTTAAAGTGCTATGAGATTTTTTTTATACTAAATTGTTATTTCAAATATCATTTTTTTTTTTAAGGAAGATGTCGATTTGAAGTATTTTTGAAAATATTCTTGTAATACTTTTAAATAAAAAAAAACAAAGTCTCACCTTTGCGCTTTTGTTCGTCATAAATTCGTTCGCCTTGTGTCCGATTTGAATGTAAGCACAAGCGATTTCATTGTTAATATACATTTCCTCGCAGAGATAACCCTCAATGACGAGTTTATGTAAAAGTCTCTCAATATCGCCTTTATTCCACGATTTCGCCTTTCCATAAATCGGATGAGTCGTTAAACCTAAAAGAGAAGAAAAATAAGTAAAATTCCAAACAACTGAGGGAGAAAAAGAAATAGCAAAATAATAATACCAACCAGCATCCCTGATTTTTTTGAGATCACAACCCTTGATAATGTCCGTCAAATAGAGCAACGTCAATCGAATTCGTCTCGCGTTGGTAATTTCCTGAACAGCTCTAATGATCTCCCTCGCGTCCTGCGACACATCCATAACCGTGAATTGTCCCTTACACCGACAATTATCACAAGCCGTATTTTTATTCGCGATACATTTTTCCCTCTCGAAAATTTCACCAAAATAATTCAATTGAATTGCTCGGCGACAATCGGTTTTGTTCTCGCAGAATGCAACCATTTGAAAGAGATTATCCATGTTTGTCTTGATAACGGCCTGCGATGGCTTGTCCAATTCAATCATTCGCCTCAGTCTGTGCATGTCCGAGTAATTGTAGAAGAGAACACATTCGGCGAATTCACCGTCGCGACCGGCCCTGCCGCCCTCCTGATAGTAGCCCTCGATTGACTTTGGAAGTGACGCGTGAAGTACGAATCGCACATTTGGCTTGTCGATCCCCATGCCGAATGCTATTGTCGCGCAGACAACTTTTACCTGAAACAAAAATAATTATTATATTAAAAATAGCAAATTTTATGCTCGCAAAACGGTGTATTCCATTTATTATTATTATTTTGACAAATTAGCAAATTTTTTATTTTCAAATATAATTTTAATTCTATTTTTTGTTAAAATCGTTTATTATTTTCAAAAATTTTAATAAAATTCTTCGCAAGAATTTAATTACTTTCAGGGTTGCCACGCTTTTGCTCATTTCAAATTCCCTGAATTTTCCAGGTTTTTAAAACTATATTTATATTTTCCAAAATTTTTAATTCAAACCTTTTTGAAATTAAACAAATAAAAAAATTGTTATAAAACATAAAGAAATCGATTGCTCCGAGTCGAAGACTCGGAGCAATCGATTTCTTTATGTTTTATAATAATTAAAAATTACTTTCATCATTTCAATTCAATTATTGTTTTCCAGAATTTTGAACTAAAATTCTTCTTTAAATTAATTATTATTAATAATTTTTAAAACACTTTCTTTCAACATTTTCAAATCTTTTTTGTTTACAATTCAATTTTACAAATTTCATCGATTATTTGGAAATTCTTCAATCAAATATTAGAAAATAAAAACTTCAAATTAAAAAAATTCTTGAAATCTAGTTTTTCTTCAATTTCATTTTAAAATTTTTTTCGCAGTAATTCAATTATTTTCATAAATATAATCAAATTTTTTTTACAGAGATTTAATTATTTCCATAAATAATAAAAAAAACTTTATAGATTTACAATTATTTTCATAAATAATATAACTCATCGCAGAATTTCAATTATTTTATTTATTTTTAATACAATTTTTAATGGAATTTCTCGAAAAATGTAATTATTCGTTAAAATTTTTACTAAAATTAATCAAAGAAATTCAATTCTTTTAAAAAGCCTTCCTATCATTTATTATTTAGAATTTAAGTATTATTGTCAATAATATTCTTAATTAAATTTCTTGAAAGAATTAAATTATTTTCAAAAATTTTAATGAAATTCTTTTTAACAATTCTGAATTCAATTTATTTTCAAAATAATTTAAATAAAATTCTTCGTAGAAATTTCATTAATTTCCATATAATTTATCAAAATTCAATTATTTTCAATATCTACTAGTTTCAATAAAATTTCACAAAAGAATTCAATTATTTAAAAAGAAATTTTAATAAAATTCTTCTGAAGAATTCAATTATTTTCAAAAGTAAGAAAATTCTTCGCAAAAATTTAATTATGGTCGCAAAAGTTTGAAAAAATTATCGTCAAAATTTCACTTATCTTTAATAAATATTAAAATTTGTCACCAAAATTCAATTATTTTCAAAAATTTTAATGAAATTTTTAACAAATTCAATTTTTTTTTCAAAAATTCTCCTCCATTCAATTATTTTCAATATCTAGTATTTAAATAAAATTTTTCAAAAGAAATTAATTATTTAAAAAATTTTTTGATAAAATTCTAAGCAAACCTTTTATTATTTTTATAAATAACAAATATTTCACAGCAATTCAATTATTTACAAATGTTTTTTTTATAAATTTCTTCGCAATAATTCAATTATTTTCAGAAAATATTCAATTTATTTTCACAGAGATTCAATTATTTTTATAAATATTAAAGAACTTTTTCAAAAGTTATTAAAAATAATAAATTTATGGAAGATTTTTAGTTAAAAACAAGAAAAAAAATTCAATTTTGTAAAAGTTAGAAATTATTGCAAAAATTCAATTATTTTCAATAGTAATAATATTCAATTCTTTTCAAGTATTACATTAAATTTTTTAAAATAATTAAAAATTTAAAAATTAAAAAAAAAATTAAAAATTTTGAACATAATTGAATTTTTAGAAGAATTTTATTATTTATTAAAATAATTAAATTCTTGAACAAAAACTTAATCAAAACGTTAAAAATAATTGAATTTTCGCGAAGAATTATATAAAAAATTTTTGAAAATAATTGAATTATTTCAAGAAATTTTTAATTCTTATATAAAATTTTATAAAATTTTTGGAAAATAATTGAATTGTTCGAAGAATTGTATTAAAAATTTTGCAAATAATTGAGTTTCAAAGAAGAATTTTATTATTTATGAAAATAATTAAATTCATGGCAAGAGATTGATTAAAATTTTTGAAAATAATTGAATTTTTGCGAAAAATTGTATTATTTATGAAAAATAATTGAATTCTTGTGACGAATTTTGTTAACATATATTAAAACATTGAATTTTTTTTTAATAACTTTATGGAAATTTAAAAGAATAATTCAATTATTTCGACTAATCTAATTAAAAGTAATTGAAATTCTGTGAAAAATTTTGCTATTTATGAAAATAATTTAATTCTTGCAAACGAATTTTAAGAAATTTTTTTTTTAAGAATTTTATTTTTTTATTCATTTTAATAATAAAAAAATAATTCAATTATTTCTCATAATTTAATTATAAAAATAATTGAAATCCTTTGAAGAATTGTATTATTTATGAAAATAATTGAATTCTTATGACGAATTTTGTTTACATTTTTTAAAACATTGAATTTTTTTCATTAATTTTGAAATTTGAAAGAATAATTGAATTATTTCGAATTTAATTAATATAATTGAAATCCTGTGAAGAATTTTATTAAATTTTTTCTAAAAAATTCAATTCTTTCAAGGAATTTAAAAATATTTTTTTTAAATAATTAAATTCTTTTGAGAAATTTTATTGAAAAATAATGAAATTTTTGGAGAATTTTAGTAAATTTTTTTTTTAAAAATTATTGAATTTTGCGAAGAATTATATTAAAATTCTTGGAAATAATTAAATTATTCTTCGCAAAAATTAAATATTGTTCAAAAGTAATAAAATTCTTTTTAGGGATTCAATTATTTTCATAAATAATAAAACTCATCGCAGAATTTCAATTATTTTGTATACAATTTTAATCGAATTTCTCGAAAAATGTAATTATTCTTAAAAATTGAATTAAAATTCGTTGATAGAATTGAATTATTTGAAAATTTGTTGATAACGATTCTTTATGGGAATTGAATTTTAAGAAACATTCAATTATTTAATAAATTATTTATTTGCATTTTATTTTTATTTAAATAATTGAATTGTCGTAGATTTTTCTAATTATAATTGATTCAAATATGAATTTCAGTTAAAATTGTAGATAATTGAATTTCGATCTTTGAATACTTGAATTTTTCATACTTTTAACTGAAAGTTGTGTAGATTTAATTTTTTTTTAAAAAGTTCAATTGAATTTTTTGTCAAGTTATTTGAAATTTTTATTTTCTAATTTTGTAATTTGCATAATAATAAGAATAAATAATAAAAATAAAGTAACATTTGTTAGTTTAACAAAAGTTAAAGCAAAAGAAAAAAATGTGTGAAAATTAATATTTTTACCTCTTCAGCCACCCAACGACCTTGGACATCACTTCTTTGCGAGTCCGTAAGTCCGGCATGATAACTTGAGGCTTTAATGCTGTTCCTCTTCAATTCCGTGGCATAATTATCACAGTCATTACGCGAGAGACAGTAAACAATTCCACAGTCATTGCGAAATTTCGATCGAATCATTGCAATGACTTCCTCTATCGAGCTCTTTCCTTTTTTTGCAATCACACTGTACCTTAAATTTGGTCGATTGAAACTTGACATAAACCTGTAACAAAAGTCTATGTTTTATTAAAGATAAAAGATGCTTTTTTTGTCGGAATGACCATTAATAATATTTTTTTTATTTATCAACTGTTATTTATTGTTAAAAAAGCAAGAAGAAAAAAGAAAAAATACCTGAGTTATTCCATCACTTTTAATAATAATTATAAATAGAAAAGGAAAGAAATATACCATTTTGGATGCGACATGCCGAGTTGATGTAGAATATCAGTCCTGACTCTCGGCGTTGCAGTGGCAGTGAGAGCGATTGTTTTCACATTCGGATAATTGTCCCGTAGGCACTTGAGTCTTTTGTAATCGGGCCGAAAATCGTGTCCCCATTGACTCACGCAATGCGCCTCGTCGATGACAAATCTCGAGAGAAGACCCCTCTCATACAGTGTCTTCAGTGAATTGCAAAATTTAACCGACGCCGAAATTTTCTCCGGCGTCACGTAAAGTAATTTCAGAGCCGGGTCTTGCTTCGACAATTCCCTGTAGATCCTCTCTGCCTGTTGTTCAGTCACTGTCCCCGATAAATGAGCCGCAGGAATCTGAAAAAAAAAGAATTCATTAATTATCATTCTTTCTTAAAAACAAAAATAATTTAATAATTTGTTTCTTAAAGACAAAATAATTTTTTACAAAACGAGCATATAAATACACGCGCACAATCGCAAGTGAAATTTTAATCGTTCGTTATTAGTTTAAAAAATTTCCCCTTTTGAAATTTAAAAGAAAAAGTTTATTAAATTTCAAAAAGAAAAATTTAATTTTTTGCATGGTTTTTTTTTTAAATTTTTTTAAATCCATATTTCTTATGGAGAAATAGATATTTTTTCCAGATTGGCAAACAAGTAGGAAAAAATTATTATTCTGGGAGTGGAAAATAAAAAAAATAATTTTAAAATTAAACTTACATCGAGGGAGGTGAGTTTTTGGACCTGATCGATGATGAGACTTTTCAGGGGAGAAATAACGACTGTCAGGCCAGGAGTCAATAGTGCCGGGAGCTGGTAGCACAGAGACTTACCACCTCCGGTTGGCATCAATACGAAACAATCGTGTCCCAACATCGTTGCGTTTATCGCTTGCAACTGATTTGGTCTGAACGAGAACAAACCGAATTTCTGCCTAAAAACCTGTAAGAAAGAAAAATCGATTTTATTTTTTTCTTTTAATTCATTAAATGATGAAAACGTTTTTAAAACGAAAAATAATAATAATAAATAGTAAATAGGATAATTTTTAAAAAATAGCAAATTATAAAAAGTACGATATTTAATATTACATAATAGGAAATAAAAAAAAGTTTTTTAATTTACTAAAAATGATTTAAAAAATAAATATCAATATTTGTAAAATTATAAAAATATTAAATATAAAGAAATTTTTTTTAAATTTTCTATTAAAAATATTTTAAAATGAACAAATATTTAAAAATATTATTAATTTATTATTTAATCAATAAAAAAAGGAATTTATCAAATTTAAAATAAATAAACGTTTAAAAATTTTTTGAAACATTTTAAAATAAATACATAAACAATTTCTTTTTAAATATTTAAAAAAGCATATTTTAACTAAATCTTTAGAAATAAGAAAAAATAGTGAAAAATTTAATACCTTAAGCATTTCCTTCGAATGCGGATAATTTTTCGAATCGAATTCCCCACTTACTCCGTCGTTTGTATAGTTTCCAGTGAATCGACCAATTTCAAATGAACTATCGCCGTATTTTGCTGCCGATGCTGCCGACTCAGTTCTCTTAGGTGTAGAATTCACTGAAACTAATTTTAAAATGTTACGAAAAAAAAAGAATAGTAACTTTTGTCTATTTAAATTGAATAAATAAATAACGAAAAAGAATAAAAAAGAAATGATAAAAAAATAATAATTTGAAAATTGTATTTTTTTGGAAATTTTTTTTTTTTCAATGCTTTCTTTTGGCAATAAAAAGCAAATTTGGAAAAATATGGAAAATAAAAAAATTGTTACCTGACATTGAAACGTTCTCCGTGAAAGAATCCTCAATAAAATGCGAACCTGCGCAAAATTCTTCAGCTAAAAAAGCAAAAAATTTTCAATTAAAATTCTTCTTTAAATCAAATATTTTTAATAATTTTTTAAAAAGTTATTTCAGAATTTTCAAATCCATTTTTTTACATTTTAGTTTTGCAAAATTTCGACTATTCGGAAATTCTTTAATTAAATATATATCAGAAAATAAAAACCTCAAATAATTTCAAAACAAAATTCAATTACTTTTTCAAAATAATTAGTTTTACAGAATTGTTAGTTTAGTATGAAAAATTCAAATTTTCAAAGACTTTAATTTGAAACCTTTTCAAAATTCAATTATTTCTAAAAATTCACGCTATAATGCTTTTCATATTCAATTATTGTTTAAAATTTTGAATATAATTCATTTTTAAATCAATTTTTATGAAGAAAAAATTCTACGAGAATTCAATTATTTAAATACAAATAAAATGCAAATAAATAATTTATTGTTGAATGTTTCTCAAAATTTAAATCTCATAAAGAATTTTATCATAAAACTTTTAAATAATTGAATTCTTTTATTGAATTTCAATGAAATTTTTAAGAATAATTACATTTTTCGAGGAATTCGATTAAAAATGCATTAAAAATAATTGAATTTTATTATTTACGAAAATAATTTCATTATTTTTCTGAAAATAATTGAATTCTTGCGAAGGAGTTTCCAAATTTTTTGAAAATAATTGAATTGTTTCAAAGAATTTTAATACAATTTTCTGAACTTTTTTCTATGAATTTGTAAATAATTAAATTCCTGTGAACTTTTTATTATTTATGAAAATAATTAAAAATGTTTGCTTAGAATTTTATTAAAATTTTTTTTTTTTAGTAATTGAATTCTTTTGGAAAATTTTATTAAACTAGTAGACATTGTGAGAATAATTGAAATTACGGAAATTTTTTGAAAATAATTGAAATTTTGCCAAGATTATTAAAAAATTTTTTGAAAATAATTGAATTTTGGAAAAGAATTTTATTATTTATAAATATAATTGAAATTTTAACGAGAATTTAAATAATATTTTAGAAATATAATTGAATTTCTGCGAAGAATTTTTTTTACTTTTGACAATAATTGAATTTTTTCAATCATTTCTAGCTTCTGACAAAATTAAATTTTTTTTTTTACTGTTTTTAACTAAAATTCTTCTATAAATCCATTATTTTGAATAATTAATTAAATATTTAGGATTAAAAAATTTTACTAATTTTAGAAGAATTTGAATTATTAAAATTTTTCAAAAAACTAAGTTCTTTAAAATTTCTTAATTAAATTCATTCAAAATTGAAATTTTATAAAATTTCAAAATTAAATTTTTTGAAAATAATTGAATTTGTTTTGAAGTATTTTATTACATTTTTTGAAAATGATTGAATTGTTTTGAAGTATTTTATTACATTTTTTGAAAATATTTTCATTGTTTTAAAGTATTTTATTAAATTTTTTTAAAATAATTGAATTGTTTTGAACTATTGTATTAAATTTTTTTAAAATAATTGAATTATTGTTTTGAAGTATTTTATTACATTTTTTTGAAAATAATTCAATTGTTTCGAAGAATTTTATTAGTTTCATTTGTTTTAAATTTTGAATCTCAAAATTAAAAAAATTAAAGTTGATATTTAAAAATAAAATTTTTTTATAATTTATACAATTAAATTATTTGACGAATTTTTAAAGAAAGTTATTCGTAAAATAATTTATAAATTAATAATGTTTCGATAGTTTTTCAAGATAATTAAATTACATAAAATAAATTCAATTTCAAATCTGTAAAGTTCAATTATTTTTGCAAAAATAGAAAGAATTGAAAATGAATTAGATTAGATTATAGAATTAGAAAAAAATTACCTAAATTATCATCGATATTCGACCAGGAATTCGATTTACTACTCGAAGGCACAGCGCTGTTAAACCTCGCAATTCCTTTATCCGGAGTCTCGTAATTATTACTTGGATTCTGAAATTCCGTCTTTCTCTCAACAAACATTCCAATATTATTAAAATTACTCGTTTCAAATCCCCTCTCCTGTTGACTATTTGTTCTCATTTCAATTTTTCTCTCTTGTTGATTATTTTCCCTCTGGAATTGCGGATCTTTATCGCACAATTCACTGGTTAATTCCATTTTTGTTTTCACCGGTCTTCTCACTTTAAACGAACTCTTCTTCACATCTGGCGATTGCATTATTTCCGAATCATTCAAATTACGCTGGTATTTTTCCACAAAATTATTCTCAGCGTTGTTTGTATTCTTTATTCGTTCAGTGAGTGAGACGTAATTTAAATTTGGACTTTCAAATGTATTGCTTGATGGTGAAATTTTCATTGATATTGATTCATCGAGATCATCGGCTGAAGTGGGAAAATTGTCTGATGAATTGGAAAATTTCTCCCTTTTCACTTCTTCCTCCTCCTTTAATTCCTTTAAATTTTTACCGATACGCAATGTCTTTGCTTTTATTCGTTTCGACAGCATTTTCAAACTCTCGTAACTCTCGACGTCGAACTTTGGAAATTGTCGTAAAATTTCAACGGGAATTAAAATTAAGGCGTTGAAATATTTTTCGTACGCCTCGATTTGAAGGTCCTTTAATTTCTCGTAATTCGTTTCTAAATTTTGCCGATTCGTCTGAAAAAAAAGATTACAGAGAAATTTTGTTTTTAAAAATAAAAAAATTGATAGGAAGAAAAAAAAGGGAAACTTACCGGAGTTTCAGAAATGACGGGATTACTTTTCACATTTTGAATCCAATTTTGAAGTTCTTTATCGAAACCCAAAGGTTTCATGTTGACCATAACGTCCGGACCCTTTAATTCCTTTTTCGGCGATGTTAATTTTTTCATCGGTGAATTCTTCTTAACTGGTGACATTAATTTTCTCGGCGATTCACAATCATCGGATGGGAGAAATTCTTCGGCATTTTTTTTACATTTATTCAAACCCAAACGTTTTTTAATTGGCGATAATGATAATAATTTTTTTGCTCCCTCAAAATTTTCTAATTTTTGTAAATTTTGTTTTTCCTCCGTTAAATTATTTTTCCCCGGACTTTTCATTAATATTTTCATTGCCTTTGAATTTGATGCGATTATTTTCGATTTATCGTCATCAGTTAATGGCTCTGCATTTTTATTTACAATTTCTTTAAATTCATTCGTTGCCGCTTGAAAATTTTCCTTCTGAGAATTGCGACGTGCATTTTCCTCAATTGAATCCTCAACGTAAACCGCCGAATTTGTCTCTAGTTCGCCGATAAATGAATTCTCCTCGGAACTCGGCTGAGAAATTGAAAAAAATTGTAATTAGCGAATTTCACTCTTTTTTCTCTTTATGTGCAAAAATTACAAAAGAAATGAAATTGAAAAAAGAAAATAAAAATTAGAATTAAAAATAAAAAATAAAAATTAGTATTAAAAACATAAATAAAAATAAATAATTTAAATAAAAAAAAAAGTTTATTTATTAACAAGTTTACAAAAAAGAAAGAGACGAAATAAAGAATTAAAATTATTAAAACATAAATTTATTAATGAAATAAAATTATTTATATAATGATAAATAAAAAATAAATAAATGAATAAAATATACTAAATTAAATTTTAGAAAATAAAATTTTTCTCTAAATTATCTTACAATTTTTTATAATAATTGAATTCATTCAAGGAATTTTATTAAAATATTGAAAATAGTTCAATATTCTTCTGAAAAATTTCTTTAATTTTTGTAATAAAATCGATTTTGTTAATAATTGTAATAAATAATTTTATTATTAAATTTAATTGAAATTATTTATAGAAAATTCAATTATTTTGAACAATTTTATTAGTTTCCATAAAATAATTAAATTTTTTCGAAGAATTTCTTCAAGTTTTTTTTTTTTTAATAATTTTAATTTGAAAATTTTGAAAATAATTGAATTTTCCAAAGAATTTTTTTTAAACTTTTTTTTAAAATAATCGTTTGTGATAATAAATTATAATTAAAAATGTTATTATTGGATTTCTATTAAAATTTTTTGTAAATAATTGAATTCCTCAGAAGAATTTTATTAAAATTTTTGAAAACAATTGAAATATGTAATTCAATTCCTGCGAAGAATTTTGCTGTTTATAAAAATAATTGAATTCTTTCGAAAAATGTTATTATTTATAAAATTTATTGATGAGATAAATAAAAAAAGAGTAAATTAATTGAAATGTAAAAAAGTATAATACATTATTTTAAACAAAAATGCAAAACTTACAATTGAAATAATTGAATTACTTTTCTTCAATTCATGTTTTTTAAATAATTCAGGAATTTTATTCAATTTTTCAGGCTCCTCGAAATCATCGTCGTCATCGTCGTCCAAAAAATCATCTTTCTTTGACTTCGGAGTACTGCAAATATTATTATTACATAAAGAATAATAATTAATTAATTATTATTAAATTATTATTGTAATTAATATAAAATCGAAACATAAATTAAAAGAATTAATTTAAAAAAATTTTAAAGTTTAAAGTTTTAAATTTAAAAAGAAAATAAATAAAATAAAAATTTATTAATTACCTATTAAAATTAAGAATATTAATTCATTAAAAGTATTTATTATTATTGTAATTAATATCTAAATTGAATAAATAAAAAAAAATGATAAAATATAAATATTAATTAATTTACCAAAATCTACAAATAATAAAGAAATATTATTAGGTATTAATTAATAGAAATATTCATTATTATAGTTCATTAAATTCATTAAATTAAATTATTAATTATTAAAAAGTAATTAAAAAATTTTATATTCAAGAATTATTAATTAATGTTAATTATTAATAAACTTAATATTATTACTTATGTTAAATGTATTAATTAATTAATAATTATAGTGGCAATTTCATTCTCTTCTCTAAATTAAAAGAATAAAAATCTAATCGTCTTTCACTTCGTTTCTTGTTATTATGCTTCTTATTATGTAATAAAATTGTTTGTTTGTTTAAAAATTTTCAGCAAAAAATGTTCTTTTCAACTCACCTCGTTTCTGCTCGATTAAATTTACTCAAAAGTTCTCTAAATCCCAGTTTTTGATTTTGACTGACTGGAACTTTTTTCGACATTTTTCATTAAAACAACTACATTCGCATTAAAAAAAAAAAATGATTCCGAAAATTTGACACTAATTTCCTTAGCAAAATGCAAAAAAAAAGAGAGAGAGGAAAGGAAAAAAGCTTTTTCAACAATAATTTTACACTACGACGTTAAATTATTAAACTATGGATATTTACGAGGTGTTTAAAGGTTTAAACTTTCGTTTGTTGGTTAACATTAATGTGACAAATTTGTGGAGTTCAGTTTTTTAATAAATATTTAATGAGACGATATAAACAAAGACAAACAAAGACAAATAAACACAAAAGTCACGCGAGTGGATTAAATCCAAACATTTAGTTTTTGAGGTTAGGTTAGGGCTATTATTCTGGTTTCTGCCTTCTGGTTGGCTTGCGTATTGGCGCCTTTTTTGGAAGAAAGAGAAGAAAACTTATGGTATGTTCACAGGTCGGCAGTGCGCAGACACTACAATTTGGCAATTGGAGTGAAAGAGACAAAAATATTTTCTCTCTCATTTACATCAATTGTTCTCTCTCTTTCACTCCAACTTCTTTTGTCTGCGCAAATATTTTATTATTTGTGTATTTTTAACTATTAACTACTTTAATTTGTGTTTTTAATATATTTGTTTATTATAATTATTATTTTTCTTACCTTTTCTAAAGAAGCAACAAATTAAAAGAATCCGGAACCTGGAAAATGGAAATTGTTTAATATTTGTTATTTGCACATTTACAAGCATGTGAATGAGACTTTAAACAAGTGCGTTCCATTCTGACAAGTTGTGATCGCACCTTCATAATTTGCACTGTGTTTACAAAAATATAACCTGAAAAATTTTCAACTTCCTTTTCAATGTGCTAAATAAATTCAATTTCTAAAAAGATTATTAGTGTTGTTTATTGAAAAAATAGACGTCTCAGTAAAAATATTAATTACTTTGTTATATGAACATTGTACAGGGCATGCCAATTGTTTTTATTCCTTGTAAGTAAAGTTTTAATATTCTCAATTAAAATTTGAATATCAGAAATTGGTGACGAATTAAAATACTTTAAAATAAAAAAAAAACCGTTAAATAAATGTTTATTTAAGTTCCAAAAATATTTTCATAATTTAAAATCATTTACGAATAATTAAAATTTATTAAAAAAGGATTTTAATATTACAAAAATGAAATACAAAGCACATTGTAAAAGAGTTCTTATTGTGTATTATTGAAATTTTATAAGTGAAAAATAGTGAAAATATTAAAAGGATTAAAAGTAATAAAAATGAGAAATTGTATTAAGAAAAGTGAATTTAAGAAATATAGTAAGGGTAATTCCACGTGAAATTTTCCTATGACATTTTAATATCGGTTAAACATATTTTTTTTCGTTCTTTATAGAAAAATATTAAATACGTATTTTTTATTTTTGTATAATTGTCCAAATTTTCGAGTTATGAATTTTCGAAATTTTGGATTTTTAAAAATTAAAAGTGGACCTATTTTCAGTAGCTTATCAGTTTAAAAGTATTGAGTTTAGAAAAAAAGTTTTGAACGAAAGAAAATTTTAGTTTTTCCTCAACTTTTAAGTAATGTAAACAAATTTTTTTTGTCTTAATTTTTAATTAAAAAAAAATTAATTTGTTTATAAAAAAAATCATTTTTTTTTAAATTAAGGAATTTATGAGACGAAAATACGTCAAATCAGGAATAATTGATTAATTAATCATAATATTTATATATTAAATATAAGGGTAATTCCACGTGAAATTTTCCAATGATATTTTAAAATCGGTTAAAAATATTTTATTTAAAATTATTATTTTTAATTTATATAAGGGTAATTCCACGTGAAATTTTCCTATGATATTTTAAAATCGGTTAAAAATATTTTATTTAAAATTATTATTTTTAATTTATATAAGGGTAATTCCACGTGAAAATTTCCTATGATATTTTAAAATCGGTTAAAAATATTTTATTTTAAATTATTATTTTTAATTTATATTATAATTACTTTAAAATTTAGTTATTTCTTTATTACTTTCAGTTGATTTTACTTATGAAATCAAAGTTGAGAAACAATGATCGTGGAAATGACGAGATGGAGAAAATTAAAAGAGCAGGAATTTATTATGAAGGATATTAAGATGAATTTTCCAATCGGACACCTTGGGGAGGGTTCCAAGGTTGAAAAAAGTGACATTAGATTGCCAGATATAAGGACTCAGGATACGAAAATGTTAGAGATAAATCTAGAGAATGTTAAGGTGGAAAATATTGAAGAGACTGAGCAAAATTATAAGGAAGATGATTTTACAGTGAAATGTATTAAAGTCGAGACTAATGAAACGGAAAATTCAAAAGAGATCAATTTCAGTTTAGAGAGTAACAAAATAACTTCAATTAAAACGGAGAAGTTAAAAGAGAAGGAAACAGTAGTGGAGGAAATTCACATGGAGAATATTAAGGTAGAGCCTATTGAGATGGAGAATTTCGAAGAAGAAGATATAAAGACAGAAGAATTATTAGTAGACGATATGGACATAGAAGATATGATGGCAATGGAGGAAATAGTGGAGATAGTGGAAGTACTCGAAATAATTGTGATGGAAGTAATAAAACCAGAGAAAAAGCACTCTAATAGAAAAAAAATGCAAAATAGTTGTAGCAAGCGAAAATGTGGAAAGTATCGGACATCAGGGAGGAGACTCTCCAAAACGAAAGCCTCAAGAGAAAGGTTTGTGTCTACTAAGTTACTTGAAAATTTTACTAAATTTTACATTATCCTCTGAATTCTTTTACTCAATTTATACGGTATTTTTTTAACCTATTTTACATACTCTTGTTTTATTTATTCATTCGTTTTTTAAGTAATTTTCTTTTTCAAAAGTAAGACCATTTTCAAGAGCTTACAACGAGTTTTTAAACATTTTATCAGCCATTTTGGATCCGTTATTTTGAATTTTTAAAAACTGACATTGGATTCGTAATCGGCGACCCCAAAAACCCCCGAGTAACTAGTTTCAAGCCTATCCGATTAATTTTAGATTTTTGTCCTCCATTTTGGATCTACCATTTTGAATTTTTAAAAACTTACATTGGATTCGTAATCGGCGACCCCAAAAACCCCCAAGTAACTATTTTCAAGCCAATCCGATTAATTTTTATATTTTCGTCCGCCATTTTGGATCTACCATTTTGAATTTTTAAAAACTGACATCGGATTCGTAATCGGCGACCCCAAAAACCCCCGAGTAACTATTTTCAAGCCAATCCGATTAATTTTTATATTTTCGTCCGCCATTTTGGATCTACCATTTTGATTTTTTAAAAACTGACATCGGATTCGTAATCAGCGACCCCAAAAACCCCCGAGTAACAAGTTCCAAGGCAATTCGATTATTTTTTAAAAATTCTCCTGCCATATTGAATCCGCCATTTTGAATTTTTAAAAACTGACATCGGATTCGCAATCAGCGACCCCAAAAACCCTCGAGTAACAAGTTTCAAGCCAATCCGATTAATTTCATATTTTTTCGTCCGCCATATTGGATCCGCCATTTTGAATTTTTTAAAATTTACATCGAATTTGCAAGCAGCCATTCAAAATAACGATTTTCGTCATATTTAGACCCCTGAGAATGATTTTTATTAGTTAAGAAAGATTCTTCTAGTATTCAGAAATTTATTAATTTTAAAAATTTACTTTTTCTATTTTTTACATTCGGTTGAATATTCAACTGATTTTAAAGCAATATTGTTTTAAAATCATTTAAAACTGATAGGTTAAAAAGTATAGTGACCGACATCCACTATTAAAAATAAATATTAAGACTTGCACCGAAGAAAGAACTTATAAGTAACAATTTTGAGGTTATGTTTCTAATTTTTGGAACAAAAAAAATACAAAAAGATGATCAACTGTCAATAAAAAACAATTGTTGTTTTAGTCTTCATTGCAACTGTGAATTCGACATAATAGTCCTTTTATGCTCTTTTCATATTCTGAGCAATTCTGAGGAGTTGTGTACGTGACATTATTACACAAACCTTTTTTTTTATAGACTTTGTAATCACGAAAATAACAAATTCATAATAAATCACGTGTAGCTATGACAACAAAAACATGAGTTTATAAATTGCTATCGAAACGAAAGATGAAAATAAACAGTTTCTTTAACAAGTTGTGCTTCACTTCTTACAGAATATTTATCTTAATTATTTAGTTTTGATTTAATATCTACAGCTCAAACAATGGTATGTTCTTAAAAATCATGACAAAAATATAACCTTTATTTATTAAACAAAGAAATTGAATTATTTTTAAAATCTAACGTTAAAATCTAAAATATAATTATTAAAAAAAATACTTTTGTTAGAAGTAATATATAATATAAATGTGACGCCCTCCAAAGAAAGATACTTAAGAAACAAAAAATTATAGGTTATGTTTGTAATTTTTGGAATGAAAATACACAAAGTAGATCAACTCTCAATGTATATTGTTTGGTTTTTAATTCTTTATTACGTCTATAAAATAATTTAAAAACTGATTTTAGTTTAATACAATTTAATGAAAAGTTTTAATTAAAGCAAAAGTAACACGAACATAACCTCAAAATTATTTCTTTACAGAGTGCAACAAATTTAATTGTAATTTATTATTATTCATAATTATTTAATTTCATCAATTCATAATTATCAAAATTTGATATGAAAATTAAATTAATTACAAATTGAGCGCTCCAATGCAATAACTCGTTCGACGCTCGAAAAATTTTCGAGCGTCAAACGAGTTATTGCATTGGAGCGCTCAATTTGTCTACTCAATAAATTTTATAGTTCGTAATTTATTTTTAAATAATTCATAATTTATTTTTAATTTTAGACGTCGACTAAAAAAGCTACAGCAGGAGGCCCTCGAAAGAGGGGAATTGCAAAATTCGAATTAACAGATGAGCAACGTGCCGACATTAAAGAAGCCTTCGATCTCTTTGATCCCGATGAGAGTGGAAAAATTTCCACGAAAGAACTTAAAGTTGCAATGCGAGCACTTGGCCTCGAGCCAAAGAAAGAGGAAATTAAAAAATTAACATCAACGGTGGATCCCGATAATACTGGAAAATTGTCATTCGAGGAATTTTTACAATTAATGTCAACGAAAATGTCCGAGAAGGACACTAAGGACGAGGTCCTTAAGGCATTTCGCTTATTCGACGATGACGACACTGGGAAGATAACATTTAAAAATTTGAAACGTGTCTCAAAGGAATTGGGCGAGAATCTCACCGATGAAGAATTACAGGAAATGATCGATGAGGCAGATCGCGATGGTGATGGTGAAATATCACAAGATGAGTTCCTAAGAGTTATGAAGAAGACTTGCCTCTACTGAGAAAAAAAGAAAGGAAAAACTTTTGATCCCTAAAAAAAAGTGATTTTTAATCTAATTGAAGTTTTTCTTTTAGAAAAAGTTTATACTTTACTTGGGGAAATGATTTCCGGCTTTTTATTTTTATAAATTAAAAAGTAGAATTAGGATTCTTTGAAAGATATTTATTTCTATATTTTATGAATATGTGAATGAGTTTAATTTTATGAATAAAGAAGAAATTTTGTATTTATTTGCTTATAAAAAGCCTAAGATCATTGATACTGAAGTCAATCACTGATTTCAGTTCTTGTCTAAAATCTTTCTACTGGGAGAAATTTTACGAAATTTCAATTATTAGTAAATTCTCCAATTAAATATATATTAGAAAATATAAACTTCAAGTAATATTTAAAAAAAATTCAATTAAACTTTTTCAAAAAAATTATTTTCTAAATTCAATTACAATAATAATTAATTGATAGAATAATTAATTCTTTCTTAAAATTGAATTCTCATAAAGAATTTTATTATCAAATTTTTTAAAATTGAAATTTTTCGACGAATTTTAATTAAATTTTTAAAAATAATTACATTTTTCGAGAAATTCGTTAAAATTAAAAGTAATTAAAATCCTGTAAAGAATTTTTTATTTATGAAAATAATTGAATTCTTGTGACGAATTATATAAAATTTTTTTAAATTTATTGAAATTTTTTAAAATCATTTTATGGAAACTTAAAAGAAAAATTTAATTCTCATAAAGAAATTAACAAAGTTTTAAATAATTAAATTCTTTAGACGAATTTTAACAAAATTTTTAAGAATAAAATTATATTTGTCGAGAAATTCGATTAAAGTCTGTTGTATTAAAAATAATTGAAATCCTTCGATGAGTTTTATTACTTATGAAAATAATTGAATTACTAAAAAGAATTTTAATATTTGTGAACATAATTTAATTTCTGTGAAGAATTTTATTACTATTGAAAACAATTAAATTTCTACAATAATTAAATTTCTTTTTAAGTGTTTTTAACTAAAATTCTTCTATTATCAATTTATTTTTAGTAATTTTGGAAAAAGTTCTTTGAAAATTTTCAAATTCATTTGTTTACAATATTCAATTTTTGGAAAATTCAATTATTCGTAAATTCTTCAATTAAATATATATTTTAGAAAATAAAAACTTAAAAAAAATAATTTCAAGTAAAATTGAAAATAGACTTTTTTAAAAAAATTAATTCTTCTACAAAATTGTTAGTTAAAACTTAAAAGTATAAAAAATTAAAATTTTAATATGAAACCTTTTTCGAAATTCAATTATTTCTAAAAATTCAAGCTATAATCCTTTTAATGTTCAATTATAATTTAAAATTTTAAGTGAAATTCATTTTTAAATCAATTTTTAATAGAAAATTCTACTAGAAATCAATTTATTAAATTAAAAAGAATAACTTATTCCTAAAGAGAATTTTATTATTTATGAAAATAATTTAATGATTGCGAAGAAATTTATAAAAAAAAATTTTAAATAATTGAATTCCTGTGAAATTTTCATTATTATATGAAAATAATTCAAGTTTTGCGTACAAGTTTTTAAAATTCTTTTTGAAATAATTGAAATCTTTTGAAAAATTTTATTAAAATAGTACTTAGATATTATAAATCATTGAATTGAGGAAAGTTTTTGAAAATAATTGAAATATTGCCAAGAATTTTATTGAAATTTTTGAAAATAATTGAATTTTGGAAAATAATTTTATTATTTCTCTAAACAATTGAAATGTTGGAAAATAATTTTATTGAAATTTTTGAAAATAATTGAATATTAAAAAAAAATTTTGAATATAATTGAATTTCTGCAATCCTAGCAAAATCGAGACAATATTTTCCTTTTTTCTATATAACATTTTATTTAATCACTTATTATAAAGTTTTCGAAAATTATAGAAGAGAATCAAAATTTAAAAGCAAAAGGCAAAAGGCTTTTTAAATTTTTCCAAAATAGAATTTCATTAATGTTAGGATAAAATCTGGAAACGGATCAAGAAATTTTAAAAGGTGTCGTTGCGGTTTCTATTAATTTTCTTATTGCTTCAGCTCGTTTCTTTGCAATTGCTATGCTTTTTGTTATTAATTTGTCTGACATTGGAGTTCCACCTGAAACAGATTGATTTTAGTAAAAATTCTTCTTTTTATCATTTTTCACATATTATTTTTTTTTAAATTGCAATTTTTCGTTTTGAAAATATTTACCTGATTTGTGTACAAAACACATGTCATTGGCGTTAACGGCAATTGTTATTCTACTGTGAGATAAACTTTCCTCATCTTCTGTAGGGTCAACAATTAAAATTCGTCTAAAGAGATAGAAAAGAAATTAAATTAATATTATTACTTTTTAATAGAAACTTTTTCATTTAATAAGTTTAAAAAAAATGAAAAAGAAGTTGATAACAAATAAATAGTTCATTTCAATAATTTCTTATAAATAAATAAATAAATAAATAAATAAATAAATAAAAAATAATTCTCACTCATCGAACGATGCGAATGTCAAAGAAACGGTTATTGGTTTCAATGGAAGTGGAATTCTCTTCTCGGGATTTGTGACTATGAGTTTTGTTTCCGTGTCATATGTAACTTCCGGTAATGTCACTGAATTTTGAAAGAAAAATATATTTAATATTAGAAATTGAAAATTCAGTAAATTTATAAACTATGCTATCATTTAGGTCTCAATTAAAAATTTTCGAAGCTTACCAAAAAATTTAACGTTGCTTATTTTTACAAAAGAAAATTAATTTATTAATTTTAAAAACTTTCATTTTTAATTTTCATTTTAATTTTTTTTTTTTTTTTTTTTTTAATTAAAAAAATTTTTTTTTCATCGAAATACTCACAAGTTTCTAAGGCAGACATTAAAGCTCCAATGCAAACATCAATTACAGATCCATCGAAATCAATGCAAACGAGATCGCAATATAAAACCCATGCCAATTTATCCTTACAAATGCAAAGATCTTTTAGATCCAAAATTGACGAATTCGATAAAATTTCGTCGACAATTTTCGTTGCGCATTGAGCTTCTTCACTAGGTGGACCGGGTCGAAATTTGGGAGAACAAAGGGGCGGTAAATTTACGTTAATTATAGCGAAACCACAATTTGGTGTCGAGGCTTTTGGTGTGCAAAGTTCCTGAAAGTAGAAATAATTTTTCAATTTATTATAATTTAATAAATAAAAATAAAAAAAAAAAAAAAAAAAAAAAAAAAAAAAAGTCTTCAACTTACGGCTTTAATTCCACAAATAACAGTTGTGTTTCCAATTTTGAAAACACAAGAACTGTCGGCTTGTTTAATTGATGAAACATTTATGCTGACTGGACGATAGGACATAAATTCCCGACCATCCGGACGAATTTCTTTCGACTGAAATATAATAAAAAATTAATTTCATCTATTTTATTCTATTTATAAAATTTCTAATTAATTAATTCATAAGTGTGAATAAAGGGAAAAATTAATTAATAAACAAAAAAAAATTCAGATTATCCAAAATTTTAATTTGAAAACTTTTCAAAATTCAATTATTTCTAAAAATTCACACTATAATACTTTTAATATTCTATTATTACATTATCTAAAATTTTAACTAAAATTTATTTTTAAATCAATTTTTATTAAGAAAATTCTACGAGTATTCAATTATTTAAATTAAAAACTAAATAATTTTTTTAATAATTGAATGCTTTTTATAAAATTAAATTCTCACAAAGAATTTTATAATAAATTTTTAAATTAATTGAATTCTTTTCACGAATTTTAATAAAATTTTTTATATAATTACATTTTTTGAGCAATTCGATTAAAATTGTATTAAAAATAATTTAATTCGTGGGAAATTTTTTATTTTTTCATGAATGTTTGCGTAAGATTTTATTAAAAATTTTTTATTTTTTATAAATGTTTGCGTAAAATTTTATTAAAAATTTTTTAAAATAATTGAATTTCAAAGAAAAATTTTATTATTTATAAAGATAATTAAAATTTTGACTAGAATTTTTTTTTTAATATAGTTTAATTTCTGCGAAGAATTTTATTACTTTACAAAATAATTGAATTTTTCCAATCATTTGAAACAAAATAATAAAAAATTCTTCTTTAAAATTCAAATTTATTTAGTGTTTTTAACTAAAATTCTTCATAAATAATTTTATCAACAAATTTTTAAATAATTGAATTCTTTCGACAAATTTTAACAAAAATTTTTTAGAATAATTACATTTTTCGAGGAATTCGATTAAAATTATAAAATTATTATTAAAAATAAATTGAAAATCTTGCTATGAGTTTTATTATTTATAAAAATAATTGAATTTCTAAAAAGAATTTTATATTTTTTATAAAAATAATTGAATCTCTACAAATAATTTTATTATTTACGAAAATAATTAAATTATTGCGAAGAAATTTATAAAAAAATTTGTAAATAATTAAATTCCTGTGAAATTTGTATTACATTTATGAAAATAATTGAATGTTTGCGTAGAATTTTATTAAAATTTTTTTTAAATAATTGAAAATAATTGAAATTTTACCAAGAATTTTATTTATATTTTTGAAAATAATTGAAATTTAACGAGAATTTTATTAAAATGTTTGAAAATAATTGAATTTTTTTACTTTTGAAATAATTGAAATTTTACCAAGAATTTTATTAAAAATTTTTTAAATAATTGAATTTTTTCAAAGAATTTTTTTTACATTTGATAATAATTGAATTTTTGCAATTATTTGTAATTTCTCCGAAATTCAATTTTTTTAAGTGTTTTTTACTAAAATTCTTCTATAAATCCATTATTTTTAATAATTAATTAACAAAAATATTTAAAAATTTAACTATATAATTTCAGAAGAATTTGAATTATTAAAATTTTTCAAAAATCTAAGTTCTTTAAAATTTCTAATTAAATTCATTAAGAATTGAAATTTTCCAAAAATTCAAATTGTTATCTTTTGAAATTAATTTATTTATGAAAATTGTAAACGCAACTCTTTTAAAATTCAATTAATTTTGAATTATTTTTAATTAAAATTGTAATTAATTATTACTTATTACTAACTAATTATAATAATAATTATTTTATTTTTAGTCTTTTATTGTAAATTAACTCACGAAATGATCTCGAAGATATTTGACTGGATGAATTGTCCTAAAAAAGTTATTATTATAAATTACTTTAATTTCTATATAAATAATTTATTAAAACAGGTAATAAGACATAATTTACAAAAAAAACCATACTTTATCACACGTGTTGATAGTAAACAATGTTTTCATGCAACATAACCTCAAAATTGTTAATATTTTAACTTTTTACACAGTCTTTACTTCGAATTGCAATTAAAATCTACTGAAAATAAAGAGAGAGTTACACTTACTTGAATTGGGAATCCATTATTTAAAGAAACTAAACTAATAAATCAATTTAAATTAATTAAATTAATACCCGGTTAAAATTTTCTTGTTTCAATCGATTTAAAAACAAGAAAACAAAATAATGTGACAGTGAAATCAATTGTGATTGTGAATGACAAGAACAAGAAAAAGAAAAACAGGTTTACAAAAATGGGAAGTGTAAAATAGAGTACATACTCCTTACTCCTTAGGCAGAGATTTTCAATAATTTTTAATTTTCCGAAAAATGAAACGGTGAAAACTGAAAAGAAAAATAAAAATTGGAAATTTTGTCGGTAATAAAGAACACTACATTAGCTGGCACAGTTTTTGGCGCCCATTTCAAAAATAGTTAAAAACAAATTATCAATTATCGTGTTTCTCATTAAAATATAGTTCATAAATAAATAAAAATTACGCAGAAATGAATAATATAAAAAAACTGAAATTTTTGTAAATGGCAATTTTTCCTTCGGACTGAAAATAAAAATAGAAAATGAAAATAACTAAAAGAAAATTAGAAAACTAGTGTCTCACGGGCTTGAGTCATTTTATCGATTGATTTGCTCTAAAGTTGCATTGAAAATCGCATTGCCACATGTGAACCTTTTTAACTTATTTGTTATGACATTTCGGGGACTTTAAAAAATTAGTACCACGTATATAAGTACTTACATTTATTCCGTTATTTTACGTAACATTTAGAAATCTAGTGTGATTTTGTGACGCATAAATGGCATAAATTATTGAAAAGCGATAAGAGAGAAAGTATATATTATAAATACATTTTTTTTCGTAACCTTCGCGTTGATAATATTTTAAATATGACTACGTAGACGAGGAAAAACGGGAGTCGGGAGTGGAACAAAACTTTCAAATGCTAATATTCCTAATCTGAATTCACTTTACATCAGACTGTTGATTGTGACGGTTTATTATTGTTTCTCAATTTCTTTTGTTATAATAAAATTTCGTGGGTAATTTTTTTTTTAGGTTATGTAGTAAAATTTGATTTTTATTAAAAAATCTTAAAAAATAAATAAATTGTATGTTTATTTTTGACTAATAGACTATTTTGATAATTTTACCTAGAGCCGCACATGTTTTTTTCGAGTGTTATTTGTCGAATGATTTTTGTATATTTTTATTTTTTATTCTTTGAAGAAAATAGTGTGAATTATGGACATCATAGATGTAGAACCTCATATTGATGTAACAATCGATGAAAATGAGGTTATAAAAGGAGCGACAGAAATTATCAAAACTATTAGACCTGACTGGCCTATAGATCAATTATTATTCAAGGTAATTTAATTTATTGAAAATAATTCGATTATTTAAAAAAAAATTTATTTTCCATTTTTTACGAAAATGTAACAAAATATCATTTTTTTTTACATAATCTTAATGAAATTTAATACTTTTTCCACTGAAATATTATCTACTGTATTATATTACTTAACGATTTTTATCAAATTGTTTATAAATGGAAAAATATTTTTGCAAACTTGGAGGCGGGAGATAATTTCTGTTTAATTCCGATAAAGTAAATAGAACTTTTTTTTTAATTTAAATTTTAAAATCATCTCTGTTAGGATGTTAATTTTTTTGTTTGAATATAAAATATTCATTAATATTTATTCGAGATACGACGATTTATATTTTTATATTGAATAAATTTTCAGAAAATTGAAATTTGTCAGTTTTTTGAATTTCTTAACATTTACTATTTAATATTTAATTAAATTTAGTTAATTTAAAATAAATTAATTTAATACTTACTAGATTTAATATTTAATTTATTACTATTTTTTTTATTAATCTCAAAGAAAAAAGGATTAAAATTTTAAAAAAACTAAAAAATTTTTGAATGTGGACGAATTTTTATTAAATATTTTATTAAGTAAAGGATATTTTACATAATTTTCTAATATTAAATTATAATTAAATAAAGAATATTTCAGTAAATATTTTATTAAAGAAAGAATATTTTAATTGATATTTTATTAAAATAAAGAATATTTTTTTTACTATTTTCTTTCATGAAAATAATATCTTGAATACCTATTTTATTTCTTGAAAAATATTTTCTACAATTTTTTCATTTCACGAAAAAAATATCTTTTCTTGAATATTTTTTTTAAATATATTATGAAATATTTTCCTCATATTATTTCCTTTTATGAATAATATTTTCATTGATATTTTATTTTTTAAGAATTATTTTTTTCTTTAAATATTTTCATTCATGAAAAATATTTTTTCTTTTCTTCAAATATTCTATTTTTGGTTGATTATGAAACTAAAATTGACAAAAAAAAAAATCTTTTCAAAGTTGACACATTAGTGGCAAATTTTTTTTTTGTATAAATAAAATCTGTTTGCAAAATGAATTTTCAAGTTATTTTATGGATTATGCATATAGACATTTATAACAAGAGCGATTGCAAAACAATTTGTGATCACGCTATCCGGCAATATATTTTTGTTCAAATATCTTATCGCAAGGCTAAAATAAAAGAATAATTTTAATAAATGTTTATGTAAAAGCAATATATTATTTTTTGTATTAGTGAAAACCTATTTTTAATTCTTTTATTAAATATTTCAAAAAAAAAAAACGACGAAAGATTAATTATTAATAAATTCTTTATTAATAATAATTAATAAATTCTTTATATTAATAATTATTAATAAATTGATTTTTTTTCTTTTTTTAGGAATTTAAAGACGGAATAACAAATAAACTAGTGGGACTATGGTATCCAGAGCATTACAACGAAATGATATTGATTCGAATTTATGGACACAAAACCGATTTGTTCATCGATCGAAAAGCTGAGACTAGAAATATTAGGGTTGGCAAATTTTCATAAAATAATATTTTTTTTCTTTCATAGATTATTATTTTATTTATTTTTTTTTTATTGACTTTTTATCTCTAATTTTCCTTTTTATTAATTTTTTTTATTGTTATTTTATTATTTTTTTATTTTATATTTTATTTGTTTTTATTTTATTTCTTATTTTTCTTTTTGGTAATTTTACTTGATAGGTATTATTTTTTCTTTTATTGTTATTTTATTTTTAATTTTTCAGTTTATTTATTTTATTTGTTTCTATTTTTATTTATTGTTCTTTTTTTATTTTCTATTTTCTTTGTTTTTATTTTATTTCTAATTTTCCTTTTTATTAATTTTTTATTTTTGAGAAAGTATCAAAAAAACAAAAAAAAAAAAATAAATAAATTTTTTTTTGTTATTTTATTATTTTTTTATTTTATATTTTATTTGCTTTTATTTTATTTATAATTTTTTTTTTTAATATTTACTTGTTTTTATTTTTATTTTTTTTTATTTTTTATTAATTTTACTTATTTTTATTTTGTCTTTCATTGTTATTTTATTTTTAATTTTCTACTTTAGTTATTCTATTTGTTTCTATTCTTATTATTTAATTTACAATTATTTAATAATAATTATCATTTTACTGTTAAATAATAATAATAATAATAACAATGATTATTTTTGATTTATAATTTTGGTGTTTCTTTTTGCCGGCAGATTTTAAATAAAGCCGGTTATACGCATTCAATTTATGCAACGTTCAATAACGGCCTTGCCTATGAATTTATTGAAGGTGAAACTCTCACCATCAAGACTGTTAGAAATCCAATTGTTTATCAACTTGTAGCTAGAAGAATGGCAGAGATGCACAGGCTGAAACCGATTCATCCGGAAATGAGTCAGAAGCCTTTTGTTTGGTCCAAAACCGAAGCGTTTTTGAGCTTTGTACCAAAAGCGTTTGCTAATTGCGAGAAACAATTGAAGTAAGCAGTAATTTCTCTATTCGAATTTTTGCGCACAAAAACAGTTTTTGTAATTTTTTTTTCATCAATAATTTGAAATTCGAAAAAATTTTTAAACAAAATATTTTTTTTTTTTTTTTAATTGTTGCAGATTTGAAGAGACGATTAAACCCTTTGCAGTATTAAGGGATGAGTACAATTTTTTGTATGAAAAATTTTCGCAAAATGGAAGTCCCGTTGTTTATGCCCACAATGATCTTCTTCTTGGAAATATTCTTTACGATGAGAAAAAGAATTTAGTGACTTTTATTGATTTCGAGTATACCGCCTATAATTATCAGGCTTTTGATATTGCTAATCATTTTGCTGAATTTGCAGGTATCTTTTATTTTAATTATATCATATTTCTACATACTTTTTTTTAATATTTATTTTATTTAATTATTTTCGCTAATTTCTACTTTTTTTAATTTTTTTTTTTTTTTTTTTTTTTTTTTTTAAAGGTTAAAGCTACAAGATTTGTCGGGGAAAAAAAAATATTTTCATTCTATATATATCAGAACTAAAAAAAAACTAAAAAAAAAAATTTTGAAATAAGTTTAGAAATTTTATGAAACAGTTTTTAATTGAAAAATATTTTCTATTTAGGAACCGATCGTCCGGATTATTCCCTTTATCCGGATAAAAATTTACAGAAGGCTTGGCTGAAAATTTACCTCGAAGCTTATAATGAAACGAATAGAATAACGGAAGAAGAGGTCGAACAACTTTATGGCGAAGTTCAAAAATTCGTTCTTCTCTCGCACTTCTTTTGGGGATGCTGGGCACTCATACAGAGTGAACACTCTCACATTGACTTCGATTTTTTAGAGTGAGTATTATACATTTCAAAAAAAAAAAACTCATTTTAAAATCTTCGAAATATGGAAAATCGAAAAAAATTTCTTCTAAATTAAAATTGATATATTTTTAATTAAAATGATTTATTTATTCACTTCAACAATATATTTATTTTTTTAGAATATAATAGCATTTTATTGTTATCAATGTTACTTTTTTCTATTTTTATTATTTATTAGAATTAAAATAAGACAGTATCTAATTAGGATCAAATTTTTGCAAAGAAAAACAAAATTTGACTATTTATAATTTTTATGATATTTATTTAATTTTTTTAAATAGTTTAAACTTTAAAACTAACTACTTTTTCCGATATTTTTTACAGATACGCTGCAATGAGATTTGACGAGTACTTTAAAAGGAAAAGCAAACTTGGTTTTTAATATAAATAAAAAAAAAAAAAAAAAAAAAATTAGAAAACCAAGAGATTTTCTGTGATATTTCTTAATATATAAGAGGACATTCCCACTTAAACGTTGAGAAGTGAGACAAGACTATTTTATGCAAATTCAAGGGCTGTGAGAGGATTTTACGCGAATTTCCTTTTATGAATAAGAAAAACCAAAAAAAAAACAAAAAACAAAAACAATAAATTATGGTTGTAATATTGCATTTACGATTTAATATTCAAGCTTCTAAATATAATTATCATGTAATATTCAATTATATATTATAAATTAATATACATATATAATTATTATATTGTATCATAATATTCAAGTTCTTTCCATTAATATGAGTAAAACTATAGTGAATTAACTGTAATTTACATAAAAGAAAAGAAAGAAAGAAATGTTAATACAATTAATACAATTAATACAATTAATAAATTCTAATTTTTAGCATTCTTAGTATGCACGGAGAGAAATTTATAGTAGTGGGTAACATAATTGTGGTTAGGGTGACCATCTTTAATGCTACGTATACAGACAGCTATCTAGATAGTCACCGTTACCATCAATATCATCAGGAGTAACATCTTGGTAGTACGGGGTAGCATAACTATATTTTTTTTAGCATCTGGGATGGTTGGGAGTAGCATAATGATAGTATCGTGTAACATCATCTTTTTAACATCAAAATCTGACTATCCATTTCTCTCAGTGTGTAAAATTAGGATTTATTAATTAAATTTTAATATTTTTGAGCTATGGATTTTGAATATATTGAGAAATTGTTCGCAGCCCTTGATAATTTTTATACTCAAATGAAAAAAAAAAAAAAAATTGCATTTATCAAGTCATTTTAAATATTAGTTACGAAAGTTTACAGAAGAGGAAGAAAGAATATCTTTCTATTTGTCAGCTTAATCGATTTTAAAAATTAAAAAAACCATATTTTTTTTCCACGACTAAGAATAGAGAATTTTTTTACTTTTATTATTATTTTTCTCAAGTCATTTAAAAAGATGAAGATAATTATATTATTTTTAATTTTTATTTGTAAGTTCTATTTTATTATTTTGCCATATTTTATTAAATTTCAATTTATTATTTTGCTGCATTTTATTATTTTATTTGTACTGTTTTAATATTTTGCCATATTTTATTATTATTTTGCAGTTATTTTATTATTTTTATTATTATTATTTAAAAAAAAAAAAAAAAAAAAAAAAAAAATTATAATAATAATTATAATAATTATCCTGACTGGGATAGATCGACTATCTCATCGTTTTTATTAATAATAATAATTATTATTTTTATTATTATTATTATCATTATTATTTTTATTATTATTACTATTTTTACTATTATCATAATTTTTGTTAACTTCCTTTTTGGAATTTGTGCATTTTCTGATAGTAGATTAAAGAAAAAAAATTAATAGTGACCTACTTATGATAATTGTATCGTTTCGTTAATTATTTGTTATTAAGAAATGTTACTTAATGAATTTTGTAAACAATTATCATTGTTACTTTCATTGTGATCTTAATTGCTTGTAATTAGTACATTTTTAATTTATTTCGCAATTAATTGAGTAAAGTTTCATTAAATTAAGTTCTTTAAGTTAAATTTTTTCTTAGATTTTTATTATTATAAATTTTTTTCTTTTTATATTATTTTTTTCTTTTCTTTTTTTAATTTCAATTTTATTTTCTTTCTTTTCTTTTCTTTTCTTTTTTCTTACTTTCTTTTTTTCTTTATTTTATTTTCTTCTTTCTTACTTTCTGTTTTTCTTTATTTTCTTTTCTTCTTTTTTACTCTCTTTTTTCTTATTTTCTTATTTTTCTTTTTTTTTACTTTCTTTTATTTATTTTCTTTTCTTTTTTTTTATTTTCTTTGAAAAAAATTAAAAAGTCGTATTTTATTTGAAAATTTTGATAAATTAATAAATAACCTAGTTCTGCATTTTTTTTTGAAAAAATAGTTATTATATTAACGTAGTAAAATGTGTAATTAAAATTTTTATAAAAAAAAAAAATATTGAGTTAATATAGAGTGATCAAAAATTTTTCAACAATAATATTATAGCTTATTAAATATTTTTGTTATAAATAAAACAAAAAAAAATCACTTGTTAACTCAAAAAAAAAGAATATTTTGAGACAATCTTTGAAATATATTATTAAAACAAAAAAAGGATAAAAAATGATAATTTTAGTGAGAGAGAAATTTTTTTTTGTTTTTTAGATAGAAAAATAATTTAACGTCAGAGATTATCTTTTATGTCCTATATAAATAATGATGTTGTTTTAATAAAGATGTCTAATCATTGTTTTCGTAAAAAATTGTATTTTCGTTTTTTCTTTCCTAATAAATTTTCATTCACGTAAGCGTCTTTTTAAATATTTTTTTTTTATTTTCCATTCACAATAATATGAATTTTAAAATGTTTAAAAATTTAAAAAATTTTTAAATGTTTATTTAAATTTTATTATTTTATTATTATTATTATTATTATTATTTTATTATTTTTTAAAAATTTTAAAAATTTTAAAATGTTTATTTTTGAACGACAAAATTTTTCCTTTGGAAATATAATTATTTATTTATTTGTTCATTTATTTACTTCTTTATTTATTTAAATTATTTATTTATTAAAAATAAATTTAATAATTTTTTTTTATTAAAAAATTCAACAAAAAAAATTCTAAATTTGGAATTTTTTGTTTTATTTGCTTAAAAAATTAAAATTAAAATTTTATTTATCAGGTAAAACCTGAAAAATATAATTGTAATTAACAAAATTTGTTGGTATTTCTATTTCTAAAATGTTAATTATTTATTTATTTTTTAAATTATTATTGTAGAATGTCCTTAAACATGAAACTAGGAAAAAAAAATCACAAAAGTGTAAAATTACGTATAAATATTGAAATGCGTAATTAATTTTACACGTGTAAACATATTTCGCAAGTTATTTTTCATTTTCTTTTTATATTAGGCGGGGAACCACTGGAGTCAAAATAGCAATTTTTTTTTAATCAACAGCATAATTTTTTCTCTCTATAAATTTCAATAAATTTCTTTTTAGTTTCCTTTAATATTTTTTACATTTCACCATTTTTTTCCTTTAGAAATTCGACGAAAACTGACTTTAGAAAATAATGGAAAAGTTAATAAAAAAAATGTTTAATTTACAGTGTAAAAATAGCGAAAATGTTTCTTTTTAACAAAAACAGATTTTGAATTGCGCGCCATTTCGATTGACAACAAAGGAAACGTTATTATTGGCTAGCAGACGACGCGGACAAGTAAATTGCAATCAGCTGATTGGCTCTATCGCTCCTTCTCTCTCAATCACATTACACATTCACTTTTCATTTCTCTTCATTGCTCCCTCGTCACGTACACATTTTTATTATTCCTTTCAAACACACAACAAATTTCAACATAATATATATTTATCCACTAACACTCGCGCGTTTATTTTTAGGAGTTAGAACAAAATTTTCGTGTGTTTTCACTTGCGCCGCGCGGTTCGTGGTTAAATGCAAAAAAAAATAAATAAAACTCGGCAACTACTTTTTTTTATGCTCTGTAGAGATAAAATACGAAAAAATATTTTTCTTATTTAAATAGTTTTCTCAAAGAAAAGAAACCCTTCTAACAAGACATTTGTTTTTTTTTTCTTTCTCGTCTCGGAGGGAAAAAAAAGAAGCATTCCACCTTCAAGTATCGGCAAAGGTTGACTGATAAGCCGCGATTATAATACTTGTATATATAGATATATATTGACGAATATTTTTTTTTTCACCATCATACACGGGAATGTAATTCGTTGCGGGTAATTTAGTTTTTTTTCGGTGAATGAAGAAAAGGTTTTCTTTGTTTCGGGGTGAAAGTGAATACTTATTTTTTTCTGGAGAGATTTTGTCGTTTCTCTCTCTCTAATATATATATATATATATATATAACATTCGCGATGTCAGCTCAGTGATTATAGAGTAAGCGTCTTTTTTTTTGCCGTGTGTGTGAAAAAAAAATTTAGTGAAACGGTAATAATTTGTTAAGTGATAATTAATTTTTATTCGCGGGTGCTTTTTGAGTGATTGATAAAAATAAAGGGCAAATTGACAAATATGAATTTCGCGTGTAAGTGTCTTAATGTGACCATCAAATCGAGGAGTGATAAACTCGAAAGGGTCATTGTCGAAGACATTGTTGGATTAAATCCCGATGAAAGGCTCGACGCCTTTTTTCAGGAGGTATGTAAACACCAATTGTTTCTTAATTTTTTTTTCAGTTTTCTACCTTTTCACTAATTTGACAACAATCAATCATTCGCTCTATTTTTGGTACTTTTTTGGTTTTTTAATTTTTGAAAAATATTCAACACTCATTTTCCTTTGTTTCGTCGATTGTTAAAACGATTTTTGAATTTGGATTTTTTTTGTTTTTTCGCGAATTTTTACATTCTTATTTTTTTTTATTGATTCACAAAAAGTACCATTTTCTTTCTATCATTATTTTTCTATATTAAACTTTAATATTTACTATCAAGATAAATAAATAAGACTTAAAATCAAATTTAGGAAAAATTATTATTTTATAACTTTTAAAGTTAATTAATTATTAAAGTTAATAAATTCTTGAATTTTGGTTCTCTAGATAAAAATTGACTTGTTTATAATTACATAATTCGTAATTACATTCTCAAATGAAAATCGAATAAAAATAAACAAAGCAAAAAGAAAAACCTTTTTTTATGTTTCATTAAATCTATTTTTAGAAATAATTCATTTAGAAAATTAGTAATTTATTTTTATTGATATTAAAAACAATTTTCCACCTATTTTCCTTTAAAAATTAACAGAAGTCGTAATTTTTTTCTTCAAAATTAAAAATTTTTAATTCTTTTCGTTAATAATAATGTTTTATTTCGTGTGGTTTTTTCTTTTTTTTCGAAGAATTTTTCGATCGACACGTTAATTAAAGAATTCTTATTTCTATATATATATATAGAATTGGAAAATATTGATTGTGTATTTTTGAAAATTTTTATCATTGACGTCATTATATTTGGGACAAAAATATGTAAATTAATTTCTTTCACTTTTTCAAAGTTACTAAATAAAAATTATTATTATATATTTTTTTTAAATAATTATAAATTAAATATTAGTTAAAACAAAAGAAAATAAATAAATATCATAAATAATAATAATAAATAATAATCATAAAAAAAGTTTTATTTTATTTATATTTTTATTTTAAAGTTTGCATTTTTTTCAAATAAGTGGCCATAATTTTTTTTGATTTTTGATTTTTTGCAATTTCGATGACAGATTCTGAAAGAGCGATAAAAAATACGTAAGAAAATGTTATTCCGAAAATTTTCTACATGCCTATAATAACAAAAATAATTTACGTTGAAAATGCCTGTTATGTTTATTTAAAAAAAATTTAGAAAGTAAAAATAATATAAAAATTATTAGTAAAAATAAACTTTTTATTAAATAATAAAATTTTTAATTTTTAATTTAAATAAAACTCAACTTGTTTTAAAATATTAAAAATAAGAGTAAAATAATAATAATAATAATAATAATAATAATAATAATAATAATAATAATAAAAACGAAAATTTTAGTTTATAAATTTAATTAATATTCTTTGGTTGTTTAATTAAATTTATTTATTGTTAAAATGAAAGGAAAATTTTTTAAAAGAGTGAATATTGAATATAATTATTATTGTAGTATAAAAAAAGAAATTGAAAATTTTCTAATATTTCAGGGCGTAGCAACAGTTCCAGAATTGGAGGTAATAGAAAAGGAGCAGGCAACCTTGATTGAATGTAAAAATATTGGCTCTTGGACGACTCATTATTGTTGTAATTGTTCAATGTACACGCACGCCGTTAATTCCGAAGATGGAAATGCAATAATTTTGATCAACACGAAAATGATCGTAAGTTATCAAAAAAAAAAAAAAAAAAAAAAAAAAAATAGAAAAAGGGAAAAAATATAAAAAAGAAAAAATAAGAGAAAAATTTTAAAAAAATGCTTTCCTGATAAACAAAGAGAAATATATAAAAATATTTTTAAATTATGAACAGAAGAATTTTTACTAATTTAGAAATTAATGAAAAAGAAAAAAAGATATAGAAACAAAGGAGATGAAAAATGTTATAAAAACAAAAAACATTAAATTCTCATTTACATAATTCTGTTTTTCACGTTTATTATCTCATCGTAATATTTATATATATATATTGCATAGTTAAATCAAAGCACAAAGCGGAAAACAAGTTAAATATGTTGAATTAAGAATTATTTTTAACCTGGCGATTAAACAATTCCCCTCTCCTCACTTTTTCTTATTGGGAACAATTTGTGAACATTTGTAATTGATTTAATTCAGGAGCGTAACAAATTTAAATTGACAGAAATTATAAACTTTCCTTTTAAATATTTAAAAAAATAGTAACAGTTCTAAAAAGTATTCGAGGGTTGCCACAGGTCAAGAAAGTCAGGGAATTCAGGGAAAAGTCAGGGATTTTTATTTAAAAGAATTGAAAAAAATTAAAATTTTGAAATTCAAAAGAAAATGTTAAACCTTCAAATTTTTCTATTTCTGACAATTTCTCTTTGAATAACTTAATTTTTCAAGAACAATCATAAACATTCTTCGTAATTAACAATCATAAAATTATTACTTAGAAATTATTTAATGAATAATTTTATTTTACTTAAATATTTCAAAATTAAATGAATTTTAAAAGAGTTGCGATTACAATTTTCATAAATTAATTAATTTCAAAAGTATTCAATTTGAAACTTTAGAAAATATCAATTTTTAATGAATTAAATTAGAAATTTATTCTATTTTCAAAAGTAATAAAATTCTTCGCAGAAATTCAACTATGTTCAGAAAGTTGAAAAAAAATCTTTTCAAAATTTCAATTATCATTGTAAATAATAAAATTCTTCACCGAAATTCAATTATATTCAAAAATTCTATAATAAAATTTATTCTTTGGGAAATTTCAATTATTTTCAAAAATTTTCCTCAATTCAATGATTTGGATTTAAATATTTTAGTAAAATTTTCCTAAAGAATTCAATTATTTTTAAAAATTTTTCTGAATTCAATGATTTTGATTCAAATATTTTAGTACAATTTCCCTAAAGAATTCAATTAATTTCAAAAATTTTCCTCAATTCAATGATTTTTAAAAAAAAATAAATAATTACATATAAAATATTAATATTATATCAATATAATAAATAGTATATAAGTATAAATAAATATAAATACTATACTATATAGTATATATATAGTATATATATATATATATATATATATATATATATATATATATATATAGTATATTTTTATATATTATAATATTATATATTTTTATTTTTTTTTAATATTTATTATTTATCATTATATTATTTTTATTTTTTAAAAATAATTAATTATTTTATTTAATTTAATACATTTTTTTTTATTTTTTTTGTTTTTTTTTGATTCAAATATTTTAGTAAAATATTCCTCAAGAATTCAATTATTTTCAAAAAATTTTAAATATTCTTGTCAAAATTTCAATTATTTTTATAAATAATAAAATTTTTCCTTAAAATTCAATTATTTTCAAAAATTTTAATAAAATTCTTGCCAAAATTTCAATTATATTCAAAAATATTCCTCAATTCAATGATTTTTAATGTCTATTAACTTAATAAAGTTTTCCAGAAATCAATTATTAAAAAAAAAATTAGATAAAATTCTACTCCAACATTTACATAATTATTTTCATAAATAATAAAAATTTCATAGGAATTCAATTATTTACAAATGTTTTATAAAATTTCTTCGCAATAATTCAATTCTTCAATTTAAAATTCAATTATTTTCGAAAAATTTTTTTAAATTCTCGTCAAAATTTCAATTATTTTTTAAATTATGTAATAAAATTCTTCTTCAAAGTTGAATTATTTTTAAAAATTTTAATAAAATTCTGGTCAAACTTTCAATTATTGTTTTGAAAAATTTTCCCCAATTTAATGATTTTCAGTATCTACGATTTAAATAATTTTTTTTTCCCAAAAGAAATCAATTATTTAAAAAAAGTTTTAATAAAATTCTTCATTATTTCCATAAATAATAAAATTCTTTTTAGGAATTAAATTATTTTCATAAATAACAAAACTCATCGCATAATTTCAATTACTTTTAATACAATTTCAATCAAATTCCTTGAAAATTGTAATTATTCTTAAAAATTGTATTAAAATTCGTCCAAAGAGTTTAATTATTTAAAAATTTGTTAATGAAATTTTTTAATGGGAATTGAATTCCAAGAAACATTCAATTATTCAATAAATCATTATTTATTTGCATTTTATTTGTATTTAAATAATTGCATTCTCGTAGAATTTTATAATAAAAATTTATTTAAAAATAAATTTCAGTAAAAAATTTTTTAGATTATAATTGAATTTTAAAAGAATTATAGTGTGAATTTTTAAAAATAATTGAATTTTTAAAAAGGTTTCAAATCAAAAATTTTGAAAATTTGAATTTTTCATACTTTTAACTAATAATTTTGTAGAATTAATTTTTTTTGAAAAGGTTCAATTAAATTTTCTTTTTGAAATTGTTTGAAGTTTTTATTTTCTAATATAATATTTAATTGAAGAACTTTCGAATAATCAAAATTTCACGTAAAATTGAATTGTAAACAAATTGATTTAAAAATTCTCAAAGAAGAACTTTTTTAAAAAAAATTATTAAAAATAATCGACTTAAAGTAGAATTTTAGTTAAAAATTCAAGAAAATAATAATTAAATGGAAATGATGAAAATAATTTTGAAAAAGTTACAGTGAATACTATTTTTATAATATAAAATATTCATTTTTTTTTCGGTCATCTTTAATAATTATTATAATAATAATTAATATTCAATAATTATTATTAATACTAATTAATATTCAATAATTATTATTAATAATAATTAATGTTCAATAATTATTATTAATAATAATTATTCTTCACGTTTTATAAAAATATTCTTATAAATTGTTGAATTTCAAAAAGGTTTGAATTTGAAATTTTTGAAAATCTTAATTTCTGGGGAAAAAATAATAATGATTAAATATTTATTTAAAAACGAATTTATTGATATTTGCGAATAATTTTACATTTAAAGAAATTCGTAAATAAATGTAATAAAACATTTTTTTGAGCAATCATTTTTAGAATAAAAAATATTCTTTAGGGAGAAAGTGAAAATTTTTTCTGTAAATTAGAGAAAAGTCAGGGAAAAAACAAATTAAATTTTTGTGGCCAACCCTGTATTCGTAAAAGTTTTTTAAAAAATGATTTTGACTTGTTAGAAAAATAATTTTTATCATAAAATTTCCACTGCGTAAAAAATTTTTTTTTTCATTTTTCAAGAAAGTAAAAAAAATGATAAAACATTTCTAGAAGCTATAAAGTTAAAAGAGTTATAAAACTAGAAGTTGTAAGGCTAATAGTTGTAGAATTAAAAGTTATGAAACTAAAATTTTGAAAGTTTAAAATTATAAAGTTAGAAGTTACAAAGTTCTGAAATAATAAATTTAAAAGTTATAAAATTAAAATTTACAAAGTTATAAAATAATAAATTTAAAAGTTATAAAGTTAAAATTTACAGAGTTATAAAATAATAAATTTAAAAGTTAAAAAGTTAAAATTCAGAAAGTTAAAATAAAAAAAAAAAAATTTGCTAAATATTTTGACTTTAATTAATAATTTACCAAGAAATTAATTTCATAATCATCAGCATCATGAGTATCTTCTTGTTTTTGTTCCAGATGTCAAAAGAAGAGATGGAACAGATAAAGTCATCGTCTAAGTACAGTTCAGTGTTTAGGATAGTAATTGACCGGAAGAAGTTAAACGACATGGATTCATTCTTGCCACCGAATACGTTCCCTGGTAAAATCTTTGCTCAAAATCTTTATCTTCATTTTTGAAACAATGTAAAATTATAAATTCTCCTCTAAGAATAGAATAAATACACATACGCTTAGCAATTGAAATTCACAATTGAAATTGAGTAAACTTGTGCAAATTATTCTCTCTCTTTTTTTGCAGTATCACAAATTCCAAGCAGTCTACAAAATGCACTGCGTAGCCTTCAGCAACAATTGCAAGCTGCCATCAATAGAGAAACACAAATTATTGATGATAAAATTCACGCCTACACAATGGAGCAGCGTAAAATTTTAGAAAATTTCCAAGAGCAGGCTTACATGGATCACAGACTGCTGAGCAGGTGATTTTTTTTTTCTTCTTCAAAGAAGAAATCCGACATAGCACCGAGACTTTCCTAAAAATTTATTAAAGATTTACTTGCAAACTTCGAAGTATTAATACTTGCAAACTTTTAGTGAAAATTGTGTCCCCACTTCAATAATTAATGTTTATGTGAAACTTTCCTGAAAATTTAATTCAAATTTTCAGAAAAAACTTTCCTGAAAATTTAATTCAAATTTTCAGGAAAAACTTTCCTGAAAATTTAAATTAAATTTTCAGGCGAAAAGATTTAAATTAAATTTCCGTCTATATATAGATTTAGGCGAAAATTTAATTTAAATTTAAAATTCAGGAAAGTTTGACGATAAACATTATTTATCGAAGTGGGACTATTAAATCTTTGGACAATTTTCACTAAACTTTGCAAGTAAAACCTACGCAAAGCGGGGTCGATGAACTGTGATGAAAATAACACGGAATTGGTGATAATTAAGAAGAGGCCAGTGAAATTTCAACCCATTGAAATTTAGATTGCTCAGTGCTGCCAATTTCTTTTTTTTTCACCATTAGATAGTAACCATCTATAATTACCTTTACTCTTATATGGAAAAATTACAAAAATTATTTTTAATTTCAAATTTTCCACTTATTTATTTATTTTTCTATTATTAACTCTACTCGCAATTCTTTTTTAACTCTCAACATTAATTTTTACATTAATTTTTTTATTCTATATTCAGGCCTCGGATATTATGATTTTTTCGACTTTTTTCGACTATTTTCAAATAATGCGACTTTTATCGACTTACATTAGAAAATTGCGACTTTTTCGACTTTTCTTCCAAATTTTGCGACAAAATACCTACTACCATATTTTTAGTATAAAATGCTTCAATATTTTTCGATTTTTACGCGCAGTATAAAAAATAGCTGTAGATAAATCTTTCGAAAATTAATTTTGAAAAATTTTTTCTAATTTAATTTTTTAAAAATTTAAAATTAAAAAGATTTTGAATAATTGAAATTTAGTCAAATTAATTGAAAATAAATCCTTTTTTCAAGTATTTTATTATAATTTTTGAAAATTAACTATTGTTGAATTTTTATTGAAAATTTTGGAAATAATTGAATTTTTAAAAATTTTAATGAATAATCTTCAATTGTAAATTCGATGAAAAAATGAAAATATTAAAATAGTTTTGAAAAAAGTAATTCTCTGACAAAGTAATTTAAGATTTTTTAAAATTTCCTATTTTAGAATTTTTTGAGAAATTATTTATAATTAAAAGTCATCAAAATTTTGATTATTTTTTAAAATATTTTTGAAAAACACAATTATTTATTTGTTTAATGAATTTTTTTTGCAAAATTTAATTATTTTAGGGAATTTTATTAAAATTCGATGCAAAATTCAATTATTTTCATGAATTTTAATAAAATTTATATGTCTAAATTCCATTTTTTAGGAATTTTTAAAAAATTTATTGCAAAATTCAATTATTTTCAGAAATTTTAATACAAATTTTTGTCTAAATTCAATTTTCAGGAATTTTTAAAAAAATTTATTAAAAAATTCAATTATTTTCATGAATTTTAATCAAATTCTTTGCAAAATTCAATTTTTTTCTGGAATTTTATTAAAATTCTAATTCATCTGTAATTTTAATAAAACTCTTTGCAAAATGCAATTTTTTTCAGAAATTTTAATAAAATTTTTGTCTAAATTCAATTTTTAGAAATTTTATAAAAATTTTTGTCTAAATTCAATTTTCAGGAATTTTTAAAAAAATTTATTAAAAAATTCAATTATTTTCATGAATTTTAATAAAACTCTTTGGAAAATTTAATTTTTTTCAGAAATTTTAATACAAATTTTTGTCTAAATTCAATTTTCAGGAATTTTTAAAAAAATTTATTAAAAAATTCAATTATTTTCATGAATTTTAATCAAATTCTTTGCAAAATTCAATTTTTTTCTGGAATTTTATTAAAATTCTAATTCATCTGTAATTTTAATAAAACTCTTTGCAAAATGCAATTTTTTTCAGAAATTTTAATACAATTTTTGTCTAAATTCAATTTTTAGAAATTTTATAAAAATTTTTGTCTAAATTCAATTTTCAGGAATTTTTAAAAAAATTTATTAAAAAATTCAATTATTTTCATGAATTTTAATCAAATTCTTTGCAAAATTCAATTTTTTTCTGGAATTTTATTAAAATTCTAATTCATCTGTAATTTTAATAAAACTCTTTCCAAAATTTAATTATTTTCAGAAATTTTATTAAAACTTTTGCCAAATTTAATTATTTTAAGGAATTTAATTAAAATTCATTGCAAATTTTAATTATTTTTTAAAGATTTTATTAAATTTAAATTATTTTTTAAAAAGATTTTACCAAATTGCAATTTTTAAAAAAAATTTTTTAATTGGTATGTAATTGTAAAACGTCTTTCAAGAATTATTTATAAATATTTTTAAAAAGTTAATTTTACGAATTTATTTATTAACATTTTTGAATATATTCTACCTTAATATCTTTAAAAAGAAAAATGAACGGTTTCAATTATTATAAAAAAATGAATTTTTGTATTTAAATAATTAAATTTTATTTCCTGGTGAAAAAAGAAATAAGATGTATTTAAATATTTTATTTAGCAAAATTATACAAGTCTTGATTAATTAAATTTAGAAATCAGTGAAGAATCAGGGAAATAGAAAATAAAATATTTGTGACAACACTAAATTAAATAAACGACTTTTTCGACTTTTTTTCTATTTTTAATCGACTAAAGCGACTTTTTTTGTTCGTTAAAGTCGATCCGAGGCTTGAAAATATGAAAAAGTCGAAGACTCATAGTGATCGATTTTTTCATGTTTTGTAACAATTTTTTATAAGTTGTTTAATTTCAAAAAGGTTTGAATTCAACATTTTTTTTAACTAAAGTATTCAGTTAAATTCATTAGAAACTGAAAAAAAGAAGTAGTATAATTTATGGAGAAGAAAAATTGTGACTAATGAAAATTTTTGTGAAAATTTGTTCTAGAATGATATGTAAAAAGGAGGAGAAATCAAAAGTCGTGGCTAAAACTCGAAGACGAGCGAAAAATTTAAAGACCAGTGACTCTAATTCAGTATCAAGTTCAGTGTCTGCAAGGCCATCAACTGAAACGAGTTCGAGTGACACAACATTCAGCGGATCGAATATTATGACACAACACACAAAGCCGTCTATAAATTCAAATCTCGTAAGTGACATAAAGTCTTCTTTTAACAATAGAGACAAGTTATGCACTAAATTTCCTATTCTCGAAATTTTCAATTAAATCCTAAAGTCATTTCTATCAAAATTCGAAATTTAGAGCTTCAATCTTGTATTTAACTGAAGCTCTAAATTTCAAACTATTTTTCTTCTTATTAAGAATTATTATTAAAAATTATTATTAAAAATTATTATTAAGAATTATTATTAAAAATTATTAAAAATTATTATTAAAAATTATTATTAAGAATTATTATTAAAAATTATTATTAAAAATTATTATTAAAAATTATTATTAAGAATTATTATTAAGAAATTATTATTATTAGGAAGAAATGAAAATAAAATGTTCTAAATGGAAAATATTTCAGAACGGACACAGTGATAAAACTGATTCAGTAAAGGCAGCGCGAAGAGAGCCGAGCAGTTTTGATGCCGAGGCACTTTTTCTTCTCGAAGGAATGGACGATATTGTTTACTCAGACGATTGCCTACTGTCCTCAGATTTGGAATCTGATACCGATGGTAATATTTAATTTTTTTTCAAAAGATATATTATAATTGAAACCTTGTGAAATCGAATGGAAAGTAATTATAAATTTGTTAAAGAATTTCAAGAGAGATTTTAGAAAAAAATTGAATTTTCCAAGAATTCTGATTTAATAATTAGTGAATAATTAAATTTCACGAAAATACAATTCTTCGAAAGAATTCAATTATTTTAAGAAATTTTCATAAAATTTTGCATAAAAATTCAAGAGAAATATTCAATTTAAGAAATATTCAATTATTCACAAATATGTTTTTTTTTTTGTCTAAAATTGGTATTTGTATAATAATACTAAATGAATGTTATTTTTAAAAACAGAGTCCGTGAAGAACGAAGGAACTAACATACCAAGAAGCCAAAAGAGAGGCTATCCAATGTTAGCCAAATCATTACCAGTGACTGTACCTGATTTTCGTCCATTTGATAGGCGCCTACCGCATGACGAAGACGATGAAAAAGTAAGTTTCAATTTTTTGTTTATTAAAATACTTTTTTTTAAATTTTTTGAAAATCTAAAATATTTTTTTCAGGAATCAATGGATCCCCTGGACCCGCATAATATTAGAGCTTCAATAAAAGCCCTAGCCAAAAGTGTTCATGGCGATCCAGTTTTTGGCGATTTGCCGAGACCTCGATTCTCCACTCAAATCTGACTGGAGAAAATTTTTGAATCAACTGACTCCCCTTTAGATTAGAATTCGTAAATTAAGTGTTTTCCCTATAAATGTGTCATTTTTCACCGACCATCGTATCTTTTTGTCGTTTTTTTTAGCACTTTAACAATTTGATACAAATACAATAGAGAGAAGTGATATATATATATATTACTAAAGATGTGATAGGTAAACGTATTTTTTAATTTCCTACTCTTTGATAATGTTATAGGTTTAAAAAAATCTTTCTGAAATTTTTTTTTTCTTTCTCTTTATAATATTGTATAATGTGCGCTAGTTTCGCAAAAAGAGTACTCATTCGAATTTATTCAATTGATACAAAAAATATATATATTGTATATTTCTCGTTTATGTGCTAAAAGCAACGCTTGAGAAAGTATAAACTTCCCCCTCTCCCCACAATTTTTTTTTACCAAGTGATCAAATTGTTACTTCATCTCGAAGTCGTTAATGTTTATAATTACTCAATTTTTTTTTCAATAAAAATATTATACTTTTTAGTAAATTTATAGTCTTTATTTACCTTTTATATAACAAAATAGTTAAAATATAAAGCATTATTTTCAAAAATTTTAATAAAATTCTGAAACGATTCAATTATTTTCAATATTTACTATTTTAATAAAATTTCTCTAATTTAAATTAATAAAAAAATTTTTTTGAATAAAATTCTTCACAAACATTTCAATTATTTTCATAAAAAAATAAAATTTTCCACTGGAATTCAATTATTTAAAATACAATTTTCATTATATTTTAATTCGAAAAAAAAGTCAATTACTTTAAAAAAAAAATTTTTCAAAATTCTTCGCGGGAATTCAATTATTTTCATAAATTTTAATGCAATTCCTCGCAGAAATTCAATTATTTTCCAAAATTTTAATAAAATTCTACACAAGAATTGATTTTAAAAGATTCTAATTTGAAATTTTAAAAAATTTCAATTTTTGAATGAATTTAATTTAAAACTTTAAACAAAACTTAGATTTTTGAAAAATTTTAATAATTCAAATTCTTCTGAAATTAGTTGAATTTTTTAATATTTATATTTAATTAACTATTAAAAATAATGGATTAATAGAAGAATTTTAGTTAAGAAGACGAAAAAAAAATTGAATTTTGGTGAAGTTACAAATAATTGCAGAAATTCAATTATTTTCAAAAATTTAATAGTAAAAATATACTTGAGAATTCAATTATCTTCATGATTAATAAAACTCATCGCAGAATTTCAATTATTTTATTTATTTTTAATACAATTTTAATCAAATTCCACGAAAAATGTAATTATTCTAAAAATTTTATCAAAATTCGTCGAAAGAATTCAATTATTTAAAAATTTGTTAATAATTGAATTTTTGAGAAGTTACAAATAATTGTGTAAATTCAATTATTTTCAAAAATAATAAAATTCTTCGGAGAAATTCATTTATGTTTAAAAATTTAACAAAATTTTCTGTCAAAATTTCAATTATCTTTATGGATAATAAAATTATTCTCCGAAATTCAATTATTTTCAAAAATTTTAATAAAATTATTCTTCGAAATTCAATTATTTTCAAAAATTTTAATAAAATTCTTCTCCGTAATTCAATTATTTTCATAAATTTCAATAAAATTCTTGGCAAACGTTCTTAAAAATTTTATTAAAATTCGTTCAAAGAAAACAATTATTTAAAGATTAAATTAAAAATTAAATTAAATTATTTAAAAATAATTTTTTCGTAGAAAAAATTCGTAAGAATTTAATTATTCTCTGAAATAATAAAATTCTTCGCAGAAATTCAATTATTTTGAAAAAAATTTAATAAAATTCTAAATTATAAGAATTGAATTATTTTTAATAAAATTCTAATGAAATTCGTCGAGAAATTTAATGAGAATTCAATTATTCTCATATAAATAATAAAATTCTTCTATAGATTTCAATTATTTTCATAAATATAATAAAATGTTTTAGATAAATTCAATATTATTTTAATATAAATTTCCTAAAAATTTCTCGCCGAAATTTTGGCAAATTAAATTGAAATTATAATTTTATATTTTAAAGAACTTTTTTTTTAAGTTTTAAAAATTATTTTCCAACATAATAATTATATTTTTAATAGTTTTTCTTTATTTTTCAAGAACTACTTTTCAAAGACATTGTTTCTTCGACTACAACATGAAACATTTTTTTAAACAACTCATCATTCGTTTCAGTAATACTTGATATCATTCTGTAAAGAGATTCGTACTTTTCAAAAATTTCATCATCATCCAACGAATATACATTGAAATAAATCGATAATAATCTTTGCATCCAGTGAATTGTCGTTTTAAAAAAGTTCCTAATGAAAAATTCTACATTGTCAATCAATTCTTTTGTTTCTATAAATTTAATAGCATTTTTATATTCATTTTTCCTGACGTCACGTAGAATATCTTTTAAAAAACAATATAGTTTCAAAAGTTTAACATTTTGTTTGAAATTGCAAAGATTTTTAAAACAATCATCATTATGTTTATTTATTGGTTGTATATTTTCATAAGCAGATTGCATTAGATCGTAGAGGTGAAAAATATCCTCAAGTTTCGCTACATCGAAAGTAATCTTATTTTCCACCTCTAGATCCACGTTACTAAAACTGACAACATATTGAAAAAAATAATCATACCTGTACCCAACATCTTCGAATAACGAGGAATTGAAAATTTTCATTTTTTCATTCACGATATTATTTTTCTCACAAGAATCGTAATATTTTACTAATTCTGAAAAATTACTTTCAATCGTTTGTTCTTGATAAACATTATTCATTGCTTTTTGATAAAAAGAATCATAATTCAGCAGAATTTTATAGAAATTTTTGTAAAATTTCGCCGTTTTGACACAATTTCGATTTGTTATCGCGGGAATGACAATATGGGTAAAATTATCTCGTTCACGATGAGAGAGTTCATCGGGAAAATTGACTAAATGAAATGTTGTATTCAAATAATTTTTAAACATCATGTAATGAATGTAAAACATCAACGTATCGTTCTTTAGTTGAGTGGGGTAGACGTAGTAATAAGTATCATTGGATTGAAACAAATAAAAATTCTTCTCCATTATATCGTACAGGAACTGTTTTGTATAATCAAGATCTTTTCGTTCTTTTTTCGGCCCTATTCTCTTGTCTGTTAATGTTTTAAGAACATTAATTCCCTTTACAATATCATTGGTTATAATTATTACCGATTTTTTCATTTCCACAGGAAAAAGTAGATCATCAATTGTTTCCCAATAATCGTAAAATGATTTGAAGTCTTCAAAAGTTTCTTGCGTTTTATTATTTTTGAATTTTTTCTGTAAAACAAGGTTTTCTGTATAATTATATTGATAATACTTATTTCTGAAATAATAACTCAGTGATAACTCAGTTACAGTGTTGCCAGAGTGGCGCATGATTATTTTCTTTTCAATTTCATAATTTTCAAAATATCGAAATTCTTATTATATCGAAATTTTATTTCACATAATTTTCATATTTCGAAATACTATTTTGAACATAATTTTTAATTATTCGAATTATTCTTTATCCTAATATTTAAATAACAGAGTTATCACATTTTACATCATTTTTAATACGTCGAAAAATTCTTTGACATAAATTTTGTTATTCCGAATGACTATTTGTCATAATTATTATTAATCCTCCGAATGACTACATAACCTAAAATTCATTCACACTAATCGCCGCATTCAATTGAATTTGTATGTTTGCAAAATTTCATTTCACATAATTCTTATATTTCGAAATACTATTGAAGATAATTGTTATTTTATCGCGAATAATCATTGATTCTAATTTTTAAATAATATAAAACCGTCTTTTAAAATATTTTCTATTTTGTCGAAAAATTCTTTGACATAAATTTTGTTATTCCGAATGACCAAGGTTGGGAAGGTAGTAATTGAATTTAAAGGCATAATGCTGACTTCATAGGATGCATTAAGGTAGTTCACACTCACCTTGTCAATTAATTAATTTTAAAAGAAGAATAAGTAATTTAATAAATTTATCACTATTATTATAGTTGCTTAATTGATAATTTTGTTCGAGATTTTTAAAAACTGACTATTTCACTAATGATTGAAACTGTTGAAAGAGATATTTTTCAAAAACCCTAAAAATTACTATCAATCAGGTCTTAAAAAGTTACTACGAAAATTCCCTATAGATTTTTCTCCCCATGTAAATGTAACAAAAATATCCCTATAAATAGAGAAAAAATCCATAATCTGGCAACACTGAATTGTCAGTTAAGGCCTAAGCGCATGCGCAATTGCTTCGCGAACGTCGTTTGCATAGGCAAAGCATGAGTTAGACAAGGACAGGAATATCTTTGTATCTTTTTCTGTCTCATGCATCACGTTCACGAATCTATTCTGCGTTGGCTTTTACAATTTTTTTTTATAAAAATCTTAAGATAAAAGAACTGATTTTCCTTAATTTTAGAAATTTTGAATTAGTTTTTGACTTACCCTTCCATAGTCAACAGCAAAATAAGCACTATTCATCCAATAATCGTACTTTTCGTCAACATTTTTTATTTTCGCACTAAGACTTCGCCTTTCGCTTGCAATACTATTTTCATCCAATTCATATTCTTTTTTATACAATTCAACCAATTTTTGGAACCAAGATAGTTGGCTTATCAACGAATCCTCTAGAAATTGTTTTAAACGATTTATCCACACTTCAGTCTTATGGGATTGAGCATTAGATAAATTTTTTATAAAACAAAATAATTTCATTAAATTTGAAGATGGACGAATTTGGCAAAGATTTTCAAACGAGTCATCACTGCGATTTAATGAAGAAATTGTGTTATTAAGTAAATTCAAATAATCGGTCAAACTTAAAGTTCTCCTCACGTAATATTTATCAGAATTGGAATTTTGAAGAAAATCAAAATTTTCCATCTCTGAATATCTTGATTCAAAGCAAGTTAAACTTTTTCTATTTTCTTTGGGATTTTTCGAAACGTATTCAATTCTCGTCATTAGTGTATTAAAGTACATGGCTGAATTTTTGTTTTCAGAATAGAGATTGTAATAGAATGTGGCAATATTAATGGGTTTATTGAAGAAAATATACTTTTGCTGATCGCTAAATAATTTTTTATGTACTTCGAATAATTCCGAGAAACTTTCACCAGTTTTCAATTTTTCTTTGACATATTCTTCAAAAGTGCAATTCGTACATAATGAATATGGCTTTATGGGAATTATAATTTCTTCCCAATAAGGAAACGTGTTTCCTAAACTAAGAAAATTGAACATTAGACCGAAATTATTTTTCATAAGTTTATTTTGACAGTAGATTGTTAAGAGATCATTTTTCATATTCTCGGGATAGACAAAGTAATAAATGTCTTGCGTTTTGTAGATGAAAATATTTTGAGATATAATTCTGTATATCTTGTGACCATAGGCAATATTTGTTAAATCTATGCTTCTCAGTACTCTGTTGTTTTTAGTTAACTCTTTAGCTCTCGTAATGCCATCATTTATTTTTTCGGCTATAATTATTACCGTTGGCTTTAATTTTTCATAAAAGAGTATATCATCAATTACGTCGGAATAATCGTAAAGAGTACATGTATCTTTATTCACTAGCGAACGTGGCGCCTCCTTTGTTTTTGCCTGTGAAATATAAATTATTAGACGTCTAAAATGGGACGGTTGTGAAAGCAGCCTTATGCTACGTACTTTTAAGAATAACGCGTCCCAACCCTGATTGGAGGTAAGAGCAGAAGGCCAGAAGGAGCGAGCAGATAAGTAACTGGTAAGTATCCGAAAAGAAAAACCAAATTTTTCGTATTTAATATTTTAATTGACGAATGTTTGTCGGGATAAACGGTAGTACAATAACAAAATAGTGTAAACTAATTTATTTTTCAAAGATATGTAGTTTTTTGTTTGCTGATTCTTTAAAAATAATAGAAAGATGCGAGTCCAGTGAGAATTCTATCACTATAGCATTTTTCATATAGATAATTATTGTAGAGATATAACAAAACTTTTAACTATTTTTCCTCCTTTTAAAGGAATTGTTTCGTTGAAATAAAATATCTTTTCTTTTCGTCGCTTGGGGGGAAGACTGTGCCATTTCAGGCTAACAACGAAAAAGATGCCGTCCCGGCAAGAAGGCTGGAATTGGATGGAATTAAAGTTATCTCACATTTTTACGAAGACGTGAAACTTGTGAAATTATAAATTTATATGTTTAATTGTAAAGTTGATTTTAAATAATCACGTTATAAAAACCGAATTGAGATTTTGCCTAAACTTATTAAATTAATTCTTTATTATTATTATAATTATAAACAAAATGTGGTGGCCAGACTTGAACATAACATTTACTTCATTTATTATACTTTTGAACTGCATAAAAATTTTAAATAGTTAATGAAAATTGTTTTTGATTTTAGGCAATTAAAAATTAATTCGTGAATTCTAAACCAGGAAAAAACTTTTATAAACATAACCTATAATTTTTTGTCCACGTAAGATGCTTTCATCGGAAAGCGTGACAATAAATTTAATTTTTCAAAAAAAAAAAACATGATAGAGAAAATCGTTTGCACGTGTTTCGATAAAATAGTTTTATTACTTTGAAAAAAAAGTTTTATTCTTTAACAAATTTTTTTTAATGGCACATTTTTATTTTTTCTAAAGCTTATCTTTTATACAAACTGAAAATATAAAATTCTGAAATAAATCAATTTTTGAAAGTCAGAAATAAAATTTTTTTTTAAACACTAGAAATTCTGTTGGTTTAAATTTTCTTTTTTTGCGGTTAATGAGAAAAATATGTTTAGAAAATGTTTTTTAAAATAATTATTTTTGTAAATTTAAAAAATTCATGATTGGCCCAAAATGTGCAGCAAAATCTGATCGATGAATTTTACTCGTTTTTAAATTGTTATATTACTTAAAGATATGAATTTAGAGGTGAAAAGTACAAATTTCTTATTTATACGTTTATAACGTTTATAACTTACCGCATTTTGTTCGGCAGAAAAAATAATCAGAGTTAACATCAAATAAAGTTCTTTCTTTCGAAACTCCATGTTTAATGTCGCAAAGAATAACTTCGTTTCATATGCGTCTACTAACATATGTTCTTACAAAAAAAAAAATTAAAAATATAAAGTGTTCATTAAAAGTTAAATGTTATAAAAAAAATAACGACTTTATTTTTTGAAGTAAGTATAATAAAATTTTTATTAGTCAAGCATGCACGATTTTTGACAGTAAACAAATAAATAAAACAATAAAAATGTTTTAAACGACATAACAAATATCCTTGAACAATAGCCTTTGTAAATGTATGGATTAACTCCGAGATATATATCTTCGTCTAAAAATCTTACTCTTCTTCACTTTGTCTACTCATGGACTTTATATAAGAATATCTCTTTTCAAAGTTCACATAATGTATTTTCTTCCTCTTTCCAAAACGAATAACATGAGAATGTCTTTCTTTACCTAATTTGCATATCTACTTTTTTCATATAAGAATGGGAAGAGAGAAATAATTAAAAACAAGCTTTATTTTTTAGATTATATTAATTTTCAAAAAGGCAAATTTTAACAAATTTCACAGCTTTTTAATTATCACATTTAACTTCCATAGGTAGTGGTCCGTTATGTTGGGGAACATAAACAGTGCAGACTTCAGTTTTCATTTCGTCCTTTACCTTTCTTCCAAACTTAACTTTGATACTGTGAGAGAAGACACTGACTGGAGTGTAACTGAAATTAAAGATTAAATCATTAAAATTAAATTATTTAATTAATATGACCAATTTTGATATGAAGTTAAATAAAAGATGGTGAATTAAACTGAATTAGAAGACCATAGAAGACTTACAAAGCTTCGACAATTTCGACGACCTCGACTTTAGCGTCTGGGTATTTCTTTGCGTACTCCTTCAGACCGTCCTTAGCATAGTTAACAATATCGGATTTTGTCACATCTAGTGAAACAGGTTTATCAGCAATGTAAGGTTCGCCAATTTGTGGCATATCCTCAGTCGCTCTCTTCATCATTTTCGAATTACAATCAACGTGAACGTCCACATCTGGTCCACTGGTCTTCTCAACAGTGACAGTACAAACCTTCATGTCTTCTTTATTCTCAACATTCTCCACTTTCATTTTAATTTCATACATAACTTTTCCAGCTGGTGGGAAGAAGACAGCTTCGACGATTTCATTGAGACGGACTTTTTGTCCCGATGCGTTTAATTTGTCCACTCCCTCTTGTGCGTATTTCTTCACTTGAGGATCATCAACTTTACTGTTCATTGGCTTATCTTGAGGAACAGGTTCACTTTCTCTTCGTTTTCGCATCTTTTTCTCACAATCAACCATCACTGATGTATCGGGACCACTTTCTTTCATAACTTGAACCATACATTCCTGACCATCTTTCGTTTGAATTTTAATGTTGTACATTAATTTTCCAGCTGGTGGGAAAAATACTGCTTCGACGATTTTTTCGAGTTCAACTTTTTTTCCGGATTCGTTTAATTTGTCAATTCCTTGTTGCACGAATTTCTTTACTTGGTCATTGTTAACGTCTACCGTTGAGGGTGCATCTGCCACGTCGCGTCTTACGAGAATCTTGAAGAAAGTTGGTAAGAATTACAATTTGAATTACAATGAAATAAATTGGATAAAATATTTATTTATATAAAATTGGATAAAAAATATATAAATAAAAAAAAAATTGTTACCTTTGAGGATACAGCTGGCGCTATTGGAATGGCAGGTCCTATGATAACCTTGAAACAATAAGATTAACAATATATTAAAGTTTGATAAAAATACTTTTTGTACATTTTTATTAACAGTTGCTCTTAAGCATTTGCTGGAGTCGAATCTATAAACTGTTCGTGCTAACAATATTTTTGTGTGTAAGTGAAGTTTTAAAATTGTGAAAAATTTCTGGATTATCTTTTAAGAATAACGTATTGGAGTATTGGACTTCTGACAACTTTTCAGAATGTTATTGGATATTAATCGCACGAAAGGAGAAAAACTGGATGAAAAAGGCGACAAAAACGATCAGTGAAAAAAAATCAGACTGATTGATAAATGACATAATAGATTTTAATGTAAATTTTTCTACCCCATACTTTAAAAATTATTTTATCTTATATATAACAAGACAATAAAATAATAACGTACTTTAAGATTATCTTATGTACTGTAACTTGTAAAAAATATTTTAGTTTTTATTTAAACAATTACTTATATTTCTAAATTTACAATAACATTTAATTTAATCCATATAATCCGAAAGAAAATACGCCCACTTTTGAATTTTATACTTTTTTTTAGTAAAATTGAATATTGTTTTGTAGCAACTAAATTAAATTAAATAGCGCATGATTTTTTAAAATTTCTTTTTAAAAAAAAGTACACACAATTGAAAGAAAGTGAATATTATTAACTAAAATAAAATTAAAGTATTTGAAGCAAAAAAAGAAAATTTATAAAATTTTTCAAAATATAAAAAAAAAAAAATTTAAACACGATTTAGTTTAATTGTATAACTTACGGGACTTCCGTGAATAGAATTAATGAAAGTGTTGAGAATAAAAACACTGCACAAAACAGTGATAAAAAGAAAATTATTTCGCGCACCCATCATTGTAATGAGTATCACTTCAAATCGAGGACTGTAATTTTCCTGAAGACCAAACTCCTTTTAAAGTCAATACAACAACATAGACAATTTTTCAAGGATAGATTAATACATAAGAAAAATCTAGTTTCTTGCATAATTAATACAATTCATCACATACAATTAAGTTGTATGATATAAAAGTCTCATTAAAAATGTTTTTTTTTATGAATACAATTATTATACATATTTATGTTATTACATTCAATCTTATCGTTATTTTCGTTTAAAAAATCTTTCTTTTGTAAATTTTTTTTTCCTTCAGATTATGATTTCAATCTTTTTAAAAAAAAGGACAATGTCAAGACACTTTGATAAGGAAAATAGAAAAATAATATAAATTTTATAGTCGACAAATTTAGAATTACGTCATAATTAACGCATATATAGAACTCATTTGTGGCATTAAATTGTCTTTGTTATGATTTAGTCTTAAGTTTGCAATTTTTTTCTACTTTTAAAAATATTTAAAAATTTTCTCTATAATAATAAAGCCGGGAAGTCAGTTATGCATAATCGTTACCTAACATCGCAAAAATGCAGGACCTACTTATATAATAATAATATGAATAATTATAATAAAAATAGTAATAATATTAATAAAAATCGTGATAATATTAATAAAAATCGTAATAATAATAATAATATTAATAATAATTATAATAAAAATAGTAATAATATTAATCAAAATCATAATAATAATAATAATAATAATAATAATAATAATAATAATAATAATAATAATAATAATAATAATTTCACTAATGGAGTATAATTAAAATAATTAGAAAAATTCCAAGAGGAGTTTGATTATGACAAAATGTTGATCAGGAAACTAGAGCTGAATAAAAGGAGCAATTTTTTTTTTTTAATAACATTTTTTTCTATTGAGCTGATTTAATATAATTATATACAGGAAAAAATATGAATTTACTTTTTTCTGACTTTATTCATAAATTGTGAAAATTATTCAATGAAATATGTAACAAAATAACAAAAACAATATGTATACCGTTAAATAAGTGATAAATGATTCAAAAAAACTTTTTTTTTGGCTTTATTTTAATTATAATATGAAGACTCACTGGTTTGAGAGTTAACCGGTTTAGCGTAACCGTGCAGGTGAAGAAGACTTATGTAACTAGACAATAATTAAAGTGCACATCTGTCATAGTAAATTGCAGTTATCTATCTGTATACATAAGTGAACAATGTATGTACTTTACCGATTGTAGCTGATTATTTATCATTAATAATATTTTAAACTCCCAACAAGACCTGCATTAACATATTGTAATCATTTTTTTTTTAATTATTCAAATTGTAAAAGTAAAATTATTGTAATATAACTGTAACATTAGTGTAATGTTATTTTAGCATTAAATTTTGTATTAATTATTATTATTATTATTATTATTATTATTATTATTATTATTATTATTATTATTATATTATTATTATTATTATTATTATTATTATTATTATTATTATTAATATTATTTTTTTTAATTATATTAATTAATTAATATACGACTTTATAAATTTTTCAATATGACATTAATTAATATCGAATATATTATAGCATTTATTTTATACAAAAATTATTCTATTTAAATAATTAAATTCTCGTATTTAAGTTCTGATATTAGGAATTGATTAAAAAAAATTTCAATCAAAATTTTAGGAATTATTTAAATTTTAAAAGATTTTGAAATTATGTTCTTTGAAAATTTAAGGGAAGCAAATAAGTATAAAAATGTTTAAGTTTCTATTTTAAAAAAATATATTAATTACATTATTTTTCTTAAATTCTATAAAAAAAAAATTGAATTTTGGAAGAATTACAGTTGCATCAATTTTTAAAAATAATTAAATTTCAAAATATTTTTAAAATTATTTGAAATTGTTTAAAAAATTAATTTTGTAAATTTTTGAAAAATATAAAAATTTTGATAAATAGTACGCAGTGTAATAGTAAAGCAGTAGAAGTGAAATATAGTATATAAATTATAAAAAAAAAAATGTCTGAAAAGTAGAAGAGAAATTATATCGCTGATGCGTAGAAAATTCCGCTGTTTTATTATTAGAAATATTAAACATATAATCAGTTTGGAAAAAAAGGTTTATCTAATTCATGTATGTATTCTTTTATAGATGTAATAAATTATTATACAAACTGGAAAATATGACCAATTATTTTGTCAAGGCGATTTATTTACTTCTTTTACCGTACTATTTATATACAACTTTTTGCGCCAAGTTTTTTTTTTTATTATTTAATTCGATTTTTTGGAATTTTAATTGTATATTTTCATTGAAAGTGGCTCATTTCTTGCAGTGCGATTTAAAAATAAGGAGGGGGAGGGGTTGTGACGCAAGAGTGGGAGAAATTATGAGAGTGAAAGAGAAATTTTCCGTCTTCTCTCTCGTACTCATTACCCCCACTCAAGTCAATATGAAGCTTAATATCAATAATTTGAAGAAATAATAAATTTTTGGATGCACTACCAAAAACATCAGGAAAAATTGATAGATTTAAATTGAAGGAAATGGCAAAAATTTATGTCTCATGAAAAAGGGAAAAATTTTTATTCCACTAGTAAAGTTTCTTATTATAATTTATAAATATAATAAAATTTCCCTTGTTAACTCTAAAATTATTAATTATACTATATATTAATAATTATGTATCAAATATATATGCTAATTTTTCATTTCAAGAATAATAATTTTAGTTTTCAATTTAAGTGTAGGTACAAATATGTTTTTTTAGAGTATGAATATTTTAAAGTTTGTTGATAAAATAGTGTCATTATTTTTATTTTTTTTAAGTATTTGATATAATAAGAATATAAAATTCTGCACCTGAACCAAGACTTTCGAAAATATAAATAAAATTTCGAATCGTGCTATGGTTCACAGTACAGTGTTGTGTTTAACTATCAAAATGTACGCTCTAACAAAATGTGTTACTTTATCAAAAACAATGAAACTTCGTTGTACCTTATTGCTTTTAGAAATATTGTAAGTAGAGTATTAAATAATATATTATAATTAAGCTAATTTTTTATGTAACTTTATAACACATGGCCTGTAAATTAAAATTTACATATAATAGTCATATTTGAAATCAATTTTTATTTATAACGTAACCCATGATCAGTAAATTTTGACATAACTTTACAACCTTTTACCTGTAAGTCAAAATCTGAAGTATCGAAATTTGAAAAGACGCCCCTTTACCCATAAGTCAAAAACAGGTAAAATTTAACACCTCAAAATTGTGTCGAATCCGAGGACAAATCGTAACGAATTAGGTTTATAATGTAACATAAATTTTGATGTAACATAATGTTCTTTGGCCTGTAGGTAAAAATATGTCAAATTTGATCTAACGGACCCTAGGGGGGGGGCGTTACCTTAATAGTTATATTTCGTAACAAGGGCGCAAAATAGGTGATTGCGACGATGGCGAAATCACCTTTGCGCCCATGATGCGAACATAATTTTTTGTCCTAACTGCATGGAAAGTATGGCATTGAGGGCACGCACGATTAAACTCTCATATTAGTTAAAAATTAAGCTCTATATAAACATTATATCGAATGAAGTCTCTAATGATAGAAGTTTTAAAATAGAAATAAAAAACAATGTATTCTGGAAACATAGTATTTATTTAGAACGTAGTAATTAATAATTGAACAAAACTGAAACAGGAACTTTTAAAATTGACAATTTTGATAAACGAAATGGGAACAAAACCAAATATCTCATTATTTTTTTTAGAGAAAATAAAAAAAAAATTGCAAATTTTTATAGACAAAATAAAACAAGTTGAAAATGTTTGCAGTTTTATAGTCAACATAAAAAGAAAGTCGAAAATGTCGCATTTTAATGAAGAAAATCAAATAATTAACAAGCTTCTCCCACTTCCGGGCGTAATGTATTACTTTGCGCCCGCCTTAAGTGCCCGAAATGACATACTTTCCGTGCAGGTAGGACAAAAAATACTTTTTGAATCAGTTGAGATGGTGAAATAATTTTATCAGAAGTAAAATATTTGAATAAAATTAAACCTACCAATAGATGCCAAAAATTTTTTAAATTTTAAAAAAGAATTTTATAAAATATAATAATTTTAGATAATTTTCTTTGAATGATATATAATTTTTTAAAAATTGTTGAAAATTTTAAAACAGTTAAAATTGTTTTTTCTATTTTCTGATAAAAAAGAAAGGGTATTTTACTGCATTATCACATATCACAACATGTTTACTACTATTAATAAAATATGAATCTTATAGGTATAGTAGATATTAAAATGATCATGAGGATTTTTATATGACATTTTGCTTTACATATAAATAATTTTTATTTACACACGGAAAATTTATTCTAGCTTATGTCTTGCTGCATTACCCTTATCAAGAGCACTAAATAATGATACGACCATTCGTAAGTACTAAGAAAAAAAAAATATGAAATGTGAAATATTTTTTGTTCTTTAATTTAAATATGTATTCCATGAAAAATTTAAAAATTAATATTTTCAGAATCATAAATTATCTAATATATAGACATAAGAAAAATGTAATAATATAGTTATAAGAATCTTTTTTTACTAAAACTAAAAATCTACATAAAATAATTATATATAGATCCAGACGATTCAGCAGAGGACAGAGAATTTTGCTTCAAACCAGAATGTATACACACAGGTTGGAAGAATTTTTTAAATAGCATTTAGCTATGTAGTCTATTAACGTATTTTTCGGTGGATAATACCTAGAGGATAATACCTTAACAATGATATTCCTTATTTTCTATAGCATCAAGAGTGTTAAGATATATGGACACAAATTTTGATCCATGTGATAATTTTTACAAATTTGCTTGTGGTAAACTCATAAACAACAATCTTATTCATGGGGACAATTCAGTAGATGAGTTTTCACTGATTACAAAAATTATTCGTGAAAAAATGACGGTTTATCTACAAAATGAAACTTTACCTAATACTTTACCAAGATATGCCAGATTAATTAAAACATTTTATAACAGCTGCACTGATAAATGTAAGATCATTTTATACAATTTCAAATTCTTTTATAATATATATATATATTTTATGTTGAAATTCATACATAAAATAAAATTATTTGATTTTGTCCGACATTTTTTATCTTATATCTAATTGCATAATTTTTGCGCAGATTCTAAAAATTTTAGAAAAACAAATTTAACTTCAATTATGGAATTAATAAATAAAACCAATGGATGGCCTCTTCTAGAAGGTGATTCTTGGAGAGAAGAGAATTTCCAATGGGAAAAATTTGGCTTCTCCACCGAAAATATTACCGTTTTGGATAACAATTTTATTCGGTTATCCATAATTGTTGACGATAAAAATAATTCATACAGAAGATTGTTGGTATTTATAAAATTATATATAATATTATATGCCTTTAAAGAAGCATAGAATTAAATTCTTTAAATAAATATAATTCATCAACCCAGATTAATCAACCGCAAAAATTTATTACCTCTCGAAAATTGTACAATAAATTACTTACCTTTGGACAATTGTTTGGAGTAAAGAGAAAAGATGTTGCAAATAATTTAAAACAAATCTCGGAAGTTGATAACCAGCTGTATAGTGTAAGTATTAAAAAATTATAAAACGCTCCTAAAAACGTTCCTTTCTACTGAAAAATGTATTTACAGATATATGTACCAAACAAAAATAAAGATGATTTTTTTGAAAGAATGACTGTAAAGGAACTAATCCGAAAATATCCAAATATATTGTGGAGGAATTTTTTTAATACGGAAATAAAGCCACATCAAATTGATGATGACGATGTTATACTTGTTGACCATATCCGCTACTTTGATAATTTTACCCAACTTATTAGAAATATTTCAAAAAGAGATCAGGCAAACTATCTTATGTGGAGAGCAATTTACAGAATTTCAGCATCATATGTTAACGCAATTCACACAGAATATGATTCACAAGAAATATGTTATGATATTACTGTCGGTAATTTTAAAAATGTTTTTGGACTTTTGTATTCGAAAATTAATTTTAACAAAGACTCGTTTCCAAAAGATGTAGATGAAATGTTTGATAATATTTATAATGAATATAGGACTATTCTAAAGAATGTAAGTGAAAATAATTTCTCTTTAACGAAATTAATACCGATGAAAAAAATATCTATTTTTCGTTTTTCTTTTAGAATTCTTGGCTGGATAATGAAACGAAACTTAAAGCATTAGAAAAGCTTGAATCCATGATTATTGTACCACCAACTCAATATCTCTCTCATGATGACAAAGAAATTGATGAATATTACAAAAACTTGGAAATTACACCAGGCGATTATTTTCGGTCGTTGGTAAACATTTTAAAATTTTATGCATACAAATATTTTGTAGACTTGGACTATCCAGTGAATAAGACAAGTTGGACAGAGATACCTTGTGCATCAGATGTAAATGCTTTTAATAATGTAAACAAAAATCTTATTGGTGTGTATATTAAAATTTTAATGTTAATAGATTAAAATTATCACTACGTAATCGCAATATTTTCTTTATCAAATAAAAATACTTTTAGCTTTTATGCCGGCCATTTTTCAAGGAGTTTTTTTCGACAAAGAAAGACCTCAATATATGAATTATGGATCAATTGGATCTACAATTGGACATGAAATAACTCATTCTTTTGATAGTCGAGGTAGAAAATATGATAAAACAGGAAACTTTTTCAATTGGTGGACTGCAGAAGCTAATGAATCATTTCTTTCTAAAGTTCAATGCATAATTGACCAACACAACAACTACAGAGTCGAGGAAGTTGGTTTAAATGTAAGTTTCTTAAATTATATAAGTATTCATCAAATAAATAAAAGGTGATGGTTATCTATCTACATAGGAATCTTTAACAACTAGTTGCAGTAGCAGAAAAATTTTTAATTTAATTTAGTCCATTAAGAAAACATAATTTTGATAAATATTTTACAGATAAAAGGGAACGAAACGCAAAGTGAAGATACTTCAGATATTGTAGGAATTAATGTTGCATATTCAGCTTATGAAAATTATATGAAAACTTATGGTCCTGAGCCATTGTTGCCGGGTGTCAATTACACACAACGTCAACTCTTTTGGATTAGCTACACACACACACACATTGTGCAACAAAGACAACGCAAGAACTTAAGTGGATTGTTGATAACGGTCCGTACAGTACTCCCGAATTTCGAGTTATCGGTTCCCTTTCCAATAGTTTGGAATTCGCAAAAGATTTCCAATGTCCGACAGGCAAGAAAATGAATCTGAAAAATAAATGTTCTGTCTGGTAATTTTTTTTTGTAAATTTATTAATGAAAGAAAGATTACTGTTACCTCTTGAGTTGTATTCCAAGTATTGTACTTTTAATATAATAGTTAATAATAGTGATAATATCATTACTATATATTATACTTTTATCTGTAGTCTTCAATGCGATGAAGGGAGAAAGAAAATATTACCTGTATTCTCAGAGTTAATATAGAATAAAATAAATAAAAATTTATAAGTAATATTTATTTATTTATATACACTTATATCCCTGCCCTTCTCTCCTTCATCAATATTTCTAGCATAGGAATTCAAAATGAATATCAAGATTTAAAGGTCCTCAAAACTATCCGAAGAGGAACTTTTAGAAATGACGTCAATTGAAAGTGTCACTAAAAATAAAACAATTAACATAGGAAAGCTATTTAGTTTGTCACTTTAAAAGCAAAGATAAGCATTATCGAGCAATAGAAAGATGACTATATGACAAATAAGTCAGAATGGAAAATAATTTCTTTGTTTAAATATATTCGGACAGAGTAGTAGAAATGCAAAAAGATGACCTAAGATTCATCTTGATCCGGCAAGGGGTATGGTGACACTAAAAAATCCCATAAGTAACAGAAGGATATCCTAACTTTCTGGAAACATGCTCAACTTCTCGTTTCCTACGGAGAATACTGGAGCAGACGGTTTGTATCGCAGGTTCCTTGTCACTACCCCTGTAGATATTAAGTTCGCAATCCTCGTGTCCAACATCGTGGTCGATAACACAATTCACTTCTTCGCTTCCCTTGGTGCAATTTGATGCCCCAATTCGTAATTTTATGTTGTACTGAACCTCGCTAAGAGGTGGATAAGAACTGGCTTCTTTAAATTTCATGAGGATTATCTTTCTGTCTTTGGCGCTTTCCACCGGAGAAACATGACTTTTGAGTAAATTTTCGACGTACTGCTTAATTTCCGGATCTTCAAGTTCTAACTTTTTGGGAGCATCCTCAACTTCTCGTTTTCTACGAAGAACACTGGAGCACATAGTTTGTACCGCAGGTTCCTCAGTGCTTCCTCTATAGACATTAAGTTCGCAATCCTCGTGTCCAACATCGTAGTCGATGACACAATTCTCCTCTTCTTCTTTGCTGCAATTAGATGTCCCAATTCGTAATTTTATCTTATACTGAACCTCGCTGGGAGGAGGATAAGAACTGGCTTCCTTGAACTCCTGGAGAATCAGTTTCCTATGTTTTCCTCCTCTGGAATCATGGGTCTTCATAAAATTATCCACGTACTTCTTAATATCCCCGTCTTCCATAGTTAGTGCTTCACGTTTCCTTCTCCCGATTCTAGAGCATCTGGTTCTGACCCACTCCTTGTTTCCCTCTCTGTAGACATTGATTACACAATCATCGGAACCAAAAGTGGAATCGTATCTACAGTCCTGGTGCTTCTGACCCTTTGTACAGTTGTCGTTCCCTATTCTCAGTTTGATCTTGTATCGGAGACTCCCACTTGGCGGATATGCAATAGCTTCGTCAAATTCCAACAGAACTGAGTTCTTATCCTTCGCTGCTGATAAAGGGGACACGTGTCTTTCGACTGCCAAATCGACATATTTCCTTATTTCCGGATTGTCCAGGCCTAGACTGACTAAATCTTCACTTCTTTTTGTTCTAATTGAATAACACTCAATACTCACAGGTTCATCAACAATTCTCTCCTGCCAGACGTAAACAATACATTCCGCCTTTTTGCAATCGTCCATCTTTTTACCATCACAATTGTTCATTAGTATTCTGATTTTATAAAGAAGACTCTGTCCCGGTTGATATGTGTAGCCATCCAGCACCTTATCCAAAGTTGAACCACTCGAATGTGACATTGTGTGGGCATATTTTTCAACTCCTATTGTGGCGTATTTTTGGGCATTAGCATCATTTGGATTTAATTTCTTCGGTTCTGAGGTGTCTCTTTTTTTGCGCTTCAATTCATCACAGTCGAATGTTATTATTGGTTTATCGGACGTCTCAGTGCAATTATCTCTAAATACTCTGAATACACAATTTTTCGAATTGTTCTCATCGTTTTTTACTCGCATTGATATACGATGCATTAGAGTTCCATTTGATGGGGGGAAATAGACGGCTTCTCTTATTTCTTCAACGAATGAATTATTTCTAACTTGATTGTTTGTTTGGGAAATTTCATTTTGCTTGAATGTAGTTTCGTCATTTGTATTTATCTGTAAGGGAAAAATTGTATTATTTAGAAATAGTTGACATTTGGATGGAAATGTTTTATTAAAAACTTTTTGAATTAGTAACACTAGAAAAAAAAAATATTTTTGAGGCGGTTTTTAGGTTATGAACCTATAATCTCATGCTTCTTAGGTCTCTTTCTTCAGTGCTTTCGTAACATTTATAAAAAATAATTTCTCGAACTTTTATAAAAAAAATCCCAAAATTTTTTTTTCTCTATAAAAAAGCAAATTTATCTAAAAACTCAAAAAAAAAAGATATATCACAGGTACTCACCGATTTTTCAACAACTGGCAAAGAAATAACTCCATTTACCAAAAATGTGTACAAAAAAATAAAAACAATTATTATAGAACTTTGTTTCAGCATTTTTGTCATTTTCGAAAAAAAAAACTATCACTGTTAATAATTTATTGACATCTTCTCTCAAAAATTTATGAATTCAAAAACTAATCCACTTAATATAAATTTCCACTAAAACTTAGAAGCACTGAATAATATATATGATAAGATAATTTGTAAAAGTACATCTCTTTGTACTGATCAGTATGTCTATGGAAATGTTTGCATTTACTTAAGATTCAGATAATTTAATCGCAGAGTGTATGAAAAATAAAATTTTTTTATGAATGATGAATATTATGAATATTTATATTTATAAATTATGAATTCACTGAAATTTACTATACGTATCTATAAGGTCGCGTTCTGATTGACTTTAAAAGATAACCTCTATAATTGTTTTGTTTTTATTTAAATAGGAAGAAGAATTTTATTTATATTTACTTTTTTCGTCAATTTTAATTATTGATTTTTTTCTTTAAACAAGATAATTAAACATTTTTTTATTGCTTTCACTGATAACTATAAAAATTTTAAAAATATTTTTTAAAACTTGAAGGGTGCTCAGGGTGCTTATTGTCGAAGGTCAATTTTAAATTTCTTTACTATGAGCACTTGTGAGAGAAGTTCATACAAAAAATTAAAAAATTAAAACAATTATTATTATAATATAATTTTATTATTATTATTATTATTATTATTATTATATTATTATTATTATTTGGGTCGTTCACAAACTACGTCACGCTTTTTCGGACTGATTTTTACCCCCTCCCCCCCTTCTTCACATTTTTTACATACAAAAAAAAATTTTTCCACAGTTCGTCACACACAGCTTAACACCCCCCCCCCACCCCTAGGAGTGTGACGTAGTTTATGAACGACCCCATTATTATTATTATTATTATTATTATTATTATTATTATTATTATTATTATTATTATTCTAAAATTATTTTTAAATATAAATATGACGCGCTCCTTAAAAAGATACTTGAAAGAAGGAAAGAAGTAAAAATTGGAGGTTATGTTTATAATTTTTGTAGCAAAAATACAGAAGAAGAATTAATAGTTCTTAAAAATTATTGATCTTCAAGTCTTCGGTACATTCGAAATATTCAATAAAAACTGGTTTCAAATTTAAATAATCAAACGGAAATTTTTTATCAAGATGAATTTAACACATAATAACCTATAATTTATTTATTTTTCATAATAGGTGCCTTTCTTTATTTTCAATATATTATTTATTATTTCTATTATATTTATTATTTATTATTTTCCAAATTTAAAGAAAAGTACTTTTTAAAATTCAAATAAAAGTTATTTTTCAAAATTTAGAGAAAAAATAACTTTTAATAAAGTTTCACGAATGAATACAATTATTTTTCAAAATTTTAATAAACCCTTCAAAACAATTCAATTATATTTATAAAAAGTAAAATTCTTTGCAAAAATTTAATTATTCTCAAAACAATTTCAGAAAAGAATTTAATTTTTTTTTAATTTGTTATAAAATTTTTTCAAAAGAATTCAATTATTTTATAAAATTTTAATAAATAAAAAAAAAAAATTATATTTATAACAAATAAAATTCGTTGCAAAAATTCAATTACTTTCAAAAAAATTTCAGAAAAGAATTTTATTTTTTTAAAAAACTTCAGAAAAGAATTTAATTTTTTTTTAATTTGTTATAAAATTTTTCAAATAAATTCAATTATTTTATAAAATTTTAATAAATTCTTAAAAAAAAAATTAAATTATATTTATAAAAAGTAAAATTTGTTGCAAAAATTCAATTATTTTCAAAAAAATTTCAGAAAAGAATTTAATTTTTTCTTAATTTGTTATAAAATTTTTCAAAAGAATTCAATTATTTTCTAAAATTTTAATAAAATTCAATAATTAAATGTTGAATTTCAATTTTTAACAAACACTAGGTATTATTTTAAAAACTTGAAAAAAAATTATTCATAAAATATAATTATTTTCTAAATTTTTAATTAAAATTACTATAATGAAACTCCATTATTTAAAAAAAAATGCAAAGAAATTCTTCAAAATCAATTTAAATTCCAACAAAATTCTTCGCGAGAATTCAATTATTTTTTTAAATAATAAAATTCTTCAAAGAAATTCTATTATCGAATTTTTTTGATAAATTTTTTTTACAACAATTCAATGATTTTCAAAACATCAAAACATTAATTTTAAATTTGAAAATATTTAAAAAGAAAAGTTATAATTTTTGCTCCTCGGCACACTTTGAAAGCTTTAAATTTTTTTTTAAAAATAATTAAAAATTAAAAAAAAAAATAATTTTTTAATTAAGAGCATTTGAACCTTTATGACGTCACAATTTGTGTAAAGCATGTGTTTTAAAACTGTGACGTCATAGTGGTTGAAATGCCCTGAAAAAAGAATATTTATTGGTAAAATATTTTTTAAAGAATATAAATAATAAAAAAATAATTTTTTAAGTAAAAAAAGAATATTTATTGGTAAAAGGTAAAATATTTTTTAAAGAATATAAATAATAGAAGAATTATAGAAAAATATTTATAAATATATAATAATAAAATAAAATTTTTTATTGCTGAAAATAAAATAAAAAATTTTCAACTTTAAATATCGGTATAATATTATTCTTAAATAGAAAGTTCTATTTATTCGAGAGTGAAAATACAGCAAAATAATTATGGGGGTCGTAGGCTCTTTTCGTGTTTACAAAATTATCTGATTACAAATATTAGTCATTTGAAAGTTCTCCTTGAGTGAATATCCAAAAATTGAAAAATTTTCCTTTCAAGTCGAATTTTTACATTTAAAATAAAAAAGAAAAAAAAAATAGTGTGTGAAAAAAATAGAAAAGAAACTGTATTTGAAAATTAAAAAAAAAAGGTGTTTCTCTTTTTCTCGCCGAGTGGAAAATTTCTATCGATAAAAATGGCGAAGCCAAACACTGAGAAAATGGTGGAGCTGGCAATTTCACATCTCAACGACAGACATGGAACATCATTGCATAAAGTCAAAAAGTACATTACTGAAAATTTTGATGTGAATATTGATAATTATAAAAGACATATCACCAAGTGCGTGAGGAAACTTCTTGAAAATGGCACTTTACTGCAAGTTAGCGGATTGGGAGCGAATGGAAAATTTAAATTTCCCCAAAATGTCAAGAACTCGGTCAAGAAAGCAATGAAAAAGGGTGAAAAATTAAAAGTAAAAATTTTAAAGAAAAAAAACAATGATATGAAGGAAAAAGCCAAGGAGACAAAAAAGAAACCAATGACATTGAAAAATAACAAGAAAATGCCGAAGACCACTGAGAATAACAATAAGGACGTGAAAAAAAATATTAATAAGAAATCGACGCAAGAATCAACATCGCAGACGAGAGGGAAGAGAAATGTTACAAATAAAGACTCGACAATGACAATGAAACCGATGAAATCCAAAGAGACGTCGAAAATGAAAAAAACAATGCGAACCGATGATGATAAAAATAAAAAAGTGCAATTTAAAAAAATTGTTGAAAAATCTGCTGCTGGAAAAGTGAAAGATTCAAAAAAATGAAAATAGAAAAAAAAAGAATAAAGTGTTTACAGTGTTAAAATTTAGTGATGATGACTTAAATAAAAAAATTGAATTAAATTTAAAAATTTTTCACATTCAATATTTATTGATATTTCAATAAAAAAAAAATATTGATTCGTTAAATTTAAATTGTAAAAATATTAAATATTAAAAAAATGACAATTATTGTTCTTTTGTTACAGTATAAAAATTTCAAAATTAAAAATTTCGAATTCTGAAATTAATTTTTATACAAAGGATTGTAAAACAATTGTTAATATTGTTAAACATAAAAATATCAAAATTTTTTTTTTTTGCTTAAATGCAAAATGTTAAAAATTGTAATTGCAAACAGAAAAAAAAATTTCGAATTTGTTAAAATTAATTGTTAAAAGAATGTGTCAAACAATAGGAATTTTGTTTAATATTGAAAACATAAAAAATTCGAATATTTTCATTTCGTTAAAAAGAAGTTAAAAATTTTTTTAATTTATTATAAAAAATTCTAACCATTGGATACAAATTTAAAAAATTTAATCATATTAATTCGCTAAATTTAAATGTAAAAAAAAAATGTTAAACAATATTGTTAATTGTAAGCAGCAAAAAAATTTCATATATTCAATTTTTCCAATTCGTTTATAAATTTATTAAAATGTGAAAAATTGCAAAATTAAAAATTGCAAAATTAAAAATTGTTAAATTGTAAGCGGAGACAAAAACTTTCAAATTTAATATATTGTGAATAATTGGCTAAAAATTTCAAAATGAAATATTTTCAAATTTAAGATGTAAAAAATTGCAAAACAATAAAATTGTTTATCGTAAGCTGACAAAACTTTCAAAATTTAATATTCGTATAACTAATTCGCTAAACTGATAAATTAAAATTGTAAAACGGATAAAAAATGAAAATTTGAAATTTAATTTTTCAAAAGTCTGAAAGTGAAAAACAATTTAAAATATTATCGAGAGACATAAATTAATTTTTGTATGCATACGATATTTATATGTTATGTTTACTAATATTTTTCTCTAAACCGAATGATCTCATTACATTGCATAACGTCTCTCTTTAATGTTATTTATCTACTTATTTATTTCATTATTTATTTTTAAATTTAAGAACAAAAAATTGAAGGAAAAAATAATTAAATTGTTATCCGCTTTTTTCCTACACATATTATTTGATATTTATTTTTTTTTTCAAAAATTTATTGTCGAAAGAAATGTATTTATTTCGTTTTTATGTTTAGTATCTGTTAGTATATAAAATCGATTTTCAAAGTACAATAAAAATTATATAATTCCGTTAAATTATTTTCCACTGCGTTCATTTATTATTATCACCTTCAATAAAACGAAAAACAAAAATTTGAAAGAATTTTTTTTTTATATTTTTTATTTCAAAAATTATTTTAAAAAATAAAAGAGAAAATGTTATGTTTCAAAAAATAATTTAACAACTTTTTTTTAAATTTTATTTATTTTTTTTTTTGTTGGTATTTATTTCTCAATATTTTAAAAAATAAAAAAATGTTACATTTCAAAAAAATAATTTTTGTACAACTTTAAGGGCATTTGAACCTTGATGACGTTTCAGTTTGTGCAAAGCATGTGTGACGTCATCAAGTTTCAAATGCCCTTAAAGAAATTTAAAAAATTTTATTTTGTTTATTGTTGTATTGTTTTTTAAAAAAATACCCTCTATTACTGTTATTTTGAAGAGTAAATTAAAAATGTTTATAAAATATAAAAAATGAAAAAAATTTTAAATATAAAAAATTTTTATTAATTTTTACTTTTTATTAAAAGATTATTAAAAATGTATGTTCCACTTTTTGGATAATAATTTTTTTTAAATGTTATTTCTCTTGTTTATCGTTATTTTAAAGATATTTTTTAAATTCAAATTTTTTTTTCATTTTTAAAAATTTTCAATTTTCTTTGTTTGCAATTTTTTTTTTAATTTAATTTTATTTTCTTTCTTGTTCTATTGTTATTTAAAAAATGCCTCTAGTACTGTCATTTTGAAAAGAAAATGTTTATAAAATAAAAGATGAAAAAAATTTTAAAGAAAGAAAATTTTTATTATTTTTTACTTTTTATTAAAAAATTATTTAAAATTTTCTTATTTTTAAATAATAATTTTTTTAATGTTAATTCTTTCGTTTATTGTCATTTTAAAGATATTTATTAAATTAACTTTTTTTTTAATTTTCAAAAATTTTCATTATTTTTTGTTTAACAATTTTTTTTAATTTAATTAAATTTTGTTTATTGTTGTATTGTTTGTTAAAAAAATGCCCTCTATTACTGTCATTTTGAACAGTAAATTGAAAATGTTTATAAAATAAAAAATGAAAAAAATTTTAAAAAAAGAAAATTTTTATTATTCTTTACTTTTTATTAAAAGATTATTTAAAATTTTCTACATTTTAAATAACAATTTTTTTTAATGTTAATTCTTTCGTTTATTGTCATTTTAAAGATATTTATTAAATTAATATTTTTTTTGAATTTTTAAAAATTTTCAAATTTTTTTTGTTTAACAATTTTTTTTAATTTAATTTAATTTTTTTATTGTTGTATTGTTTTTTTAAAAAAATGCCCTCTGTTACTGTCAATTGGAAGAGTAAATTGAAAATGTTTATAAAATAAAAAAATGAAAAAAATTTAAAAAAAGAAAATTTTTATTATTTTTTACTTTTTATTAAAAGATTATTTAAAATTTTCTACTTTCTGGATAATAATTTGTTTTAATGTTAGTTCTCTTGTTTATTGTCATTTTAAAGATATTTTTTAAATTAAAAAAGTAGGAAGTATTTTAAACAAAAATAGAAAAATTAGTTTATAGAAAATTTTCTAAACAATTTTTTTTTTATTATTTCTTTTGTTTATTGTTGTATATTATTGTTATTTTTAAGTATATTTTTTAAATTAAAAAAAATAGAAAGTATTTTAAAATTTTAATTCAAAATTCTTCGCTATTCATTTTAATAATAAAATATTTGTTTGTTAATTTTTTTTTTTTTGCAATATTATTAATTTTAATAAAATTTCATTAAAAATGTTCCAGAATCTTTTTTTTTAAATAATTTAATAAAATCTCTAAACAATACAAAAAAAAATCTTTAAACAATAAAACAATAGAAAAATTAAATTTCTTATTTAGTAAGTTTGGTAAGTTTTTTAATTTTCCAAAATTGAATAAAAAACAAGATTCTAAAGATAGAGAAAATAATTTACAAACGTAAATTTTCAATTTTTTAAAACATTTTGAATTTCGAAAAAAAATCTTTTTATACTCTCGAAGGTGGGATTTTATAGAAAAAAAATTAAATTTCCGATTCTTCCAAAATTTATTGTACATATAAAATTTTATTATACAAGTTTGAACTTTAAAGAAAACGATTTTTTTTCTTATTGAATTTATGGTAGAATTTTTGTATATATATTCTGTTGCATTTAAATTGCATCTTCTTTAAAAAAAAAAAAAAAAAAAAAAAAAAAATTGCTCGCTGTCGATTTATTACCTTGCAGACATTTCACGGTCAACAACTATTATGGAAAAATTAAGAATAAGCTAATTTTATAATTTTTAACTGTATAGTATAGTTTTTGGGACGATATATATAAAAGTGAAATGAGAAGCACACGTTCAATATTAAGTAACATTTTGGCTGTTCAGGATTAAACTCTCAATTCCAAAAGAGACACAATATTCTTTCAACATGAACGCCATTCTTGCCATCCTTGCACTTTGCGTCGTTGCTGTCTTTGTAAGAAATAATGCACATTTTTAATTTATTTCATTCTTAGAACGTATGATTTCTTTCTTTTTTTTTCAAGAAAAATTGAAATTTAAAATTTATAATTATTTTTTTCTAAATCTCATGCAAAATTCAAATTGTTGTTTGTTAAATTATTTATTTACAATAATTTTCAAAAAAAAAAAAAATAAATAAATAAATAAATAAAAATTAAGCAAATAACTGCTTAAATAAATAAAAGGAACAAGTATTTTTGAAAAACTGCTTATTTTTGCCAAAAAAAAAAAATAAAAAATGAAACTTTTTTGCATTTTTTTTCCTAAATGAAAAAATGTAAAAATAAAAAAAAATGAAATTATTTTTTGAAACAATTTAAAAATCGAGTCAATTTAAATCTTTATTAAATAAACAAGAACAAAATTATTATTTTTCTGAAAAAAATGTTTATTTTTGTCAAAACAATAAAAAATTTTATTTCTTGAAACAGTAAAAGTGAAAAAAAAAAATTACATCGCAATTTTTTTAAAATTATTACAAAATAAAGTCCACGAAAGAAAAGGAATTTACTTTTTAAAAAATTGACTTCAATCATTTTTGTTACAAATATAAATAAAAATGTTAATTGTCAATATTTACACTGTAAATATTAAAAAGTAAAAAATTAAAGAAATATGAAAAAAATATTATTAAAAAATTGGTTTTTAATTTCTCATTAAAAATTTCCTTTTTTTTTATTTTTGTATATTTTATTATCTTCTTTAGTAACAATTTCTACAATGAAACTTATTATTTCGTCAGTGTTTATAATTATAAATTACAAGTTTCAAATTAATTTTGTTTCACATAAAATAACAAAAATTAAAAAAAAAAAAAAATGTAAAAATGTATGGAATGAATGCAAAAAAATATTATTTATTCAAAAATTTTAAATAAGTAGGTGTACAAAATTTTTTTTTTTTTTTTTTTGACGAAAATTTGGATTTTGAATGTAGAAATTATGTTAATAATTATTTTCCTTTATATCTATAAATATTGATTGTACTTTCTTTTTGTTTAGTTTTTTATTTTTACTTTTATTATTTACTTTATTTAAAAATTGAAATTAAAAAATTGAAATTAAAAAATTAAAATTAAAAAATTAAAAAATTAAAATTAAAAAAGTAGAATTAAAAAGTTAAAATTAAAAAAGTAAAATTAAAAAAATAAAATTAAAAAGTTAAAATTAAAAAATTAACATTAAAAAAATAAAATTCAAAAATTAAATAGATACATTTGAAATTAGTCATTTAAAAAAATTCTTCAAATAATTCACTTCGAAATACTTCCCGAAACGAAATATCTGCTTAATAATCATTTTAATAGTACTTTATAAAAATTATAACTACCGGGATTCGAACCTCAATCAGCATTAAAAAATATATGGTGCCTTGCGCCTCACGACCAAATGATCACACTAATAATAGTATTTTATAAAATATTTATTCTATAATTATTAACTATTATTACTTATTAAATTTGAAGAAGTTAACAATTTTATTTATTTATTATTATCTTATTTATTATTATTTTATTTATTATTTATTATTTATTATTATTATTTATTATTAAACAAAATTATAATTTTGTTTAATATATTATAATTTTATGAATATTATAATTATAAAAATAATATTGTACAAAATATTATAATTTTGAGCATTAAAATAAATATAATTTTATACAAAAATAAAATTTGTTTTTAAAGGCCGATTTCAAGGAAGAGTACGATCAACACAGGGCCGTTTGTATTACTGAAAGTGGAGTAAGTCCAGGTAATAAATTAAAATCTAATTCAATTTTGCAATTTTTTAATAAATAAATTTATTGCACAAAATTAAAAAAAAAAATTTTTTTTGTTATTAGTGAAAATTTATTTATTATTAGAGTATCAAAAATTTTACTATAGAAACACTGAAATTCTAATTGCGTAATAACATACTAATTAATTAAAAATTATATTTTATAAATTTTGTTACTTAACTTTTAAAAAATCAATAAAAGTATAGCTCCTAGGTTATAATATAAATAAATAATTTAAAATTTGAACATTAATATTTTCGTGAAAATATTTTAATTTTTATATTTACAATTTTTTTTGTTTTATTTTATTTTATTTAATTTTATTTAATTATTTAATTTTACATTATTTTGCAGATGCTGTGAAAAATGCCAGGGAAGGAAAAATTGATGAGAACGATAATAAATTGGCCTGCTTTTATTCCTGTTTATTGAAGAAGTTTGGCATTGTAAGAAAATTTATTTATACGTAAAAAAATTTGAGTTTTTTTTTATTTCATTTGTATAATTAATTTTTTATTATTTTACTTTATATATTATATTAAATAAAAATTGTCTTTTTGAAAAAAAATCATCCTATAATATTGACAGAATTGAAATAATAAATGCTTAAAATTTTATAGATGACCGCGGAAGGAACAATTGATGAAGAAGTTGCTCGCTCAAAAATTCCGGCTTCGATTCCAAAGGAGAAAGTTGACTTTGTTCTCACCAAGTGCAGTGGACTGAGTGAGTATATATAAATTTTAGATATTTTTAATCAAATTTTTAGAAAAACTAAATTTTTGAATAAAACGAGTAGAAAATTTTTTTTTTTTAAATTTTTAATATACTATCTTAGATTAATATACTAGATGCGGCGAGGCGTTAGTTTAGGCACATGAATCCAGGGTGGCGTTAGTGTAGATCATGTGCCCACATGTGCCCTTCGTGTGCCTCTTATAATCGGACCAATCGGATTACTTCGTCAATCTTCGGTCTATTAAAGGCGGAAATGTTTGAAAATACTAACAAAGCGATCATTTCTCATTCAAATTTAAGATTAAAATTGTATACAATTTATAAAAAAAATTGTTGTTTTTCTTAACTATATATAATTAATTATAGTAAATTAAATTCTTTTATTTCGTTGTATATTTAAATGTGTGAATCCGGGAAAAAATAATGTTTTCGTGATCGCGTTCTCATCGTTCTCATTTAAAAAGAAATAAGAAAAGAATATTTTCAGTCAGGGTTTTTTGGTAAATATAGAGAAACGGTTTGATATCACGGTCTCATTTTGAGAGGATAAAATTTTGCGAGAAAATTATTTTATTAACGATTCAAAGTGGAGTAATTTGCGAGGTTATAATACATTTCCTTAGTTAAAGTCGCGGCCACTTCCGAGAATCGGCGCCACCTCCTTGACCACTGACACATAGATCTCACTTTTGCCAAAAATCCAACTTTTGTTATTTTGTTTTTCAATATTTATTTCAAAAATTACTTGCAAATTCCGAGAATATTCTTTATCATCATGAATTCCCCTAATTATCATGATAAATCGGAACTAAGTATCTCTAATTATTTAGGAGTGAGATATGAAACGCGGGAAAACACTTTTTGGGGGCGATTTTTCCAAACAAATGTTTTTAAACATTTCTCAATCAACAATTTTCAAAAGAAAAATTTTACATTTTACATTGATTTAATTGATCGGTCAATTAATCGGTTATTTGAATCAAATACATTTTTTTCAGTGTAAAATTTTTTCAGACAGAAAATATTTGTTTAAAAATTTAAAAATTTTTGCATTATAGAAATTTTATTATCGTTTATTATAAAGTATTCCTCATTTTTCAAACTTTATGTATTTTTTTAGCCTTTCCTATTCTATTAAACAAAATTTTTAAATTAAAATTCAGAAATCTAAATGATTTCCTCTTCAGGAAGTCTATCCAAAAAAATATACAAAATTAAAATAATAATAAAAATTATATACATGATTAAAATAAAAATAATTTAACAATAAATAAATAAAATAAAAATTAATGGATAATTATCTTACCAAAAAAAAATATAATTAAAATAGATGAAGACTTAAATTTTTATGCCCTGACGATGGAGTAGAGTCTCGAGTAAAAGAAAATTATAAAAAAATTAATATTCATCAAATAAATTTAAAAATAATTGAAAAAAATTGTTTAAATTTAAAATTGTGAAAAATAATAATCAATAATAAATTTAGTAACAAGTTAATAACAAATTAAAAATTAATTAATAAAAAAAATTAAAATTTATGAAACATTAAAAATACAATTATGAAAATTAATAATAAATAAAAATAATAAATAGCACATGCAAAATAAATAATAAAATACCATAAATAAATAAATAACGGTTCACAATACAATAATTCATAATAAAATAAATTAATAAAATAAAAATATGTAATTTCTCAAATTAAGTAAAAATATAGCTACGTATTTCAAACTGCAACGTCAAATTTAAAACTGAGCTCCAAACTCTATCGAGTCATTACATTATAATGAACATTATAATTATCTATTGATTTTTATTTTATTTATTTTTAAATTATTTTTATTATTATTATTTATTTTTTTGCCTAGGGAATTTTAGGAAATCTGCCTACAGATACCTTAAATTCTACACTCCAAGGTTATGTGGGGTTATTTAACTAATTAAAAAAATTAATTAATAATTAATTTAATAATTAAATAAATTATTTTAATAATACATTTAATAACTAAATTAATTAATTTAATTAATAATTAAAAAATTTTGTTTCAATTAAAAAACTAATTAATAACTTTTTATTATATAAAGGAAATTAATTACAATTAATAATCAAAATATTTTATTTTATTTATAAGAAAGTTAATTAAAAATAATAATTAGGTTTTTTTATTTTCAATTAAAAGTTCTTTATTTTTAAAAATTTTATTTTAAAAAATTGATTTATTAGTTTTTATTGAAAAACACGTTGTTTTCAAAAAAAAAAGTAGTGATATTGGCGAGAAATGAAATTCTAGCCTTTCACGACTCAAAAAACGTGATTTCCAAGCGGTATCCTTGGAAACGGCGAAAAGTTGAAGAGGGCAGCACTAACATACACTGAAAATTTAGTATGCTATATATATCGGTAGTCCCCACCATCGACCCTCGCCGCATCTAGTATATTTATCTAAGATACTATTATGTTTCTATTTTAATTTCAGAGGGACAAAATGAATGCGCCACTGGAATGAAAGTAATGAAGTGCTATTTGGAAAATAAAACTTTCACCCTTGTTTAAACAAAGATATATATTTTTTTTTTAATCTCATCGTCTTTTGTATACCTGCCAACATTGTATCAAATCTAAATAAAAAAAAAACTTTCTAAAAAAATTAGAAACAAATGAAAAAGTTTTTATTCTTTTTCAAAATTTTAAACTCGTAAAATATGCAAAGCGAATATTCAGCTTTGAAGTAGTATAACATTCTCTTCTTATTATCGAACATTTTTTATGAAACTTATCTATATCTATATTTTTATTATTTTCACAATATGTATATATATATTTGATATTTTTAAAAACAATTTTTACTTTTTGAAAAATTTATCACAATTCCGTCTGTTCTGTTTATTTAAAAATTGCTTATTACCAAGTTGAAGTGTAAAATTAAATAAATTTTCTTCTGCAAATTTTTTGTTAATAATTATCAAAAATGATTATGGCAAAACTAATTATTTTTTTTATACTTTTTTCCACTGCGAATACAATTGAAGACATAATTTGGAATGAGGAGGTGAGTTTTTAATGTAATTTATTTTTAATTTTTAATAAAAAGAATATTTTTTAATTTAATTAGAAATTACTTTTAAATACTTTAAAATACCAAAAATGTCGTCCGCTATATATAATCCGCAATTTTGAATTTTTTAAAATCTGAAATCGGATTCGTAATCAGCGACCCTGAAAACCCCCGAGTAAAAAGTTTCAAGTGAATCCGATGAATTTTAAAAAAATGTCGTCCGCCATTTTGAATTTTCAAAATCTGATATCATATTTGTAATCAGCGACCCCAAAAACCCCTGAGTAACAAGTTTCAAGTGAATCCGATGAATTTTTGAAAATGTCCGCCATATTGGATCCGCCATTTTGAATTTTCAAAATCTGATATCAGATTTGTAATCAGCGACCCCGAAAACCCCTGAGTAATAAGTTTCAAGTGAATCCGATGAATTTTTGAAAATGTCGTCCGCCATATATTATTATTATTATATATTAAAGAGTAATATTCTTTATAAGTTACGTTTTTCTTATTAATGGTTATATATATATATATACTCTGCATAAATACTATTTCTTTAAATTATTATTTTGACGCATGACCCAATTTTTATAAGCTGTCTTCATATTTGGGGTCCTATTTTTTTACTGTTTTAGAACAAGGAAGTTTCTATTGAAGCACCTCTTAAAAACTGTAGTGAAATATATTGCAAACAACCCTGGAGAATGATCAATTGGTATAATCAGATTTATCATCATAAAACTCACTTTGGCATAATTGTTAAGAAAGGTTCCGCTGTATCACTAAAAATTTCAGCAAAAGTTGATAATTTAAAGTTCTTCTGTCTCTCCCAAACAAAGAAAAGTCATAAGATTAATCTCAATGTCCTGCTTTTAAAATCAGTCATTATAACCATCATACCTGATAATGATTGTGTTCCTATGATTTCCGACTCCTACAACGCAAAGGTGAGAGTAACAATCAACACTAATTTCTGGATCGAATTGCCAACTTTCAAGTCCAATGATGTTGATAATTATTCAAAAGAAGCGGAGTCTGCATTTTACGATGATTTAAAACTATACGGATTTGTTGAAAACACTTATACCCAAATGTTGCTGTCATTCGATGATATTTCTATCATCAGGAAAAACAACTACACTCTGAATGATGGACTATTAAAGCAAAAGAAAGTTCTCAAGTATTATGATTCTCTGTTTGGCGTTGGCACTGTAAGAGGTTTGTGTAATTCGAAAACAATTTCACCCCAGGAGCATACGATTTTGTTTCTGATGAACACGTGTCCGAATGAGGGAACATGCGAGGTGGAAAGGCAAAGCAATTTGATAAGGATTGATAACAATTTAGATTGGTTGAAACCTTCTGGCAAGTTAAATATGACGCTATTGACTCAATTTGGACACTACTATGAGATTAGTAACAATCTTATTGGTTTTAAAGACATTGGCAATGTGTGGAGCATGATTTATGCTGTTTTCTTTCAACGAACCAACGATAAAGAAATGTACACCACGAGATCTTTAAATTCGAACTATGAAAGTATTGTGAAACGGTATAAAAGCGGTGATCTTATTGACAAATGGAGCGGTGAGGAAAAATTAAATTTTTTCCTCAGTCTTTTTGATTACGGTGGTGATGATAGAATAATTAAAGAATTCCATAAGAGTTATGCTCGTATCAAGAATCTTACTTTTAAACGTAGAGTAAATATTATTTCTATTCTTGTCAATTTGTTTCTAGAAATATATCAGATAAACATATTCCCTTACTTAGAGAAGGTAATTGATTTTCAGAGTTATTTGATGCCGTTAATAAATCCAGAATTAGAACTGTTATTAGTGAGTGGGCATCCAATAATGTCTGTCTTGGATTTTAATTTATCATCTACTGGATCCACTGGATCCACTGGATCCACTGGATCCACTGATTTGAGTGACATGGTTCAGAGGCAAAATTTCATGCAAATTCCTGCTTTCAAAGACGAGGAGAAATTTGTAAGGGTTAAATTTATTGTTACTCCATTCATCATGTCAATGAGAGGAATTTCTTTATATTTGAATAATGTACCTCACAAAATTGATACCGAATCGTTTGAATTAACCTTGTCAAGGGATGTCTACTCTGTCTATATTGCAGAAAAGTCTTACTTTAGTGACGTGAAATATCATGCAATCGCTGCTAATCAAACAACAATTACCATTCATGTGAAAAGAATAGAGAAAAATGACATAAGTTCACCTTTGATCCATTCTTCTATCTATCTTACAGACGATGATGGCAGAATACTCCTAAAGGTTTTCATAGACTACAAAAGATTGACAATTTCCAAGGTACAAGTATCTAATAAATTACAAAAAAATGTATTCTCTATCGAATTAAAAAGAGGTTGCAAGGACATTTTTTCTTATACTCTGAATAAAACCCTTAGAAAAATAGATCGTAAAGAAAAATTTACATTTAGAATGAATGACAGGCTATTTATTTATCATAATAAGCCGAAAAATGTGATTATCAATAGAAAAAAATTAAGTGACATAATAACGTGGCGTACTTTTGTCTTCACAAAGAACGTCTTCAAACACATTGCACGTCCCGGCTATTTCGCTTTTGGTGACAAGTTCAATATTACTGCTAAAGGTTTATACGACGAAGAGTTTCTAGTAATAGACGTGGATTACAACACAAATATCATAATATTTGTGTTGTAATCCACGTCTATTACTAGAAACTCTTCGTTTAAACAGATAAAACTAGAAACAAATAAATACGCAACAACAGATGTCTATTTTGCTGTAAAGTTGCAAAGGAACAATAAAATTATCTACGAGTTTTCAATTTCCAGCAATGGATCAAGATTACTATTGGAGAAAAATCAAACATTTGAAATTAATGATAAATTACATTTGTTCCATTTCGAACCCAGTCGTTTATTTATTGGAGGTATTAATGTACGTAAATTTATAACTAATCGTCTAGTTGACGAACGCATTCTGTTACTATCAAATCACGGCCTAATGGATGTTGATGATATTGATATGTTATTTTTGAAAGAGAACATTAATCAGATAGTAAATTTCTATACTCTTCATGAAAATAGTTTAAAGTACAATCCTCTCTACAATTATTACGTCGATAAATATGTTGATTCTTTAAAAAGTTACAATTACACTGACAAAATTTCTGATATATTGAAAAAATTTGGAATACAGTCACGACAAGCAGAACATCTATTTTTACCTAGAATATCTGATGGCTTTGTTAGCCGAAACAACATATAATATAATGGCCTCATTAAATTTAAAAAAAATTTTAAATATTATTGATATTTAGTATTTAAGAGATTTTTTAATTCCTCAATACAATTTTGAAGTTCAAAATAATGTTCGGACACGGTTGCTAATACACAAGAGTAATTATAAAATTTTATAACTGTCACTCATTATAAAATATACAATATGCTTAATTAGCTGTTGCTAAATTGGATTTTGGAGTTAGACATTTGAAATTGAAAATGGTCGGATATTTTTAAATATTGTTATTAATTATAACTTTAAAATTGTATTCAGTAAATTTATTCCAAATAACACTTATATTTTAATCCATAATATATGTAGGTAGTGGAAATTTTTTCAAAAATCTTAAATTTTAAAAATTTGAAAATTTCTTTCTATTGTATATTTATTTTTGTTAGAATAATTAATAATGAATGGATCGTAAAAAGAAGGAAGGAAATATGGATAAGATATAATATTTTATTCGTTTAAAAAATAACGCGGGTTGTAAAGCGCCTGTATATGTAGTTTCTAATTATAATGTCTATAAAATTAAATAATAAATTATTAAAATAAAAACAATGATGTCTATTAAACTTTTATTTATCCTATAAAGTATCGCAAAATTTTTAAAATTATATTTAAAATATTTATTTTTACTCTATTTACATTTATTATGATGTCGTCTTCAGAAATACCTAAGAAGCAAAGAATTTTAAAGTTTGTGATATGTTATTCTGTGAAACTAAAAATAGTTTTTAATAATTTAGTTTTAGATATAAGGACTTAAATATAAGATGGTTTTTTGTATTAATCAATTGCTGTTAAAATATTAAATATATTAAATATACATTAAATCTTAGTCATTGATTTTTTTTTTTATACTTTTCGTAAAGTTAAATACAGATAGCAGGTATAAGCTTTATTTGATTAAAATATTTAATAAGTTTCGTCAACGTAAATTGAAAAATCGTTCAATATTATTCAGACGATGAAGATTATATTTGAACTCCCTTTTATTTTTTTTATTTTAAAAAAAATGAGGCCAAACAATTTCCTCGATCCAATTGACATAAGCAGCGACACGAGTATAAATTCCCGGAATTGCATCAACACCACAAAATTTCCCCGTACTTGTAATGCCAATAATTTTAAAAAGACAATTATCAATATTTCTAATTTGAAGCGGACTTCCCGAATCACCGGAGCAAGTGTCCTTCTCCCAATTTCCAGTCGGATCACCAGCGCACAAAAGACTGTCAACAATGCCCCAGGGTAAATTTATCGAATTCTTATACATCGTCGAACAATTCACATTGTCAATAACATCGAGTTGTGCTTTGAGTAAATTCACACTCAATTCTCCTCCATATTGAGAAGTACCCCAACCAGTAGCCATCAGTTTTGCCTCATTTTCTTTATCAAATTGCAGACAAGCCGGTTTCAGGTTCAATCCAAATTGAACCGTTCTGTCCAATTCGACGAGTGCAATGTCCGCATAGGACAAACGTGGTTGATACGCCGGATGAATAATTAATTGTTTGGCGAAAAATACTTGACCACCATTGGTGTCCATTAGACGATTTGAACCAAGATAGACGACGGCTGTTTTAATGAAAATTTTATACGAGCAATGAGCTGCCGTTAGGATCCATTTTTCCGAAATTAAACTCCCCACACAGGCAAATTGCAGTTTGCTGTTCAATTGTCGATGGGCTAATATTGCCATGTGGGGGAATTCACCGAATAATGCACCAACACCGCCGCCGATTAAGGGATTTATAAATTTATTCCAATTGCGATCGCAATTTAACAGTGTTATTGGTATTGGATCGAAATTCGTTGGATACTGAACCCAAATTGCGTCTCTGGACATTTTCCCATATTTCTCACACATTCTTTCGCATTTTCTCTTTTTTGGAAAATAATTTCTTTCCTTATTAATATTGTAATTATTTCTCACTTCTCTTTTCAATTCCAATTTTTCCCTCAGAATTTTGATTTCTCTCTTTGGAAAAAAATTCAATTTTGCGAAATTTGATTCTTTTTCTTTACTTCCTATTTTTTGACCTCTGATTCGCATCTTCATCGACGACGACTCTTGTGAATCAAAACTTTGAATCAAAAACATACATAGAATAGTTAAATATAAATTCACTTTCATGTCAAAAATAAGAGAAAATAGTTTGTCGAATAAAAATTTGATGATTTTTGTAAATTTTCATTTTTAGTGCATTGATGACGAGCAAAGACGATAAGAACAGAAGAGGACATTTTATTTCATAGTTTCAATTATTATCAAGGTTTGAGTGATTTAGATTGAATGCTTTTTTTGAAGAAAATGCTCGTGAAATTATCTCGGAGAATATTTTTCTTTTGTTTTGAAAAATTCGCCATTTCTTTTTTGTTCGCAACTCCCGGAGGCTGATTCAGCGAATCTCCAACGATTCCTGTAGAAGAATGAAGAAATGTTTTTAAATTCTTCACAACATGCAAAAATAAAAAATTAAGAGTTCAATTTAATTTTACATCTGATAATTAATTTTTTTTTTTTTTTTTTTTTTTTTTTTTTTTTTTTTTTTTTTTTTAATTCTTTTACTGACAATTTAATTTAATATTTAACTAATTTTATAGAATTTGAATAAAAATTATAATAAATTTTTCATTGGTAACTAATAAAAATAATTCAATTATTTTCTAAAATTTTAATAAAAATTATTCCATACAATTTCATTAGTTTTATAAATTTGGTAAAATTATTTGCAAAAATTCAATTATTTTCTAAAATTTTAATAAATCCTTTCTATACAATTTAATTATTTTTTTTATAAATTTAGTAAAATTCATTGCAAAAATTCAATGATGTATTTTCTAAAATTTTAATAACATTTCATGATGGAATTCAATTTTTAAAAAAAAATTTAATAATATTTTTCGAAAAAATTCAATTATTTTCTAGAATTTTGATAACAATCGAATAAATAAATGTTTAATTTCAATTCTTTAGATAGATGATTATTTTATAAAAACTGTAAAGAAATTGTTCATAAAAATTAAATTATTTTCAAAATTTTTCATTAAAATTATTAAAGAAACTCGATTAATTAAAAAAAAATTCTTCAAAAAGAAATTAATTCGAATTTTCAGAAATTTTATCAAAATTCATCAACTGACAAAAATTTCTTTCCATATTTTATTTTCCTGACTTTTTTCTAATTTTCATCAAAAATATTAACTTCTTTCTTAATTTTTTAAAAAATTTTAATAAATCCTTCGATACAATTTAATAATTTTTTTTATAAATAATAAAAATTCTTTGCAAAAATTCAATTATTTTTAATTTTAATACAATTTTAATGAAATTTCATGAAAGAATTCACTTTTTTTTAAATATCTTTTAAATATTTTTCGAATAAATTCATTTATTTTCTAAATTTTTCAATAAATTCTTTGAAACAATTCAATTATTTGCAAAAAAAAAAAAAAATGTAATAATTAATTCTTTGCAAGAATTCAATTATTTTCATAAATAATAACATTCTTCGGAAGAATATTCAATTATTTTTATCAATACTAAGAATTTTTGTCAAAAATTCAATTATTTTTGAAAAAATTTTTAATGAAATTTCACAAAAGAATTGAATTATTTTTGAAAATTTTAATAAATCTTTTGATAAAATTGAATTATTTTTTATAAATGATAAACATTCTTTGCTAATAATTCAATTATTTTAAATTTTAATACAGTTTTAATAAATTCATATGAAAGAATAAAGTTTTTTTTCTTTTTATTTTTTATTAATATTTTTCGATAATGTTTAATTATTTTTTTAATTTCTAATAAATTCTTTATTATTATTAATAAATAAAATAATAATAATAATAATAATAATAATAATAATAATAATATTAATAATTTATTCTTTATTATTCTTTGAAACAATTCAATTATTTGCAAAGACATTTAATAAAATTTCTTCACAAGAATTCAATTATTTTTATAACTAATAATAAATTTTTTTGACAAAATTCAATTATTTTTAACAAAATTTTAATAAAATTTTACGAAAGAATTTAGAAATTATTTTTTATAAAATTTTAACAAAAACTTGGAAACAATTCAATTATTTTTTTTTAAATAAATACAATTCTTTCCAAAAAAGTTTAATTATTTTTAATACATTAATTTTTTAGTAAAATTCCATGTAAGAGTTCAATCTCGTTTTTTTATTTTTTAATAATTTTTTTTTTATAAAATTCAATTATTTTCTAACATTTTAATAAATTCTTCAAAACAATTCAATTATTTTTATAAATAAGAAAAATCGATTATTTAAAAAATAATTCAAAGAATTAAAAAAAAATAATAATAATAATAATTTATCAATTATTTTTATGCTAAATAATAAAATTTTTTAATAAAATTCTTAGCAAGGTGACAACGATTTTCAATACATTAATTGTAAAATTAAAAATTTTTAAAAATGAAAACATTAAAAAAAGTTAGGGAACAATTTTTTTTTTTTTTTTGCAAACAACATCTAATTTGAAACTGCGAACAGAATTAGCGAACGATTTTTATTCATTTATATGTACCTGAATTAATATAAATAATGCATTTTACAATACTTTTTAATTTAGAATTTTCACTGTATTTAAAATACAACAAAATACAACAAACATTTATAATTTACAATTTACATTTTTAAAATTGTAAACTAAAATTCGTAAACTTTGTAACTACCTGAAAAAAGTTGCATAATGTAAACATAAAGATTTAAACAATTTTTATATAATTTGTATTCAAAGAGAAATTGAAATTTTTATTTCTAAGAAGATGAATGAAATATTTAATTAAATCTCAATAAAATTAATTTTCTTTTTCATAATGAGCGAAAAAAAATTAAATTAAATTAATTTAATAAAATTTAATTAATTAATTTAATTTAATTTAATTTAATTTAATTTAATTTAATTTAATTTAATTTAATTTAATTTAATTTAATTTAATTTAATTTAATTTAATTTAATTTAATTTAATTTAATTAATTAATTTATTTATTTAATTAAATTTTCATTTAATATTCAAATTGCCTGATGACGAGAAATAATATTCGACACCAATGTTTAAGTTACAAAACATGCGGAACATAATATATGAATGCTGATAAATTTGCTGACACTTGCAAACTTATGAATTGTAGTACTACGAATTATTATTATAGAGAAGCATGCTGTATTCAGTTTAAAAAAATACTTACGTTTAACCTGACGTGTTCCAAGTCCTACGAATAAAATTTTCAACTCACAGGAGAGAAATTAAATAAAAAAAATTCACTCGATTTATAAATATATAATATTGAGGAGGAAAATTTGCCAACAGATTTTCATTTATGAATATAATTATGTCAAAGTAAGAGGTACAATGAATAAAAATCAACTCAGAACTGTCTTTTAAAACACTTGTAGAGAGAAGGTAGGATGATATTATATTAAAATCTTAATCAGAGATAAATTATATTTTATTACAATATATAACATTTTTTTTTCATATAATTTTAATTTTTAGCAATTCGTGACTCTGGAAAGAATGCAAAAACATAATTTTTAAAGTTTTGAAACTTATTTTTTAAAAAAAAAACATGTTTTTACATTCTTTTCAGAATTTTATTGTCGAAAAACTGAAGTGTAATATAATCAAATTTATTGTTTCGAAGAAGAACATTAATAAAGTTGAAATAATAATAAAAAATTTAATAAAAAATTTATTAATTAATTAAATAATTATTAATTAATCAATATATAAATATTAAAATAATATTATAATTCAATTCCTGAGAAAATTTTTATTATTCATGAAAAGAATTGAATTCTTACGAAAAAAAAAAAAAAAAAAAGATATTTACAAAAAATTTTTTAAATAATTGAATTATGTTTGGAAATTTTATGAAAATAGTAAATATTAAAAATCATTGAATTGCGAAAAGTTTTTGAAAATAATTAAATTTTACAAAGAATTCTACTAAAATTTTTGACGATAATTGAATGTCTGTTCGGTATTTTATTAAATTTTTTTAAAATAATTGAATTCTTGCAAATGATTTTATTAGAATTTGTTTTAAATAATTGAAGAAATTTGAAGAAATTTATTTCCAAGAAGAAATTTATTACTTTTAAAAATAATCATGAATTCTTTTGATGAAATATTGTTATTTTTATTTTATTAAATTTTTTGAATATAATTGAATTTTTGCAATTGATTTTATTAGAATTTTTTAAAATAATTGAATTACCAAGAAAAAATTTATTACTTTTAAAAATAATCATTGAATTCTTGTGATTTTATTGAATTTTTTGAAAATAATTGAATTCTTGCAAACGATTTTATTAGAATTTTTTTAAATAATTGAATTTCCAAGAAGAAATTTATTACTTTTAAGAATAATTTAATTCTTGTGATGAAATATTGTTATTTATGAAAATAATTGAATTTAGCAAAGAATTTGATTAAAATGTCTCAAAATAATTGAATTTTCGGGGACAATTTTGTTATTTATCTTTAATAATTGAATTCTTTTGAAGAATTATTTATGCAAATAATTGAATTCTTTGGAAGAATTTTATTAAAATCTGAAAGAATAATTGAATTAATTCGAAAAAATTTAATTAAAATTGTATTTAAATGAATTGATTTCTTTCGAACAATGTATTAAAAATATTTGAAAATAATTGAATTTTGCAAAGAATTTCATTTATTTATTTATTTATTAAATAGATTATATAAAAATTTTATTAAAATGCCTGAAAATAATTGAATTTTCTGAAATAGTTTTGTTATTTATCGATATAATTGAATTCTAGGGAAGAATTTAAATAAAATCTAAAAGAATAATTGAATTATTTCAAAAAAAAAATTTAATTAAAATTGAAATTGTAATATTTTTATAAATAATTGAATTCTTCCAAAGAATTTTAATAAATGTTCATTTTTAAATAATTGATTTTTTTCGAGGAATTGAAATTAAATTTTTAAGAAGAAGTACATTTTTTTTAAAAAAATATTTTTATTAAAATTTTCAAAAATAATTGAATTCCTGAGCAAAATTTTATTATTTGTGAAAATAATTGAATTTTTCAAATTATTAATTTAAAATAGTTGCTAAAAATAATTGAAATTCTTCGATGAGTTTTATTATTTATGAAAATAATTGAATTCTCACTTAGAATTTAAAAAAAAAATTTTTTTAAATTGAATTTCCATGAAAAATGTTATGGAATAACATTTTCAATTTTCAATTTTCAATTTTCAATTTTCAATTTTCAATTTTCAATTAATGAAAATAATTGTTACATGTAGAAATGTGACTGAATTAATATTTATTCTTTTCAAAAATCCACTTTTTTTTTAATGCACGAATTTTTAAATATTGTTTTTATTTAGAAGAACTTAGTTTTTTTTAAAAAAAGAATAATTACAAAAAAAAAAAATACTTTTATTTTTCAAAGAATAACATTTAAAGACCATAATCCTCTAAATGCCATTTATTAAATTATACAATTTGTACTGTATATTCACATTATAAAATCAAAAAGAAAAAAAAATATTTTACAATAAATAAATAAATAGATGAAAAAATAAAATTAAAAAATTGTAAATCGGTAAATTATCACACATTGAGCAGAGAATGTTCTGTATTGAGTCAAATTAAAATTTAAAAATAAAAATTTTTTTTATTTCTTTATCCTAAGAAGTTTTTTAAATGGTGAGAATCTCTTCTTTTTGTCGTGCTTCAATGAAAGAAGATTGGCTGCATCTGAGGGTGAATTTGTTGTATCTAAATTGATACTTATCGAGTCTGAGATAACAGATGGTAAACAAAGTCCAGAATCTATTTCATCATTATTAGTTTCCTTTGATGTACTTTCATTATTATTTGCTTTCTTTTCTTTTTTTCTCGTTAAACTCCGTAGAATTGCGTGTGATTTACTTGGTGGTCTTAAAGATTTTGACAATTCAGAATTAATTGCTAAATTATTTTCTATCCTCTCTTCCTTGGCAATGTAATTATCATTTGTCTTCTTTATTTCTCTGTTTCCCTGACGACTGAAAAATAGAATATAAAATTTAGAGCTAAACAATTTTTTTTTAATTTCTAAATTAAATTAATAAAAATTTCAAAACATTTTTAAAAAAAATTTTTTTTTTTTGTTAGACAAAAATTTTAAAACTTATTCTTATTTACTTTTCCACAGGAATTCAAATTTCAAATAATTTCAATGAAAAACCTTTTGAAATTTAATTATTTCTAAAAATTGCAACTGTAATTCTTCCAAAATTCAATTCTTTTTTTTAAATTAAATTTTAAATTAAACTTTAAAATAGTAAAATAAAAATTTACTTCATATTTACCTTTCTTTTTTCAACGGTGATGTTCTTACGGAATCGCAAAGTTTCCCCCAAAAATCAAAATAAGCTCTACGATTGTAGTACAAGTTCATCGTATAACTTAATGACTCAGGAAGTTGGTCACAATCTTTATAAACACAGGCGATGAGTTTTCTCTTTCTTTGATCTGTAAAATTTTCAAGATTTTAATAAAAATGTAAAGAAAAAAATAAAAAAAAAATAAAAATAAATTTAAAAAAAAAATTTAAAAAAAATTTTTTTTTTAATTTAAAAAAAATTGAGTATTATAAAAAATAAAAGTGTACAAATATATAAAAAAAATTTTTTTTGAATACCTATTCCAACAGCGTGTGCAAATTCTAAAAAGAATTTATTCACGGGGCTCTTCAGGAAGTTTGGTGAAATTACGACTACTAGTCGATTGCAACGTTCGGAAATTAATTTCATTATTACTTCGCTTTCAAGAGAAACGCCAGCAATGAGATCTCTATCTTTTGTGCAAACCTAAAATACAAATAAAGTTTAAGTATAAAAATATTCGTTTTTAAATTTTATGAACTTAGAATTAATAATAATTTGTTGTTACCTTCAAATCTTGCTCTTCAAGTTTTTCGATCATTTCTTTTGCAAAATCGAAATCTTCATCTGCATATAAAATAAATGCGTCGTAATGCTGCTTCTGCAAACCTTCCTCTGATCTGTATTGATCCTCTAAAAAAGTAAAAATTTAATAAACAAGTTGTAAATCCAGATGTTCATTACATGAACATTTTGCTTCCTCTTTACGATCAGCAAAAAAAATTTGCTTCCTCGTGAAGGAAGCATTAACGATAAATATATTTCATTTTTAAATCATTTTTAATACAATTTAACATTTATAAAACAAAGTTCATTGGTCTTAATAGAAAAAATAAAATTTTCTTATACAGTAATATGAATCTAAATAAACACAAAATTTTTAGTCAAAAAGTGAATTTTTCAACTTTAATTGTAATTAATTATATAATTTTCAATAGAATATATACTTTAAATACATCAATCGATTCGTCTTGATGCAAAGAATAAGATTTTTAATTTATTTTTTAATAAATAATAACATTCTATTGTACTGCAACATGATTTTTAAGAAAAAATGAATTTTTATTAAAAGTGCAAAATTTTTGTCTATAATTGGTTTTAATTCTATAAATTTAAATACAATATATATATTATATATAACAATCGATCCGTCTTGATACAAAGAATAAGATTTTAGAAATAAATAAGTAAGATTTTCTTATACGGCAACATAATTTTGCGGAAAGAACTCATTTTATGATAAAAATGCGAATTTTTCAGCTTTAATTGTGATTAACTATGTAAATTCTCATACAATTTATACTTCTTATATACCAATCGATTCGTCTTGATGCAAAGAATAAGATTTTATTATATACTAACTTCAATAACCAACTTAAAAAAATTAAAAAAAAAAAATTTTTTAGAAAAAGGTCAAAAAAAATTTTTTTTTGAGAATTTTTTAAAGTCTATAAATCCATTTCGAGATATTTTTATGATAAATATACTTGGTAAATTTTAGCCAAATTCGTTAAAACCTCTTCGAGTTATCGTGTTCACAAAAATCGGGATCCACACACACACACATACAAACATCCGGACAATTGTTCAGGGTCTTATATAACATAGCCCATATAGAAGAAAATTTGTTAAAAGGATTTTTAAAAATTTTGTAAATTAAACGACTACAAAGCTTCCTCACGAGGAAGCAAAATTGAGCAAAAATTCTCTATTCTTCAGGATTGAGTAGGCCTCTGTCCCTACTAGAACTCAGGTAATTTTCAGATGATTAGAATCATTAAATTTGGAAGAATTAATTTTTAAAAATTATTTTTACTAAATTTTGATTGTCTGATAGCGTTCGGGTGGTGGTGCTACTACTAAAAAATTGAGCTAAAATTCTCTATTCTTCAGGATTGAGTAGGGCTCTGTCCCTACTAGAACTCAGGTAATTTTCAGATGATTAGAATCATTAAATTTGGAAGAATTAATTTTTTAAAATTTTTTTTACTAAATTTTGATTGTCTGATAGCGTTCGGGTGGTGGTGCTACTACTAAAAAATTGAGCTAAAATTCTCTATTCTTCAGGATTGAGTAGGGCTCTGTCCCTACTAGAACTCAGGTAATTTTCAGATGATTAGAATCATTAAATTTGGAAGAATTAATTTTTAAAAATTATTTTTACTAAATTTTGATTGTCTGATAGCGTTCGGGTGGTGGTGCTACTACTAAAAAATTGAGCTAAAATTCTCTATTCTTCAGGATTGAGTAGGGCTCTGTCCCTACTAGAACTCAGGTAATTTTCAGATGATTAGAATCATTAAATTTGGAAGAATTAATTTTTTAAAATTTTTTTACTAAATTTTGATTGTCTGATAGCGTTCGGGTGGTGGTGCTACTACTAAAAAATTGAGCTAAAATTCTCTATTCTTCAGGATTGAGTAGGGCTCTGTCCCTACTAGAACTCAGGTAATTTTCAGATGATTAGAATCATTAAATTTGGAAGAATTAAATTTTTAATTTATTTTTTACTAAATTTTGATTGTCTGATAGCGTTCGGGTGGTGGTGCTACTACTAAAAAATTGAGCTAAAATTCTCTATTCTTCAGGATTGAGTAGGGCTCTGTCCCTACTAGAACTCAGGTAATTTTCAGATGATTAGAATCATTAAATTTGGAAGAATTAATTTTTTAAAATTTTTCTTACTAAATTTTGATTGTCTGATAGCGTTCGGGTGGTGGTGCTACTACTAAAATTTGAGCTACAATTCTCTATTCTTTAGGATTGAGTAGGGCTCTGTCCCTACTAGAACTCAGGTAATTTTCAGATGATTAGAATCATTAAATTATAATGAATTAATTTTTTAAAATTTTTTTTACTAAATTTTGATTGTCTGATAGCGTTCGGGTGGTGGTGCTACTACTAAAAAATTGAGCTAAAATTCTCTATTCTTCAGGATTGAGTAGGGCTCTGTCCCTACTAGAACTCAGGTAATTTTCAGATGATTAGAATCATTAAATTTGGAAGAATTAAATTTTTAATTTATTTTTTACTAAATTTTGATTGTCTGATAGCGTTCGGGTGGTGGTGCTACTACTAAAAAATTGAGCTAAAATTCTCTATTCTTCAGGATTGAGTAGGGCTCTGTCCCTACTAGAACTCAGGTAATTTTCAGATGATTAGAATCATTAAATTTGGAAGAATTAATTTTTAAAATTTTTTTTACTAAATTTTGATTGTCTGATAGCGTTCGGGTGGTGGTGCTACTACTAAAAAATTGAGCTAAAATTCTCTATTCTTCAGGATTGAGTAGGGCTCTGTCCCTACTAGAACTCAGGTAATTTTCAGATGATTAGAATCATTAAATTATAATGAATTAATTTTTAAAAATTTTTTTTACTAAATTTTGATTGTCTGATAGCGTTCGGGTGGTGGTGCTACTACTAAAAAATTGAGCTAAAATTCTCTATTCTTCAGGATTAAGTAGGGCTCTGTCCCTACTAGAACTCAGGTAATTTTCAGATGATTAGAATCAATAAATTTGGAAGAATTAATTTTTTAAAATTTTTTTTACTAAATTTTGATTGTCTGATAGCGTTCGGGTGGTGGTGCTACTACTAAAAAATTGAGCTAAAATTCTCTATTCTTCAGGATTGAGTAGGGCTCTGTCCCTACTAGAACTAAGGTAATTTTCAGATGATTAGAATCATTAAATTTGGAAGAATTAATTTTTAAAAATTTTTTTTACTAAATTTTGATTGTCTGATAGCGTTCGGGTGGTGGTGCTACTACTAAAAAATTGAGCTAAAATTCTCTATTCTTTAGGATTAAGTAGGGCTCTGTCCCTACTAGAACTCAGGTAATTTTCAGATGATTAGAATCATTAAATTTGGAAGAATTAATTTTTTAATTTATTTTTTACTAAATTTTGATTGTCTGATAGCGTTCGGGTGGTGGTGCTACTACTAAAAAATTGAGCTAAAATTCTCTATTCTTCAGGATTGAGTAGGGCTCTGTCCCTACTAGAACTCAGGTAATTTTCAGATGATTAGAATCATTAAATTTGGAAGAATTAATTTTTTAAAATTTTTTTTACTAAATTTTGATTGTCTGATAGCGTTCGGGTGGTGGTGCTACTACTACAAAATTGAGCTAAAATTCTCTATTCTTTAGGATTAAGTAGGGCTCTGTCCCTACTAGAACTCAGGTAATTTTCAGATGATTAGAATCATTAAATTTGGAAGAATTAATTTTTTAATTTATTTTTTACTAAATTTTGATTGTCTGATAGCGTTCGGGTGGTGGTGCTACTACTAAAAAATTGAGCTAAAATTCTCTATTCTTCAGGATTAAGTAGGGCTCTGTCCCTACTAGAACTCAGGTAATTTTCAGATGATTAGAATTATTAAATTTGGAAGAATTAATTTTTTAAAATTTTTTTTACTAAATTTTGATTGTCTGATAGCGTTCGGGTGGTGGTGCTACTACTAAAAAATTGAGCTAAAATTCTCTATTCTTTAGGATTAAGTAGGGCTCTGTCCCTACTAGAACTCAGGTAATTTTCAGATGATTAGAATCATTAAATTTGGAAGAATTAATTTTTTAATTTATTTTTTACTAAATTTTGATTGTCTGATAGCGTTCGGGTGGTGGTGCTACTACTAAAAAATTGAGCTAAAATTCTCTATTCTTCAGGATTGAGTAGGGCTCTGTCCCTACTAGAACTCAGGTAATTTTCAGATGATTAGAATCAATAAATTTGGAAGAATTAATTTTTTAAAATTTTTTTTACTAAATTTTGATTGTCTGATAGCGTTCGGGTGGTGGTGCTACTACTAAAAAATTGAGCTAAAATTCTCTATTCTTCAGGATTGAGTAGGGCTCTGTCCCTACTAGAACTCAGGTAATTTTCAGATGATTAGAATCATTAAATTTGGAAGAATTAATTTTTTAATTTATTTTTTACTAAATTTTGATTGTCTGATAGCGTTCGGGTGGTGGTGGGGGGG